ATGGTCGTGCTAGACCGTTGAGCCGCAGCTTGCCCCTCGTCCAGTGCTCGTTCCCAGCGATGAAGTCCGCTCGGACGACCTTGCCACGCGAGACGACGACACCGTCGCGCTCGCCCTTGACATACACGCCCTCGACGCGGCCGGAGTAGAACAGCGACCCGCGGCCCACCATCTCCCTCAGCTGCGCGTCCACGGGCATCGGGCCCTCGACAGCAGCGGCACGAGGTGGATCGCCGTGTCGTATAGGAGCGCGCCGCGAGCGCCGCGCGGCTAGCCCATGTGTCCGTGCGCCGGTCGTACAGGTCGAACGCGAGGAAGCGGTCCGGCAGCGACTCGTACGGGATCGCGTGCGTCGCAGCGAGCCACTCGCCGTAGAGGATGTACCGGCTCGGGAAGTGCGCGTCGCGGCCCAGCACGCGGACGAGCGCATTCCGGTGCGTGTCGACCCACAGCCCGAGCTTCTTGAACTGCTCGTGCGACGCGGGCGACACGTAGTGCGACCGGTTCTGGATGCGCAGCTCGCGCGCCGGGGAGAGCCAGAAGCCCATGTTGGTGCCGTCGACTTTTTCGGTGATCACGACGTGCGAGTGGCGCAGCGCGCCGGTGTCCGTGAAGACGTCGTCGTCGGTGGCAGAGCCCAGGTTGAGCAGATGCGGCGTTCGGGGGAATTTGTAAACCCGAGCGGAGGCGAGAGGCGCTCGACCAGCTCCGCAGCGGCTTCGAAGGATTTAACCCGGACGATGGTCTTGAAGCCTTCGCTCAAGGACGGTTCGTCGAATGTGTTGTGCATCTGGGCTATCGCATTGGGAACACGACTGCCGGCGGAAGAGTCGGATGAGTCATTCGTCTCTGCGCACGCGATTCACAGAGAGACCTGTCATACTGGACAAAGCTTCAGATTCGTGCAGAAGATGCGCATCAATTACTCACATCGAACCAGATGCAGACTGGCGATTCCACCCAATTCGACGCAAGGGCGAGCCATATCTTGCGATCTGCAGCAGAGGCATTGCACCTATCTAGAAGCGTCCGGCCCTTGCGGCCGATTTCGGTCTCACAACTCGCTCTGCTCCCCGACTCATCCTGCGAGATGCGGCGCCAGCCACTGGGATTCCTCGCACACACCGCCTGGGAGAACCACGACTTGCCAGACCCCGGGAGCCCGACCAGCATGAAAAGATCGTTCGGCGCAACCAGCGGTTCCCCTTGGATTTCCAGCTCGCACGGCGGTGGCTCGGGAACTCCGTCCGCCTTCACCGCCCGGCGCTTCCAGATCGCGCTGCACCAGGTTGACACGAACGCTTCCTGCCGCGATGTCTCCAAGCTGCCGGGCCGCAGGAGGCGCAGACTGGCGATGGCGTCCGACGCAGCCATCTCCGGGTGGTCCTGGCGCATCACCGGACGACGGAAGCCGTAGGCGGCGAGGTAGCACGCGGCGACGGTGCCCGCGCGGCCCTTGCCTCCGCCGCAGTGGACCAGCAGCGGCAGCTTGGTCTGGTCGTCGAACAGACGCATGATGAGCTCCATCTGCTCCAGCGACGGCGGCTCCAAATTGGGGATCGGGCAGAAGGAGTTCGTGATGGGTTTGCCGTGGAACCATTTCCGCGGCAGAGGCTCTTCCTCGGTCAGCGTCAGCACGTGCCGGATGCCTAGATGGGGCGAGGCCAGTGCAGCGATGTCCTCCTCGTTTTTGGGCGTCGACATGATTGCGAGATGGTACGGGACGAGCCAGCGGAACCAGCGAGGCAGTTTGGAGAGGGCCGGTTTCCGGGTCGGGCCAGGGATGAAGAGCGGTCGGCGGGGCTCGAGCTGCAGAGTAGGCATGAAATCATCCCTTTCTGCCAGAGCGTCTCGCAATCCATCAGGCCAGGGCGCAAGGAGGATGTCGGAGATACCGCCGGGGATCTGCTCAATCTCCTCCGAGCGCACGACCGAGCCCCATTCCGTGTGCTGCGCACACTCAAACATTTTCTTCAGCACGTATGTCTGTGTGCGCTGGTCGTCTCCTGCGCGAGAAAAGGCACAGCCATATGCGAGCATCGCGAGTTTGTGCTTCTGCGATCCCATCGCCGAGTCGCCCAGCCTCAGATACCCGCGTTGGGATTCTGGGAAAGCGCGGACTAGCATCGCGCTGTATTTCTCGGCATCATCGAACAGACTAGATAAATGCAGTGTAAATGCTAGGTGGTCTAAAAGTTCAGCAGAAGGAGAGTCCGGAAACTGATCGGGAGGAGTGAAGCCACGCTCTTGTCCGCATCCAGATCGTCATGGACCGAGAGTTGGACGTGGAACTGCGCAGGTGGTAGACCAGCCCGCTTGCGGAACAGCTGCCCGGCCGCCCAGACCACGACCAGGAAGAACACATCGGGCACCGTCGTGCTCCCGCTGCCCAGCCCCACCGCATTGAGATGGGCGGTGTCGATCGACGCGGAGGCGGCTTTCTGGACGGGAAACAGTCTGGCAGATTCTTCATCCGAGACGAGGACGATGCAAAAATCCCGGCGCTGTTGTATCGTAGGAGGCACCAGATGTAAGACGTTCGTTGCCATATCGTCGACGGCTCGTCCCGAAAGTACCAGACCGCCTCCTGGAGTAGAGCGGACGGCGGATTCTGACATGGTTGGTTAGGGGCGGGTTTCGCGTCGTTTGAATTTGATAGTGCGGCACACTGTTGCTACCGACTTATACACATTGTCGTACAGGGATGAGTCGCGATGTGTCAGACAGGTGGCAGTGCACGGGTCCGAGCTTTCTTTGCGGTATTATTCAATAGAGGACGGTGAACAGGGCTAGTTTTGGGGCGGTTTCTCATAGCAAAGCACTTCATGGAGAGTAGCGGTTGATTGCTGCGTCTAGATTGTGCGTGATCGCGCGAAGCAAGCAGTGATCCCATTACGGCTGCATTCGCGATTGCTGAGTCAGCGCTGTATTTGTCGCTTTGACGTCTGCCGCTGCCAGTGCGATCTCCGAAAGCGGAACCAAAATACCAAAATGGACGACGAATGTCTTGTCGATGGTCATGCAAACAGGAGCGGGTTCAAGCCCGAAAAGCCCCTTTTTCCGCCCCACACCTTAGCTTAATCCACCGCTGACACTTACCCGCTCCACCTACCCCCATCGCGCCGGTTGGGCAGTCCATGCCCCAGCTTGATGTCGCACAACCTCCGGTCGAGCTCGTCCGCCACTGCCACTTCCCCAGCAAGAATAAGCCCCTCGAGTGCTGCATCGGACGCCAGGTCTCACGAGGGATCTGATACGGGGAGGAATCTTACTGTCAAAGTCACTCCTCCCGGTTCGCTATGCGGCTCGCCTGGGCCTGAGCCCAATCACGGCTTGTGAGACTCCTGACTTCTCTGCCGTTTGCCTGACCCCCGACGCGGGACGTCTAGACTCAACTCGCCTTCGAAAGAACTGCAGACGGAGCGGTCGTTGGTGATACAGCGGTACGGGTCCCTGGAGTCAGCGTCAGTGACTGATCTGATGTTCTCTGTCCCGAAGATTCGGGCTCGACAATCCTTCTCTGTGGCCGCTGGCGGACCGATATGCTCGGATCGCGCACGCGCTCTTCAAGGCTCCAATTCGTGGGTTATAGACCCTAATCTCCCTTGCGCCCGTATCGATCTCCGTGACAGTCATATTGCTGATTCACGAGAACATGCAGTTAGTGCTTGCTGCGGTGGCATGTAAACACAAGCCGAGGGAGTCTCTGGTCTATCGGGAATCTTTGGTGAGTTTCTGAAACTTATCGGTTGCGCCATTCCAATTCAATCTCAGTGCTCACATACCGCACTCCGCACGGATGGGACACTGCTGGATATCGTGAGACTCTTTGTGACGATACCTCCAACAGATCCTGACGCGCACATCACAGCCCGATACCCAACACGATCGGCGATTCGAGCACATTCCTGGTTCGCTCTTGTCCAATTCCGCCAGGATCTGACGCTAATTGAGCCACAGATCTTCCCCGGTCGTTTGCTGGACAACCGCTTTTGCTTCCGCTCGAAGATGGGGGGCCACTCGTGCCCTTCGGCTCGTTCGCTGTCCTCGGAACGACCGTTCGAAATGAACTGTCGCAGCAAGAACGCGAATCATTATCTGATCTGGCGCACCTGCTCAGCACCGAAGTGCTGCGTGTATTCAATGAGAGCCGGCACCGCAAGGAGGCTTTGCGACGGAATTTCGTCTCGGATCTCATTGCCGACCTGTCCAGCTTTCATTCCAACATATCACCGCCTGTCGAGGCCCGGGACTCACGCGTGCCCCCTAATCTCGAGGCTGGGTTCCGGATGCTCTCCGCGACGACTGACGTCAGGCGGATGCTCGATTCGGATTTCACCTGCCTCCTTGATCTGTCGTCATTCCACGTCTCGTGGCTCGCACTCGAGTCTCCGCGCAAGCAGGTCACGCGGACGGTGTCCCGGTCGAAACATGGCTGGATTGGGACGAATCAGCGGATCTCGTCGCTCCCGTCGGACGGCGACGACGCCAAGGCCGAATCTGCAGGGATCCGGATCATCGACTACAGCTGCGGCTCGCTGTGCCCCGACTTTGCACCGGAAGCGGTGCTGGCCACGCCCCGTGCCATCCATGTTCTGACGACGTTTTTGCGGTCGTATGCTGAGAATGTGAGTCCCGTGGCACGCCGTGATCATCTATGGCAACTGTCCACCAGAACTCGGGAACAGGCTACACGTACACAGGAACCGACGGGCCCCTGCAGGCGATCCTTCCTCCAGGATCTAATGCCCATATTGCGGTGCCGCTGTTTAACAACGCTCAACCGTAGGCTTCTCTCGAGTTCCATTGCGGATGTCCGACTCACAGACGGTGACAGGGCCCTGCTGCTCATCGTCGCGACCGTCAAAGCGCGTCAGGTTTACGAACCCGCCGACGTCTCGTTCGCATCCACCTTCGCGGTTTTGTGTCTCGGGAGCTTGGCGAAGACCAAGCTGATCAAAGCGGATGCCGCCAAGACCGCCTTCGTGTCGATGATCTCGCACGAGCTGAGAACGCCTCTGCACGGCCTCCTCTCGCAGCTCGAGCTGATCCGCGAGTTTGCGCCGAAGGAATACCAGGCGGAGACGGAGACGTTCCTGCGCACCGCGGAGGTCTGCGGGCTGACGCTGCGGGATGTGGTGCGTCTGCGTCCAGCGCCCCTGGGCCAATTTACCGCCACTGATCTGACGTTGACAGCTCAACGACGTGCTGGACTTTGGCAAGCAGGAGAACAGCAGCGATGTCCAGACCCAATCGGCGGAGAGCGATCTGAGTCATCTGGCGATCGACGTGATGAACGGCGAGTTTGGGCTGCTATCCTGGCATCCGTGCAGCTTCTTACCCTGATGTCCAGTTGCCTATGGCCGTCGGCGCCAGTGGCAGTATGTCACAGGAGAAGCAGATTCTCCGGTGGAAGTCAGCGTCGAAACCGAGACTTCCCCGTCGAATTGGAATGCCATCGTGTTCGTGCGTTTTGTTGGCTTTGTCTCACTGTCTGACCCCGTGATGCAGAGACGTCGGAGGCCTTCGTAGGTCGGTGGTCGAGTTGTTTATTTCCTCTTTCTGTTTTCCTTGTTGATCCCTTCTCAGGGTGCTTCTTAATCTCGCTTCCAATGCGCTCAAGTACACGCCCAAGGGCTCGATCACGCTTAGTCTGCGCGATCTGGGCCCAGCTCGTGACCGGCAGCCAGATGGCCACCGCCTGATCAAATTCTCGATGAAGGACACTGGCATCGGCATGAGCGAAGAATTCAAAAAAGATATCTTCACCCCATTCAGCCAGGAGAGCTCGTTCAATCCGGGCTCCGGGCTCGGAATGAGTATCTCTAACACGATCCTGCGGCGCATGGGCGGCAAAATCGCGGTCGACAGTGAACTCGGCAAGGGGACTGTGATTTCTTTCACGATCCCGGTGGAGTTCACGCGTCCCCGGAGCACCGATCTCCCAGCCTCGCCCCGGGTGCTGACCAAGACACTCATCTCGAAAGACGAGGCGGACCCGGAGCCTACCGCGTCGAGAGCAACGCCGAGTCCGCCGGAAACGCCGGTGCCCACTCCCCCGGCGACCCCGGACCCAGCCGTCGCGCGTGGCGCTGAAGCGAACCGTGGGGCGGCGGGGCGGCAGCGAGCGAGTCGTCGCAAATTCGCGTGCTTGTTGTGGACGACAACCAGATTGGGCGCAAGATCCTGACGACGCTGCTGACGCGCAAGGGCATCCCGTTCCGCGAGGCGAGCGACGGGAGCCAGGCGCTGGAAGTCTACAAGGAGTTTCTCCCGCATCTCGTATGGACGTGAGTCGATCGGCGGTCGTTTTCCTGATAGCGGAACTGAACTGATCACGCGCGGCGGTTGCAGGGACGTGAGCATGCCCGGTATGAACGGGATCGAATCCGCACGCAGAATGCGCATCGTCGAGCACGAGCGCGGGCTGCGACCGGCTCACATCGTTGCGCTGACAGGGATGTCGTCGAGCGGGGAGATGGTGAGTAGCCGTTGCGGTGTTCTTGCCTTCCATGTGTTGATCCGAATGTTCTCTCACAGAAAGAGGGCCTGCTTGGGGACGCCGCTCTCGACGAGTGGCTCGTCAAGGGCCAGGCCAGCCTCAAGACACTCACGGGCAGCCTCGAATCCGTCCAGCGCTCGCTGCGGCGCAGGTGGAGACCTCCAGCGTCGGCCATGCCATGATTTGGGTTTGTATTGGTGTAATGGGAATATATTCGTTTTTAGATCTGGCGAACCTAGTCTGTAATCTTTCCACGTAACGTGATGTACTGGTTGGGGATGAGGATACACGTAATCCCCCGAGCCATTGGCTCCTGTATGAACGTCCACATCGAGCGCACATCCAAACCCTTGGTTGCAACACAATTCAGCATTCCACATGGGTGTATGGGTGGCTTCGGCCTCCGCCCTGTGAGACCTCGCCATGCACCCGCAACGCCAACGCTGCTTCCCGCTTCGACATCGCGAAGAAAAACAAACGTGAAACGTGGGACGGAACCGTCGGCGCCCGCTTCCAGCCTTCCACGCGGGACCGGGGTTGGCCCACGCACCACCAACGTTTCTCCGCGTCCGAATCGAGCGAGAAACGCACAGGGTCCTACGTGGACTCAGAAAGAAAAAAGAAGAAAGGACTTGGAAGAGGAAGGGTGGAGCAGCCGAACATGCCCGCCTCTGATGATCCTTGGTACCCGCGAGAGAACCTCGTAAGTCGAAATGACACGCGGGAGCCACGGCGGCGGCGACAACGTCAATCAATCAGTGGCTATACGCCCGCGTCAAGCGCATCACGAGGTCTCCGTCACTCTCCGTCCCATCTGCGAACCCATCATGGCCCACAAGTGGAATTGCGCCTCGCTGCGAATCCCAGATTGACGCCGGGTAGCCACGCCGAGCCACTCTACAGCCGCACGGGCACCACGCCCATCACGAATCGTGATCAAGCCACCCACCACCACCCTCGGTGCATGGCTACACCCGACCGGCGCCAGGCCCGGTGGCCACAGACGAATCAGAGGGGCTCCGGCAGGCATGGAGGCTGCAGCGGATCTGCGAGCTAAATCACCAGAAGCGGCAGTAGCAGCAGCAGCAGCAGCCTGTTGTGCGCCCGGTATGAGAATTCGGAATTCGAATCAGTTGACTTCATTGCGACTGCGCTGTGCGTCTTAAGTTCTGCCTTTACATGATTAATAGAGATGTGTGTGCGTGCGGTATGGATGGATGATGGACAGAGCATATACAAGATGGATAGCGAGAGGAGAATAAAATCGAGAGGAATAGTCCAAAAAGACTACATACAGAGAAGAGGAGAGAAGATATGTTCTAGATAACCTGCTGGGCCTCAACGTCCCATCCCGTATCGTGAGCTTCTCCGGATCCAGCTGGGGCGTGATCGCGCTTCTCCCTGTTGAGCACGGACAGTGACGACCGAGGGAAATCTCCATCACGATCAGGGCTCTCATCACTCGCCGACGGTAAAGTCGCGAGAGCGCTGCTGCCACTGTCGCTGCCCTCCTGCCACTCAGAATCCCCATCGTCATCCTCGAACAGTGGCGCTGAAGGAAGTTGATCGTCATCTTCCAGGGGTGGTGCGCTCGGAGTGGGGAAAGAGATAGGCCGTGAGCTTGGCCCTGCTTCCTGCTGAATGCCGTACGTCGAAAATCTGGGCCTCGTTGCACATGGGATCACGTCATCCATCGTAGCGAATGCCCTCTCCATTGCCAGCTTCTCTTCGCGTGCATTGGTCCAATCCAAAGCCAATGGGGGCGCGGGAAGACCTAAATCCGATTCCGGTGAAGGCGACGGCCAGGGTGGACAGTGCTCCAGATCGGGCAGCGGCAGCTCGTCTTCTTCGAGAACAAGTAACTCTCGATGTGGCGAGTGAGTATCTGGGCTTGACGCTTCTTCTTGTAGCCGCGCCAGTACAGTTTTGTCGTCCGTAGCAACATGTGCAATCGCCGCCTCCGGTGGTCGTTCTTCAGCGGATAGTGAATAGGGTGGGAACACTTCCTCTCCAGGATCAGCGTCGATCTCCAATCGCAGTCCGAGATCTCGGTTCATGGAGCTCGAAGCCTGTGAGAGCGAAGATGATGGCTCTTGCGAGCGCAGCGGTAGTCGGCTTGTAGAGGAAAGATAGGCAGGAGGTCCGACGGAAGTTCTCCTTGGCAGAGGTGATATTGACCTCAAAGAAGAAGAGGATGACGAGAGAACAGATACAGGTGACGGGGGTGTGGGCTGTTCAGAGGACGTGATATCGACGAAGGTCTCAACACTTGTGCGAGGAGAAGATGCCGAGGAAACGGATGGAGATGGTCGCCGAGAATCTGTCGAGAATGCCGGATGGTTGAGATGACGAGGCCGTCCTCGGCGCTGTCTCGCCAGGTAGCGCACGTTGTCTCTCCATCGCTTCGTTGCCCGTGCTGTCCATCTTGTCGCCGAGGATTTGGCGCCCTCGTCGGCTAGCGAGGCTAGCGTTTCCGAACTCCTTGATCTCTGATGTACGAGCATCGACGACTCCGCTGCGGAAATCTGGCCCCTCAACGACCGCGAGGATTTGCGTTTCTCGACGTCAGTATTCTTTCTTTTGAATCGAGGGCCACGCGTGAGATGCGAGTGCCCCAAAGCGATCACGATCAGAAAAGCGAGAATGAGGCTGAGCGACACGGTGATGCCGGTGCGGACTGGGTTTGAGATCTTCTCGCTCACCCAGCCGGAGGGCACAGTGTCCAAAATATCATCCTCCGAAGGTGCCTGGGTGGAGGACGCTGTCGGAGGGCACAACTGAAAACGGCATCAGGTATCAATAGGGATGTCGCCAAAAGTAGCACGCACCCCCCCACTCTCGCACACGGTGCTTCCCACGAGTGTAAACGAATCCAGCCGCCTCCACAGTCCATCTGAACCCGGGGAGTATTGAGGGGGCACCCTGCGCCCGCTGTGTTGCGAATGGTGCGTTGGAGTCGGACGCTCAGCGGCGTTAGAAACGGCTTGTAAGGAGGGCCCAGCCACGCTGTCGACAGCGACAAGCTCGTCCAGCGGGAAGGCCCTCGAGTCGGGTGTGAGTGCTGCAACGAGCGCCATGACAGGCCAGCGCCTGTCGGGCGTCGCCATCGCTCGCGTAACGGGCATCGCGACCAGTACGGATGCCACCCGCACAGAAATTTTCCTGCAGTCCTCGCACGGCCTCAACTACTCCGGCACACGTCCGTTGTAGCTGCAATTGCGCTGGTGAATTTGCGGGGTCGACGGTGCCAAGCGAGCCAAGGGCAGGCGCTGAGTAGAGGAGAGAGACGATTGGGGGGTGAGTAAGGACAAGCACTTGTCAACATCAATTCCCCGTCGGGTCTTTATCCAATCGAGCTTATTTTTAGCTAGTTTATTTTTGGAACTGGCGTTTGAAAGTAGTCTACGGCAAGGAAGTTCTCCGAAAGATCATAGCCTAATGGGTAACAGATGAGGATGTAATTTGCTCATCCTATAAGAGCAGGAGAAGGCGACCAACTGAGACTCACGACATGCATCAAACAGGGGTCAAAGTAACTGGGCATTTTCTGATGCACAGAGTAGAGGCGAGCAAACAAGCTACCTGGATCTCTAATACTCGTCCAAGTTCTAGCAGAAGGTTATGAGAGATTAAAAAAAACCTCGCGCCGTTACTGGCCGTCGGGTTGCCGATGATCTTAAACAAGGATACAGCCTGGCATAACACGACTGGTGACAAGAATTGAGAAGCTCGACCCTTTCGGCCGGAGGCGGATGTTGAGATGGATACTTTGGTCTCACGAACGTTGGAGCAGAGCTATCTGGAATGGACTGAGAAGAAGGTCTTCGATACACACAATGCAGGAAGCGTTTCAAGCCTGTAGAGTACTGATAACAAGGCACACAGATTGGCTCCGGAGCCCGGAACATGGAAACAGTAGGACTAGAATAGATCTAGCCAGCTTTATTTCAGGCTTACGAATCACGAATCGGTTCATCCATCCGAAGCACAAATCATCCTCGCAGCATCAGCAAGCAGCAAACACGCTTTGGAGGAAGTCGCAGAACTGGATTCAGCAGACAAGCGTTCCTATATGGGCCCTGATAAGCAGAAAAGCAGGGTGATGATGTGCTGATTGATGTGGACGAAGCACACGGCAACTTGCGGAGAGGAAGGAGAGCAAGACACATGCCCGATGTCGGCAAGTGGAGGCACATGAGCCACCTTGATGCACGCCCATTCCCGCACACGGAATATCGGTCGACGTTCATGGTGGCGTAAAGCTTCGTCTGCAGTTCCTTAGGCAGAGATATCGCCCATTGTGGAAACCCACCGGCCCGAGCCTCAGACGATACAATTGGTCGGTGCGCGGGAAGAAAGCCCAAAGATAGTGTAGAACACATGCTTGCGCAGTCCACATCGGGGACGAGGCAAGACAGAGTCCGGGAGTTCCCGCAGATGTATCACAAACCGTGCATCCTGGGAAAGATGCAGACTGGACCCGAAGCGTGACTTATGAGAGAGAAATTCTTGACCGGGAATAGGGAATACGATTTGGCGTTATGCGGGAGCAAGCCGTTGCGGTGCATGAATAGATTCGTTGGCGCAGATTGAGTTTGAACACCGACCATGAGACCTCCAGGCAGGTCGTACTCACAGGGCCATGATTCCGGGAAACAGCATGGTCACCGATACTTGGCAAACTGAATGTGGGAGCCATTGCGAGTGTGCACAAGTAGTTCCGAGTACGTGCAATGCGACAAAAGATTCCAGTGGAACGTCGTCGGCCGAACGAGTCGTGTTGAGTAGATGACAGTAGATTGAAGGATTGATTTCGCTTGGAGATGGGCAGCACAGCGCATATGCTCTGAATGTGGAGCGAGATTGCCTCCTTTGAGCGTCGGTCTCTTGTGTGAGTACAGTGTGGGAGGAGAAACTCGATAACAATGATCATTTGAGCTTACCTAAGCCGCGTCCTTGATGTGATCGCGCACGACGACCATGTCCAGTGCATCCTCTTCGCCCGACATCTTCGCCGACAATCCATACGCGAACAACCCCAGTCTCACGCCTGCCGAGTCGGAAGTTCTGTGGGAGTATGCGAAACTGGCACAACATCTACGTATGGTGCGCATCACAGGCTGACCATTCTCGCGCCTTCACCAACGCATCGCACGTCCTGCAGCTGAAAGTCAAGACGAGATCTCTAACGGAACAACCGGACGCTTTACTGCTGGAACGCCTGCGGCAAGTTGAGAAGAAGATGGGTCTGATCTTGACACTGGTGAGCCGATCCTGCTCCGCCTTAATCTAGATATCTGAAAGCCCTGCGTGCAGTTCAAGGCCTCTGTATGGGGTGTAATCAACGAACAGAACGTCGCTAACTCTGCCGACCTGACAAGCGACAGTTTGCGATGACTTTTCCGAGCAAGCGTTTCATTGTAGCGTTAATACATCTGTACTGTACTTTACACTTTCATCCCTCCCAGACGGCCAGTCAATGCCGACACATTGTCAACCTCCCAAATGACCAGATTACCATCCACACCGCTGGTGCTGACCTTGGTGACTTGCTCGCCACTGTATTCGTACGGGCGAACGCTGGTGATGGTGTTCTGATGCACAGTTGCCAATTTCGTGTCCTGAGAGCCGCTTCCAGTCTGGCCACGCGAGTCAGCGTCACGGAAGGTCGAGAACGCGGCCGAGTTGAGGCGGCCAACGCCTCCGGAGCGAGTGTTCGCAGCCTTCCCAGACGTATTGTCGTCGAGACTGCCCACATTCTGCCACCCGTCCTGCGATCCAGAGAAAACCAGGGGCTGGCAGTCGTGACCCGCAGCGACGATGCTGTTTTCTCCGGTCCAGGTCAGAGTCACCAGAGGGAGGGACGGCATCCGGATGCTGTACACAGCCGGTCCGCCCGGGTACGCGATGCTAATGGAGCTGTCGTGACCTGGCCAAAGTTGATTGAGGATTGCGTGAATGCGATGAAACGCGGATGAGAATCACCAGCAAAGGCCAGAACATCGCCCGACGGAGAAAAGGCAACGGTGTGGACCCAGCCCCCTGCCGGGCTCGCGTATTCGGCACAAACGGTGTTGAACGGCAGCTTAGATCCCCAGACAGTTGGAGCAGGTCTGCCGTACGGATGAGTTTTGGCCCGTTGACAGCATGCATCCTTGAATGACGGACCTCTCATCGACCTCTTTGATGTATGCAGAGAAAACACGAGCTTTCATATCGGCGCTGCCGGCGGCGAGAAGGACGTTATTGGGGTGCCAATCCACGGACAGGACAGTCGAACGGATGGGCTTCTTCAGCAGTTTCGAGACCCACCAGTTGTTCTCGGGATCAAACGAGCACACCGCGATGGCACTTGCAGCGCGCGCGCATCGTCAGATCCATTATGCGTGAGAGAAGAAGTCAGGAAGGCTCACCGTGCACCACTCGCAACGGCGAACTTGTCTTCCTTGGGGCTCCATCGCACATACGTCGCTGCGCGGTTGATGCGAAGCAGCACCAAGGTCGGCTTCCAGATGAGCTTTCCTGTCACAGAATCCTGTGCCTGCTGCCATACATAGGCGTTCCGATCCTGCGACGCGGTGACGATGCGGTTCGAGCTCGGAGCCCAATCGATTGAGGTGATGATCTTGTCGTGCTGCGATGCCCGACTCAATGACACTCCATGTGATTCTCAGGAGACTGACCTCGGCGAGCGTCTCGGTGGAAGTCCATCCCGTGCCTTGGCGCGTGAATATCTGTGCCTCGTTGGAGTTGAGACTGACGGCGACCTCTGGACAACGATGAGTGTCATCTAGATGCACTTCAGTTCCATCACGGACGTGTGCGGTCGGCGCTGAAGGCATGGGTCGTAATAGGCGTCTGAGCAAGGTTGAAAACTTCGGGAGCCATAGTTGCAATAGGACGAGCAGTCGACTACTGCGCGAAACAAGTGTGAAGGTGAGGGGAGATCGATGACGTAAGCAAGTGTCTGCCCGCAGTTGTTTCAAGTCTGGTCTCAGCTTCGCAGAGAATAAATAAAAATAAAAAATCTCACGAGCCGGGGCAATACATGAATATTTACTTCAATACATACAAATTTGTTTCATGAACCAATCCTAAACTGTTGTTTCTGCTATCATCGTCGAGCCCGAAGCACTTTTGGCTTTCCACGTCCCGATTTCGGTAGAATCCGACTCTGTGGTGACAGTCCTCTTGCCCATTCCCACACGCACCACAATGAGAGTAGGAGCGATGTTCTAGGACGGATGAGAACGCAAGCGGGGCATCGGGCCAAGTATTTACCAAGATCTGAGCCAAGCCACCACGGAAGACTCTCCAAACAGTGGGGGAGACATTAGTCGACCGCATGATGACGTAGATGATAGTCCACAAGCAGACAATCCCACCGGATTCAATCCTAGTTGAAGATCAACAAGTCGAGTCGCTGGAAGTGGGCCGGACTTACACCATCGCCGTCGCTGAGTTGTATCGGCGCACGATGTCGGCCTTGAGACCGAGCCTGCTGGCGTGAACGCGGGTGTACCAGATGCGACCGGCTGGATGTATGCAGAGAATGAGTCAGATGCGGCGAGGAAAGCGAATTGCGCACCGGTCAGGCCAACGAGGACGATGTTCGTCAGCACACTCAGCGCGAATCCGATGCGGGGATCGACGGACGGCCCCCCGATACCAGGGTAATCGCCCTCATATGCGGCAATGTAACTGAGAACTGCGGAAAGATATTAAAAGGCGCGGCAGTCCGTGAGAGTTGAGGCGCACTCGTGCTGAGCAGCAGCATAACAGCGGGAGCGGCGATGGCATAGTAATTGTGTCCCCACTGTAGGCAAGGTCAGTCTGGGCCCACTGCAACGAAACCAAAACGAACTGACAATCAAAAAGCAGCGATAGATCTTTGCGCGAATGAATAAGTTTCGACGCGCAGAAACAGCAACAAAAGTAGCTTACAAGTAATCCATCAGTGACGATGCTACGGTTCGCATCTCCAATCAGCAACCTGGAACAGACATACGACGGAGGCTTGCACATACTTGTTGGTCACCAGCAGGATATCCTCTGCAAAGTTGAATGCGAGGTTACGCGCGAGAGCATCCGTGGGTGGGACCCGCCCTTGGACTGCGAGATAGAGCGCGCGAATAGATTGGGTGCAAGCAAGGATCCGCGCCAAGAGCTGCGAGGTGGCCAGCACGAACATGAGCAGCGTAGCGAGCTTGAGGACGAGACCGCTGATGCCGGCTTGGCGTCGGTGGATGAGGTTGACCGAAAACGACGCCAGAACGAGGAAAATGCCTGACGTCTTGATATCAGAGCCATGTGTCATGGCCAACGAGAAAGGAGATCTCACCGTAGAAGAGCAGCTCAGACTGGGACGGCAATGCTCAATTTTCATGTAGCAGACGAGTACATCCTCCAAACACGCACCATCGTCGCCGTTATCTCCCCCATAGCAGCATCCGGCGTTCCATCCCAAAGCTTTGCAAACAGTGTCGCCGAAACAGTGTAGTCCATGATAAAGAAAGGCTAACACGCGACCAGGCGCTGAGAAACAGAGGAGAAGGGAAGAGAGGTGGTGGTGGGAGCCAGAAAGAGAAATGAAATATTGCCGTGCCTCGCAGTAGCCACATCTGGATTTGATTAGATGCTTAGACGGCCCTGAAATTCGGATGCTCTCAGTCGACACAGGTCGATATGCATCGCCAAGTCGCGGCAATTGAGCACCGCAGCGCAGACGAAACACTGAAGAGTATCTGGGTGGAGCTGGTGGGTCTGTCCCCGCCTTCCCGGTCGCAGAAAGCCATGCCAGGCATCAGTTTCAAGATGAATGAATGTTGCCAGGAGGCAGAGTCATTATCCAATCGCTATGACGTATAAAGTTGAGGATCTGCAGGAAGTTTTAGCATCAACTGCGGAGACAGACACATCCAGTATCATCCGACGCCACGCCAACGGAACCAGTTCAAGACGTGTAATTTACCGTACATAGACAAGTACATTGATTTGATTAGGCGTAAAAAGGAGAGGGAAATCGAACGAAAAGAAACGTCCTCGTCAAGAGGCCGTTCCGGGGACACTCAGATATGCGGCAGGCAGCGGAGGAACGGGCGGCACCGCATCGGCACCCTCCGCACTCAGATCATTCACAGGCAGAGTCCTCCTCCTCCTCGGTAGCGGACGCGCTTCAGCAGATCCGGGCATCGGGAAGAAGTACGGCGCCTGGTACGGCTGCGTCCGAAGGGTCTGGGATCGCTTGGGTACGAGCGCAGGCCGGGGAGGTGACGAGTCGGACGAGGACTCGTTGGAGGTCCTTGCCGACGGCTCGTGCTCGGAGGCGGCGGTATCCATCGCAATGTGCGAGCGTCTTCGGGGGAGGAATGGCGCGAAGACCTGCGACTTCGACCGAGCCGGCGGCGTTGATCTCCGCCCTTCCGCATGTTCTGCAGCGTCGATCGTCAGCGCGCAACAGCAACGCAAAAAGCTCATTCTGTGGTACCTTTGGGGCCAGCACCGGGCATGCTGGGTGATCTTCGCACCTTCTTCTCTGCTCTCGCTCCCGAGTCGCTCATGCGAGCCGTGCCGGCTGCAGATCGGTCGACGGATTTGCGTCTTGTGACAGGGGCGGAAGAATCATGGGTCGAAGCCCAGGGTGCAGGGGACGTGGGTGTAGAATCAGATCGCCGTCGGCCAGTGCGACGAGCAGCCTTGCTGGTCGTCCGCTGACACTCGTCTTTCCCCTTCCCAGACTGGTCATCGGGAGTAGTCGAGGATCCCGACTCGCTTGAGCTGCCATTCGAAGCACCTGACATTGTCGTTTCGAGATCTTTCGGCGTACTACGAGAGTCAGTCGCCGGATGTTTCCTCCGTGCACTGGGCTTGCGGATCGGGTACGGATGAGACTGCGCATCCAGGACCGGGCGGTGGAAAAAGAGCAACATGCGAAGGAGCGTCGACAGGACGCTCTGAGGATAGGATGATCAGTTCGATCCCGATAGACGAGAAGAGATTGTGCGCACCAGCGTAAACCCCACCGAGGCGATGATGAAACCAGCCGAAGTCAAAAACGTTCCTCGAGAGCGAATGTCCATCGTGCGTTAGTATGTGAGGGCCGGGACTCGACTGTCAAAGCCAGAAGTAGGGAGGTCCAGCCCCATCTTCCCGGACTGCATATATAGCGCAGCCGCTGATCAGTTTCGCATTGGTATCAAATTACTGCGTGATCTTGTCGTCAACGCAGCGGCTGTCCGATGTCAGCTCCGAGGCTGTTGCTGTTACTGCTGATGTCCGCGATGCCGTAAAAGTGCGTATTGAGAGTGAATCAGACCAAGTTTAGAGTTGGACGATACTAGGAAATGACGGCTACGCCGGACATGAACGCAGCGGGGCTCAACAATTGAGGCTCGCAAAGAAGAGGTCGGTGATATCCGAAGGAGAAGGAACAGAGATGCGCCGAACAGCGACAGGAACAGCATGCTCTGCGTTCAATCGACTGGGGTGCCATGACATGATGGCTCATGATGGTCATGGTTGAAAGTTCCTAAAACCATGAATGACCGCGGCCGTCACGTTGTGACAAGCGCGTCTACGAGCATGACGTCGTTGATACTGCGATGGTTTTCTTCTGACAGACTCGACGCCGTAAACTTGGGCGCGCAAAGCGTTCAACGAAGGTTCCACTCTCAACGGCTCATCTCGGACGCCACATATGGACGGAGTATGGATATGTGATCATAATCTATCCAACACGGCGCACTATCTCCTCTCCATCGCATTCTCAAACCCTCGAATGCTCCGTGTTGCACAGCGGTCGCATTAATTCTCCGCTTTGAGAATCAACGTGTTCTGGTCTGAAGCGTTCGGGCCTCTATTCGAACTCTAGATTCGGCTGTGGATTCGCAGGGTGGAGCGCCCAATGAACAACAGAGATGGCATATGGAAACCTATGTACATATTGAACCACCGATGGTAGACTTCTAAAGCTCTTGGGTCACTAGACGGGCTCCAAGACGATCCGGTGCTCTGACTACTATTGTTCTAGGATCGCATGGTGTTCTGGGTAGATCTAATCTGCGCCTGGGAGCTTTTTTGCGCCGCAATGACACGCATGCATTCCGTCGCCCGTGTCCTGTCTGTGACGATTCGGCAACTTGGCTCATCCATACAGTTCTCCTCTGTGGTCCTGGACCTATCTCAACGATGCAAAAGCTGGCGATAGGCAACCAACAACGGATCTGGAGAATTTTGGGCTCATCTTGAGACATATCACCGACTCCGATGAGTATGATAGCCTGCGGAATTTGTGAAGGCCATACGGCGGTTCCTTAGTCGAGAACTTCCTTTGAAATGGCGAGCACAAGATTCCTGCAAGCCTTACTATGTTTGCTCCGAGGAAAGATCCATAATTACGAGAAATGAGTTCATTGACTTATCACAGGTTCTGCTACACAATCAAACCCCGCGGTCCTTGACATACTTGTCGACTTCCTTCTTAAGGGTCTCCTTCTGCACCAGCGCCCGCTCCATGAGATCCTCACAGCCATCCAGCTCGCGGCCCGCGCCGTCCCAGACGGCCTCCATCTCATTCAGGACTGCGAGCAGCTGGTTGGGCAGCCAGGTCACGATCGGGCTGCCTCCGGTCGCGGTGGGATGCAGCGTCTTCTTGAGGATGTACTCGCGCGTGAAACACCAGTGCCGCCACCGGAAGTCGCGCACCTGGTCCAGAATGCGCAGGTACGCCGCGGCGGACTCCGGGTGGGCGAGCGCGTAGTGCTTCAGGTTGAGCGCGCGCGAGCGGTCGTGGACGTACTCGAGGAACTGGCGGTGGTTCCCGGGCCGGTACGCTCGGAAGTCCTTCAGGATGGCAGTCAGCGGTGTGGACGGCATCGTGATCTGGAGCAGATTGTCGCAGAGCGGGATCATGCTGTCGTTGGCGCCGGACTCGCCGCGGAACGAGAAGGGCTCGCCCGAGACGCCTTCATAGATGACGCCGTTGGGGAACATGGACTGCGAGGTGATGCCGAAAATGAATGTGCGGAAGGAGGTGTACTCGGTCGCCTTGGACTTGCCCCACATCTCGTCCATGACTTTGTTGACCACGGACATTGCTCGCACGACTTCCTCGAGTCCCTCGACGAAGGAAGCGCGGTCGTCCGCAGCGCAGGAGTCGAGAGCGCTCATCACCCCGGCGACGAGCGGACCAGAGTTGCGGACCATGTCGATGTGGACTAGCACGAAACCAGCCTCGGAAGACATCGGGTCCAGTCCGCGCTCGAAAGCGCGGATGAGACGGAGATTGGAGTACTCGAGACCCTTGGTTGGATCGACGAGGTGGTAGTTGAACAACGCATAGGAGCCGGCATACTCCATGAACGGCTTGAAGCCAGCGCTGCACTCAGATCAGCATCCAGGCAGTATTCAGAACCAAGGACCGACGCACATTTCCGCACATCGGGAGATGGGGATGGCAATGTTCTTGGGCAGGACCTCGCGCCCCAGCCCGTATTCGCCGTCCTTGACGAACCGCAGGTGGCAAGGCTCGAGCAGATAAGCAGAAGCAAGGAAGGAGTAGTCCCTGTAGAGTGCGTTCTGCAGCGGCAGGTTGGCTGCGTACTTCTCGACCGCCCACGTCAAATCGGGAAGCTCGTTCAGCACAGTCTCGCCGAGCATGCCGCGTGCGAGCAGCCCGGGCGAGCCATCGAGCGTCTGGATCGGCATGCGCGCCAGGATCGACTCGAGGGCGGCGAACTCGGCCGGCAGGTCGACGACTGGCTCCGCACGGGGCAGAAATCCGCGCGTGGTCGAGACCATGAACGCAGGAAGCGTGGTATCGTCAGGGCGGGTGTCGTTCAGCACAGTGAAGGTCTCGGAGGACATAATGTTGTAGGTGATGTAATATGCGCATCCGATACCCGTGTGTGTTCTTATATACCTGCGAGACTCAAGACGATGGGCCTTGTTTTGGTAGGCCGGCTGACTGACTGGGAGGGCACGCGCGACAGAGGCCCGCTCCTCGGGCCAGGCCCGTGGGGGTCGGGCCTCTGTTGGCCCGAGTTCAACGGGCCTCCCCCGCTTGGCTTCTTGTTTCGCGAAGATAAGTACTCGAGAAATTGTCAAAGATTGATTGCAACACACGGGCGGATCCTGAATAAAAGGGGCCGTGAGTACTAGCCACACAGACGGAGACATTTGCGACCGATCACGAGTCTTTGTCTGAGACTCTGGGAAAGTGCATGAACAGCTTGAAACAGGATGTGATAGGCGCATAAATAGTGGACTCAATCGCTTCAACCAAAAAGTCGGGATTACCATTCGAGACGTCTATCATCATACAAGACTCGTCCACGTGATCGTGATCCATCTTGCCTGCGGCCAACCTGAACTTCGAATCAGCGCCGACCTGACAGTGTGACATGCTCAGAGCCCACGTCCTATGGCCCAGGTTACGTTCCACGACGCGGATACGACTGCCACATGCTCCCCAACGCCAATTCGGATCTTTCTCCGTGATCCTACCTGAAGAACCGTTCATCTACGGCGTGAAGCACCTGCAGCCGCGGCACGTCCCTGCCCACATCACCCGGCCCGCGTACGCCGGCGCCCCCGAGCAGCAGCGCCCGCCTGAGGACGTGGGTGGGAAACTGCAGCTCGGTGGTGATGCGGAGAGGCGGCTGAGAGCGGCGGCACGGCTCGCGCGCGACGTGCGCGTGTTCGCGGGCTCGCTTGTGAAGGTCCGTTGTCAGTCCTCGATCTGCATGTGGGATTTCGGCGGATGAATGGAATCTCGATAAGCCTGGCATCACGACGAACGCCATCGACGCGAGGGTGCACGAGTACATCCTCGCGCATTCGGCGTACCCGTCTCCGCTGCTGTATTCTGGGTTTCCGAAATCATGCTGCACAAGGTGTGGAATATGCTATGTACACGGCAAACCGTCCTCAGGCTGACCCTGCGAATAGTGTCAACAACATCATTGCACACGGCATCCCTGACGAGTCAGCTCCAGTGCCTTCCGGGTGAAATGCACTGAGATCCACGCAGCCGGCCGCTAGAAGACGGAGACCTGGTATCCATTGACATCACCGTCTACCTTAACGGGTATCACGGAGACACCGCGGAGACATTCTTGGTCGGAGACGTGGTGAGGCGGGCGGCGTTCATTATGTCTTGCCCGCACCGCATTGAATGATGCCGCCTGACAGGATGAGCCCGGGAGGGAACTGGCGCGCCTGTCCAGCGCAGCCACAGAGGCGGGCATCCGCGTCTGCGCGCCCGGACGAAGGTTCAGCGATATCGGCGCGGCGATCTACGAGTCTGTCCGGCACACGGAGCATTCCGTCTCCCCGCAATTCACAGGGCATGGGATCGGCACGGAGTTCCACCGCAAGCCGTGGATCATTCATGACAGTGCGTATACGGGGTTCTACTTCGCATGGAATGGTTTTGCTGGATGGATTCCCCGCAGGGAACGGCGAGCCCGGGATCATGGAGCCGGGGCATTGCTTCACTATCGAGGTCGGTGTTGCTTTGTGACGCAATTCGTCTTCCGTTTTCACACCTTCACAGCCGTGCATCGTCCAAGGCAAAGAGCCGACATGCTGGGTCTGGCCGGATGGATGGACCGCGTCGACTGAGGATTGTGCAAGGAGTTGTCAGACGGAGCATATGGTTCTCATTACTACCGATGGGGCGGAGGTTTTGACTAGATAGATTGTGTCAACGAAGAGACCAGATAAAAGCTTCGACATCAGGACACACAGGTCCGGGTGGGAAGATGTTAAAAATTCCCGCTAGCCGATTTGAACGACTGACCTCGTCATTACTAGTGACGCGCTCTACCAACTGAGCTAAGAGGGATGTCCTTGGACGGAAATCTGTTAGTATATTCTCAGTGAATTCATTGGGTCGAACTCGAGGTGTTGTTCTCATTCCGGAGTGGCAGTGCACACGCGTCTAACAACCACGCGCATCTTCAATCCTATTTAAACTCATTTCTCATCCGACATTCTCTTCCTTTACCACGTAACTCAATGTCCGCACCACCCCCACCCGAACGTAAATTCCGCTTCCCTCCCTTCCCCGATGTCCCCGAGGGAGTCACGATCACACCCTTCGCGCAGTTCCAGCAGTCCGGGATCTGCACGACGATTGGCGCGGACGGGGTGGAGCGCGATGCGCTGGGAATCCCCACGATCGAACTGAGGAGCAAAAGCGACGCTAAGACAAGCGATGCGGGCGCGGGCGCGCCGCTGCCCGGACTCAAGGTGTGGTGGGAAGAGTGGGACGTCGCGGAGAACACGAGGACGTGCGTGTACGATGAGTGCGCAGACGTTCCTTGTGTTGTTTTGTCGAGAGATGATGACGTTGCGCGTGTAGGAGTGAGGCTGCGGCGAATCGATTGCAGCAGGCCGCGACGGACTTCACCAAGTACGCCTCTCATCTCCTGCGAACAATGTTTGAATTTCGCTAGGTCGCGTCGGTGGCCCCTGCCCTCAACTAATCTCGAACATTCATGGCACCAGGTATGTCGCTACGCGCGCGCGCTTTCTGTCTTTCCTCCCTGGTGACATTTTACAGTTTAGAATCTATGCAGGTCTCCTCACACCGCAGCCTACCTTGAAAAAAACTGTTCAGATGTTCAACGCCGGAGAAGCCGACCAAGACGATGGTGATGGCGATCCGGAAGGCGGGCAGGACGACCAAGACGACCTCAGAGCCGCGGATCAGGCGCCACCGCAAACGTGCGAAACGGACCGTCCCTCGCCTCACGCGTCATCCGAGTTGTCCGGGACGGATGCCCCACAGAAAAAATCCCAGGAGCAGATCCAGAAGCTTCTTGAAGAGGCACGTTCCAGAAAGGACGAGACATTGGCACACTTCCTGGGCGATCCCGCGCGCGCAATCCGGCTGTTCTTGTCTTCCTGGATGAAGTACCAGGGGTTATGCTAGTGAGTGCCTCTGCCGCTGGGCCTTTTTTTGGGGGATCTCACGCAGACGATAGCTACGAACCGAATCTAATCAACACGCCGCGCCTGCTCCATTTCTTCGTGCGCTATCTTCGTCGGAACCGCGTGCTTCCGGACAAGACCTCTGATCGCAGCCTTGCCCAGGCCATGGAGATCATCGATACAGCGCTCATGGAACTACCCCTTACTTCGAAAGTCTCTAGGGAGCTGAGGGACGCGTTCTCTCGAGCGTGTAGTGCGCAGTGGGGTAGCAAGGAAGAGAACCTGTGGGACTTACTGGGTCATGATCCCTTCGAAAAGCTCAGCGACGCACCGAACGAGGTGTTCAGCGACGAGCCGAACGACGGGCAGGCCCTCCTCACGAACGAGGACATCGAGGTGATCGCCGAAGAAGCTGCGTTCGATCCGAGCTCGTTCTATCCGGAGGCCGACGAGGACCCGCATCTGGCCTGGGCGGACCCCTTGCCGCGAGTCACGCTCGAGTCCCTGGTGGGAGCGGCCGGTGTCGGAATAGCTTCTACACACACGGCGGGTATGGTTGAGCGCTCGATGCGCCGGGTTCGCCAGATCCTCGAGCCCGTACAGAACGTGCCGCCGCCTAGCGCACCGCTGGACGGCCCTGGGCCAGTCCCGGACGACGTCGAACGCGCTTTGGAGGGGCGCCTGTGGCGGGTCGTGCTGGAGCCGTGGCCGAATTGGGATGGCGAAGAAAGCTCGGATGTGTTGGCGGAGCCGGAGACTCTGCGCTGCTCACAGGAACCGCTCAGACTGAAGCACTCATTCGATGGGGACATCACGATCCTTGTGACTGCAGAGTCTGCTGCGCTTTTGCGTGTCGGGATGGGTGTTGGAGGAATTTGGGTTCAAATGGCCCGCCAGGGAGACTTCGAAGAGGAAGATCCCACCAAGAAAAAGAAGCTGACCAAAGCCCAAAAGGAGAGGCTGAGGCTGCGCTACTGGTATGTTGAAGATGTCGCAAATGTTCTGCCCAGTTACTGGCTTGTTTGATTGTTCATTATCATCCACTCGCTCATCGTTTAGTTCTGTATATGCTTTGCTGTATCTTGCCACCCTCGCCAAATCCTGTATCGACAACGGAAACCGAATAAATGAATGTACATTGCATTCCGCTTGCTCCGGATGTGGCTTGACAATACCATTATCTCTACGCAGTCTCTACTGCTTCTAGCGTCTCAGCTCGGACTTGAAGAAGGGTCCCTTGTGAGGTTGGGGAGGACTTTCCATCTGCATCATCTCCAGGAAATCGTAAACAATATCCGCGGCAGCAATACCCGTGATATCCGCTGAGGGCAGCATTACAGAGATTCAAGATGAAGAGGAAGCACACTAGACCCACCATTGTCATATGCCGGAGCCACCTCGACGACGTCAGCACCGCTGTACAACGACCCCCAGTCAGTGCATGATTGGAAAGCACCACCGGTTGGCAACTTACACGAAGTTGAGCCCCGAAAGCCCTCGCAGAATGCGCTTCACCTCACGAGTTGTCCAGCCACCTGTCACTGGAGTCCCAGCTGTGCCGAAAGTCGTAAGAGGAGGGGAAAACCAGGATTTCACCTCTACTCACTCGCGGGGGCCTGGCCAGGGTCTATGAGGATGAGTGAGTGAGAGACAGTAGCCAGGGATGAGCCAACGGACCAACAACGTCAATGTCGAGGCTAAGGTCATCTTCAGACATATTGCTTCCTCAGGCCACGACAATCTCGCTTACCTGAGATATACTGGACTAGATCCAACTCGCTGGCGGATCTTCTTGATAACCATGTTGATGCCCCAGTCGTCGATGTCCTCAGTGGACACAATCTGAAATCCGACCGCCTCATCGTTTTGGACGTCCTCCGGTCCCTGCGCAACCTGTCAAGTTGTGCCAGCTAAGAGGAATGCATGGACCCACACGCATCTCACACCGAATCCCAGCATGGATGCTTGTGTTGCGAATCAGGCCCTCCTCGCCAGCGATGTGGAAGAACGTTCCGTGGGTGATCCGACCCTGTGCTGAGCTGCCTGGCTGTGGCTGCCAAGTGTCCAAGTGCGCGTCAAAGTGGATCACGCTGAGAGAGCACCGGTTAGAGAATGAAACCAAGGGCTGGGGAACGGGCTAACCTGACGGGTCCATAGACCTTGTTCAGGGCACGAAGAATGGGTAGGACCTACCAGACCCATTTAGACCCCGAACCATCTGCCAGAGGGCGAAATCTCGAACAATTGTATGATCACCGCCAAGGGTTACCAGCCTCGGATGCTCGTTCCCATCGAGTGCGAGATGCGCAGTACTTGGCCTGTACTCAGCCGACACGCCGCCCTTGACCTCACGTGAGATCAGGGTGTAGTATGCGGTCTCCATCTGGTCAATAGCCATCATATTGTCCGTGTTCGCCACAGGTACCTGCATCCCAAAGCTCAGATCAGCCGCGCCCTACACGGTAACCAGGAAACCAGGATCGCTGCGCACGAAATGCCACCCGACATACATCACCGCAGTCCAAGATCGAAGCGCCCTGCTCGACGGGACTCACACCGCCCCAGGCCAACGACCCGCGGTCCAACCCCTGCCTGCGCGACCCCGCGCGGATCCCAAACGGCCCGAACCGCGCGCCGGGGCGGTACGACGTCGTCGTATCGAACGGCATGCCCAGCAGCCCGATGTCGAACGCAACGCTGCCGTCCTCGAGGCATCGCGTGTATGGGACGTGCGAGAAGCTGAGGGGGCCGGTGTACCCGATGTCGGGCTGCAGGCCGTACTTCTGCGCCCAGGGCTCGTGCGAGATGTCGACGCCGTCCTGCATGAGGCGTTGTTGCCCAAGCGGTCGCTGCTGCGAGTAGAAGAAGTCCGACTCCTGGTGCGCCTGTGCTGTTGCGGACAAGACGAGTGTCAGGAACGCGGGGAACGCGCCGGTGAGGATCATCGTGAAGAGTAGGAGAAGGGGGAGAGAAGGACACCGTTCGGTCGCGCCGCGCTTGGAGTTATCAGGCTCATTTTGCTTCCACCGCGTTATCTGTGTTATCGGCCTGCGCAGGACAGTGACAAGTTGGCCGCGGCCGCAGATAAATCACGTGCGAACTCTCCGCTCACGGCAGCCATCAATCCCGCTTTGACCATCTGAGCACAGCATCCCTGCCCCCAGTAAGCGGCAGTTCAACAGCGTCAATAATATTTGTATTCCATTCCAGTTGCAAAGAAAGTGATCTATTTATATAAGAACACACGGTCAGCGCCAAGCACAGTCCGAGGCGGCACTATACTACAAACCAAAAAAACGAGTGTGAGCGTGTGTTGTTTAAACGACGATACGATAGTGGTGACGGAGGGTCGGCATAGGGAGGGGGTCATATACTTACAGATTAGCGAGGGGAGGAGAGGAACGAAAACACCTTCTCCGCATTCTCTTTGTACTTCTTCAGCTTTTTATTCTTCACTTCCACTGTCACAGGAGACCCGTGCACGCCGTTCTCGCCTGACGAAGTGCTCATCGCGCCCATGGACATCGCGGACTCCTTCGACCGGAGCGACGGGCTTTCGTGCAGAGGAGTCGAACCCGACGGGGTGAGCAAGCCACCGCTGGACGATGATGCGGACAATGTGGCAGAGTTCGACGCGCTCAAGCTCTTGGCCGTCGAAGTCATCGACGAGAACGACGATGGCGGAGCCGGAGACTTGGGCCGCAGGAACTGGCGCGGGTTTTTCCGGAACGTGAGACCTGCTCCCGTCCGACCACGTCTCTGTGAAGGACTGGGGGAGTCGCCCGCTTCGGAGGTCTGCTGCGACATCCCAGAAACAGATCTGGGCCCCGGAGTCGACGCCTTGCGGAATACAGCGAGCCTGTATTTGTCGACGACTCCACGGGCAAACAAGCTCGTTCCCTTCGCTCCATTCCGGTCTTCGCCGTCGACAGCGTCAATGAAGTCCCAATCGTCGTCTTCATCATCGTCTTCTTCCTCCTCTTTCTCGGTCGCTTCTTCGTCGAGATGTCGATCCAAAGCGGGAACACCCGACTTTTCTCTCCTGGCTCGTGTCGCACGGACCGGAACGCTCTTGACTGGTTTGGCCAGCACTTCGGGCTCTTTCTCCGGCACTGGTGGAGGTGGCGGCGGCGGAGGCTGTGTGTCTTTGCTCTCGCTTGGCGCCGGCTCTACCGGCTCTACTGGCTCAGGGACCGGCTCCTCAGCACGTGGCTCCTCTTCGACGACAGCCGGCTCGGACGGCAGCTCAGGAACTGGCTCAGAAGGAACAACTGGCCGCGCTTCCGGCGTTTTCGGTTCAGGAACATCGAGTTCGACAGTCGGTGTGTCCAGCTCCATGCCAAGATCCTTCAAGATGGAGGAGTCCTCGTCCTCCTCTTCGTCACTGCCATCCTCAGCGCTTCCATCGCTGTCGTCGTCGTCATCGTCCATGAGCACAGAATGCCGGCCCTTGAACGAGTAGCCGTCAAACACGTCCACCGTGTCTTCTTCTGGCGTGCCAGCGTTGATCGGTGGATGGATTGATGAACTACGAGATTGGGACGGCGTTGTGTTGGACTCCTCTCCGTCAGTCGGTTCTGGATCCGTTTGAGGCTCCTGGTCGGTGTCAACATCATCGTTGATGTCGTCCAGCACAGGCTCCATGTCGAGGAATGTATCATCGAAGTTTTGGGTGTCGCTCGCATTGGATGGATCAATCGGTGGAATGTAAGGTGCTTCGGAGATGCCTCAGAAGGTTTTCAATGAGTAGAGAAGTCCAAGGCTTACGGATATAACGCTTATAATAAACATGAGACCAATCTCTGCAGTTGTGGTTAGTCAGCATATCTTGTGAAATGTCGAGCGGCGCACATCATGGAGAAATAAGGATGCCGCTTGATTCTGGGTTCACAAATGCGCAGAGCGGGATTCCGTTGCAGTAGCTGAACGAACCTGTCAGCTTTGCAAACAAAAAGAAGATAATAAACCCCACCCCACGGATGAGACTCTTAGTATCCTGATCGATCGCTCGGTCGTCCGGGAATTGCAGTTCGTCTTGGAGCACACGAACATACATGTCCGAGTGGTTGTTGGCCCAGAAAGGAGTCTGCCCGCATCGGTCAGCATTGGCTTTACGTGAATCACAAAAGCCCCTCGCACAATTCCCGTCAACATCTCGTACAGCATCGTGCCAAAGCTCCACCAGTCGACTTCGTAGCTGTACGAAAGCCCCTGGATGACCTCGGGGGCGAGATATTCGGCGGTGCCACAGAATGTGGTCGTAGTATCCGCTGCCTGGCCGACGGGTTGGCCAGGCCACCCAGCAGCGAGTTCACCATCCTTGTCGGGCCGCATCCATGGTGGGGTAGCGGGTAACGAGGATCCATTCGCAGCGGTCACAAATTCACCGCGCGACCCAGTCGGCGTCGCAGGGGCCGTAGCCGAAGCCAAACGACGCGGGAACTCTTTGGACAATCCGAAATCTGTGAGCACGATATGGCCGTCACCGCCAATGAGGATGTTCTCCGGCTTCAAATCACGATAGATCACGCCGGCAGCGTGTAGTCCTTCGACTCCTTCAACAATCTCGGCGGCATAGAACCGTGCTCGGTCTCGCCCCAGACGACCCCATCGTGCAAGTTGAGTCGCAAGATCACCCCCTGGATGGAAATCCATGACTAGAAACAGGTTCTCTTTGTCGTGGAAACTCCACCAGAGTTTGACAACAAAGGGATCCCGGTTCTCAGCAGCCATGCGTTTCAGCACGGCCTGCTCAGTCAGGGTATGCTGGAGCTCCTGGTGAGCCAGCACATGCCGTTTCGTGATAGCCTTGAGCGCGTAGAGATCCGTTGTGGTTTTGTGCCGCACGAGCAGAACTTTACCCGCACACCCCTTTCCAAGAACTCGCATCATCTCAAAGTCATCAATCGCAACCTTTCGAGTGCTCTTCCGCGGCTCGCTGCGGATCTTCTTCTTCGAGCTACGCTTTTTCGGGGCGGTGTGACCAGTCGTGGACACAGACGAATCATCCTCGGCTTGGGATGAGGTCTGCTCTTCCACATCAGTCTGATCATCGTAGATTCGTGAGATGCGGGAGGACTTGTCAGGGTCGGCAGAGTGTGATCGGTGGATGCGAGTAGGTTCCGTGATTGAAGCGGTTTCTTTGCTTGATGCTTTGGTTGATGCTGTCTCATCTGCATTCGGCTGCGATTCCACTGTAGCATCCTCCTCGGCGGTAGCCGCAACATCACCGGCCAACACCGGCTGCTTCTCAGGCGACGGCTCGACCTCTTCATGTAGCGACGGTTCGACCTCGGCAATGACCTTCTCGACCTTGACGTTCTCCTTCTCCATGCCGCGCATTTTGCCGCCCGTGTGCGAAGCCAGATCACTTCGCACTCGTTTGATCGCACGCTCCACCCGAACGCTCTCCAGATCATCTGTTCGCACCCGAACGAACCGCTTCCAGACACGGGCCTGTCTCATGGCAGGGGTGTTACTGATGGTCGTCAGATACGCGGCAACCGCTGTGCTCGTGCCGGAGACCGGAAGCTCGGGCGTCGTGGGGCCGTCGCTGGGCCCGAACGACAGGAAAGGGTCGCTCGCCTCCGCCTGAGGCGTCGTGTTCGCCGGGGAGGTGCCATTGGTTGCACGGCGGGTGGAGGACGACGCGCGTGACGCGCGGTTTGAGCTCGGGGACGCGAGGCGTGATAGAGTGCTCAGGAACGCGGAGCGCCCCTTGCGCTTGGTGGGCGCCAATGCGTCGATTGGGAGATCCGGGAGCTGCGCAGTCGGGTAAGCTTCGCGCAGTTTGCGGTCGAGCTCGACAAGCTCGACGGCGGTACGAGTGAGCGTGAGATTATGTGTAGGGGCTGTAAAACGGTAAAGATCTACAGATATTGTCATACGCGCAGAAGGACGCACTCTTGATGTACAAGCTGTACGAACGCGGTTCATCTGCATTCTCTGCGACACTGACACTCCACGGCCCGTCCTGGGCGTTGAGGCGCACGGGCGGTCGTCGAGTGGCGTTTTCCATCGTGTTTGGGTCGGTGGGAATATCGCCGTCGATGAAGATGAAATCGGCCTGAGTGAGAGGGGTTCTGGGCTTGCGGCGGGGGTCAGAGACCGTGCTGAACTTGGTGGGGGAAGTGATAGCACTGGGCATGCGGCAAGCGAACACCTAAAGCATGCACAAAAAGTGGATGGCCACGAGGTTGTTTGCAGTCCTGCTGCCTCGAGGCAGAACACTCACGGGGGGAGCCAACTGTTTTGGTCGACCAGTGGATCGACTCGGCTCTATAAACAGCTCCGGGGTGCAGAAAAGACGGTGAATGAGTCAGAAGCAAGAGTAAGTAGGGTAGTGGGAGCCAAGTGGGAGGAATCCTGTAATATCCTTGTTTGGCCGTGTGATGTGAAGCTAATGATCCTTTGACCGTCCCTCGTCCAGCCCAGTAGAACCTTTTGGCAATGCTGACCACCAGCATTCCAAACATCCTGACGTCCGAGTCCGCCGTAGCTACCAGTGCTATCCCCGCTGTCCCGTGCCACTTTGGAACGATTGACGGCCGGTACGATGTACCTCCACCTATGATGTACATCCCGCCGTCTGTCCATCTGAATACACGTCCGGATTTGCCCCCCTCAAGCATCGGACCCGTGAGACTTCGGATCTTCAGACGGCACGGCTTGGCAAACAGTGAGCAGGAGCAGCCGCCCCAGGGCTTCGGGACATCCTTCCATTCACCGTGGGTCGAAGCTATCATCTACATGCCCACAGGATAGGCTGGGCCAGCAGAGTACTCCAGTTGGAAACAAACATTCCTCTTCTCGCGACCCGCCCACCGTTCCCGGTAATCTCGGACTCGTCTGAGGCAAGAAGACGCCATGGACTAAGGTTGAGTACAAAAAGAAGAGCACGCATCCGCCCTGGTTATATCCGGCGTAGATCGGAGGAGTAAGGAACAATTGACCGACTTTCATTCGCGCGGTCTCGAGGATGTCAATGGGCTTCAGCAGCTAAAGCTCAGAGGAACACTCTGGCCCGTCGATCACTACCATCTCAGGTTTCTCCCAGTTCCACTGCAGATCAACCCACGTCCGTCTAGACCTAAGTGGTGAGAGGATAGCGTTTATATTCTGTGGCTGTGGCAAGGCTCTGGTCCTGTGGCGAAATTCTGAGAAGGCCTAGCTCAAGTTGCTTACCATCGACCTCAAGTTCAGCTTCATGACGGCTTTCAATCTCGAAGTTCCCATGCACTTCACGTCTTATACACCCTGGGCTTCGGATTCTCTCCCAAGTCACCTAAACAGGACGGCCTCTTGGGCTTAGGGCCATGCTCTCTGGGCCTCGAATTGATGGGCCTCTGTCACGCGCGATTCCTTAACGACGGCCTTCAGCTCAGTTGCATCCTCCATCTCCATCTCCATCTCCAATCCGAATCCGAATCACATCAACAGTCGCCACTGGAACCGGCATCTCGTGATTCTCGTCGATCAAGGCTATGTCCAAATGATCGACGAGTCTAGTACCGCCACCATCCTCCGCGAATAATACTCACCCCGTACCTGTGAGTTGGTGCTTTCTGGACCATCAAGCCCTCATCTCGGCTGACGCTCTATCACAGCTCGCAAACCAAGACCGGGGTTCCTAGTCATTCTAGCTTTTACTCTCAGGACTTTCGTCATCCTGCTCGTCCTTCTCTGGCTACGCCATTTGCGAAAAGGGATGACGTCAACAGCCAAGCGCAGGCCGCAGATGAGGAGGAAACCTGTCCGAAAGAGTTCAACGTCGTCGTTCTTCCTCGTTCGGCAGTCGGACATTGACTCTGAAAGGGGTTGGTTGCAAGAGGATTGGTTCAATCTTAGGGAATTCTCCCGCCGCGCCAGGCAAACTCATGAGTGGTTCGACAAGATCAATCATGTGGGGAAAGGTCGTGCGATCTCCTTGGGCACCGTAGATATGGGAGCTCTATATATACATTGGTATTGAGCCCTGCATCGCTTTCCTGGCTCAGTTGGTTAGAGCGCCAGTCTCATATTGTATATGAGTGATGTTGCATCATTAATCTGGAGGTCATGAGTTCGACCCTCATGGAGAGCATTGTTTTGTTGCGCTCGCAACCGGTCATCATCCTGTTCTTATTTTACGCACTCCTTTTACATTCAACTTCCGTCAATCAAGTATCTGTTTGGCTGAATTGACTGTCGCTCTACCGTGCGCTCGCCCCGAATGAGATTCCTAATGTCGTACATCTCCCGATATTATCGATTACAGCACATCCGTAATCCTCTCGCGCAGCGCTCACGGACACGACCCTATCGCATCCGTCTCCCCGGCCCTTGCTCTGCCTCGTCCAGCATATCCAGCATCTCCTCCAGCGTCGCAGGAAACACAGCCAGGCCCAAATTCGACGGCACGTCGAGCGCGGGATCCGTGTGTCGACGCATGGCGGGGAAGAACGACGATGCCGGCGACGCGGTCTGGCGCGTTTCCAGAGCCGAGGATTCTCGATCGAGACGAGATACGTGGCGGCGGTGGTGGCGCCGCCGACGGAAGATCAGGAGGACGAGCGCGGAGACGAGGATGAGGACGAGACAAAGGAGTGCCCCGCCGACGGCTGCTATTGCGGTGATATCTCTGTGCGGCGGGCCACTGCTCGCGAGACATATTCAGTTACCTTAGCTGTCGCAGAAGTTGGAACTCACGAGTTCGGCTGGGATTCGACGAGGGGAGGTGTTTGCGTCGCTTCGGATGATGCTGTGGTGGGGACCGTTGTACTGAAAGCCGTATCTGCACCCAGATCGCTGCCTGTACTTGGTAGGCCACGCGTGGCCGAGCTGACTAGGGTGGGGAGCAAGTTGATGAGACTCAGGCCCAGTGTCGGTGTTGCACTAGAGATTTGCGAGGTGAGGAAAGATGGGAGGAGTCCGAAAGCAGAGCCTGGACTGCGGACGCATATTGAGATCGCATACTACATCAGGGAGCCACTGCACGAACCTGCTTGGCAGAATGGCAACAGTCGTAATCTCTGACAAGAAAGTCGAGCCCGAGGCCCCAACAAAGACCCTGCACACCTCTCAACCTCCGTCACCCTCAGATACCTGACTGCGCCAACTCACTGTCCAACACTTGAAGAGGGTCGAGCAAGGGATCGTGTCGGACTCGGAGCCGGTGTGACTCCAGGATCGACCGATGGAGATCCTGCCGACCCCGGGAGTAGAGCGCTGGAAACGACCGTCGTCAGCGGCTGCCCAGTCTCGGGCCCGGGAGTCGCTGAGCTGGGCACGACGGTGAACGTCGGATTCGTGATCGTAACCGACAGGCGCAGCCCACCCGGGGTGAATAGCTGCCCAGGGCAAAGTACCGCTGAGGACGAGGCGAGAAGCGAAGATGATGACTGGCTCGCAGAGCCGCTAAGTGGAGGCAGAGATGGGGAAGACATGCAGAAAGAGGGAAGGGAATGACTAGTGCTACGTGGTAGCAGCAGAAGCAAGGAATGTGTGGGAAGGACTCGTTGAGCAGAGGAGATCATCCAGCGGTTCACGGCACTGGATGCATGTTCAGTGACGAGTGCTTGACGGGCCAAATGCCTGAAACGCGGTCCCATTCTCATGCATGACTCCCACAGGGAGGAAAGCGACCAGCTGTTGGTTTCGCAGATCAAGTGAGATGATACCCCGCGAATGCACAGCCAGCGTAGATGATCTGTCGAACACCTGGCTATACATAGCTCAAATGAACCACGCCGAGGCCGTCAGCGGCACCATCGAGCTCACCGCCGGGTCCACGTGCGTGCCGTCATCAGTCGACTCATACGCATCCCCAGCGGCACCAGCAGACAATCTCTCAGCCGACCCAGTCGTCTGGAGACGGCCTGCGACATCGGATTGGCGGCCCGGGAAGAACGATGAGATTGTGTTCTTGCGCCTCGGCGTCGATCGCGTATCCGGTCGGACCTTGGACAGGACCGCATGTCGGCGTTGGGCGCTGGGCTGGCTTCGCCGCCTGCGGATAACGAATAGGATTGCGAAGAGGATGTAGAGGAAGACCAAGACGGCTCCGATAACGAGTATGGCCATGACGGCCGGGACGTTCGTCTCGCTGTGCACGGTGAGCTCGGCTGTATATAGCAAGAGACTACGGAACTGACGCGGAGCCAAAGAAGTGAGGAGGGCTGGTAGAGGCAGGCAGAGACGTCGTGATTCCAGACGTAGCAGCTGAGCTTGGAAAAGGGAGTGCCGTCGGGTACTGGTCTGTGGTCATGAAAAACGCGCTGTTGGTTGACGTCTGGACCAGGTTTGGCGACACATCCGGTTCGGAAGAGAGTGTGGAGTCTGCCGCAGTCGACGGCGTTGCACTACTGAGGGTTAGAAGGTGCGATCCAAAGTCATTTGCCACTCGCATGAAAATGCTTTCGAGAGTCATCGAGAAGGAAGGATCAATATTGTCACCACTGACAAAGACACTTAGGACCCCTGGGACGAAGGACAAAACGCGCTACATGCCCCGGTCCGATACCCACAGTCTGCGACCCACTGCTCGTCGAGGTCAGAGCATTCGAGAGCGGCGCCGAGAGTGAATCCATCGGGGAAGCTTGCATTGTTGCTGAAGACAAGAAAGAGAGAGAGAGAGCAAGCGCGCGATACAAGTCCCAGACGGCCAACGACGGGCTCGAGTTTGTCCCAGAATTACCGGCGGCTTCCTTATGAGTAGCGAGCATTGACATGTCCAGGGCAGAACTCTATCGGTCGCAAATGTTGAGTGAAATGGGAACCGAGGAGACGCACGCAGCAGCAGCAGCAGCCCTCGAAACGGTTTCATAGGGTCGTCCAGTTCTCGCTCTAGTGGGTCGCCAAAGCAATGCAATGGGAAACCATGGGCGATAGGAAGCACGGGGGGGCGAAGATCCTGGAGGGAGTACGTCGTTATTCGGGGAAGCACTTGATAGCCTTTGATACTGTACGTAGCCAAGATGTCGGAGAAAGTATGGGGGCACGGAAAGGCTCAAAGTCATCATCATCTTGAAGGCTTGGGTATCGACGACCGTGGCCTGACACTGGGTTCAGGAACAGACCCTTCCAAGTTCTTCAACCCCGAAGCCATGTTGCGCTTCGATTACCACAAGTCCTTGGCTGCCACACATCAGATACGAGCGCGCCTGAGGGCTTTGCGGGGATTATACATAGATATTGTGGCAGTCTTCGGTACACTGTCAATCCCTGCCGCCCTGGACATCCTGACAGTGCAGCCCTCCGTGCCCGTTTTAGCCTGATGAATTTGGTGCATACGACGAACGTGAGGGCATGTGTCAGAGTTTTGCAGACAGCCGTTGAAAAGATGGACACTAGGCTGGACATGGACGTCGCAGACCGGGCTAGTTGGGTATCAAGGGTGGTTTACATGCAATGACATAAGCTGGTCGTGCACAGCCACGATATCAAAGATTAAGCTCGGCAAGATATTGTAGAGTGTACTTGATGTCCAATTCTTGCACGCTCTGTGATTGACACCGAGGTCTTCCGAGGAGCAGTATCAATACGATTCAAATCTCCTGTACGGCAAGGGGGAAGAGATACAATGCTGCTGATCAGTAGATACCGTGCCCGGAGCCGCCATCGAGGGTCCGGGCCTCCCAAATGCAACAGGCGGTAAGTAGAGGCCTGGAATCGTTAGACCATCCGAAAGGTCACCGACTTCGAGCGCGGCCGGCTGCGATCGACCGGTAGGACTGGCACGGTCCCGTCGCCGAAAGAAGTATGTATCAGAGCAGCGGGGACGAGGCTGCTACCAGAATTACGGAAGCTGCGTCCTGGATGTTCCCAGTCGTGCGTCCAACATTTTTGGGGGGGTCCGTTGAATTCGACGAAGGCACTTTGAACGTAGAAGGGGGTGAATCTGAATTCTGAAGGCAACAATGTCGCGGACGTCTCGGGGATGGAGACCAGCCGTTTCGATCTGTCCGCCAAATCCGAAGATCGTGGGGGATTTCAGGGCCAAGGTGACTTGGCTCTCGATCGCAGCACTTGCTTCATTTTAGTTCTCGAGCCATTTATGCTGAAGGTCTCAGACGACATGAAACGACTGCGTGCCGGAGGTGTTCCTTGAGGTGAACGAAAGGTTCGGGCTGCAGCAAGTACAAGCTGATTAGGACAGGGATGGGAGGGCAGCGAAGTTAACACCACTTCGGCAGCGAAAGGCGGAGGTCCTAGGATACCAGATCTTGACGCCACAGTATCCAGAGCGTTCGTCAGAGAAACAGAACCGACATTGCATACAGCGAGAAAGACTATGCGACTATCGCGCATGCGGGACGGTAGACTCGACCCACGTGTATTTGAGGCTCCGAGAGCGTGAGCGATGGTAGGGAAGACTCGGGGAGGTGCGATAGGATAGTCCACTGGCAGTTTCACTGGATTGTCGACAATGCCTGAAAGCAGCATACGCACAGCCACTACCTAAGACCCGAGTTACGGACAGTCCACCCACGTCAACCCCACCCCGGACACGTCACGTGCCCTGCCTTCGGCAACACCTGACAGAGTTCATCTCGAGTACATACATAGTATTGTACAAGTGAATAGTTTTTCTGCGTCTTTTTGTATTATTAATGACTGCAGTATCTATTCTGACTCGAAATATCATTAGAATGGGTCCGAAGACGTGACCCTCAAGCACTATTAATCATAGAATGAATAATATGAACGTTTCCATTAAAGCATCATTGACTAATGGTAAAGGCCGTGAACGGTTACATGTGCGCTTGTGTGGTCATTGGTTCGAAGCGCTCTTGCGTCTACTTTCCAGGTACTTTTGCTCGGGACTCGCGCGGTGCATTCATATGATTCTGCTTGGATTTTGGAAACCGAGCCAAGTACGGACTGGACTCCTTTGCCACCTCCGACTCGCGTCCTGTACATGCAAAAAATTTCTCCCTCCAGATCATCAATACCAAATATGTGCTTGTTGTCGGTCACAAAATTTGACAAATCAAAGGAGGGCTGAGCACAAGCAAAGGAAGAGAAAATACAACAGCAGTGAAACAGACACTTCAAAATGTGCTCAGATGGGCGAGAACACCAATTGAAATTCAAAATAAAATCGATTTGTTTTTATCATTGCTTTGAGTAAAGAATATAGTTGACATAAGAAATTTCCGCCGTGACTCGAACCCATGTCCCTTGCGGTTGGTCACGTGACGTGTCCGGGGTGGGGTTGACGAAGGGGGGTTGTTACGGACGCGATCACATTGGGGTGTGAAATTTGAATCAACAGAAACTCGAGGCAGTTTCTTCTTTTTTGTTTTTGTTTCTGTTTTCAGCCGAGAAGCGACGTCGATTTTTCGTGAACGCTATGAACCCAACCCAATAACAGATGTACTTATGTCACAACTTGCGAATCACAGATGAAAAAGGTCACGGGACCTAGGGCCAGTTGTCAACAAACGACGCGTCTCGTGTCTCGACTCTCTCCATCTCCGCTATGAATCAAGACGACTCCATCATAATTCCGTTTTCTCTGGACGAATACGGACCCATTCAACCAAGTTCCCCCGAGTGGGAGTTACCGAAACGCATGCGATTCTGGGATGGGCCCATCCGCGCGTTTCTTCGAGAGCAGGGCTACACGATGAATGAGTTCTGCTCGCTGGAGGATGAGGAACTCGATTCGATTGGATGCTATATGTTCCCTGTGACGCCGTGTCCTACAGGGAAACCCCGGGATCTCCGTTTCGCATCTATGGAACCGTCTCCCGCGGCAGCTTGGAGAGTCTTGTACGAGAAACCTTACTCAGAGTGCACCAGCGTAAGCACGCCAAATCGGATTCATTGCGCTCGCATGTTGAGTTCATTTCAGGGCAAGCATGTCTTTGCTCAAGAAACAGAGCATCCAGAGAATCATGTCGCCATCAAGCTCATCCGGCATGAGAGTCCGGAGCATCATATCATGAGGCTTTTGCAAGACGAAGCGAAAGGAGAGGCTACTCGCGGTCTGGTCCCCGTTCTCAAGCTTCTACCGTTTGGCGGTCATTGGCTTGCGGTCATGCCTCGGTGCGCGAGCCCATGTAACGGTTGTTTTTGACTGAGCGAATGAGTTTAGGTGGGGCAGCACCGTCGACAGTCCATGGCCCAAGACTATCGGGCAAGTACTGGATCGATTCGAAGATGCGCTTTCTGGCCTGGCTTATCTCCATGAGCGGAGAATTGTTCACAGGGTATGTTAATCACCCGACTTACCGTCAAGCGACTGCTCATCAATGTAGGACATCTCCAAGATGAATATGCTGGTGAATCACGTACCCTACAGCAACCAATTTTGGGAGGAACTATCAGATCCAATACGTCAGCGGATGAGGGAGGAGAGGGAGCTGAAGCTGGGTTTGTTCGATTACAATCTCTCGCTTGTCTTTCCGAGAGACACTCCCCTGGCACTGGCTCGCTCGCGTATCGAAGACTTTAACTTAGGCCGGTGGAAGTTCGACTTTGATATTGCGCAGGGCGAGTATCAATACAATCCCTTTGCCGTTGATGTTTTCTGCATGGCGTATTGCATGGGTCAAGGAATCCAGGTACGTGTGTTATTGTTCGGCCCATTCCTTCTGATTCCAGCTCTGCTCAGCATCTGGCACCCATCGCTCCGATACTCGCACCGATCATTGACGGCATGACACACTGGCATGTGCCGTCCAGATTGACTGCAGCAGAGGCCCTATCTCTCCTCCGGGATCTCAGAGCAGAGCACAATCCTATCATAGCACATCTGGCCGCGCCTACACTCGAGGAGATGGATTGTGGATATCCTTCTCTGATGGATTGCGACCGCTGGAAGGGACTCCCTGAAGAGTTCATCCACCGCTGGAAACATCTACGTACGCCGCCTATTCCACACCATATCCGCCTGCTCCGCCTCCTCTGCTCGTTCGAACCCATTTCCTTGTTCTTTCAAGCAGTCCGCTGCACAGCAGACCGTCTGCTCGGCAAAATGTACATATCCTTGTCAACCGTAGATATCCTATAGAGACTGGCTGCTTTTGCTTCAAAGCTGTTTGATTCGACGCGACTTTCCTTGACCTAGTCTTTTCTTTCCCCGTTGCGGAAGTTCTATGCCCTGAGAGCAGCGAAGTAAGAAGCCAAAAGTTGGGCACATTTAAAACCTTTCAAAAAGTGAGCGTGACCGAACTCTATATCCTTCTAAAACAATAGATGTGTTCGCCTCTCGCGACCGCCGACAGGACATTTCTTTCCGAATTTACAATTTGACACTGTTTCCGGACATCGACAATTTTCTTGAACAGACACAGCGTATGCGATTGTATGTACTTATTCCCAGTATCTATTGATAAGTAATGCTTATCAAAAATAGCTTGGAACTGTTCACTGCTTGCTCGCAGGAACCGCCTTGAAATTTCCCTCTTCGGACAAAGCATGAGGCAAAGTGACCTCAGCAGTGAAAGGGACTTTGGTGCGCCAGTAGGTGAACACGTAAGCATTCAGACTGTTGTTTCCCTTGTAGATGGGTCATTGAAGATTAGATGCGCCATTTACAGACAAGAAAACTCACAAGTTTCTTCGCCCTATTGGCAAAACTCTCGCTAATTGAAATGATCCGAACCTTGGTCCCGCTCTTCAAGACCTCTTTGGCCAACTTGCTCTGAGGAGCGTCGGTTGGGCGATAAAAGAATTCGCTATCTTGCTTGAGCTTATAAAAGACTCTGTAATCCTGCAACGACAATGAGTATCTGCTGGATAGGAAGTGAAGTAATTGGAACACACTTCGATTGGCCCAATGACAGGGGAGCCATTGAGATTGCAGATATCCTTTTGGCTGATGAAGTGCTTTGTACTGCTGACTTGCCCGGTGTTGCTGGCCCAGTCATCGGTGATTGTGGTGAGCTTGCATTTCAGGGAAAAGTGGAACTTCTCCCCGTCCACTTTGAGCGCGGGCTGTTGCAAATGTGAGTGTTAGCGGGTAGTCGCAAGGCCATGACTCACAGTCGATTGACTTGAGTCTTTGGCAATGCGGTACACGGTGCACAAGGTGCCCTTCGGCACCTTTGTGAAGGGCTTCTGCGCGGACATGAGGTCGACGTCCTGCAGCAGCTGAACGGTATCGCCCAAGGCTATCCCCTGTTGTACGGTCAGCCATACAGCGTTAGTAGTGTGTATCGGTGGACTGACATTCGCTACAGTGATCTGAGCTCGACGAGGTTCGGGCGTTTGGGGATGGTTTGACATGCTAAAGTCGAAAGCTTGATAGAACGAGCTGGGTGACTATTCACAGCTGTTTCTCCACCCGTTTTATAACAAAAAAGCCGTCACAGGATAGAGTCACAGGCAAGACGGAATCGGCTGCTGATGCACCAGTGCTGTAGACGGTCATGCGTGTTGTTGATCCATGGGACCGGGTTCAGACAACCAAAATGGAGAGAAGATGAGATGGATCGTGGCAGGACGCGCGTACAGTTCGAAAGCGGTAAAAGTCCCAGCACCTGGCGCTGAAAGCGTGTTCTGATATTCTCTTCATGATGTTCGCGACCAGGCCAAATCGAGGTGGACCCTTGTTCTCTGGGACACAGGCTCCGCAGATCACCGCGGTGTCAGGGGAAAAGATGGAGGGTCTGACTCATTAAGATTTCGGTGTGGGCAGGATCGATGGGAAAAGTTGTTGGTGCGAGGAATTATTAGGCGGACTACACCCACCGGAAAGAGACACACAACTAGAATGAGAAGCCTCGATAGATCACGAGTCAGAGCGTTCAAAGATTTCTGAGGGCGGCCTCTAGAGACGGAGGATTCGAGAACAATAGTGAGTCAAATCCGTCGTCTCGAAGAGGCATGTGGAAAGAAGCCCAAGTTTCACGTGACCGTGGCGCATTTCCCACAAAACGTCACAAGCGCCCACAAACCCCTGGAGCGACGACGACCGCCCCGTTTGAGTGCAAATAGCATGGCTCTGAATTTTTGGCATTTATTTCATGCTCGTGAATGCTCGGAGCTGACTCTCGTATCTCGCTCTCCGGTGAAAGTCCAAAAAAATTGGTTCCGCGGCTGATAAACATCCACCGTTGTAATCATTCCTGTGAAACTTCGTATGAGATCTCAGAGTAGGTCCGCTCAATTCTTGGTTCATGAACCGGGTTCACGAGGTTTTGATGAACCCGACAGGTCCTGACAGTTCCCATCACGCTTAACTAAAATCGGCCGATGGCCAGCAGAGATGTCTCCGTTTGAGGACAAACATGTACGATCTTGCAGCGTTGGACCAAAATGATACTCGAGAGCAAGCCTAGACATTAATTCAACTTACTTGACTCCCTGGCTGTATGAGCTTGTATTTTTTCCCAAGTAGTGATTCATTCCAATTGTGGTAGGTAGTTGAAAGAAATCCATACATATACTGAAAATGGACCCTCAAGTATCCTCAGTTATTCTCCCTGTCCTTTCTTGACATGATAGGAACCGCCATGGATAAAGTTGCGTCCTGCAATGTTCTGCCCTCTGCCCTAAAAGGGGGTTGTCTCCGTTGGCCATCAGTCTCTTTTAGTTAAGCGTGATGGGAACTGTCAGGAACTGTCGGGTTCATCAAAACTCGTGAACCCGGTTCATGAACCAAGAATTGAGCGGACCTTCAGAGCTGCAGTGGTTCTCACACCGATCGACCTTGGACGAAGTCATTCCTGCGTCAGAACATGTCAGATCTAATCCCATTGAGCATCTACAACTCTCAGGCCTGCCCTGTTGTGAATGATGTTCTACCGTAGCTACAAAACCAGCGCAAACTTGCCAAACTTTTTCATATTCACACAGAATAGGAACTCATGCTGCTGCGGAAAATTTGGCGTGCACTCCAAGAGTCGCCTGATCTTCGCGAACGAGTCAGGGTCCACCGGCGCTGATAGAAGACCATCGAGGAATGTGTGGTCCAGACAATCAGTACAAACTTTCGAGACTATCAAACTCAATCTACACGTTGCCGATACCACACGGAGAGTAGACAGGGGATCGATGGCACACGCAGGCTCAACGAGGTTAGCACCCCAATCAGTTTTATCGAGCGAGGACAATGAATGATCTCCATTCCATGCGCACGTCACAGGCTGAAAGTTCCGCGGGCGAAGAAGATCCGGATTCGCACGGTCTTATAGTACGACCTCCGGCCCCACTTACAGTTCGACTGACGACGGGAACGCTGAACGCTTCATAGATATCGTTCCTGTCAGAGAGATTGAAGTTCATATCTACTCTAGATGCTGATCATATCCCTCGAGTGCTTCAAATGAACACTATTCTGCCGCTTCATACCAGCGTCCGGCTCCAGGTCGGATCTGATCACGTGAGGAATATGATAATCTCAGCCCCGGCTGTCAGCCACAGTCACGTCTTGACTTCGAATGTAAACGACTTAAACGACCCCAGAGTACGGAAGATAAAGCGTCGTTGTAGATCATCCCCTCTCTGCTCGACCTAGGAACGTCTTGCTGGAACCGGTCGCACACCAGCCAGCTCTGCAGCGGCTTGCAGGGCAAGAAACTAGAACAATGATGAGCATTAGAACAGGAAAGCCAAAGCCGACGCATTGGACTGACCCGTCCGTAGTATCGCATCGTCTGTAACTCTCCACCATGGACCCACAACTTGTCGTGTCCGGTCGGGCGCCAGACTCCGCGGACTTCACCTTCGGCCTGGTCTCAGAGAATCAGTACCATCTCAAGTGTATGCCCACGACGCGCATACATCGAGGCCCCAGACAGGCTCCAAACCGCTGGCTAGGTCCTTCTGCACGATATCAGAGATGGACCTGCGCATATCCTTCTCGAAACCCGTGCAGTAGACGATGACATCCACGTCCAATTTTGATCCGTCTGCAAAGACCAGTCCGGACGAGGTTACCTCGACGACAGCCGTGCCAGACTTCACTTTGATCTGGTGGTGAAGGTAAACGAACGGTCTAATGAAAGGCCGAGACTCATACTTCACCGTTGCTGATAGCTGCGCAGGCTCCAATCTGCATCGTGTCAACAAGTTTGCATCCGACCAACGATATGCTCACATCAGGATAATGACCACCACTTTGCACATAGACTTGCTGTCGGGGCTGTCAGAGGGGTCTACCGGTTAAACCAAAGTATGTAGCACCTGATGGACAGGCCCATCGACCTTCATGAGGAAGCCTGCCTTGCGCAGGTTGTCGTAAAACGCGGGACTGAAATTTTGTGAAGAATGGTGGATGTACCCAGCGATAAGACGCACTCATGCGCATCCCTGAACCGTCCGAGCACCAACTGGCTCAACGCCGCCTGCAGAACGACAGGGTCTTCCGTAGAGATGATATCCGCCAACTCCGTGCTATTCTCCTTGTTCCAGAAGATCTCCTGCATCCCAGCGATGTGCGACTGCGGGTAGATGCGCGTCGCGCTCCGCTGGATCATGGTGACCTCGGCTCCAGCGCGAGACGCATCGTGCGAGACATCACAGGCGGTCGTGCTTGCGCCAACGACGGCAACGCGTTTACCGGCCCAGCTCGATGCATCGGTGTACGACGCAGAGTGCATCCACTCGCCTGCGAATGATTCCTGCGTGGGAGTTTCAGATCTAGCTAGCACCATATCAGGTTGCCGGACGTACTCGTCCCGGGACGTCGGGCAGCACGGGCCGTCGGCCACCGACACCAACCGAGAAGATCAGACTGCGCGCCTTCACTCTCTCCACTCCATTGGGGCCCTCGATCGTGACCGTCCACAGCTGAGTTTCATCGTCAAATACGGCTTGAGTGCATTCGCGTGACGTGAAGACCGGGAGTTGCAGATCGCGCGCATACATGTTGTAATAGGCGGCTACCAGCTTGGCTGGGACGAATTGAGGGTAGTCCTCAGGGAACGGAACGAAGGGAAGGCCGCTGAACAGACGGATCGTGTGGAGAGTAGCGCTATCATATCGCTGATCATGTACTGGTGAGAAAGGATGCCGTGAACCGAGTGTAGCAAGAGACATACCTTGGCCCAACTGTCACCGATAGTTGCCTGCTTCTCGACCGTCGCAAAGTTCAGACCGAGGGCTTTCAGGTAGGCCGACACGCTCAGTCCCCCGTGTCTATAAAACAGCTTGAGCGCCCCGGACAGCCAAAGAAACAACGCGTCTCGCACCCGCCACCAACGACCAGAACATCCACCGCGCTCGGCATGGACTGAGGACGTTCGTAAGAGACCGCAGCAGGCGGAAAGCCAGCCAGCCACGGCGCCGCATCAATCGCTTGAAGCGCGGTCGTGACTGTGAGGACTTTGATCTCGCCCGTCTTCACGCGCACGACTTTGAAAACGGCATTCGCATCCGCTGCGGGCGTGCGAGTCCGGAATGTGAACGGAATCCGGACGAGCGAGATGCCGTTGGGTAGATCGACCGGAAGAACCTGCTCTTCCAGCAAAGAGATAGAGGAAGCGTCGATGTCTGCGCGCTTGAGGAGCGGGACGACGCCTTGTGCGATCGCACTGTGAGAGGGATGCTAGTAAGACACGTGATGCGTGATCGCGATAACTCACGTGGTGGGATGGAACGTGCGCAGGGACCATGAAAGCGAGACTTGATCGCGCCAAAAGGCATCCGGAAGGAAGAGTTGGTTGATCGCAGTTTCTGTGGGATTGGAGAGTATCTCGATAATCGCAGGAGCCACAGATCGTGCGACATCGAGTGCTTCTGTGGCTTCGAAAGCGGAGACCGAGTCAAGAGCTGGGAAGGAGCCGGGAAGCTCTGAAATGTGTGAGATTGCAGCCATGGGGGGAGCGAGATGGAGCAAGCATCACTTGAAGGCTTGCAAGATAAGGTGTGTGTTTACGGAAATAGATCGCATCCACGAGCATCAGCCGAGCATCGATTGACAATCATGTTGGGCTACTTCGTAAACCTGAATAGCAGACAATTGGACCCAGTTACGAATATCCTTACATGACCATCGGCCGCGCACGCCCGAGGCATATCATGAGGGATTGACATCGCGACTGTCTCGAAGCTCGGTCACCCGCGCACGCGGCCTGCGCATGTCCGATGAACCGATCAAAGTCCAGCAGCACAGGATGACAACTTGAAGTGAAGCGCATGGCTTCTCTCTGTCTGGCACAGAATCCGTCGATACAAGCTGCAAAGAGCAGGAAACAGGAGCAGACACACTCTCCAATTGACCCGCCTACCTGAGCATAGCAGCCCACGTTTCTCACGTCCTTAGCGATGAACGTCGCAACCCGGCCACTGGCATCTAACAGACGACCCACTCAGGTGGTCAAGCTGATTAAGCTGTTTAGATGAACTTCAAAAATCAGCACGCTTCATTTCGGTCATCGGCCATCTCGTCCGGTGCCCGCCGTCCCAGCTTGCTCATCGTCACCTTCGGGTGCTTCGCATGCTCGCTGCGACCCGCCCCTCCCCCCAGCGGTTCGTACTGCGGTCTCCCTCGAGGTGTACTCTTCGTGTCGCCGTGCATGAGATTGGGATGTCGCTCCCTGATGCGGAGATGCGTGTTTCTTCGGGCGGGAGTGCTTGGTCAACAGCCCGCTGACTATAAGGTTTACATCATATCTCTCATGTCACTGAGGGTCTTGTCCCCTCCATATATTTCAAGCGACAGGAAAGTTGTGTGATGCCTCAGGTCCTTGTTGACTCGTTGGGGACGCCATGCATGCCGACCATGTATAATCCGATTTCTGTGAGCAGATTTCTATTGAATTGCTCCAATTGAGTGCTCTTGACGAGGGCGTTCGCAAGAGCTTTGCTTTGTGACTTGGAGTGAAGCTCGAGGACATATTAGAGGATGGGCATTGCAACTTGAAGCCCACGATTTAACACAATATCCACGATAGGAGGAGCAGAAGTGAAGATTAGTCACGGTCTCTAAGATGATCCGTATGGACGAAACATGGTTAGAGAACAAAAACGCGCGCGGTCACAAGGGTGACCGATGATGGTGTTGGCAGCTGCTGGCATAAGTAGTCACACGTAACAAACTCATGATTCTCGTTCGCGACTGAACCCATCTGCACAACCGTTTTGAAGACCTTTTAAATTCACCGTACATTATTTCCCTTTCCTAAAGCTATGCCTCGTACCAGGAACGCTCCAGTATGCCCCATCCTAGCGGCCTTCGCATCTAAATCGACCGACTCGTTCCCAACGACACCCGCATGGCCTCTGATCCACCTCAGCTGAACATCCTGCACCCCAACTCTCGCCGCCAGTACGGACGCTTCGAAGAACCGGTTAATTAGAGGTCGAAACTCCCCCTCTCTGGCTGTCTCAGCGGCTGGGTTGGCGAGGATGCGCAGGACGGGCTGACAGTCAGTCAGTATGACCGCCCTCTCCACTCCTGATCTTCTCCCCGCACGCCGGGCCCTGTGCATCATCATCTCGCCCACGAGACGCAGCGCCTGCATCCCGAGGACGAGCCCGAGCAGCTCCGCGCCGGTCGACGAGTGCTCTTCGGCCGCGCCGAGGAATTCCCGCAGGACGAGCGTCTCGCCCCAGGGCGTGAGCGTGCGTGCGGCGGCACCGGATCCTCCGTCGCGGTGGTGAGAGCCGTCGGTGTATACGATCAGCGGGGGAGCCGTGGCGGCAGCCTGGACGGGTGTGATGCGCGCGGGGGATCGACGGTGGGTCCGGGCAGATAGCAGTCTCGCACGCGGGATGATCGTGGCGTGATTGAGGGCTGGATGGCTGAGAGTGAGACCGCGGGAGATGCCAAGCGCGCGGGTGGAGGTTGCCTGCTGAAATACAGGCGCAGTCGCGGACTGCACTGCTGCACGAAGGAAAGGGGGCATATCTTTTTCGATGAGTTGGAGCGTGCATCGTCTGTATGAACGGAGTATATAGGTCCTTGCGGCCTCCAGCGCTTGAGCCTCGAATGTCAAAGGGCAGTCAGACATCCCATGGCTCAACGCGAGCACTCGCATTGAGTCTTTGACAATGCAAAAACGGGCGCTTCAGCACGGAAATGAATGTTTCCGGCGGGGTTTCGCGCTTTGGCTGCTACCTTCTGTTACTAGAATTCAACTCAATCATTTGCGATACAATGAATACCTGGCGCGTTTGTGTCAGCTTTATGAAAGCTGAACATGCCACTTTCCAAAGCGGATATGTAATTTCATTGAATTTCTCGAAACGAACTGCGCAAATGAAGGTTGGAGTAAATGAAGTGGCTTGCAGATGGTCAAACAGCTTCACGGCCGTCCCAACAGATTTTCTGGCGCTCGCATATCAGGTCTCGCCAACAAAGTTTCCTCTACTGGACCCCGAGTTCGATCGTGGCTACTCGGGTAGCTCTACTGCCTCGACTTGGCTTCGAGGGCAATTGAGCGGTGATCTCCCGTCTACGACACCGCCACTGACACTGACAGGATATGATGTCACGAGCCCCTCGTCAGCCAGAGCGTGCCGGGGCTGATTCATCTCGTGTGCCGAACACCGTCTCACCCCATGGCCAGCCAAGACTCGGACAACAACAACATGGACGACGACCAGGCGACTCCAAGTCCCGCCCCCGGCGGCCCCCGCATCATCCGACTGAACGCCGGGTCGGCCACACTTCAAGCACTCCTCGGCCGTGCGTCGCGCTTAGCTTATCGCCCCGAGATATCGTGCTGATCCCGAGTCTGGTTTCGCAGCGTTACTGCAGAGCGCAGCGGCGGGGGGAACTACCGGCATGGGCGGGCTCACGCTGTCCGACCTGCGCCAGCTGCTCGGGAGTGGAGACGGCGGGCAGGGACCCGGCGACGACGAGGACGACGAGGATTACGAGGACGACGACGAGGGGCAGGGGCAGAGCTACTTCCCGTTTTCGCGCCAGAGCCAGCCCCAGGCGCCCCGCGGGGGTGTGTACGAGAAATTCTTCCCGCCCGTCACGAAGCCCCAGGACAAGGGCCTCGAGCTGCTCTACAGCGGCGAATTCGGCCGGCTGGGCAGTAAACTCAAGTCACGGCGAGATGGGCTGAACGTATCGGAGGAGATCCGAGGAAGGATGTCCCGGGCGCGGCCGACGGTTTACAGAGAGGATTTCACCACCGTGAGTTGTGGAGTGAGGGACTCGCAAGGGTGCTGACTCCTTCGCAGTCGCTGGTACCCAATTCAATCGGAACGACAGTGGCTGAGTATGACGATAACGTCTACACAGCACAATACTCGACCGACTCTTCCTTCTTTTACACCTGCTCGCAGGGCAAGTCTCACAACAGCTGACACTCAGCTTGCCGGCTCATAGACTAGTCAGATTTCCGATTGAACATCTACGACACGAGTGTGCCCGTCGTACCTAGGAAACTAGGCGTCCGCAACCCCGAGGCAGCCCCGAACGTCAAGACTAATATGAAAGTGATGAACTCCATCCAAGCACATCCCGGCCGATGGACGATTCCCGATGCAAATCTATCACCTGACAATGAACGGTGCGTCCTTTACTCCTAGACAGACTCTGAGTGATGCTGATGTGATCGCAGGATGGTATACGCCCTGCTGGTGGGTTCTATACAATAACTGCGGCCATTTCGACTATAACTCAAGTTCATGGCAGGGAAACACATGTTATGTCACTAGCACGACAGATCCATCCCCGACGCAGATCCCCATCTCCTTTGCCGATCCATCCACCTCCCGATACTCGCGATGGGGTGAAACCGGCTTTGACGGGTACCGAATCTACAGCTGCAGATTCTCTGCAGACGGGAATGAAGTCATCGGAGGAGGGAACGGGCAGATCTTTGGTGAGTCTTGTGCCGGGTGTGAGCTTTTCTACTTATACGCGATCCTAGTGTATGATCTGCTGGCCAACCGAAGGACCGTTAAGATTGACGCGCATCAGGACGACGTGAACAGCTGTTGTTGGGCAGATACTTCGTCTGGAAATGTGCTTGTAAGCGCCTCTGATGATACGTACTTGAAAGTATGGTTCGTCTTCTTCTTTCTCCTGTGTTGTAGACCTGTTGAGGTGATGCAACCACAGGGACCGTCGTTCCCTAGGAGCTTCCCAGCGACCTTCTGGTGTACTAATGGGACACACGGAGGGCATCACGTATGTTTCCGCTAAAGGGGATGGCCGATATGTCATCTCCAATGGCAAGGATCAGGCAAGTGCGAACGAACGAGTAGTTCAAATTCGCTTTGACTCCCATCCAGAAACTCCGATTATGGGATCTGCGCAAAATGCGCACCAACCAGGATCTAGAGTCTTGTGCACATAAGAACTACTCGACCAACTACGACTACAGGTGCGCTGCAGCACACCGCTCAATGAGTTCTCAGGCTAAAATCGTCTAGGTATCCGCGGTATCCCAAGCCGCGATTTATCGCCCATCCGAAAGATTGCAGCGTCATGACATTCTACGGGCATGCGGTACTCCGGACGCTCATCCGATGCCACTTCAGCCCCGCCGAAACCACCGGCGGACAATACATCTACTCCGGCTCTGCGGACGGCAAAGTCCACGTGAGCACATCCAATCCATTCTTACCTTCCCTTCGACCTAATGGTGGGTTGGTAGATCTGGTCTCTAGACGGTCAAGTCGTGCAGGTGCTCGACCGGGGGCAGACGCTCCCCATGACCTTCGATCCATCTGACCCTGACCCGGAGCACATCAGCCCGTCGAACCGCCCCTGTGTACGTGACGTCAGCTGGCACGCCTACGTACGTCTCCACCTCCCCCGCCCGTCGGATAAACCCGGCACTGACGCGAGCGTAGGAACCCGTCTTGATGAGCGCCGGCTGGGAAAGCGGCACGCACGGCGGAAGCCGCCTCGCTCGGCACGAGTGGAAGGGCCTCGCCAAGATGCGGCATAACCTCGAGGACTGGGTCGCGCGGGACCGTGCGCACGGGTCCGAGTTCCGCCGGTCGGCGCGGCTCGCGGGCCGCTCGCCGTCGCTGGGTCTCGACGACGACGACGACGAGATGCCGCACATCCCCGGCGCGTACCGGGTCGTGATCGATGATGACGACGACGTCGAGCAGGACGACGATGACGAGTCGGACTATTCCGAGTGAGACGACGACATTACATAGCCATGTCCACGCCACATCTCGCTTCATCCACACACGGAGTGATTTTGAATGAATTAGTCGTGTTTGTGGCATCATCGCATCGGATATGAGCAGTCCACAACTGTCCGAATGACATGCTATACATATACACAGTGCAAGTACGTAGATAAGTTAGTGTGTTCACCAGAACGCACACCAGCCCGCAAAGCACTGGCACAGATTCTCCAGCGACATCGCCTGCTGGATGAGCATCTGCACCTGGTCCGGCACCGACAGCGCGACCTCCTTGTTGAAATCGCGGCCCGTCAGCTTGTGCTGCACGCGGTTGAACACTGACACGCCTGCGGCGGGTGTGAGCACGAAAATCAACCGGAGAGGTGGGGTGTGAATATAATCAACAGTGCTGCTCAACAGACAGCCGCAAGGGTTGTTGTTTTGCGAGGGTGTCCCAACAAGGATCAGGACTCGGGAATATGGTATAAAAAGGCGGCGGGCAACGGCGAGGGCAACAGAGGCGACGGAGACGGTGGAGGCGACGGAGACGGTGGAGGCGACGGAGACAATGGAGGCGATGGAGACGATGTAGACGGTGAAGAGAGGCGGAATTTTCAGATGCTGAAATAGAGCACTTGGTTTTTTGGGGTGAAGAGAACTTGTTTTTGAAGGAATATACTGTAGCTACTTATAGTAAAGTCTCGAATTGATAAAGAACATATTGGGTCCGTGAAAAACACCTAACTACCCGGTAAGAAGCGCTCCAAGCATCCCAAGAGTGCTTGTTCCACATGTAAGTCTATAAAATACATGTTTCACCTTATTGGTCCCATATGGATGTGTCTGTTCGGTAAAATAATTCCCCAATGATGCCAATCTGAAACATAGAAAGAAATAGCAAATACTCTGGGCAGCGTGCAGCCGTGTGGCCAGCAAGCCGAGAGATAAATCCGCCACCAAATGCTGTGCACCTTAATGCAGCAGTGCCACACTGATCGCTTACGAAGCCAGGGCGTGTCAACGCTTGTCATCTCCCTCCAACTGAAAATCTGACTGTCCTCAGTCAGCTTCCGGCGCACGAGAGCCTCAACAGGACGAATTTGAAAAGGGCGATTCTATGGATGGATTGAGGGTGTAGTGGGTGCATGGGGGGATCAGAGTCGGTCTTCACTTTTGCCTGGCAGCTCAGAATCGCTTTCCTCGTCTTCTGGATCGGCCAAGATCGACTCCTCGAGCTCGCGTAACCGTTCTGTTGAGATGTCCAGCAAGTCTTCGAGAGGTGGGATTGGGATCTTGAGTCGTGCAAAGTATGGGATGACTCGAAATGCGGCAATAGGGCGGTGGAAGACAGAGCCGTCAAGCTCAGAGAGAATGTAAGCGCCCCCTCTATTCCTTGAGATGACAATCAGCGGTCCCAGATATCGCTTGCGCATTTTGCGGCTCAACGACTTCTCGATTGCAGTGTTCCGCATCAGGACCAGATCGCCCCTCTGGAAGTCGTAATTGCGTATTGTATGTGCGTGTTCTCGCTCGAAACGGATCGCTTCCTGGATGCGGGCTTCGAGGACAGCGGAATGAAGGAACGACAGGTGTTCTCGTCGCTTCTGCAGCGCAATTGCACGACAAGAGATGAGTTCCGTGGTTGATAGCACGGATTCTGGGGCGGGAAGGAGGTAGGTGGCTTCGGATATGTCAAGTGGAAGTAGCGGGTGGGCTCCGGTGACCGCAAAGAAAGGTGAGCAGCCCATGCGTCGTCGAAGCGTGACTCTGTCTGCCCAGAAGACGGAATGTGCTGTTGTATGCCATTTCGATTGGACGCCGTCAGCTGCTTTGAACAGGGACTCTCGCACATCAAAATGCGGCCGCTCGGACAAGTTGGCACGGGAGTTGTAGCCAGAAATGCGGATATGTCGGATGTGGTACTGTTTTTCAAGGTGCGTCAACGCTCTCACAAATGGGGTGCCATTATCTGTGACAATTTCCACCAGGGTGCCCCAACGGCACAGGATATCTTCAAAAATCCATGCGGCTAGAGTTTGAGCAGTTTCGCGGCGAAGCATACGCCATTCGGGATAGTGGGTCAACGAACAGCGTCCTTGAACGATATATCGGAAGCCGCCGCTGGTCGGGAGATGCATGGTGTCCATATACATCTTTGCGAAGATTGGTGCCGGCGTCGAGACCGTCGGAGGTATCAACACTTTTCTGGTTTGCCGTTGCTGACACAAATTGCAGGTACGAACAAACCACAGGATGTCCTTGGCCATATGCGGCCACCAGAAGCGCTCAGAGACCAATGAACGAGTCGCATAGAATCCTTTATGCCCAACATCGTCGTGAGCTGACTGCAGGATGAAAACTCGACGTGAGGGGGGCACAACAAGCTTGTGATGGCCCTGTGAGTGTTTTCGCCAGAGTGCGCCCTCGCGCAAGAAAAACTCCATGGAGTACCGGACAAACGACTGATAATCGCTGTCAGACATGTCCCGTGGACGTTCGAGCTTCTCGTGCCAAATTCGGGCTAAATCGACTCGATAATCGGCCAGGCGGGCAGCAGAGGTACGGGGAACATCGTCATAGGACAGGGACGAGTTTCCGTTCTCAGGGGGAGTGACAATTGATGAATCCGAGACAAATGTGGTGACCAGGGCACGGGATCGTTGAGGAATATGCGGTGAGTGATTTATCATGTGCACAAAACCATGCACCTGATCAATCCAGTCTTCGAAATCATCCTCCTGTTCTGCTACATCCCCAGGCTGCAGGGGCCGTCTGGACAAACCATCCGGTCGGTGTGAAACGCCAGGGACGTGGACCAGGGTGAAGTGGAAGGTGAGAATAGCCAAAATCCATCGATTGATAGTTGCATTTGGTGCTAAATCCGGATTCGACAGCATGCCCTTGATGTATCGTGCGTCGACTTCTACCACAATATTGCGCAGACCAATGAGATAGATCTTCCACGCTTTGAGTGCACGGAACAAGCCGTACAACTCCAATTTTGGCTGCGAAAACCTTGATTCGCGTTCGTTCAAAGTGATGGAACCAAAGCGTGCGTAGAATCGTCGAGCAAGGTTCTGAGGATCGCACTGAGCTAGCGTAGCTCCGACAGCAATATAGGACGTATCGACGGAGAGAATGACAGGTGCCGCTGAGTGATAATCAAGTGGGCGCAGCGCCGGTGAGTCTAGCAAGGCTGCCTTGAGATCCTCTTGAGCGCTGATCTGCTCGCTCCCAAAGACGAACTGAGCATCCTTTCGAGTCAACGCAATGAGTGGACTTGCGCGGCGGGCGAAATTGCGGATGAACATGCGCACAACGCCCACTGTACCAAGAAAGGCACGTACTTCGGACAGATTGCGGCACGGTCCCCAATTGACAATTTTCTCGACGCGTGAATTGTCAGGAATACGCCCCTCGTAGGTGCAAACATGTCCAAGGACTGTAATTTTCTCGGCGCAGAGGATGGCTTTTGGCCCAGAAAAGGTACCGCCGCAATATTTCATCCGCTGGACTATTCGGTTGAGCGTCTGAAAATGCTCCCAGACAAAACGGCGAATGCCAGGATTGGCCGGAAGCACTTCGTAACCGCCGCCAGGAAGTTTGTAACGAGTTCTAGGACCACGGACTGGACTGTCGTCAATGTAGGGAATGGTGAAATGCGGAATTTCAGGTTGCAGGATGTGCGTAACGTCGTCATGAAAGATAGGCACTGAATTGGACCAACCCATCGGCAGAGTCGTCAAGCGAAGTGCGCCAAAAGGCGACTGAAATGTTGTTAAATCGCGTGAGACTTCTGCGAGCACACGCTCGTCATATCCCACGTAGAGATCCAGAATTCCGCCACAAGCACGGCCGGCAAAATGCTCCGCAAGCTGATCAGTGAGTGGTGGAACACCCGAATGCTGGATGGTCACCGCGTTTAGAGGCTCCAGGCTGTGTACGAGGCGGAGACTCGTGCCGTCTTTCTTCACAACGCAAAACCACCTTGATCGGTAAGAGGAATTTGATGGCTCATAGACGCCAGCATCAATCTTACGCCGGATTAAATCGCAGACCTGATCGTGGATGCCTGGAGGAATTGGGATGTTGCGTTGAACCCACGGGGTGTGCGGGACGACCGGGATGATGACTGGTTGAAAGAAATCGGTGCGGAACCTTCCGCGTTCTGTTTCTGTCCATGCAAAACCATCTTGGTGCAGGCACATGAAATGGTGCATGAACCGGCGCTCTTCAGGCCAAAGAAAGTCGCCAGGGTGAAGGGAATTGATGGCGTCGTGACGCTCAAGCGTGTAACGACCGGTGGGAACAAAGGGGGGCGGATTGGGATTAAGTCTAGGCATGGATGCGAGCGGGTCACCACGGATGTTGCGTACAATACGGAATTCTTCGGGAAGAGTTCCCAGGACGGGGCGAACCTTCTGAGCCACGGGCTTGTACCGTTTCTTTGCAAAGACGTCGACGTGTGGAGCAGAGGGATAAGGGTTGGAAAAGGATGTAGATAGATTGTAGAGAGGAACAGGCGCGTCATGGTAATGAGGAGGCGGTGACGGCTTGAGAAACAAAGGGGGAGTTGAATCCCCCATGGGAGACTCGGACTCCACTGCAGATGACGGTTGAACGTTCGAATATGCGGACTGGACTGTACCAGAATATGCGCCCAGATTGGTGGAAGCTAGAAGATAAAGGAAATTGAGATCAGTAGAGGAATAGTTCGAGGGCAGCTGAGCCGATGATTCAATGATAAAATCTTGAGGATCGAGAGGGTTGGGTATAAAAATGCACGCTGTCTCTCCTTGATCAGTGATCAAATCCTCGAGAGCGGAAAATCCTGTATTCGAGGGCGAGAACCACGTGAAACGGTGGCAATTGTTGCAATCTTGCCTGTGTTGGGATCGCGGATTGTAATGGTCTGGTTCTCATTGGCAAAGTTGTGGATGATGCTCTCAGTGAGAACATCAAAAGGGCGACCCAATAAGATGTCGTAGGCTGGTTTTCGGACGACGTGGACTTGGAGGTAAAGTGTGATATCGTCAAACGCAAACGGAACGTTCCGTGCAAGGCCAAGTGACGGGGAAACAGAGCCATTCGCAGATTGCATGCGAAGAATAACGGTGGGATCATATGAAAGACCCAGCTGGTGACACACCGCCTCAGACATGGCGATTATTTGAGAGCCACCATCGACGATAGACTCGACCCTGAGACGATTGTCTACGACAGGGAGAACAGAGCGGATCGCCGAAGATTCGAGGGAGACCACCAGATCGTCCACAGAGGCGCCCGAGTTGATCATTGTCTCGTAGTAGTCCGGAATAATAGTTGCGTCAGGTGGCAAAGTCGAATTTGCATACGCAGCAGGCATTGAATCGAGAAATGCGGCGTCTCGTGCATTGTTAGATGTCTGGGCGTCCAGAGGCTCGATTGCCGCGCTGTCGGACATGTTTCTATGTGAGAAATCGTCGTAGATGTGGGTTGAGACCGCCGGGGGTTTAGAATCGGCACCAGAGGTCGGCGGAACGCGGCGGCTGGTAGTGGCGTTACTCATACGAGACCGTACACCCAGAGAGATTGAAAGGATTTCTTCGATCGAATTCTCGACTTTGGCTCCAAGAATTCGGCCGAAAACAGCATCCTCGTGCTTTGGATCGTAAACCGGCGCTACAGAACGGTACGCAGGATCAGTTTTCTTGGCGGGAACGACCGGAGCTCGAGCCCCAACGTTGTGGTCACGGGGAGGAGCATACGCAGCATCTTTGGCTTTCGCATAGGGATGTTCAGGTGCAGTAGCGGGGATAGCAGCCGGAGGACGGGTCACAGGAGCGGGAGCGGGAGCGGGAGCTGGGGCCGGTGTAGATTGAGCCGCAGGTCGAACCACTCGTTCCGGGGCTTCGACGCGGTCCCCAGACCGATCCAGTGCAGCACGTGCCTGGGATCGAGTGCGCATCGCCAGGATCTCGCGCTCGAGAGACTGGATTCTCTCAGCATCTGAAAGGGCAAAAGTGGATACCTCCGGCGCTGCTGGATTGGAAGTCAAGAAATGAGTCGAGACTTCAACCATATTTTGAGCGGCCATTTGTCCGGGGTTCTGGCGGTGATATTCGTCAAACCGAGCTCGTAAATTGACGCCCATGATGCGCCGTGGAATATAAGCGCCGCTCGGCAGGACGACCTGCCCGTCCGTATTGCGTTTACACTTCCCAGATTGAATATCTTCATCCACATGAGGGCACCGAATGATGAAATGCCCATGTTCGCTGCAATAACTGCAGCTGAGATCCCGAGGAGTCGAATTGACGGGAATTGTGGGGGGAGGTGGTCGAGTAGATTGTTGAGCCGCAACAGCTTGAGCCGTGACTGCAGCCTGAGCTGCCAGAACTTTCATCAAGCCATTCATCGACTCAATCAATTGCGAGATTCCTGGATCTGCCGACTCCTTTTTCACGGGCGTAGGCGACAAAAGCGCGGACGGAGGAGCTGCAGAACCGTAGGATGAGTCGGCGAGGACAAATTCCATGGCCTCATTCAAATCTGCGAGGTCGTACGGGTCGTCGGGATGCACATCAGGTTGCTTGATCTGCAGGCGCTGGTGTACGCGGTTCCAGAGCGTAGGGGGCTAGATAGCACGACGAAACGATCGAGACTGCTCTGCAGCAGAAAGACGCCCTTTTGCGACGAGGAACTTGGTGATAACAAGGAATTTTCGGTAGAATTCACTGTAGTCAGCACGCGAGAGAATTCCAACGCTAGCGTACTCCCCAATTAGTGTGTGGAGATCAGCAAGTGCGTAGCGGCGGTCGGCGTCGGTCCCAGGGTATAGCTTTGCAACGGCTGCCTTGAACGCATCGTAGCCAATGCCAGGGGAAAAGGAATCAAGGGATTCCCACAGCTCGGCGTCTTCGAATGACAGGTAGCGTATTGCCTGCCTCTTCTTTTCCTGCGGATCTGTGATATTTGCTGCAGTGAAGTGGAATTCCAAATCGGAGAAATAACGGGGCAGCTCCCTAGGCTGCTTGGAATCGAATTCGGGAGCGCCACGAGCACCTCGAGCTGGCATAGTTGCATTTGCTGCCATGACTGGAGGAGTTGGAGAAACGGGGCGGAGGGGAAAATGGGACGAAACGGAGGACGACTGGGACGAAGAGGAGGAGGAGGAGGAGGATGGCGACGCTGATGACGACGTTGTTACTATAAAATGGGCGAGGGTAGGCGAATCTGGATCAACAGGATCCAAATGAAAGTGATGTGAGAGGAGATGTGGTACTGGTACGAGCAAGTCGTCAGCAGAGGAGTCAGAGTGGTGTGAAGTGTCGTTGAGATTCAGTGGGTTCTGAAAGATATCCCGGAACTCGAGACGTAAATTTCGGTGGGAATTTGGGCGAAGACTACGGTCCGAGCCTGACGCAATGTTTAAATGGAAACCCCTCGCGGTGGGCTCCAAAATGACACGCCTGCGGCGGGTGTGAGCACGAAAATCAACCGGAGAGGTGGGGTGTGAATATAATCAACAGTGCTGCTCAACAGACAGCCGCAAGGGTTGTTGTTTTGCGAGGGTGTCCCAACAAGGATCAGGACTCGGGAATATGGTATAAAAAGGCGGCGGGCAACGGCGAGGGCAACAGAGGCGACGGAGACGGTGGAGGCGACGGAGACGGTGGAGGCGACGGAGACAATGGAGGCGATGGAGACGATGTAGACGGTGAAGAGAGGCGGAATTTTCAGATGCTGAAATAGAGCACTTGGTTTTTTGGGGTGAAGAGAACTTGTTTTTGAAGGAATATACTGTAGCTACTTATAGTAAAGTCTCGAATTGATAAAGAACATATTGGGTCCGTGAAAAACACCTAACTACCCGGTAAGAAGCGCTCCAAGCATCCCAAGAGTGCTTGTTCCACATGTAAGTCTATAAAATACATGTTTCACCTTATTGGTCCCATATGGATGTGTCTGTTCGGTAAAATAATTCCCCAATGATGCCAATCTGAAACATAGAAAGAAATAGCAAATACTCTGGGCAGCGTGCAGCCGTGTGGCCAGCAAGCCGAGAGATAAATCCGCCACCAAATGCTGTGCACCTTAATGCAGCAGTGCCACACTGATCGCTTACGAAGCCAGGGCGTGTCAACGCTTGTCAACACCTGCAGCGCCTGCTTGTTGCGATATTGGATGTCAGATGGATCATTCGTGCCACTTGGTTTGTCTTTACAACGGTCAAGTCTCAATGCTGATGCATCTGTGCAGTACCCGCTGCTTTCTCCAACTCTTCAGGAGCAAATTGCATTTGTGATCAACATCATGCATTCGTTTGGACATGAATGGGATTGTCAGCTGGTGTATAGTCCAAGATTCTTTGTCGGAATGGGCCTGTCTGACATGGAAGGTGTTGAACGCTTTTGGTCGCGGGTCCGGAAACTGATCAATTTGACCTGGCAACAATGGGTATGCTCTCTTTTGTGCATGCAGGATGATGGTTTCTGACTAGTTCCAAACAGCAATCTTGTCGTATCTGGATGCTAGATGAATACACTGCATTCGTAAATCAGGAGGGCGCTGAGAAGCTCGGGGATTGGTTGGATTGCCAGCAGGCCAATCTTCTCCCCAAGTACCGACAGAGCATCAAGACATTACATGCCTGTTGTGTGTCAGAGAGAGAGCTATGATCTCAGTGGAGGGCACAAAAAGCGGTGCAGAGTGTCAGGGGAACCCCCGCTTTGGACCGCTCTGCCTTTGATCAAGCATGTGATCGCGCTCGCGTGACCTGTCAGCTGTCACGTATCGCGGCCCGGACTGCCGCGCCGAGCGCTTCTCTCTGATGGGCACATGGTCAGCTGCCCATTGTTCCTATTGTCTCCGCATCCCATTGTTCTGTCATGGCCGTTGTACTTATTGTTCCCATTGTTCTTTGTGTGTTGCTGCGCACTCTATTGTTCTTTTATCATATAAATAGTGGCGCCTGGCAAGGAGAATCCCCAACACGGTTTCTCTTTGGATTCTCCCTTGCCAGGTATGCCGGTCTTGTACCTAGCTACCACTATTAACACTTTGGATTCTCCCTTGCCAGAACTCTGAGATCGGGTCTCGAGGTTGCCCTTACAGCAGAAACCGTGTTTCTAGGGATAACTGGTCAAGATTGCGAGGTTTGATGCCGATAGTAACAGCGGAGACGAGTCGACGAGCAACCAAGACCGCCAATCCGTCACCTCTTTTCTTGCCCCCTCCTCCCCTCCACGAGCAGACCCGACCAGCATGGAGGACGACAACTCCCAGCACCGAATGTCCGCTCTGGAGACCAGCATCCAGAACATCGAAGCCGTACTCAATCAGCTCCTCAACCAACAACCCCCTGCCCCTGCCCCTGCACCAGCTCCGGCAGTGGGTCCAGGTGTTTCTGCTGGCTCGCAGCCAAACACTGCGTGCCCCCTCATCCGTCCCAACCCCCCCTTCTCGTTCGATGGGGATCGCACCTTGGGCAAGAGCTTCTTGCACTCGGTGAAATGCTGAGGGCGTGCTCACAAGTGAATCTACTATGAAAGTAAACCCAAATATAAACACGTTCACACTCCTCGTAATCAGCTTCTCAGTGTGTGAAAGATGCGAGGGCTTCGGGGTGGACAGAACACCAGTATCACAGCTCTCAATAGACGCAGATCCAATAGTCGCGGAAGACGAAGTCGACGACAAGGATATATATATATAGCAAACAGTGGTGTCTCAACCAATATCTTCTATACAAACACAACCAACACTAATCCAATCCACAACCAACGATATGACAAGTCAGAGCTTAATACGAAGTATTAAGATCCCTTGTAGCGACAGCGTCTAGATGGTGACGCAAAGCCCAAATATCAAGTCGACGCACTGCCAACTGATACAACCAATATACTGAGTCGACGCACTGCCAACTAGTAGAACCAGAATGTCAAGTCGACGCACTGCCAACTGACACAACCAAAAGTACTGAGTCGACGCACTGCCAACTAGTAAACCAAAATGCCGCGTCGACGCACTGCCAACTAACAGCCAATATCCAATGTCCAAAACCCGAGCACAACTTGTCGACGCACTGCCAAGCAAGAAGTGTGGAACCAAAGTTCTCAAGTCGACGCACTGCCAACTGACCAAAACAACCCGAGCACAACTAGTCGACGCACTGCCAAGCTAGAGGTGTGGAACAATCTCAACAAAGCCCTAAGGCGACGACACTAAATGCCGCGACAATACCAGATGCGGCGAATCCGACTTTCTGATATCTCAACTCAAACTCAAATCACAGTAGCTACAAGTGCTCAGGGAGCAACTCGTCGCGACCGGGCAGGGATGGCAGAACTTCTTAGGGTGGAATCACGCGGCACGCAAATTGTACAAAACAATCTGAAATGATAGTGATTCACAGTCCGGGGGAAAGCTTTTTAATACAAAGAGACGACGTGCTACTTATACTGTCTACGATGCTGCTTAGTAAAGTCCTGTACAACTGCATAGTAGCTACGCTATCTAAGATCGGTTGCCTTTTAGGGTAATTGAAAAGTTGAACGATCGGACAGGTCCTGAGTGATCAGGACCCCGCCCCATTGTCCATATGATACTTTTGATGTGGGCCAACTCACCGCGTCATACTTTTGGAATACGACGTGCTGGATTGGCCAACGGGTATATCTTGGCATGTGAGACCAACGTGGGCGCCCCAAGAAGCCGTATGGCCCTAGGCACGCCAGTCGTCCCCCACATGGTTCGGTTCACGGATCTAGCCGTGTCGATTTCTAGTGTGTTTGGGTGTTGACGCGAATCGCCGTGGCACTTGGGAGTGTCACCACGACGCGTCCTCAATGTCCCGTGATCGAATGGATCCTGACATGTGACAAGTCGTCGTCGTGGCATGATCTGAGGAAACGTCCAACTCAAAACCGGGAGTTGCCGCGACAAGATGGTTTAAGTCTTGTAACGCCAAGTCCTGTCCAGTAGTAGTTCTATTATTGAGAACGTCGCGCATTGCTCAGCCCTTCAGCCCAAGTTCCCATCTGCAGAGAATGACCCTTTTCGAGAAGTCGACGCAACGACAGATCCCTTTTTGGGGGAATGGTCGCGGTCCAAGCGTTCGTCACTAATGGCCCTGAGCCTGGTGTAGACTCATAAGACCAGTTCCACAGTAGTGGTCTGACTGCCTTGCTATCGTCGACACTATCCACAGTTGTCGACTGGGCAGTAGACCCTTAAGTCCTACTGAGCGCAACACTGTCAACCGCGACACGATGCACCGAATGGTTCAAGAGTAAACTCTGTAAAAGCGCAAAAATACGCTCTTACAGAGCTGGTGCAGAGCGCGTCTGGTAGCCAGCCTATCATCGGCGAAGCAGTACTGGCGACTGCTCCCCAAGGTGTTCTTCGTGAATGGGGTGGTCGCTGAGGAGAAGGTAGTCCGCTTTGCCCTCTCCTACATGTCCAAGGACTCGGCGGCCTCCTGGTCTGAGCGCATGTCCGAGCGCACCCCGTTCCCGTTCCCCACTTGGGCTCTGTTTGTCACTGAGTTCAAGCTCCGATTTGTCGAGGAGAACGAGCAAGACCACACCTTGGCGCAACTGGAAACCCATCAGTATTATATGGGCTCCCGCAACATATTCAAGTACATGGACGAGTACGACGACCTCCTTGACCTCGCTGGTTATACCGACAACTTGGTCAAGGTGACCAAATATAGGACGGGCTTGGACCCGAGGATCAACCAAGCCATCACCACCTCTACGCCGAGTGGCGTGTCCGTGCGTTCCGGCAGTACAATGCGGAACTCGCTGCCAGAGCTTCTCGAGGCCACACAGCGCCTCCTTCTCGGGCGCCTGCTGTTGCCCCCCATCCTCATGCCCCGGTGCTCCCTGCTGTAGCACCGGCCCTCGCTGCCCGCCCGGCGCCCGCCCCCGTCGCCCATCCAATTCCCATGGAGGTAGACCGGGCCCGGCTCCGTGGTGACATTTGACGCACCTGCTTCCGCTGCGGCAGTCCGGGTCATCTTTCCCGTGACTGCCCCACCCCAGCTGACATACGACACACTGATGTCCTTGATGAGGTCATCAATCAGCTGGGGAGTGATCTGCTGTCCGAGTTGGTTGCTCGGGTCGCAACCACTGCAGCCGTTGCGGATCACACGGCTGATGTTGCAGCTGAGGTGGAGCAGGGTTTTCTCCCCAGCAACGAGTGAGTAGTACGCCCTTGTTCGCTTCACGTAATCGTTTCTCCTGTTTGTATGATGAATCCAATTCTGTCCGCTCTGCAACAGTTGAAACAATAGACGTACACCCTGCCCCGCCTCCGATCCCACGAGTCCACAAGGAGAAGTGGGAACGCAAGCTCCCTTCCTGCTATGTCGTTGCTGCCTCCTCCGGGGCCAATTCCCTCAACCTCCCCCTGGAGATCTAGTCCACCGACAATGCAGTGAAGCTATCTCTCAAGGGCCTAGTCGACTGTGGCGCTACATCTGACTCCATCGATTCGGCCTACGTCCTTGAAAATCACCTCCCTGTTCGTCGCCTCACCCAACCTATCCCCGTTTACAACGTGGACGGCACGCCGAACGAGGCCGGTTCCATTTGCGAAGTTGCTGATGTGGTTCTCCGTTACCAGGGCCACAGTGAACGCGTGCAGCTTGCTGTCACCTGTTTAGGCAAGCAGCAGCTCATTCTAGGGTACTCTGTAAGGGCAACCTCGAGGCCCGGTGTCAGAGTCCTGGCAAGGGAGAATCCAAAGGTGATTAATAGTGGTAGCTAGGTACAAGACCGGCATACCTGGCAAGGGAGAATCCAAAGAGAAACCGTGTTGGGGATTCTCTGTGACAATCAACCCAAAAAAACAAAGTCGAAAAGAGAAGTGAATTCGAAGACTGGAGAATACAACCAAATAGCTACAGTATTTATACCCAAGTCCAGTCTGAGTCATATCTACAACTAATGAGTCATAGGGCTATGTACCGCATGGAGCACTGGTCATGGGTTGTAGTAGAACCTTCCGGAGCATATGTCGCGCAGCCTCGAATCGATAGAGATAACCCCTGGAACCCCTAGCCCGGACCGTCTGATGCCGTGATCCGTGATAAGATAGGTCGTGCCAAGATAAGATAAGATCGCCGATGATAAGATGAAAAAGAGTCGAATTATGACATTACCCCCTCTCTAGGGTCGATGTCCTCATCGACTGGGCCGATGGGCGTGAAGACGTTTTCGTAGGGATCGAAGAGTTGTCGCTGGGGATATGGAAGGCGCTCGTCTTTGGGTTTGTAGCGATGGATGAGATAATCCCAATGTCCGGCTTCGAGAGTTGGTAGGAGGCGAATGCGTGTGTCTGGGTTGGATTGTTTCCTCTGCCAATCTCTCAGGACCTTCTTCGCGTGGGTAAGGTGACGTGATGGTTCCCAGGTGTTCTCGCTGTGCGGCCATCCCTTCCATTTGACCAAGTACTGTTTTCCTCGGCCGACTTTTCGCTCTTTCACGATTTCTTCGACTTCCCACTCTTCTGCTCCTCCGATCATCCTGGCTACAGGCCTCTTCTCTCGGCGATGGGGGGGTGGTTCGTGATAGGGTGTCAACAGTGACTCATTGAACACCGGATGTCTTCGGTCCGTGTCCGGCAAATCCAGCTTCCATGCAGCCGCTCCAACCTTCTCCAGTATCTCGTATGGTCCCAATCTCTTGTCGCTCATCTTCTTTGATGGTCGATCCGTCTCGATATTTTCTCCTTCTATGTACACCTTCATCCCAACCTTCAACTCCGGAACTTCTTTTCTTTGTTTATCGTAGTATTTTTTCATTTTTTCTTTTGCTTTTTCTAGTGCTGCTTTTGCTTCGTCTTGTATTTCTTTGATTCTTTTCACAAATTCCTCCGCCGACTCGTTTCTCGACTCCATCCGTTGCTCCACTCCCTTCCACGGGTGATATCCGTGATTCGCATAGAATGGCGATACTTTGGTGGACGTGTTCATCTTGTCGTTATATGCGAACTCCGCCATTCCCAGCCACTCCGACCAGTCCGTTTGATGGTAATTGACGTAGATGCGGAGATAATGCTCGATCTCCTGATTCATGCGTTCTGTCTGCCCATCCGTGATCGGGTGATATGCGGTCCCCGGGTTCATTTCCACGCCCAACATCCGATTCGTCTCCCTCATGAAGCCCTTGATGTAACGCGAATCCCTGTCGGTGATGATCTTGCGAGGGATCCCGTGGTAGCGGAAGACTCGGTCCCTGGTTAATCGTGCCACTCCTTCGCTGCTGATGTCAGTACTGATTGGTTCGACATGGATCATTTTGGTGAAGGTGTCACACCACACATGAATTGCGTCATACCCGTTACTGACCGGCAAGGGTCCGATCTGATCCATGGAGATGATTTCCCACGGCGCGTTTGGAACTGCATGCGGGTGCAAACTCCCTGTCCTGGCTCTTCTGGTCTTGGTCCGCTGGCACGCTTCGCACGTCTGGATGTATTTCCGAATTTGGTTTCCCATCCTTGGCCACCAGTAGTTCCTTTCCACCATCTCCTGCGTTCGGTTGGTCCCAGCGTGTCCGACCAAAGGGGTGTCGTGGTGTAGTCCGATGATCTTGTCCCGCAACTCCTCGTCCCTTGGTACATAGAGCTTCCCATGATACGTGATGAGCCCATCTTCCTTCTTCCATCCGACGAGTGACTTCTCCAAGGCCGCCTTGACGCTTCCATCAACTGATCAAATGGCCTTGATTTCATCGATTAGCTGCTGATCCTGTCCCTCAAATGTGACTTCTTGTGATCGGAAAAACTCGGGCTTTAGTAGCGTGACGTCCTTGTTGTCGTTCTTGCCCTGATCGTGATCTGCTCGTCGAGATAAGAGATCCGCTTTGCGGTTGAGTGCGCCGGGCCGGTGTCGTAAGGTGAAATCGAACTCCGCCAACTCCGTGATCCATCGTGCTTGCCGTCGATTGAGCTTCTGCGGCTTCCGGAAGTACTCGAGATTCTGATGGTCGGTGAAGATCTCGAACGTCTCCGTGGCTCCCAGGAGTAACTGCCTCCATTCGTCAAGCGATAACATGATTGCGAGCATTTCCTTGTCGTAGATCTCGTAATTTCGCTCGGTTTCGGTCAGTGCGTGCGAAATAAATGCGATTGGGCGCCAAATGCCGTCTTGGTTTTGGCTCAAAACTGATCCCGTTGCCCCTTCCGAAGCATCGGCTTCCAGACGATATTGGCCAGTGTCATTTGGCAGTGCTAGGACCGCATCCTCCGCGATTCTCTTCTTCAATCCATCAAATGCCGCATGCTCATCTGCACCCCATGACCATCCTGCCTTTCCTGTCAGCCGTGTCAATGGCTTGGCAACCTCCGCGTATCCCCGGACGAAGCGCCGATAGAAGTTTGTGAACCCTAGAAACGCTTGGACTTGTTTGACGCTCTTTGGTTCGGGCCATTCCATCACGCCCTTGATCTTGACTGGGTCCATCCGCATCGAATTGTGTCCAATAATTACACCCAAATATTCGATTTCCGTGCGTTCGAACTCGCACTTTTCGGGCTTCAGGTATAGCTTGTGTTTTTGGAGCAATTCGAGCACTCGTTTCGTGATCCGCCGATGTTCGTTCAAGTTTTCTGTGAAGATCAGTATATCGTCCAGATAGACTACCACGTGACCCTCGTTGATCAACTCTCGGAGTATGTCGTTCATCATGTTTTGGAACGTTGCCGGGGAATTTGTGAGACCAAAGAACATGACCAAGGGCTCGTACAGCCCTCGGTTCGTGCGGAATGCAGCCTTCCACTCATCACCCTCTTTGATCCGTACATTGTTATATCCCCACCGGATGTCAAGTTTTGTGAAGAACTTGGCGCCACATAGATTATGGACTAGTTCGGATATCAGCGGCAGCGGGTATCGATTCCGAATCGTCATCTCATTCAGCTTCCGATAGTCTTGGACGGGGCGTAGGGAGCCATCCTTCTTCTTGACAAAGAAGAATGCTGATGCCATCGGTGATTTTGATGGCCTGATCCGTCCACTGGCCAAGTTCTCTTGTAGGAATTCGTCGAGTTTGACTTGTTCATTGCGTGATAACGGGTACACCTTGCAGTCCACTGCCTTGGAACCAGGTTTGAGCTCAATTGCGTGATCCCATGCCCGTCGGTCTGGTAGCGAGTCAAACGATTCCTTGGCGAATACTTTGACAAATTCCCGATATTGATCCGGAATCTTCCCCTCGGTCATCCTCTCCTTCTCTTTCTCCGCTTCTTCTGCGAATTTCTGTGCCGGCGTTTCCTTCAGCCGCAGGTCTACTTCCTTCCCAAAATCGACCAACAAGATCGATTCTCCCTCTTCCAGATCCGGTGTGCCCATGTTCAGGTCAATTGCGTCCATGTCAATCATCGCTTGATGTTCCTCGTGACCCCTCATGTGACACCGCTCTGGGCACCGGCTGAACCTCATGGTCTGCTCCTGCCAATCCACTTCGGGGTTGTGTTCCATCAGCCAATCGAGACCGATGAAGATCCGGGCTTTCCCCAAGCACGTCAGAAGGAACGTGCGTGTCTCCACATGAGGACCGATTCTCATCCTCAGATCGACGTAGTGCGTGATCCGACCGCTGATGTTCTCGGTGTTGTCGGCGTTACGAGCCACAATGGGTTGTGGGAGCTCTTGAATATCCAACTTCTCCGCCCGTGCGTAGTCGGTATCGATGCAACAGGTACTGCAGCCGCTATCGAGCAGCGCCTTGACTCCGCGCGTTTTTCCTGAGTCCAGACCCGTGATCTGGACATATACGTCCATCGAATGTCTCTTCCTTTCGGCCTGGTAGTCGCGCAATTCCTGCGCCAGTCTGCCGGGCTGCGGGCCCTTCTGTTTCTCGGCCGCCAATTTCCTCTGGACGGCATCTGGCACCCTGGTGCGTTTGGGTGCTTCTGGAACCTTGATTTCGGCAGATTCCTTAGGCGCTTCCTCCTTTTTCAAGGATTGAGCCTCCGGAGCGATGCTCCCCTTTTCGGTCTTTGTTGACGTGGTTCCTTCTCCACGAGCCATAAATATGTATGAATCCAAAATTAATTTATCTGCAGCTTTCTGATCCTTTTTACTTTGTAAATACTCTCTATTTAAAGCTATTTTTCTTTGGCGTTCTTTTTCCATATCAGCAATGAGAAAATCGTGAATATTCGTACGTAGTGAGTCCGAGATTGTATATGTATGTGTAGAATCGTTCATGTCTTTAATTGAAACAAGTACAGAAAAACGTCCATAGTCCGGACGCTCCACCTCCTTGGCTAGAGGAGTGGAGCGTTTCAAAAACCCTTCTCGCGCAGCTTCTCGGCAATCTCCTTGAGGAACTCGTTGTCCTTGTCCCCGTTCTCGATCTCTTCAAGCATCGTGGCCCGATTGAAGAATGTGCGCTTCTTTCTTGGTTCCGGGCAGTTCCGCGCAATGTGCCCCGGCTGCTGACAGTTGTAGCAGATGATATTGCGGCCGCGGGCGTGGGTACGATCGATTTCCATCGGAACCGGTTCGTTGGCAGCGGGTCGGGCCGGAGCGGGTGCGGGCGCCACTGGTGCCGCTTGGGGACGGAACTGGGGAGGTGGTCGTTGTGTGGGGTGCCCATACGACGCTTTGCGCAGCTGGTCACGCAGAGCATTGGCTTCAATGTTGATGCACCAGGCTTTGAACGCTCCATAGGCCTTGGGCAGAGGGACACCGGTGTTGTAGAGACGGCTGGCGATCTCGCTGCTGAGTCCGCGCTCCAGGAACTCGATGAGGATATTATCCTGGTCCCCCTTCTTGTATTCGCCTTTGTCGTCGGTGGTGTCGACCACATTGTAGCCTGCATCTGCGGCCAACATCTCAAAGTCGGAGATGTAGTCCGCGAAGGACCGTTTGTTTTGGCGCAGGGCCATAAGCCGAGCAGCGGCGACTTGTTCCGCATTGGAGTCCCCGAACGCCCTCTGAAACTCCTCCAGGAAGTTCTTTGATGTGACTCCTGCCTTCAGTCCCTGGAAGCCCTCGAAGTTGTGCTGCTTCCAGTTCATTGCCCATCTCGAGGCAGCGCAGCTCGTGCCGTTCTCGTTACGGAGGTAGGAGAGGACAAAGAGGATTTTGGTCTCATCCTGCGAGAACTCCGATCGATAGGCACCGATGTAAGTGGTGCACGCGTCCACAAAGCCCAGGTATTTGGACTTGTCGCCATCGAAGTAGGGGGGATTGGCGGCGAGGGTGATGCGGTGATGCCCTGACATGGTAGGGGTAGGCGTGTGAGGTGGGGGCGAGGGTGGTTGTTCGGAGGGCAGTTCGTCGAGGTCGGGGATCTCGTCTTCAGGCGGTGGGAGGGCGAGGTAGGGGTTGGAGGGCCCGGGTTGGTTTTGATGCGCCAGATCGGGCGACGATGGTATGATGGGGGGAGGGGACGGACTCCCAGACGACGATGGGAATCGGTACGAAATGGTGGAATCGTGTGCTGTACAAGCACTCGAGGGAGGGTTCTTTTGCTAGCAAAAAGATCCCGGGCCTAACTCTTCACGTGCCCGATGATCCCGAGGTGCGTTTTCCCGAAGGTCTCTGCAGCACTCCTTGTAGCTACCGTAAGGCTTGGGTCGGGCTCAACGTTACCCGTGGCCTGGTGCTGTTTGCTTGATATGAACCCTTCACTGCGATAGTGGAGGACGACTAGATGATTCGGTAAAAGGGTGAGTGGGGTGATAAGGTTTTAAGAGGATATAGCGGGCGTAGCGGTGCGGGATGCAGGGTAAGAGGTATGAGGTAGGAGGGTATGAGGGGAGTCTTCGAATTATGTGACAATCAACCCAAAAAAACAAAGTCGAAAAGAGAAGTGAATTCGAAGACTGGAGAATACAACCAAATAGCTACAGTATTTATACCCAAGTCCAGTCTGAGTCATATCTACAACTAATGAGTCATAGGGCTATGTACCGCATGGAGCACTGGTCATGGGTTGTAGTAGAACCTTCCGGAGCATATGTCGCGCAGCCTCGAATTGATAGAGATAACCCCTGGAACCCCTAGCCCGGACCGTCTGATGCCGTGATCCGTGATAAGATAGGTCGTGCCAAGATAAGATAAGATCGCCGATGATAAGATGAAAAAGAGTCGAATTATGACATTCTCCTTGCCAGGCGCCACTATTTATATGGTACAAGAACAATAGACCGCGCAGCGACAAACAAAGAACAATGGGAACAATAAGTACAATGGCCATGACAGAACAATAGGAAACCGAGACAGTGGGAACGATGGGACACCTGACCATGTGCCCGTCAGAGAGAAGCGCTTGGCGTGGCAGTCCGGGCCGCGGCACGTGACAGCTGACAGGTCACGCGAGCGCGATCACATGCCTGATCGAAGGCAGAGCGGTCCGAAGCGGGGGTTCCCCTGACATCACCCCCCCCTTGGATTGCGGCGCCTCGACGCAACGTGCGGATGGTGGCAGAGGGGTGCTGGAACGGAAGGGAGTCGAAGATGGCGGCAGCAATGATGCGTGGCTTGTTGGGGTGCTTGCGGTAGAATGCCGCTATAGCGTCCTCTGCGAAGATATCAGAGTGCTTAACCCATTGGTCGTGCGACGAATCGTAGCCCTTCCACCGCACGAAGTACCAAATGCTCCGATAGCGCATCTTGGCATCCAGAACTTCTTCGACTTCCCATTCCTCATCAGCTCCTTGGCCCATGACAGGTGGCGGCTCTTCGCGAGCCGGGCGTGTTGGGAACGGGTCGTCCTCAACGAGCTGCAGCTTGACAACGGGGAAGACCGGGTGAAGACCAGAGAGGCGGCGAGGGAGGTCAAGCTTGTAAGCGCCACGCCCAACGACCTGGGTGACTTTGAAGGGACCCAGCCGTCGGTGAGAGAGTTTGAGGGACGGGCGCGTTGTTGCTATGTCAGAAGCGTCAAGCCAGACTCGATCTCCGACCTTGATGTCTGGAGCTGAGACCCTCCGGCGGTCGTAGTACTGCTTGTACTCATCCTTTGCCTTCACCAGTGCCGACTTGGCCTCTGCCACTCCAGACGCGATGCGGTCGCGGAAGTCGTTTGCCGACTCGTTCACAGTTGAGCGTGGTCCATTCGGCTCGAAGCCCATGCGAGGGAGCCGACCGGTGTCGGTCATGAACGGGACCTGCTGCGTGGATGAGTGAACATGATTGTTGTAAGCAAACTCTGCAGCGGGAAGCAGCTCGTCCCAGTCGTCCTGGTTGTAGCTGGTGAAGATCCGGAGGAACTGCTCGAGCTCCTGGTTCACACGCTCGGTCTGGCCGTCCGTCTGTGGATGCCAAGCTGTAGACATTGCCGATGAGACCCCGACCAGTTTCCACAGCTCCTGCGTGAACTCTGCTATGAACTGGGAGCCGCGGTCAGAGACATACTTAGACGGCAGCCCATGGTGGCGCCAGACGTTCTTGTAGAAAAGCCTGGCGGCACCTTCACCGGAGAGCCGGGTGTGGCATTCTATGAAGTGGCTGCGCTTCCCAAGCATGTCAACAACGACCATGATAGCATCATACCCGTGAGCGTCTGGCAGATGCACAATGAAGTCGACCGAGACCGCTTCCCAGCGCTCCGAAGGGACCTCCGTGGGATGGAGTTCCCCGATTGGGAGTCGGCGGAGCGCCTTGGTTCGGCAGCACAGGTCGCAGGTGGCCACATACCGGCCGACGTGTCGAGACAACTGGGGCCACCAGTAGTTCCGAGAGATCAGCTCTAACATCTTGAAGCGGCCGGCATGCCCTGCGACGCGGGTGTCATGGTGCTGCTCGAGGATGCGTCGACGGAGGTCGTTGTTGCGTGGAACCACCAGCTTGCCACGGAAGTAGAGCAGGCCGCCTTCTTTTCGCCACTCCGCAGCCCGAGCAGAGCGAACTCCGCGTTCCTTGAGGAGCTCACGTGCTGCCAACACAATGGGCTCCTCCATGTCGGGGGTACCGGCGAGGGCCTCCCGGATGTCGCGTAGGAGAGGGGCTTCGGGTCCAGAGACAGTGAGACCCTCCAAGGCCCGGACATGGAACAGCTCCGGGCGCAGCAGTGTGACGTCTGCGTTGTCCGAAGCGACTCCGTGGTCGGGGCGGCGCGAGAGAGCATCCGGGCGGCCCATGAGGCGGCCAGGTTGGTGGTGCAGGGTGAAGTCGAACCGAGACAGATAGAGGGACCAGCGGGCTTGACGACGGTTGAGATTCTGGGCTCTCCGGAAGTACTCCAGATTTTTGTGGTCGGTCCAGATCTCAACGGGGTGCTCGGCGCCCTCGAGGAAGTGTCGCCACTCCTCCAGGGCGCGGACAATGGCGAGCATCTCCTTGTCGTGGATTTCGTAGTTCCGCTGGACCTCGTTAAGACTCTTCGAGAAGAAGGCAACCGGATGCCACTTGTCATCCACGGGGGACTGCTGCAAGATGACAGCACCGGTCGCGAAGTCCGAACTGTCTGCTTCGAGGCGGTAAGACCTGGAAGCATCCGGGAGCTGCAGGACTGGGGTAGAGGTAACAGCGTTCTTCAGTGCAAGAAACGCAGCTGCCTCGTTGGCGCCCCAAGTCCATGCCACGTCCTTCTTGGTGAGGTCAAAGAGAGGACGGGCAACGTGCGAAAAATCCCGGATGAACCTCCGGTAGAAGTTAGTGAAGCTGAGGAACTGCTGCACTTCCTTCTTGTTAGCCGGAGCTGGCCACTCCGCCACACCTGCGACCTTGACCGGGTCCATCTCCACATGGTTGTGGGAAATGATCACCCCGAGGTATTCGATCGACGGCATCTTGAACTCGCATTTCTCCGCGCGAAGGTAGAGCTTGTTCTCGTGGAGACGTCGGAGGACTTCGTTCACGATTTCCCGGTGACGGTGGATATCGGAATGTGCGATGAGAATGTCGTCGAGGTACACCATAACGTCGCCAGAGAGGATGAGGTCCTGAAGTATGTCATTCATCATCGTCTGGAACGTTGCGGGGGAATTGGTCAGGCCGAAATACATCACCAACGGCTCAAAGAGCCCGCGGTTTGTCCGAAACGCTGCCTTCCACTCGTCGCCTTGACGAATGCGCACGTTGTTGAAGCCCCAGCGAACGTCGAGTTTGGTGAAGAACCGAGCTCCCTTGAGCTTGTTGATGAGATCATTGATCAGGGGGAGCGGGTAGCGGTTCTTCACTGTCATCGCGTTCAGTGCTCGGTAATCTTGGACAAACCGTAAGCTGCCGTCTTTCTTCTTCACAAAGAAGACGGGGGACGCCATGGGCGATTTTGACGGCCGAATCCTGCCAGTAGCCATGCCCTCCTCGATGAAGCTGTCGAGCTGCTTCTGTTCAAGGGGGGAGATGGGGTAGACCTTACAGTTGGTCGGCTTCGCGTCGGGAACCAGTTCGATGGCGTGGTCCCAGGGGCGTCGCTCTGGCAGGTTGTCGAAAGACTCCTTGCTGAAAACATCTTCGAACTCGCGGGCCCACTCGGGGATGGAGTCCCGAGGAGGTGCAGAGTTCTTAGCGAACGCCTCGGCGAGTCGCTGAGAGACGGTGCTGGTGGCTCGGATGTTTTCAGAAGGGGTGAAGCGGGTGTAAAAGATACGGTCACCGGCTTCCAAGGAGTCGTCATCTTCTTCGACATCTTCAGGGTCATAATCGTCCGAATCTGGCGAGAGCTCTGGCATCTCTTCGTCCTCGTGGTCCTCAACGTCGACAGCGCAGATGGATGGAACCGGACCTTGTCGGATGGTGCGAAGCACCCGGGCCGCGGTTCTGGCAGATCGACGTTCTTTGCGAAGTTCCTCCCGGCAGGTGGAGCAACCGGAAGGGCAACGGCTCATCTTTACCTCCTGGGTATCCCAGTTGATCTCCGGGTTGTGCTTCCGGAGCCAGGAGTACCCTAGAATGAGCTGCTGCTTGCGTAAACGGGTGACAGCAAGCTGCACGCGTTCACTGTGGCCCTGGTAACGGAGAACCACATCAGCAACTTCGCGGATGGAACCGGCCTCGTTCGGTGTGCCGTCCACGTTGTAAACAGGGATAGGCTGGGTGAGGCGACGAACGGGGAGGTGATTTTCGAGGACGTAGGCCGAGTCGATGAAGTCGGATGTGGCACCGCAATCGACCAGGCCTTTGAGAGATAACTTCACTGCGTTGTCGGTGGACTCGATCTCGAGGGGGAGGTGGAGAGAATTGGCCCCGGGAGAGGCGGCAGCGACATAGCAGGAAGGGAGCTTGCGTTCCCACTTCTCCTTACGGACTCGTGGGGTTAGAGGGGGAGCAGGGTGTACGTCTATCGCTTCAACTGTTGCAGAGTGGAGGGAATTGGATTCATCATACAAACAGGAGAAACGATTACGTGAAGCGAACGAGGGCGTACTACTCACTCGTCGCTGGGGGGAAAACCCTGCTCCACCTCAGCCGCGACATCGGCCGCGTGTTCTGCGACAGCTGCAGTAGTCGCTACCCGAGCAACCAACTCGGAGAGCAACTCACTTCCCAGCTGATTGATGACCTCGTCAAGGACATCAGCATGACGGATGTCAGCTGGGGTGGGGCAGTCACGGGCAAGATGTCCCGGACTGCCGCAGCGGAAGCAGGTACGGCGGACGTCACCGCGGAGCCGGGCTCGGTCGACCTCCATGGGAACAGGGTGGGCAACAGGGGCCGGCGCCGGGCGGGCGGCAACAGCCGGTGCTACAGCAGGGAGCACCGGGGCACGAGGACGTTGGGCAATGGGGGGTGCCCGAGGGGGAGGGGCAGCATGCCCCCGAGATGCCTTGGCAGCAATTTCCGCATTGTACTGCTGGAAAGCACGGACACGCCATTCGGCGTAGTCGGTGAGGCTGGGAGGATTGCCAGAGGTGGTGATGGCCTGGTTGATCTTCGGATCCAGGCCTGTCCTATATTTGGTCACCTTGACCAGGTTGTCGGTATAACCGGCAAGGTCAAGGAGGTCGTCATACTCGTCCGTGTACTTGAACACATCTCGCGAGCCCATATAATATAGATGGGTCTCCAGTCGCGCCAGGGCGTGGTCTTGCTTGTTCTCCTCGACGAATCGGAGCTTGAACTCGGTGACAAAGAGAGTCCAAGTGGGGAAGGGGAACGGGGTGCGCTCGGACATGCGCTCGGACCAGGAAGCCGCAGAGTCCTTGGACATGTAGGACAGGGCGAAACGGACTACCTTTTCCTCCGAGACTACCCCGCTCTCGAAGAACGCTTCGGGAAGCAGCCGCCAGTACTGCTTCACGGAGTGCAAGAAGCTCTTGCCCAGGGTGTGATCCCCATCAAAGACGAAAGGGGGGTTTGGACGGATGAGAGGGCGCGCAGAGTTAGCGCCAGCAGAAACACCTGGACCCGCTGCCGGAGCTGGAGCAGGGGCAGGGGCAGGGGGCGGTTGTTGTTGTTGGGTGATGAGCCGGGTGAGCACGGCTTCGATATTCGTTATGCTGGTCTCCAGAGCAGACAGCCGCTGCTGGTCGTGGTCTTCCATGCTCATCGGGTCTGCTTGTGGAGGGGAGGAGGGGGCAAGATAGGAGGTGAGGGAGTGGTGGTCTTGGTCGCTCGTCGACTCTTCTCCACTGGCGTCAGCGTCGAACCTCGCAATCTTGTCCGGTTATCCCTAGGAACACGGTTTCTGCTGTAAGGGCAACCTCGAGGCCCGGTGTCAGAGTCCTGGCAAGGGAGAATCCAAAGGTGATTAATAGTGGTAGCTAGGTACAAGACCGGCATACCTGGCAAGGGAGAATCCAAAGAGAAACCGTGTTGGGGATTCTCCTTGCCAGGCGCCACTATTTATATGGTACAAGAACAATAGACCGCGCAGCGACAAACAAAGAACAATGGGAACAATAAGTACAATGGCCATGACAGAACAATAGGAAACCGAGACAGTGGGAACGATGGGACACCTGACCATGTGCCCGTCAGAGAGAAGCGCTTGGCGTGGCAGTCCGGGCCGCGGCACGTGACAGCTGACAGGTCACGCGAGCGCGATCACATGCCTGATCGAAGGCAGAGCGGTCCGAAGCGGGGGTTCCCCTGACATACTCCTGGCTCCGGAAGCACAACCCGGAGATCAACTGGGATACCCAGGAGGTAAAGATGAGCCGTTGCCCTTCTGGTTGCTCCACCTGCCGGGAGGAACTTCGCAAAGAACGTTGATCTGCCAGAACCGCGGCCCGGGTGCTCCGCACCATCAGACAAGGTCCGGTTCCATCCATCTGCGCTGTCGACGTCGAGGACCACGAGGACGAAGAGATGCCGGAGCTTTCGCCAGACTCGGACAATTATGACCCTGAAGATGTCGAAGAAGATGACGACTCCTTGGAAGCCGGTGATAGGCTGGCTACCAGACGCGCTCTGCACCAGCTCTGTAAGGGCGTATTTTTGCGCTTTTTACAGAGTTTACTCTTGAACCACTCGGTGTATCGTGTCGCGGTTGACAGTGTTGCACTCAGTAGGACTTAAGGGTCTACTGCCCAGTTGACAACTGTGGATAGTGTCGACAATAGCAAGGCAGTCAGACCACTACTGTGGAATTGGTCTTATGAGTCTATACCAGGCTCAGGGCTATTAGTGACGAATGCTTGGACCGCGACAATTCCCCAAAAAGGGATCTTTGTTGCGGCGACTTCTCAAAAAGGGTCATTCTCTGCAGATGGGAACTCGGGCTGAAGGGCTGAGCAATGTGCGACGTTCTCAATAATACAACTACGACTGGACAGGACTTGGCGTTATGAGATTGAACCAATCTTGTCGCGGCAACTCCCGGTTTTGAGTTGGACGTTTCCTCAGATCATGCCACGGCGACGACTTGTCACATGTCAGGATCCATTCGATCACAGGACATTGTGGACACGTCGCGGTGACACTTCCAAGTGTCACGGCGAGTCGCGTCCATACCCAAACACACTAAAATCGACACGGGCTAGATCCGTGAACCGAGCCACGTGGGGAACGACTGGCGTGCCTAGGACCATACGGCTTCTTGGGGCACCCACGTTGGCCTCACTTGCCAAGACATACCCGTCAGCCAATCCAACATGTTGTATTCCAAAAGTATGACGCGGTGGGTTGACCCACATCAAAAGTATCATATGGACTATGGGGTGGGGTCCTGATCACTCAGGACCTGTCCGATTGTCCAACTTTTCATTACTCTAAAAGGCAACCGATCTTAGATAGCGTAGCTACTATGCAGTTGTACAGGATTTTACTAAGCATTGTCGTAGACAGTATAAGTAGCACGTTGTTTCTTTGTATTAGAAAGCTTTCCCCCGGACTGTGAATCACTCTCATATCAGATTGTTTTGTACAATTTGCGTGTCGCGTGATTCCACCCTAAGAAGTTCTGCCACCCCTGCCCGGTCGCGACGAGTTGCTCCCTGAGCACTTGTAGCTACTGTGATTTGAGTTCAAGTTTTGAGATACCAGAAAAGTCGGATTCGCCGCATCTGGTTTAGTCATGGCATTTAGTGTCGTCGCCTTTGGGCTTTGTTGAGATTGTTCCACACCTTTAGCTTGGCAGTGCGTCGACTAGTTGTGCTCGGGTTGTTTTGGTCAGTTGGCAGTGCGTCGACTTGAGAACTTTGGTTCCACACTTCTTGCTTGGCAGTGCGTCGACAAGTTGTGCTCGGGTTTTGGACATTGGATATTGGCTGTTAGTTGGCAGTGCATCGACGCGGCATTTTGGTTTACTAGTTGGCAGTGCGTCGGCTCAGTACTTTTGGTTGTGTCAGTTGGCAGTGCGTCAACTCAGTATATTGGTTGTATCAGTTGGCAGTGCGTCGACTTGATATTTGGGCTTTGCGTCACCATCTAGACGCTGTCGCTACAAGGGATCTTAATACTTCGTATTAAGCTCTGACTTGTCATATCGTTGGTTGTGGATTGGATTAGTGTTGGTTGTGTTTGTATAGAAGATATTGGTTGAGACACCACTGTTTGCTATATATATATATCCTTGTCGTCGACTTCGTCTTCCGCGACTATTGGATCTGCGTCTATTGAGAGTTGTGATACTGGTGTTCTGTCCACCCCGAAGCCCTCGCATCTTTCACACACTGAGAAGCTGATTACGAGGAGTGTGAACGTGTTTATATTTGGGTTTACTTTCATAGTAGATTCACTTGTGAGCGCGCACTCAGCATTTCAGCGGGGGGTGCCCGCAGGGGTGCCAGTGGGGGTGCAGGTAGAGTTGCAGGCAGTGAGTTATGGCAAGAATGTATGCAGTCCCAGTAGCAAAAGCAATCATGTATGTTTCTGCAGTTTGTCTTGCGAGTATCCAAGCTCTAAGTGGAAAGAATTTTGTATATGAAATCTGAATTCATGCTCAATCTCTGGCTATTGTGAGACAACTTATTAGTGAGTTAGTTTATCCTCTTATATACAACCCAGGAATGAATTGAGGGCATGTCAAATCCGCTATGTTCCATCTGTTCATGTTGCAGCTTGAGAAAATCATTTGCAAAGCATCACAGAACTTCTGATTTTCAATGAGTCCCAGTCAGGAAGTGAGACATTCAATGTGTACTTGACATGTGGTACAATGTGCCGCAGGGTAAGATTACACTGTGCTAACAGTGTGAACAATTTACTAATAGCGATGTATGTAGAATGAGCACACCAAAAAATCAATGAGATGACAGTGGACCCAGTGCAGCCAACCTACCCACCCTGCCGGTCAACACATGAACAAATCATAACTTGTATTTGACCCTACATAGACAGATTATACAGGTACTGTTGCATGTTTTCAACATCCCAGGCTCTGCTAAAGCACAAGGGAATCAAATATCTTTAGCTGCAGACCATACCAAGAAACCCCTGCCAAATTGAAGGATAATTATGTGACATTCTATGGCCATGGCCAGAATAGATACATCAAAATTTGATATAATGCACCCCTGCCCCTGCAGTAGACCTTGCAGTGGGCCCCGCATCTGACCCCTGCATCAGTTTCAATGTCTTCCTATAAATTCCCAGTTGGCCTGTTGCCCTGCTCACCTCTACAAGATCTTCAATGAACAAAAATGGATTATAACAGACCAACCCTGGGGCAGCCCCTGGAGCACCCCCCCGCAGCACCCCCTGGGGCAGCCCCTGCATCACCCCCCACGGCACCCCCCGCAGCACCCCCCGTGGCACCCCCCGCGGCAGGCCCTGCGGCAGGCCCTGCCAAATGATGGGATCAAGTGTGTCACCAATCCCATTGTGCAGGGTGCATTTTGGTTTTTCTAAGCTCAAGTTCATGTTTAACTAGCCTATTTACCTATGGAAATTATACTGGGATGATTTGGGGAGTCTTCCATTTTTTTGGCGGAAAATCACGTGATTTTGCGCCCATTGTCTGCCACAGCATGCAATGTATCAAGCAGCATTTCCAAAATCATGCCAAATGCTGCAAAAAAGGCGCCCAAAAAGTCACGTGATAATGCGCCCACTGCCCACCATGGTGTGCGGGGGGGTGGTAGTGACCCCGCCAATGATGCCGCCAACCCCTGCCAGCATTTTGGTAATATTTTGTGCAGCGCATCACGTGATTTTTTTATCCCGCCATCCCGCCCATGCAGCGCGTCATGTGATTGGATTTTTTTTTCCCGCCCAGCTACCTGCTCTTATGGACAAGTCACATGCTACATGCACCCCCCCTCCTCCTGACCCCCGCATATGCCCCCGCTACTAAATCGACTAAATGCCCCCCCACCCCCCGCCAGGGGGTACCTACTGGGTACCCTCAGCAAGACGTCTGAGGGTACCCAGTAGGTACCCCGCGGGGGGAGAACCGCGTGATGGCGGTGGTAACTGAGGTGGAGCTGAAGCTGGGTTTATTCAATTACAATCTCTCGCTTGTCTTTCCGAGAGACACTCCCCTGGCACTGGCTCGCTCGCATATCGAGGACTACAAGTCAGGCCGGCGGAAGTTCGACTCTGATATTGCGCAGGGCGAGTATCAATACAATCCTTTTGTTGTCGATGTTTTCTGCATGGCGTACTGCATGGGTCAAGGAATCCAGGTACGTGTGTTATTGTCCGGCTCATTCCTTCTGATTCCAGCTCTGCTCAGCATCTGGCACCCATCGCACCGATCCTCCCACCGATCATTGACGGCATGATACACTGGCATGTGCCGTCTAGATTGACTGCAGAAGGGGCCCTATCTCTTCTCTGCGATCTCAGAGCGGTGTACCATTCTGCCATAGCGCATCTGGCTGCGCCTACACTCGGAGGGATGGGTTGCGGATATCCATCCTTGATGGGTGGCGACCGCTGGAAGGGACTCTCTGAAGGGTTCATCTATCGCTGGAAACCTCTACGTACACCGCTGATTCCGCATCGTATCTGCCTCCTTTGCTCGTTCGAGCCTATTTGTACGATTGCGCAATCACTTCGCCTCGCAGTAAATCATCTCTCAAGCCGGCCATCAGCCGGCCATATATCTCTGTTTCAACCGTGGACATTGGACAACTTATGAGAGTAGCCGTCTCGTAGTCACGGGATCGTCACGAGGCATCACGAGACTATTACGTGCTCATAATCTGTCTGGACGTTCTTGCGGACAACCAGCATGAGCCAGGACCAGCCTCTTGTGATTCCCTTTTCACTGGACGAATACGGACCCGCGCAGCCTCTTACCGAAGAGTTCGAGTTTTCAAAACGACTACAATTCTGGGATGGGCCCATTCGCGCGTTTCTATCAGAGCGGGGTTATACCCTGAACAGGTTCGAGATATTTGGAGACAAGGGATCAACCTTCGGCTTTATGTACCCCGCACTCGAATTCTCTCCATCTGCAGCTCCGAAAGATCCTCGCTACGCGTTTGTCGATACACCTACAAGTTTTGTTTCCTTAACCTCAAAACCATTCAAGTATCACATCTATGTGGGTCCATGCTTCGTTTTCGAGCCTGCTGAACACTGAGCCTCTCACAGGGAAAGGTGGCGTTCGCTCAGGAAACTTCGCATCCGGAGAAACACATCGCCGTCAAGCTCATTAGGAATGACAGTCCCGAGTATCAAATCATGAAAACATTACTGGAGGACGCTGACGGGAGATTCATTCGTGGCTTAGTTCCGGTTCTTGATCTTTTTCCGTTCTGTGGCCATTGGCTGGCAGTCACCCCTCGGTACGTCAGACTTACTTCGTGTTTCTAGGTGACTAATGGGGGTCTGCGTAGATGGGGCGATGATGCAAGGGCGCCCTGGCCATCGACTATCGGCCAGGCACTTGATCTGCTCGAAGACGCCCTTTCTGGCTTGGCGTACTTGCACGAACGGAGAATCGTTCACAGGGTACTGAATCATCTCGTCCTTACCTTCTACCTTTGTGTTGACATAAGGCAGGACATCTCTTTCAGTAATATGCTCACAAACCACATTCCGTCCCAGCGATTCAGCGACGTGTCCGATGCAATGCGCAGTCGTCTTCGGAATCAAAGGGTGTTGACACTGGGCTTATTCGATTACAATCTGTCGTTGGTCTTTCCCCGGGATACTCCGCTAGAACTGGCACGTTCAAGTTACGAAGACTATTTTCTGGGTGCATGGAAGCCGCATCTCGACGTCGGTCATGGAGAATATCAGTACAATCCTTTTGCTGTCGATGTTCTCGGTGTCGGATACATCATTGGCAGAGGATTCCAGGTATGTCAGCCTCCTGCTATGGCCTAGACTGACTTTTTGCAGCACATGACGCCAGTTGCTCCCATCCTCGCACCTGTCATTGATGGTCTGGTCCATTGGCACCCGCCATCGAGGCTCACAGCTGCGGCAGCGCTTGATCTCCTCCGCACGTTGAAGGCAGAATATGGCCCTGGAATCGTCAATCTCGCTGCGCCCACATTTCAGTCGATGGGATATGATGAGCTTCCTCTACTCGAAGAATTTGATAGATGGAAAGGCCTTCCCGAGGAGTTTATCGCCCGATGGAAACATCTGCGCACCCCTCCCGTTCCGTTCCACAGACGTCTTCTCCACTTCCTTTGCTCATACGAACCCGTTTCTATCGTTGTTCGCCAACTCCGACGCTTGGTTGATGCTTCTTGTAGCCGTACTTATGTTTCTCTGTCTACCGATGACATCTGTGAACCGCAGCTATGACGTTTCAATTCGAGATATCGTTTCGCACCGGCTGACCCACGTCTCTCCTACAACAACCGGGGCAGCTGACGCCTCCCAGTCTGCCACCATCTTCACTGCATTCAGGGCCTAGGTAGTCAATGCATGGGCGCGTGGGAACGATTAGTGGAGGAGTACAGCCGCTGATGGGCGAGACCGGACGAGACAGCTCGGTGCACGTGGACTACCTATTTCGGTCTGGAATTTGGGCGCCTGGGAACGATATGCGGGCTACCTGTCGAGTTCGCATCATGGACTACCTTAGGCTCCTGCTCTCGTTCAATGGCGGAGGATCTCGTCCTCTCCGCGCTCCAACCCTGCCTCCTTAGCATTAACATAATCTTATTTGTGATCTTTGGGACAGAACGTGTTGATGAGTGTGTGATATGTGGGTGATATGGTGAGTATGTTCAGGCAATTAAGCTTTGGGACCGCCTCCGACCCTGCGCACGCAATGAGCATGATGCCTGCAGGCATGACTTATATCCCTCCTTGCACTTTCCGCTCTCTTTCGTGATCACAATCCTTGAAATCTGCACCGACAATTGCGCCGAACCATCCATGGATCAACAACAGCACTTGGGGCATGGTCCACCGCCTACATGCGTGGGAGAACGACTTCATCTGGCTCAAGGCAACTGATCATGGGCTTCTAGGTCCCTTCCACATGGCACGCCACGCTCCTTCACCTTGCCGACGCTGCAGCTCAACAGCCCGTGGGACGTGTTTGGACTACCGTGGGATGCCGTTTGACTACCGTGGGCGCCAATTGGGCTCGATCGGGCGCATATGTCAAGAATAGCCTCTGACGTGGGAGTCTCAAGTAGGCATCTGGAGTTACGTCATCGACTACCTGGGAACATCAGGCGCCATCTGCCGACAACAGCGGAGGTTGGTAGTTCATCATTTCCGACTACCCAGGCCCTGAATGCAGTGCTTGCGTTCGAGGGACCCATGGGATGATATGGACCTTTCTGTCTCTCTAGTTTTCGATCGAGTATCACTGCGAGTGACAAGTAGTTAGTACGTGCCACTTGGATCATATGAATGGAAATTAGTCGTCAGACTCAGCGTAGATCTGCATATAGTCACTACACACTCGTGGCACATAGGGCCATTGGTCTGGTCTCAAGTGCCCTCGAGCCCCAATCCGGAGGCCAGGGCAAAACGTTCTCCACATCCATGTTCTATTTGCAGTGATAAAGAAAAGCAAACTATGCCTTTCTAGAGGAGCAGAAAAAAGGACATCATGACCAAGTACTATTATTGAGTGCGAGTGGATCGTGACATGAACTAATCGAGGGGCTCCAGGAGCTCCTTGGGCGTGTTTGTGGCATCATCGCATCGGATATGAGCAGTCCACAACTGTCCGAATGACATGCTATACATATATACAGTGCAAGTAGATAAGTTAGTGTTTTCACCAGAACGCACACCAGCCCGCAAAGCACTGGCACAGATTCTCCAGCGACATCGCCTGCTGGATGAGCATCTGCACCTGGTCCGGCACCGACAGCGCGACCTCCTCGTTGAAATCGCGGCCCGTCAGCTTGTGCTGCACGCGGTTGAACACCTGCAGCGCCTGCTTGTTGCGCACCTCCTGCTCGCCCGTCTCGTTAAAAATGTCGTTTTCGTTCGTCCGCAGGTGCCGCGTGATCCCTTGCGGTCGCGCGGACACCCAATCCAGGTTCCCCGGTCGGCCAGCAGACGCTCCCGGTTCTGGTTAACAGATCCCATTGATCAGCAAGGTAGACAAAGGGAAAAAGACAGCCAGCACGCACCATTCACCGCCTCCGCTTGCATCAACCGCCAGTTGATCAGCGGGTCGTACACAAACGCCTCCAGCACAGCCATCAACGACTCCTTGTTCTCTCTCAGCACGCGCATCGAAATCTCGCACGTCCGCCTAAACGAGCCTTCGATCCCGCTGACCTCCATCGCATGCGTCAGCATGCGCGTCAGCCGGAACGGGATCTTCTCCGGGAACTTGTCGCGGTGCATCGCGACCTCGAAACAGTCCCCGAAATCGATGTGCGCGACCTTGCCTGTCGGCCGCTCGAGCATGATGTTCGACGGGTGTCGGTCGCCCAGCCCGAGAATGTGCCCCGCCATGCTCGTCACCGCGAGAGAGCGCGTGTAGCATGCCCGCCGCTCGAGCCAGTGCTCCGAGTTGGCACTCTTCAGCCAGAGGATCTTGTACAGGTCCTGGCCCGAGGTGTTGTCCATCGCATACTCGAACACTTCGATCTTGTTCAGCAGCGGCAGGTCTTCGTAGTCGGGAGCCATCTGATAGAAAGTGAATCAGTCAATCGCGTGCGTAGCAGGCCACCAGCAACTACGCTCACCTGCAGCATCAACCGATACTCGATATTCAGCAGCAGCTTGATCGAGTTCCTGTAGTCCCGGACGAGCTCATGCAACGTGTCGCTCTCCTTGATGACACCAATAAGCCCCACGTTCGGCGCGAGCGGGATCACAGCGTAGCGATGCACGTTGAGCTGTCGCTTGAAACTGTCCGTGTCGACCGAGAGCACCGTGTTCACCAGCGTGAAGAACTGCATCACCCGTTCGTCCTGCCGCAGATCCTCGTGGCCCTTGAGGATATAGTGGTAGTCGACGCCGTCGCTGCCCGTCAGATGCATTCTCCGCGGCCGTTGCTTCGAGTTGATCACAGTCAGGCGAGGTGCGAAGCTCGAGATATAGACAATCTCCCGTCCGCTTTGATATGTTCCTAGGATGTGTGTGTCAGTATTCAATCCCAAACGGGCGTAGCAGTAGACTCACCGGGAACAGCCAGATCCAGGTTCTTCGCCTGGAGCAGTTCTGGTGACACATACTGCAAGTCCAACGCCGTCAGCTGCGGCAGCTGCTTCTCGATCTTGTGGAACACAGCAAGGTAGATGCCCCATGCATTATCGAGCTCCCGAGTCTCACCAAATTGACGATACCGTCTGCATGCATCCCGAGCATGCCTCAGCTCCGTCCCGAATACCTGGGCAAAAGACGTCTCGCGAACAGTTTGCGGTCCCTATTGGTTTGAACAGAAGATCTTAGTTCGCGCTCCCTGAAGAAGAAAGGGGAGAAAACCACTGACAGCGTCCAGAATCTGGTGCAGCGGCTCCAGAATCGCAAGCATCCCCGCTGGATTCATGAGCGTGTAGTACATCCGCGAGGCCTCCTCCAGCCCCTCATGCCATAGCTCATGCCACAAGATGGCCACGCGGATCAGCTCGCGACTGACCACACTCGCCTGCTCGACGATCTTCGAGCTGTGTTCGCCCATGCGGTCCATGATCGCCAGCGCCGCATTCTTCCGCGACTCGCTCGGCGACTTGGACGCCACCGTCAACGGGTAGATCAGCGCCTGTGGGTGGTGTTTGCCCACTTCCGTCAGCAGCGCGTTGATGTTCCTCCGGATGCTCGCGTGCGGGGTCTGGATCCGCGCGATAATCTGCGGAATCACGGGCAACCACGTGTCGATCTTGACCATCGAGAACCCAGACGCGATCGAGTGCGAGATATCCTCGTGCGCCCCGTACTTGAACCAAAGCGTCAATAACCGCAGGGTGTCTTGCAGTGCGTCCTCGCTGCGCAGTGCAATGGACCGGAAGAACCCGTCCACGGATTGCACCACGTGCGATGCGAGTCGCTCAGTTGATATGTCACGCGTCCTGCCTTCGACCTGGGCATTGTCCATTTGACTGACGACGTTGACTAGTAAAGACGTCAGAGAAATGTCTCAATAATCCAAGAGACCCACAGTTGGCCATCGCCCAGGTGTGCCATGCCTTGTACCAGCACTTGTCGTAATTGGTCGCATAGAAATACGACTGCAGAACATCCTTCAAGCCGTTCGGTTCCTTCCAAAACAAATCAGTCATCACCGAAACGAAAAACAACAAAGGCAACAAACCCGGTACCAGTTCTCGTCCAATGCAACCTGCCATTCACCCTGCTTGAAGTAACACCTCGCAAGCAGCCTACTCAGCTCGTTCAACCGCTGTTTGGGCATCCCCACACTATTCCGATGCGCTTGGTCCTGCGACTCGACATCAAAGTCCTTCGCGAGGCTGACTGTGAACTGCCGAAGCTCCGCAAGGCACGTCTCCCGGGATCCTTGCGCCCACATATACTTGAGCTGGGCATAGACAACGTTCGGGGGTGCTTGGGTGTGCTGATGGGGGTACTCGAGGATCTGGACCAGAAATCGCTGTCAGTTACCGTATCTCGGCGGAAAATGACGGCGTACCCTGGTGCTCTCCGGCGACAGCAAAGAGCTGATCGTCTTCTCCGCCAAAGCCATCCGATCCGACTTGCGGCACAGGTTGGCAAACTTGATGAAAGCCGTGGGGTCGTCTTCGGGGCTCAGAATGAGCGTGCGGACTTGCAGGATCCGCTGCCACACTTCGACATCGGGTTGGCAACCCTGCAGCCGCTTCATCCAGGTGCTGCGCATGGTCTGACGTCGCTCGGGTTGGTCCGAGCATTGCTTGTACTGGATGACCTCCTCGAGCTCTGAAAGCATCTGTGCTCGGACCATGACACTGAAACGCGTTCAGCACAAAAACAGAAACGTCGTAGCCGGCACTCACTTGTAATACCTCGCATAAGCATTCCCCGCAAACGAAGTCAGTTCCGGATGCAACAATTCTCTCGCTTTGCCGATATGGCTCTGCGCCTTGTGGAACTGATTGTGATGCACCGACAAGATCGCCCGGTAGAAGAACCGATCCGGCGAATCTGAGCGCATCGTAGCGATGTAGGCGTCCATCGAGTCCCATTCGTTCAGGGACCAAGCAGCCGCAGCCGCCATCGGCGCGATAGCCCTTCGCTCCTCGTGGTTCGCATGTGGCCATCTTTCATCAACCTCGGCCGCCAGGTGTTCCCATTCTCCCAGCGCATGCAGACACCGCATCCTTCCAATCTGCACATCGATCGAATTGGGATCCGATTCGGCCTTTTCGTCGTACACCGTCAACGCCTCCTGCCACCGACCAAGTCGCTCGTACCACTCCTCGGTATTGGTGACGTCATACTGCTCGCGTGCGGTCAACAACGCGCCGGACGCCGAGTCGTGCTGTTGCAAACGAGTGTTGATGGAGATAAGCGACTCGAGGATGGCGGGCGACGGATTGCTGAAGAACTCGAGCTCTTTATAATGCAGTGCCTTGGCATAGGCGAGGAACTTCATCGAGTACTCGCCCAGCATGCTGTGGTCGATCGGAAGTGGCTTTTCTTCGTGTTCCATAAATTCACAGAGGTCGAGCAGTCGACGGATGACTTCGGAGGGTGCAAAGGGCGAGGTAATAGCAATCTCAATCGCGCGAACGAGATGGTCCTGCGAAATAGGTTTAATATTCGTCTTACGACACGATGAACAGCCGGGCGCACCTGATACTGCTCATACAATTCGCTCCAACAGCTGTAGAACGCCGGGTTGAACAACTCCTTTTCCAGCACCGTATTCGTCTCGACAAGATTCACGCAAGCTCTCAAGGCATGGGAGGGCGACTCTTTAATCAGCTCGACACCAAGTCGATGGATCCAGTCGATCCAGTCTTGGCGAGCTGTGATCTGGGCCGTCTCCCAAGCTTGTTTCAGATGCACTTGGTTGACAGCGAGCTTTGCTGGCTCGGCCACAGCGAATTCCGAAACCTTAGGCTCGTTGATCCTGGTAAAGGAAAAGGAATCAGTTATCGACTGGTGCTTATCATCAGACCTACTGCGAAGTACTCGGTTCCTGTACCACTCGCTCGCCGTTCAATAGCTGGTTCACGGCCCGGTCGTAGACAGCATGTTGAATCGGGTGCCGGAGCAAACACTTGCGACAAGATAAGATAAGCCAAGCCCGTTCACGTGTCGCATGTAACACCACGCACCTTGTTTATTGTAGGCACAAAGATAACAAAATCGGAACCCAGTTGGGCGATCAGAGAGCACAACGTGTCCAAGACAGCAACTCTTAACTCGCTTGGTGCCCTTTCCAGGATACGCATCAAAGGATGCACGATACGGCTCGCATGGTCCGAAAAGTTGACCACCTTCGACAGCCTGTCGATGGTCACAATCGCTTTTCGTCGAAGGCTGATGCTCCCAAAATTAGACTCCGCGGTGCGCATGATGATGGGCACAACGAGATGCAGATATTCCTCGATATTGGCTCCAAACGTCTGGAAAGCATCGAAGATCTTGAGCTGGGTGCTCATCCGCTTCTCGCTCAGCTCGCCTTCCACCTGGAACACTTTTAGCAGCAGCGGCAGGATGGCCGGCAGGAAGGGTTTGATTTCGGCTGTTAGCGCTCGGCCGACGGCTTCGATGAGGACCACGATCGGAGTCTGCAGCGTCGAGTTGTCCCACAGCTCAGTCACAAGCCCGAGCACGTCGGCAGCGTGGTTTCTCACGTGCTGTTTGATGATACCGATAAGAATGGCGAGCTGCTGTAGATGGAACTCTTGCAATCGTGGGGTAGATGTTTGTGTCACTGCGATAAACGCAGGCATGATCTAGTGGTGTGTCAGTCGTTATTCAAGGTGTATCACACGCAATGGATAGCTTACTTCTGGTAGGGAGCTGACACACTTGAGCCCCTGAGTCTTGAAATTAGACATGATTGCCTCGATCACGGTATGATGCTGAGAGCTGGACGCTGGATCCTTGAGAACTCGGACCAATGCAGCGACGACGACCGATTGGAAGTAATCGTCCGTCGATGAACTGGTGCTTGCTATCGTCAGTGGCACTTTGTTCAGAGCAATCTCTGTGCTGGCCTCAGCATCAGTTCCGGTCTACCAAGAGCATCAGCCAAGGAGAATGGTTCGGGGAAGAACGATTGACCTTGCGCCGATAGGGATCCATGGCACCCAAGACACCCATCACTCGCACAACCTCTCGCTTCACTGCTTCGACTTGGCCGGTTTGTCCACCCACATCCGCCCTCAACAGCCTTCCCAAAGTCGGTAAGAGCGTAGGGTAGTCAATCAAGGGTGTGATGACGTAGCCGCTACTGGAGCAAACACGCCCTAGCGAGCTCAAGGCAGCTTCACGTTTCACGAGAGAGGGGTCGGCTAGTCCTGCAACGAGGGTGGGCATCAACTCGGGCAGAAAATCGCGCGCATCTTCGCCCGCGACACTGGCGAGAGCCCCGATGCAGAGTAAGGTGCTCGCTGAGACTCCTCCGGCCTGAGCGGACTTGATCTTCTCCAAAAGGACGCTGAACATCGGTAGCGCGTATGGCTTGATCAATCGTTCGGTGCTTTTGACGAGAATTGTCAACAGACGTGTCGATTCCTCTCGATTGACAGCGACGTTTGAGTACTCCAGTTCAGTCAAGAGCTGCACCAAAGTCTTGCGCAACGACGGCATCACATAAGCCGGGTTATGCTTGGCCATTCTCTGCAGCAAATCAGAGAAAGTCAATAGAATGAAGTGAACTCACTCCAATCAAAGCAGCAGCCGTCATCCGGTTTTCGAACACCTCATCGTTGAGGGCAATGAACAAACAGCGAACATTCTCTGCCTGAGATAGATGACGGTCGAATTGCTCGCTCAAGGAGCTCAGAACAATGTTTCTGATGGATGGATCTGGGACAATTGAGGCAAAGAGAAAGAGAGCGGTGGTTATTACGTACCAGGATCAGCGATACCCACAGTCAACAACTTGCCCAGCACGTCACTGACCACCTCCACAGCATGAGCACTCGTCTGGTCACCGACTCCACCGGCGTCCATAGTATTCAGCCCAGTGCCCATACCAGCACCAGCACCGATCCCTGCTAGACTCATCCCATAGTTGTAGCCCACACTGTTGATGCCAGACCCGGAGGTTGATCCATGCATTGTCAACGCATACAGGTCAGCGGCAGCTCCAGCGCTTTCTGTCGCAGAATGATGGTGGTGATGAGAATGATGATGGCTCCCTCGCCCGTAGGGATATCCGTAAGATGTTCCTGGGCCGCCACCAAACAGCCTACAGCAGGCCAGTGCTGCTGCGCGACGAACTTCGGGTGCATCGTCCTCTACATACGGAAGCGCATTGGCTTGAGCGAACTCGGTGAGGATGTGTCCTGATAAGGGTGAGATATTGATATGGTCAGCGACCGCGAAGAGATGCATCGCGTACCGCCGAAATCGAAGCTCCCCAGCGTGTTTAATGCTAGAGTGAGCAGTTCTTTACTGGGCGGAGGCTGCGTCACGATCGCAGAGAGGGTGAGCGAAAGCTATAGCGTTTACAAAACAACGCACCACGCTTCCTGCACCCGATGACGTCCCATTGGTCTGTCCGGAGCCACTCGCACTGGTCTGTAATGGCGGTGCTCCAAGCCGCGTGTATGGGGTCCCACTTAGAATGTGGGACAGAAGATCTAGCAGTCGCTCTTGTACGACTCCGAGAAGCGGTGGAATGGAACGTGCGATTTGAGCCAAACACACCCTTAGGCTCTCGCTCAAACCCGCTGCAAATAGCAGGTGCAGGTGATCATGTAGCAGAATCGTCAGGGTCGGCCCAACTGCCGCTGCTAGTAACCCCAAAGCAGCTAGTAATGGATCGGGTGAGGGAGGTGCCACCGGCCTGCTTTTCCCGCTGCTGGCTGCCGCTGCTGCATTCTCCTTGAGTCGAGCCTTGATATGACTCATGATCGTGTCTAGAAATTGTCGCATGTCAGCTCCCACTGAGGTTGCGGTGTGTCCGATGGCAATCAAAGCTAAACCACCATCAGTGGCATCAAAATCGACCAAGGGTTGATCTTGCCATAATCTCTTTCATCCTTCTTGTCTAACTGACTCAACAAATGACCCATGGCCTTGTGTAAGATGTGTTCCTTGAAAGCGGGTGTGTTGTAGCTTGCGAGGGTCGGAATCATCGCGACCACCATTCGCCGAACAGCGGGGTCTCGATGGGTCCGGAACGCCAGGATAGATTCGGCGGTGTCTGGGAACGACTCTTTTAGGAACTGCACCGCGATTAGCGCGTGAGCGATACGTAAAGGAATGACATACCCCGCCGGCATGCAGCAGGAGCTCACGATACGTCAACAAACTCCCGTGGATCACTTCCGGCTGCGTCATCCTCAATCCAGCCTGTGCATCCGCCAAGATCTTGGCCAAGTACGCGCTGGTCTGTGGCGCGCCTGCACGCTCGCGCTGTGCTCCAATCTCCAAACACGCCGCAAGGAGCTCCGCCGCAGCTTCACGCACGACCAGTCGCGGGTCGCGTAACGGCGCCAGAACTGCGTGGTCGAGGACGTTCGGAAGGTGGGGCACGAATTGTGCGGGCATGTTCAGTGCGAGTTCCTTGAGGATCAGTGCCCCAGCGTATCGCGCCATGCCCAAAGAGTCGTGTTTGTCCCCACCGCTGTGTGTCGATGTGGTCAGCGCAATCGCAGCGGGCACTTGGTGCTCCATGAAGCTCTCTCCGAACGCTGGCCCGCCGACGGCGAGGATGTGACCAAGGGTTTTGGATGCCGCGAGAATCAGCGACGCATCTGGATTGGGGAGGAGGTGTTTGACGTAGTTATAGAATCGGAATAGATTGTGTGAGGAGTCGATGGTCACTTCGCCTTCCGCGTCAATGAGGTGGTCTGCATCGAGTCAGGATTGCAGATCGAGAGAATGCCTGTGAGTCGGACGCACCAATAGCCACTAGTCCACCGATGTTATCTGTGCTGTTCTGCGAGTGGATGAGCTCGAAGAGTCTTCGGCTGATGTTGTCGTCGTCTCCAGGTATGTCTACGGCACTTCGTGCCACATAGCGTCTGAGTTCGACTGCACTTTGGAGCCGGACATCCGGGTTCCTATTCTTCAGTCCCGCGAAGATACCTGCGAGCACGTCTGGTGCCGTGCTCGCCGTCGTCGACGCCATCGCAGGAGAGTCAAGGGAGAATACAGTCACGTGGTGATCATTGTGATCGCGCTACCCTTTTGATTGCCTTGCTTGTCAAGGCTTCTCCAGACCCTAAATTGTTGCACACAAATCAGATGTAATGTTCCTGCATCTGATCCGATCAACTCGTCTTTACCGTTGTATGTACGCACGCGTCTCTTGTGCTCTTGTGCCCTTGTTTGTGCAGTGCGCTTTCCGCCGTGGTTTTCACCCGAGTGCGTTGTAAACAAATGTATTGTAACAAATGTACCGAGTGACTCGTATTGATATTGTGTTTGTGAATGATGCGCTAGCAAGCAAGGCAGTTGCCGGCGGAGGCGGCGCTCTAGTTACCCACAATGATCACTCTGGATTGATGCAATCATATCACAAATCTAATCTCGTGTGGCTGTGCATTGGAAAGGTTATTTCGCGCGCGCCGTGATGTTGTGATAGACCATGTCCCAATTGCAACAGCTTTCTTCCATGCATTCACTCCCCGACAAGACCAACTCCGAGATTCTGACACCTGTGCTTTGCATCTCAGATGAAGACTTTGCCTCCTTTGACAAGATCTCCCTCTTTGCCCAGTACTCCGAGCCCCCATGTGCCTGTCTGGTCATGTGCAAGGCCTGGATTCAGGTGCAGCTCCGCTCTTATACCTTTTTGTTATTCTACAATTGAAGGCTCAGACAGCAACACTCATGGAGGCTTTTGCAGAAAACTCTCTTCTTGTGCTGTTTGTCTGCAAGTTCAGAGTGGAAGGCAGGGGTACAGCATGGACCTTAGGCAGATGGTCAAGCAGACACTCTGCATCTTACATATCTTCCTGTTGTTGGAGATCTACAGCTTTGACAAGACATGTGGGCTGTGCAACACTCTGCCCACCATCAATCTCACCTTGCTTGTGTTTTGAGGAAGCATTGTGTAGCTTGTGTGTAGGCAGTAAAGGCCTCACTTTTGTAGACTTCTCTTGATCATGTAACATGTTACTTGTACTCAGGTGAGGAGTTGTTAGGACTGAAAGTGATGCATCTCATCCAAATCATGTTCTGAATCATGTCTTAATCGTGTTTTGAATCACATTGGAACTTTGACTTCCCCTAATATGTACATCACAAGAATAATCTAATCAGATATCGCGTTGTTCTCAACAGCACTGGGGTTTAGGTTAGGGTCACGCTCGATCTCATCCCTCACTCACCCACAAAATCCAACCATGTCCGGAGAGTCCTCGAAGCGCTCGAACCTGATCGACGTGTAGGCTGTCTCAACTTATTCAAATACGTTTTCAGACTCCTTCTAGTTCCTACTCTCAACTGCATGCCATCCTTGCGGGTCAACAGGAAGGCTCAGGGATCGACCAAATCATCGAATACATAACCCCGCGCCTCGAACAGCTCCGCAACTTCTCTGCACCCTTCGGAAAACCCTCGGACGCGTCGAAGAAGAAAGTTGAGGGTGGCGCAGTCGTGTTGGACGACGGGGTGACCATCCGAGTCGAGGATGCGGACAAAGAGTATGTGTGGGCTGTCAGCACGCGGTTCCAGATCGACCAGGTGCACGCATTGGTCCTGCTGCGCTCCTTCCTGTACAATCAAGGCCTCCCGTCGAGCATTGGCAGCAAGGTGGAGGGGGGCGACGGGAAGGACAGCATTATGGACGAGCTACTGGCGGCCATCACCCCATTCTTCCACTCCGAGCGTGTAGCGGTCCTACGGACCCTCCTCCCCATCTTCCGCGCGTCAAGCCATCCCGAAGACCCGCTCTCCGACTTTGCCTCCGCCTTCCTTCCAAAACTCTTCCCAGACGGAACCCAATTCGCCGAATCCTTGCTCGCAGAGTACGTCCGCAAAACGCGATGGCGCGTCCCCCCCACTCTCGCTCCCCGCGAAGCTGCCCGGGAGGCCAAGCAGAACAGCATCGAGCAGCTCATTCTGCTCGAGGTCCTGTTCGTCACGGTATGGGACTACGCGCCGTGCGACGGGCCACTCGTCACGAAAATCTACGAAGCGGCGTACGACACGCAAGTGGGCGGGATCCAGGCGAATGGGCCGCTGCTGACGGACGATGAGGCGGTGCAGCTGGCGCAGGACACGGCGTCGGTTTGGATTCTCATCATGATTGAGGTGCTGGAGCTTGAGGCGCTGGCGGATCCAGAGGGTGCCATCGAAATATCAGACACGCCCTCGGATGAAGCCAAGGCTGAGACGTATACGTCGTCTCCGAAGGCGCTCATGCGCATACATGAATTGGTTACGACGCACGAGGACGTTCACTACGCCTGTGTGTATATGGCGTGGGCGTTTGTCCTTTCTAGGCTATCTGCGACTATCCTCGCCAAAGGCGGGCCCGATTCCATACCATCTTCGTACAAACCGTTCTTCGAGAAGATCCTGCCGCAAATCCAGCGCTCATTTGCCAAAGATCGGGATCCAGTGCACTTGACAATGGCTCGAGCGTGTTTGTCGCCCCAGGCCGGTCTGCTTGAATTTATGCTGGGATTGTTGACCACGACGCCTATCTTTGTGTCGAGTGTCGCATGGAAAAGGGCGTCTCATGTGACCGATCCCAATGCGTTGGCCTATCGGGCGGTGTTCAAAGGTCCGCCCTTGTCGTTGAATATCAGACTCCTTCTAATGCACATGTAGGACTGATAATAGCGATTGTGGAGGTGTGCCCTGTCGAGGAAATACCACAGTTCGATACATTTGTGGATGTGTGGATAGCACTATTTGGGCGGAGCGAGAGCAAGGTTTGTCAGACGTCTTCTCTACTGCATCACACTGACGCTTGCCTCGAAGTCCGTGGCCGAGATATGCGCACAGTATTGGGAATCTGACTGGCGCGTCTCTGAGGGCCGGCGAGCTATCTTCAATGTTGCGCGCGCGCGCTTCCCCGTCCAATTCAAGCCCCTCATCCGGCTACTACGCGCCATGACCGGCATGGGCTTTCTCGACACAGATCCGCTTTGCGCCGAAGGTTCGAGCCGACAGTACCGACCCGCCTCGCAGGCGGGCGTCCGCGACTCCTGTGCCCGGCACGTGTTCTACTACCTGGACACACTGTCCAGCTACGCCCAAGTCATCCCCGTGTCCAAAACTACCGGCGCCGGCGCCCTCTACGAGCGACAGCCGGAAAGATTCTCCGGGGGCGGGAGACATACACACACCCACAACTACGTCACCCAGCGCGAGATCCGGCTGCCCGGAGGATCGAGCTTGCGGCCGGGTACTACCGGACCGCTGATGAACACCGACGGCGGAGATATGCTCGTCGTCTGCTGGCAGCATGCGCATTCGGGATGGAAGATGGTTCTCGAGGTCTTGACGCACTACGTGAACAAGCGCCAGGCGCAGTCGGGTGCGTACCAGGACGTGTCGTTCGCGCGGCATCGGCAGCAGCAGCAGGGCATCACTACGCTGAAGGTGGAGGACGTCGGGATCGAGGCGGATGGGAACGGAGTGGACGAGACGGTCGTGACCGAGGCCTTGAATCTCGTTCAGAGCCTAATCCAGCACAGCCCCGAGCAGGCGGAGCAGCTCATGGTCGCTCTGGAGGCTGGGAACCCGGTAGTGTCGCACGTCATGGCCGAGTCGCAGCCTCCGGATCTGGTCCAGCTCACGACGACCATTCTCGAGGAGGCCCTGTCTGCATCATCTTCGTCCGGCCGCCAGCAGACGCAGATGATCACATCAGCCATCGGTGTGCTGTCGGCTATCCTGGCGCTGCCCCGCTACTCCCATCGGGTCTGGCTGTACATCCGCTCGACTGCGGCACTCTTTGGGTCTGGTAGCGGCGCTGCGGGATTCGCGACGCATGGATTGGTCGCCGAGCGCGTCAGTGGCCGGTATCCCATGACTCTGGCGCTGCTCCACCTCGCGCACCAGCTGACGGTCCAAGCCTTCGCGTCCATCGTACCAGATAACGTGAAACTGCAGAATCTCAAAGAAGAGGTGCTGATGCGTGTGGTCCGGTTCCTGCACACGGAAGTTTGGCTCGAATATCCCGGGTGGCGATATGCCGTCAAAGCAGAGAGCTTTGATATCGGGCGGCTGATCATGGCGGTCCATGGAGTGATCTTGGAGCACGCTGCCCTTGTGGGTGGCCCCTCGTCTACCGTTTTCTGCGGATACTGACTATCTACGCTTCCAGCAAAATGCACCGTTCCCGACCCTGCTCGAGACGATCCGTGATCTCTGGCTCTGGAAGGCGACGACGTCGACGATCAGCCCGCTCATTTCGTTCATCGCGACCGGTGTCTCGATGCTGTCGGCGCTGTACGAGGCGCGCCTGATGAACGACGTCCGCCGCCTGGTCCTCTCGCTCTCGACGCAGCTGCGCACCGCGCGGCTCGCACTGGAGCTCCGCATCGCGTCGAAATCCACCGCGATCAGCCTGCTCGAGCAGGCGTTCTGCAGCCGAGTCACCGCGTCCTCATCCTTGTCCACGTCCTCGTTCAGCACGAAAACGGAGCCGATCGACGTGCTCGCGTCGTACGTCAAGAACCGGATGATAGGGACGGCCGTGCCGCTCGAATCGACGCGCCTGCTCACCGCCATCTGCCTCGCCTTCTCGCTCTCGTCGCCGGCACCCGGCTCGATCATCGGCCATGTGAACGATGCGGAGGCGACCGTCGGCGCCTTGGTCCGCATCGTGCGCGATCCGTACGAGGAGATGGCGCTGCGCAGTGCCGTCTGGCGCCTGATTGCGGTTGCGGTGCAGCGCGACCCGGCGCTGGGCATGCTGTTCGTCGTCGGCAAGTTCGTGACATTGGGGGGGAAGAGGGACTACAAGGGAAAGGGCAAGGAAACGGAAAAGACTGCGGGGGACGACGACGACGCGGAGGAGGAGAAAAGCGCGTTGAGCGTCGCTGCGAACATGCTCGAGAGCGGGAGCGAGCTGTGGGAACTCAATCCACAGCTCCTCGCATGCGGGCTCCGTTTCCTCGAGATCGTGTGGCAGCGCGGCCTCGAACACCGGGCCGCCCTCGACGCTCTGCGGCAGGACGCCGGGTTCTGGGAACGCATGGCCGGGCTGGCTACCTCGGAGCTCGGGCCGGTCCCGGAGTACACCCATCTCGGGCCGAACGACATGACTGACAACGACGACGACGACGACGACGAGCAGCAACAGCATTCCTCCGCTCAGCACGATGCCGTGGCTGCGCATTCGTACCGCACGGTCGTCAGGGCTTATGCGCTCAAGATCTTCGCGCACGACATCGCGATGGCGAGCGACAGCCAGAAACCACTCAGCTACACGAAGATCGAGCCGCGGCTCAAGTCGGAGGACGATTTCACGGATCTGATCGCCGAGTCGTCGCCGAGCTGGTACGACCCCGCGCTCTACGACGATCTGACGGAGCAGCTCCGAAGCAAATGCCCATCCCTGACGCTGGAGGATGTGCGCGCGCCCGACGAGGAGTCGCGCGACTACGGCGACAACTTTGCCTTTGACGTGGCCCTATTCCGGACCCGCCTGGAAGCCTATGCGCAAGCCAAAGACCCGTTGCTGAGCGAGCTGCAGGTGGTCAACATGAACCTGTCGCTGACACATGCGCAAACAGCCTTGACCGAGTCGTGCAGCGCCTTGCTGGGGCGCTGTGTGCCCTTCCTCCGCAGCAGCGCGCTGGCAATGGCCAGCGCCGCGTCTGTCTCGTACGACATCGCGGCGGAGAGGCGGTCAGGTGACCTCATGGCGGCGATCCACGGCACGCGTCTGTCGCTGCTGCTCGCCCTGCTCGAGGTGGCGTGGTTCGACGGCAAGGACTCGTCGACGGCTTCGTTTATCGAGTTGGTGGAGAACGTGCACGGGATCATCCGCAACGAGGCGCAGCCGCCTGCCCAGTCGTTCGTCGGGGAGACCTCGACGCCGTTCCACCGGACCCTGCTGCTGATTCTCTACTTCTGCGCACGCAACTGCGGCATCCTGATAAATCGACCGAAGGCGCTCAATGCTGACCAACGACTGAAGATCACCGCGCTGGTGGATGCTACGTTGGCGCTGGTGATTGACGCGCTGAGCGTCGCATTCGTCTCCGGCCAGAGCCGCGGCGCGGATCCCGAGCTCGACCGGGATATGCAGTTTCTAGTAGCTGTGTTTGAGCAGTGTGTCGTGAAGCTGGAGACGTCCAGCACGCTGTGGCTCGTCAAGTGCCAGGAAACGGACCTCATCCGGATCAGTCTCGAGCTGTTGACGCGGCTCGATCTGTCGGGGCTGTCCGACCTGAAGCAGCCGCTGTACGTGCCCCACGTGCTGCTGTTCCACATGACGCTTGCGGCGATCCCCTCTGCCGCCGAGCGCTTCGCCAGCGCCGGTGTCCTCTCCGCGTACTCGAACAACTCGCTCAGCGCAGCGCTCTCCGCCGGCGCCGTCGATGTGACGCTCTCCGAGTTCCCCGCACAGCGCAGTCCGGCGCACGTGACATACTGCACGATGCTGTCGGTCGTGGCGGGGGTGATCACGTCCCTCGGCCGGTGTCCACAATTCGCAGCCGAGGCGAGCGGCATGGTGCTGACATTCGGCGAACAGGTCGCGCGCGCACTGAGCTGGACGGTGGGCGATGCGATCAGCCTGGGTGCGCTGGAGGAGATGGAGGCCGTCGTGGCTGTGTTCAGCGCCATTGCGGAGAGCGGGTACAAGGAAGTCGAGGTCTTCTCGCGGCCCGGGCTGCGGCTGCTGCAGCAGCTCAACTACGCGATCACGCACCCGAACCACCTCGCGACGCTGATTGAGCCCATCACGGTCGAGGAGCGGGCGTGTCTCGAGAAGGATGCCGCGGGCATGGACCCGCTGAAGCGGCCGCTGGTGGCGCATCTGATGCACCGGCTCTTCCGGCTGTCGAGTGTGGTCCTGAGCACGCTCGTGACGTCCAGCCGGGCCTACAGCGTCTTGGCCTCGAGCGATGCCGTCGGCGAGGCCCTGGTCGTTCCCGTGCGTCGATCCGTTCCGTCTCCCACACCCGCCCGCGCTGACCCCCCACTCACCAGCACACCAAAATAGTGCCCGGCGAGATCGCGTCGATGGGGACGCTGCTCGAGCTCGGGAACACGACACTTGACCTGCTCAAAGACCTCACGGCGCGTCCCGCCGGCCAGACGCTGACCCCGGGCCTGCCCCCCACGGTCGCAAGCCCGGTCGACGTGAAAGACGCCGCGCTCGTCGCCCGCGGGACCCTCGAGGCCGTGCTCCTCTACGCCGCGACCCAGCTCGCGCTGTGGCTCAGCAAGCCCGACCCCGACTTCGAGCACGACGAGACGATGGAGGCGCCGCCGCCGTCCGAGGCGGAGAGCGCCGGCCGCCGCATGCGCCGCGGCGTCACCGCCGAGATCACCACCGATCTGCACGCGCTGCTCAACAAAGCCAAGCTCGTGCTCGCCAAATGCGACGCCTTCGAGCAGGGCGTCGACCTTACCGGCGTGTTGTCCACGTTCATGCTCGAGAGGATAGGGGTCGCTTAGTCTATACCGTGGCTTATATGTATAATGTGATGTGTTTTTGTTTTTCCGTTGAAAGTGGCACGGGTGGCCCAGATGAAATATCTCGTTAGGCAGGTGCTCGACTCGAAAAGGGAAGGGGTTTCCCTCCTTCGACGTCTGTGAAGGGCAACATTTGAGAGAGCACACTCTTCCTGTCGTCCGCCCTAGTACAGCTCTCTCGTGCAGAAGTTGGAGCACTTGGGCTTGCGGCTGAATGGATTACATCCCACAGAGTGTGTCGAACCGAAACTTCCGCTACGCACCAAACCTGGCGCAAACTCTCTCGACTTCGGCAATTTTCGGATCAGATCTCCGGAAGGATCCGCTTCCACTTTACCTCAGCCAAAGGCACCCGATGTGGCTGGAGGCCCGCCACATCACATCGAGTCAGTACTTAACACCATCCGAGATTGAACAACCGCCCTCCGAGCGCACGGAAAGCGAGTACGTACAACATATACAAAAGCGTAATAAGAGAGAGAGAGAAAACAGTATATACACAACGGCGAGGACTTCGTACAAGAAAAAAGTCGATAGCGTGGTCATTTCCGAGGAGCCGTATAAGATAGCCGTGGAACATTCATCATCATAAGGGATCATCAATTCAGTAGTCTCTGATCGAGCGACTGTCGCCGTCCCCGTCGTCCTTCAGGCCGGCGGAAGGATCGTCGACGGGCTCCAGCTCAGCCTCGAGCTGCTCGGGCTCCGGGTCGACGGACATCGGCAGGTTGACGAACACCACGTTCGGTTTCGCGGGGTCTTCCTGCCAGGTCAAGCCGTTCCTGGGGACGCAGTCTGAATGAGCGAGCGAACGGCAAGAAAAAAGGACGCAGACGCACCCGTTGAGCGCATCCAGCAACCGCTGCTTCACGAACCGCCCTTGGAGCGTCTGCTCCATCGTCACGCGCAGTGTGCCCCGGTTAGGCGAATCGTGCGCCAGATCTTCTGGGGTCGTGCCGGCCGGAGGGACCGGCGTGAGCAGCAGCCTCTCGAGCCGCTCCTCCGTCTTCTGCACAGCAACTTGCGGCTCCAGTCCCGCCGTGTCCAACTCGTACAACGATGCCGGAGGAAGTGTGAAAACTAAAAAAAAAAAATGTGTCAGAGAACGACTCGAAACTCGTGCATGAGACACACCTCCAACAAAGGCACCATCAGCCTGTGCGCTGAGCCGCGCCAGCTCCTTCTCCGCGTGCTCGAGCTGATCTCCCGTTTCCGTGAAAATCCCGGACGACGGCAGGCAGCTTTTGCGCTGTTTCGTGAGGGTCGCGATCTGCGCCGTCAGGCTCAAGGCCTCTCGTCGCAGAGACAGCGCATCTCGCACAGACGACAGGGATGACGGACCGGCCTCTTCTTCCTCGTGCGGCTCGAGGGTCATTTCCGGTTCCGGAATGGGAACCGGATGCATATTATAAGGCTCGGGATCGGATCCATACAGGTCCTCGAATGATGGAGGCGGCGTGCGAGTCGTGTAATCTTCCGTCACGGGACGCTGCAGACCCGAAGGAGGTGTCGATGACGGCAGCCGCTCAACGATTCTGGCAGCAGGAGCTTCGAACGGGTTCGCAAGTTCAGCGGTCGGCGATTCGAGAGCTTGAGAGTCCCGGGACTGGGGCATGGGGATGGGAACGGCTTCGTGATCTTCGGCAGGCTGGGGAGTCACTTCTGGCTGGACAATTTCTTTCGGCTGGACGATCTCTTTCGGCTGGACGATCTCTTTCGGCTGGACGATCTCTTTCGGCTGGACAATCTCTTTCGGCTGGACAATCTCTTTCGGCTGGACAATCTCTTCTGGCTGGACAATCTCCTCAGCGACAGCATCCACATTGGTCAGATCCTGTTCCCGGGGTCCAGCCGCAATCGTCGAAGCAGCATCGGACAATGCACCCTCCGCAGGTTCTTCCTGTGGCGGCGTCGGCGGATCAACCTGCTCCCACTCCTCTTCGAGATCGAGGGGCGGCACATCAGGGATCACAGGCATCCACGGCGAAGGGGGGACGTCCTCGTCGAGCCCCGACTCGCTGGTCCAGTCGTTCATCGACTCCGACGGCGTCGGCGGGAGAAACATCGGGATGTGTCTCGGCGAGTTCTTGGGGGTGACGTCCGCGCGCTCGAAGTCGATCAACCGCCCGCCCATGGCTTGCACGACCGTATCATCCTCCATGTCCGACGGAATTTCCACGGGATTCGTCGCAGAGGGATCGTCCGAGTAATCGAGCGAGGAGGTGGGCGAAGTCGATCGCGAAGTCGCCGTGAACGTGTACGTGTCCTCAGACGTCCGTGTCTGGAGAGGAATAATTCGTGAAATCGTGATGTGCGAGGCCAGCGACGGCGTCGTCGCGGAATTGCTGGAAACGCCAGGAAGAGTGCGGACTGCCGTGCTCACTTCAGAAGCCGTCTCAGACATCCCGACACCAGACAGATGGCCCGGAGGAGATTTTCGGCGTCTGAAAGAAGGGGGCGTCGGTGCCGGTGCCGGGGTTACAGCCGTTTCAGCTGTTACGGAGCTAACAGAGGACGATGCGGACGAAGACGCCGAGGACGTCCTCGACCGCGCCAGCGACGTGTAGATCGATTCTGTCGGCGCAAACGACACCAAGGATTCCGTGGGCGCGAACGTCACTGTCGGCGCCGCCGACGTCCTCGTGCGAAAGGAAGCAATACTGCTGGCCGCGCTGGCACTCGACATGACGGTGGGCGCACTGGCAAACCGGACCGTCGAGCTGCGGCTGCTGCTGCTGCTGCTACGGCTGCTTCGGCGGCGCCAGAAAGCAAGATAGCGCCATGCGTGATAGGCATCCCGTCGGACTGCGCTCCAGTGCCGCCGCAGGCCCCAGTCGGACCACACGCCGGGGGCGACGTCGGCCATTACCATGCCCAGGGTGCTCCAGAGCAGGACGATCATCAGCTTCGCGAAGCTCTCCGTGAAGATGAAGTCGACGAAGAGGCGCACGCCGTAGGCGAGGTACGGGTCGGAGGATGCAGGCGCCTTGTTCATGTAGTGCAGGAGGATGACGCCCTCCCAGAGCCCGACGAGCGTGGCACTCAGCCTGACATCGTGGAACGTCGCGGCATCGACGACGACGCGGACGAGCAGACCTGCGCAGATAGAGTACACGCCGTCCATCGCGTGGTTGCCCGTCCTATAGCGCAGGACGTATCCGGGAATCGTCGAGACTGAGCTCGATCGCGATATTGAGCTCGTGGCCATGGATCGCGTGATAAGATGGCGCCGAGACGAGGCTCGAGACGCGGAGGGTGTTCGTGTTCGTGATTCGGGAATGTTGCCTCGGGTTTTGCGGCTATAGTAGAAACGCACTCAGCACGAGGGAAAAAGAATGACAGAAAGGAAATGAGGTCGCCCTAAATCGGTTCCCCCTCACGTTGTATGATGTATATCCCTCGACTCGGCTCGCTCCTTCGATCTAGAGAATGAGTCCGAATGTTTGAATGTCCGAGGACTGGATGGTGTGAGGTTTCGCGGAGGAAAAGATGCGGAGAAGAAGAGGCTTGGGGAACGTGGTAAAGAGAAAGAGGGTGGCTGTGCACAATGCGGGAATTCGTGACCCTGTGCCCTGATCCGGCATCAAATTTTACTTCCGGTGAAGTCCGCGATCGATGCTCCAAGACCTTGTCCATATTTTTGGACTTGAGGAACGACGTGGTGGGAAGCTGAGAGAAACGGCCATTTGCGAAAATGAGAAAGAAGTCAAGCTGTAGCGCTTCTGCTTCTTGCTGCCAAAACCCAAAGCATACATTACTCGTACAAACACTGCGAAGGTCAGAAGCAGGATAAGGTATATTCTACAACCTGAAAAGAACCCGCTGCAACGCCGGAACCTTAGACACATCCACAACCGCAACCTGCTGCGACTCCAGAGCCAATGCCATGCGATCGATCCCCTCTCCATTCTGCCAGTCAATCTCAAAAACACCTGGTTTTTCCACGCCAGCACACCAGGACCAGACACGGACTCGTTGCTGCAGCACAGCCTCAGAATGTATTGCACGGGACAAGCTCAGGGGACTCACCCGGATGTCGTACACATGGACCCACCCGTCTCCACTGCCAGTCGCCATCAGATTGCCGATCGGATTGAACCGCAGGGTGTAAATGGGGCGCTTGTGGTCCGAGAAGGTGACGATACATTCGCCAGTCCTGGAATCCCACAGCTTGGAGGAGTGGTCGAAGGACGAGGTGGCGAGCACTTCGTTTACACCGGCGGCCGGATCTGGACACCAGAACGCAGCGCTGACTGAATGTGTGTGCCCAGCCAAGTTGAGAAAGTTGGGCTCCGAGCCGTTTTCTCCTGGTACACAAATCTCGTTGACTGGCCAGATGCGCACCGTCTTGTCATCCGAGCTGGACGCTAAACGTGTTCCAGCGGGATTGACTTTAATTTGATTGACTTCTTGTGTGTGCCCGCTATCAATCAATACAGGATGAGAACATGAATGTGGAAAGGAAAAAAATAGTGGGTAAAGAAAAAAGCTCACCGCAATGTCCGAATAGGTTTATCCACTCCAACTTGCATAACTTGAATGATGTGATCTGCGCCGCAACTGGCGAAAATGCTCTCCGAAATCCAATCCACATCAAGGCAACAATCTGTGTGGACAGGATACTGCGTTTTCAACTGCTTATTCGCCACATCCCACAGACAAATCGAGCCGTCGAGACTGGCTGACAGCAGCCATTGTCCGGTGGGCGAGAATCGGACCGCGTAAAGAGATTGGCGATGCTGATTGTGCGTAAAATACACTTCACCTTCAGAAGAGCAGACACGTAGCAGAGAGTCCAGGGAGGCAATGGCGACTAGCGTTCCCTCAGGATTCCAATGCAGAGCGGTAAGATCGGTCGAGTTAAAATTTTGAGTTTTGTACGGTCCACTAGGAGGGGGTTCCGCAAAGTAAGGCGAGTCCGCTGGTGGTGGTTGCGGGAGATTCCATAGATTGACCATCGTGTCTTTAGATCTGGGAACGACTTTGAATTTAAAATCAAGAGGGAAATGCAGCGCCTTACCCAGTGGCCAAAATCGATTTCTTTGTAGGGTTGAATGCACATACAAATACCTGTCAAAAAATTAGAAAGAAATGCCAAAATGACTCTGATATGAACCAGCCTCAGTTTGGTGGCCAGCCAACATGATGATGGATCGAACGTCCGTTTCGGAGTTCTCCGGACCCTGGGTCCTTTTGGAGGAAGTAGACGCCGATTGATCCGAAGTCACAAGCGCTGAATGATCCGACGTTCAAGATTTCGCCACCCGCACCAGATCTCAAAAGAGAGAGAGGAACACCTACGATACTGTTTCTGACTGTTCCCTGCGCCCTCGGAGGATGTGTCTTGCCGCAGCCGTTTCTCCGCAGGCCCTTCAGGAGCGGAATGGCTCGCCTTGCGCTTGCCCTCGGTCGACAGGCGCGTATACGACGAAGCCAGCGCCTGCGGCATCACTCGCGTCGGCACGAGCGAGCAGACATGCGCGTCAAGGAGAGAGAAATTCGCTTTGCAATTCCGGCTCAAATTATCCGCCCGCCAGTGCGCCTCGACTTCGCGGTAGAGCAGCGCTTTGCTGAGCAGATCCACGAGCTCGCCCCGGGGGATGTGTTTGACGAAGTTCTGCGACTTTTCGAGGTTGGCTTCCATGCACAGACTGAACGCGGTGTGCTTGAAGCCTGAGAAAGTAGACAGATCGGCTTGCGTGGCCGGACGAGAGCGAAAAATGCCGTCACCTGAGTCGACCAGAAAAGAGTAGATGAGGCAATTGACCTCGTCTGCTGTAATCCGTATCGTTGGAATATTGTCAGTCATAAAAGGAAATGTACGGTGAACGAGGGAAGAACGAGAGCGGTGGACTGTTGTGACGTGCTTGCCTGTTTGATGGGTTGATCGCCGTAGGCTTGAACATGATCCAAACATCAATGCACGATTCCAAGGCAACTTTCATGCAAAAATGGATCTAAACAGATGAAATCTGAGTCTAATCAACGACCTAGTCTCGGGCGTGAAGCTGGGCGCCATCTACACCCATTTTCCAGTTCTCGCGCCACTTTCCTAGCCAACTTCAAAATAAGTTTGGCTGTGTGCAATATTTTATATGCACTTTCAATTTGGTTGCTCCCTGTATTATTTCGAAGAGTGTGGTAAACTGTGTGCGCGTGAACTTTGCCTCTCGCCGCACCCACGGCGGCTCCATCAGTCGTACCTGATCGCCGATCAATTCGACGTCAACGTCATCGGCTCGTCCGCGCCATTAGCACTTCTCCCGGCTCGGACATGGAGATGGACGACCTCGACGATGAATCTCCTAGCAGTCCGTCATCCGCATACGCCCCATCGCAGAATGAGGCGCTCCAAATGTTTCTCCGGGGTAAGCCGCGCTATCACTGCCGCCTGATCTCCCGCTCACGAACCGCGCGGCCTGCAGAGCTATTGGAGAGCACCGCGGGGAACTCGATCGACATCGACGGGCTGTCTTTCGAGGAGCTGCAGCGCAGGGTGACAGAGGCGCTGCAGCGGGAGGAGGAAGAGGGGACTGGGGAGAACGAATGGGAGGACGAGGATGAGGACGGGTGGGAGGATGAGGATGAGGGCGATGAGGTCGATGTCTTTGACGAGATGCGCCACGAAGACGACGACGCCGACTACGACGATAGTGCATACGCTCCCCCTGTCTCTGCGCATCGGCGGGACCGCGTCGCGTATCAGAAGTTCTTTCCGACTATCAGAGAGCCGCAAGCATCCGGACTCGAGCTCCTGTATAGCGGAGAATTTGGGAGGGTCGGAAACAAATACAGGATACGCAGAGGTCCTCTGAGGGTCTCGAGGGAGATCCGCCGCAGGATGGCGCAGGCCCGACCGGCGGTCTACAGAGAAGACTTCACCGCCGTGAGTCCCATCGGCGCCGTTCGTACTTCCGGTTTTCTGACCGATTTCCCAGGCGCTCGTTCCCAATTCGGTCGGCACGATTGTCGCTGACTACGGAGACAATATATACACCGCGCAATACTCGGCCGGTAAGGACTGCCACTCGACTCGTATGCAACTCATAGTTCGATTGCAGATTCATCGTTCTTTTACACCTGTTCTCAGGGTATGTGCTCGTTAGCTTGTACCGTCTATCGACCAGAACCTCATCATCCCAGATTTCCGATTGAACATCTTTGACACCACTGTGCCCATCCGGGTTCGCAAACCCGGAGACCGCCGCGCTGATCCATCCCACTCACTGAGAACGAATATGAAAGTGATGAACTCAATACAGGCACAGCCCGGTATATGGTCCATTCCCGACGCCAACCTGTCACCTGACAACGAACGGTAGCCTCGGTCCTTCCATTTTCCATCCAAAGATCTCATATCTCATTCTAGAATGGTCTACGCCTTACTTGTGAGCCGATCAAATTTTACCAAGCCAACCTGAGACTCTGTCAGGGCTCAACTTGTTATGTGACGAGCACCACTGAGCCGTCCCCCACCCAAGTCCCCATCTCGTTCTCCGATCCCAACAGTCGGACCCGATCCCGCCGCTGGGGCTCAGAGTCCGACGACATCTCTATCTACAGCTGCCGGTTCTCTGCAGACGGGAACGAAGTCATCGCAGGGGGAAACGGGCAGATTTTTGGTACGTTTCCTGCGGGACGTCATCGCATTATTTTGTCCCGTTGACAGAATCCCCAGTCTACGATCTTCTGGCTAATCGGAGGACCGTCAAAATTGATGCGCACGAGGACGATGTGAACAGCTGCTGTTGGGCCGATACGTCGTCCGGAAATGTGCTCATCAGTGCGTCTGACGATACGTACCTCAAAGTGTGGTGCGTATTTCTCAGCGAGCTGTATAGACAACGGTTTTATCTTATTTTCTTTCACAACTGAAGGGACCGTCGCTCGCTCGGTGCTTCGCAAAAGCCCTCCGGGGTATTAATGGGCCACACAGAAGGCATCACATATGTCTCAGCCAAAGGCGACGGCCGATATGTCATATCCAATGGAAAGGACCAGGTCTCTAATTTCTCGCGAAAATTTCTTCGATCTGATAGTATCCACAGAAACTACGATTATGGGATCTGCGCAAAATGCGAACGAATCAAGATCTCGAGTCGTGCGCGCATAAAAATTATTCAACAAACTACGACTATAGGCGCGTCTCAATCTCATACGACCTCTAAACTGGGTCGCTTATCTTCTCGTCCAGATATTCCAACTACCCATCGCCTCGAATAGGGGCACACCCGATGGACTGCAGTGTCATGACATTCTACGGACATGCTGTGCTCCAGACGCTGATCCGGTGCCACTTCAGCCCCGCCGAGACCACCGGCGGGCAGTACATCTACTCAGGCTCTGCGGACGGCAAAGTCCACGTGAGTGTGGCCCCCTCACCGACCAACCAACCGATTTACATAAGCCTTCTGTCAGATCTGGTCCCTCGACGGCCAAATCGTGCAGATCCTAGACCGGGCACACAGCCTCCCGATGTCGTTCGATCCGTCCGAGCCTCATCCTGTTGCCCGCACGGGCTCCGGCGGGCATTCATGTGTGCGGGACGTCAGCTGGCACGCTTACGTGAGTGTTGTTGCACCGCACCGCACCGCACCGCACCACCACCCACATGCACAAATGCTGACCAGATAAAATAAACAGGAACCGGTGCTGATGACTGCTGCGTGGGAAAGCGGCCGCCGGGCGACGAGTTCGCTCGCTCGACACGAGTGGAAAGGGCTTTCGAAGATGGGGTACTCGATCGAGGATTGGGTCGCCAAAGAGAACGCTTAATCCATCCACTGCGGCGGCGCGAATCAATCCGACCGACGAGGCGTTAGAAGACGGATCGGATTTGTACAACCCCGACTGATGTATTCCGTATTTCTACGTGAAGTCGGACGTGGATACTCGGAGAATTCTTTCTGTCGATCTCAAGCCTATCATGCAATCAGATTAGATGAGAGATGCGATGCGATGCGATGATCTGTGAATCAAGCTGCTTTGATCTCTCGCTCAGTCTCGCTGCAGACCTCGAGCAAAACGCGGCCGAGCAGCTCAAAGTCCGACATCTACAGAAAGATAAAGAGGCCGTCAACATCCCGACTCTGGGCCCTGCGCGCCCGCCAGAACGCACCTCGTTCCACACCTGCGCGCAAACACGGATCCACCAGCCCGTCTCAGGCAGGAAGAACGACGGCACGTATATTTTGCGCTGCACCAGCGTCTTCTCGCGCATCTTATCCATGGTCGCCTTCGCGTCCAGATCATCCGGCAGCGGGATCTTGACATTGGCCTGCGAGAAGGGGGTCTGGTCAGCTCCTGAATGCTTATGCGCAAAGTCGTAGCCTGGCATAGGCGGCGTTACCATGTTCCCGGTCATGTCCCCAGTCGGATCTAGCACGCTAGTTCCCAGGATCTCTGCGACACGCGCAGCCCCATCCATGACGAGTTGATGGCAGTACTCGTTGATCTTGGCCTCTCCACCCAGCCACTGTCTGAAATCAAGAGCTGAGGGAGAGAACACGTGGGCTTCAGTTTGTCGTCGAAAACGCACACACACTCACCTGGGCCGACACTCACAAAGGGAACGAGATCGATAGTCGCCGTCCCTTGCAAACGCCGTCAGTCAAGACCGCGAGAGAGAGAAGAGAACGCATACAGTCGAACTGCTCGACGAAGTTGGGAGTCGTCCGATTTTCAGGGGAGATGTACGCATGCGAGGTGGGGAAGCTAGACTTGACCAGGTGCTGATTCCTGACAGAAGAGTTTACCAATTCATCCGGAAAGAACTGACCAGACTGCGATTCACCTGAGGGGAACATACAGTACAGCACATCCGCGTTTAGCATATAGCCACTTGTGGCAATTCTAGCGACGATTACGTCAGTGTCCCGAAGCCTATGATAGCACCAAGACGGACCGAGATGAAAAAGTCGGGCTCGATCTTGCTGAGATCGATCCCGACAACCTGTCCGATGGCATGCGCGCCGTCGACCAAGCTTAGCACGCCCTCTTCCTTGCACACTTTGACCATCTCCTCCCAAGGCAGCAGGACACCGGGAAGGGAGACCAGGGCGTCGATGATCGCAAGAACAGTCTGGCCGGGAGCGCGGGGTATTGCCTTGAGGTGGGCCCGGAACTGCGCGACGACGGCCTCCGGGGTGGTCGGGAACACCAACGGAACGACGGTCACCGTTGGATGGGGCGGGCTGTCGCAGATATACTGCACCGCGCGCTCAACGGCACCATACGTGCTGCGGACTGCCGCCTCGTCTCAGCCGTGTGTACACATCGCAAGCAGACTCGCGAAGTAACAAGAAACTCACACGTAACGATCACGTCCCCTTTCGCCCATTCGATGTTGCGCAGCACGGTCGACACCCCGGCGGACGCGTTCGCGACCATGACGCATTCGTCAGTCTGGGCGCCGAGGAGCGCGGCGACGCGCTCGCGCACGCGGGTGAGCAGCGGGAGGTACGTGACGCGGTTCCACATGTCCGGATTCGCTTCGGCCTGCGCCGCCAGCGCCGTACATTTCTCCAGGACGGGCACCGGCAACGACCCGTATGAGCCTGCACATGGCGACGCTCAGCGGTGGGCCGAGCGCGGAAAGCAACTGTGTGGGAGACGGCGACGTACCGTGGTTCATGATCTTGACTTCCTTGTCGAACGGGAAATACTCGAGCATAGCGTGGCCGAAAGGCGGGGCGGGGGTCTTCTGGTAGTCAAGAGACATGGCAGTAGATCCTTCAGCTAGGCTCTTGAAGGGTTTGTACAGCTGGTCAAGGACGCTTTATACCCACCCATTCTCAGGGGCGACGTGAGTCAGAGCTGGGTTGGGATATCGATTGATAGTGAAGATCAAGAGCGTGTGGCAGATACAGTGAGTCACTCACGGGGACAGTAACACCGGGAAGTTCTTTGCGCCGCCGCCTGCCAGTCGCGATCAGTCACCTGTGACACGACGCGTCGCGCGCGTCTCGCACAGCGCGGTGAGTAGAGAACAAGGATAGCTCGCTGAGAAAAAAGAGATAGTTCAGTCTCCGAAATCCTTCAATGCAACTAAAACGGCCTCCGCCAGCCGCAGCGCGTAAAAGATGACGGCCGCCAAGTGCTATCATGTGCACACACTTTGGGATGAAAAAAGCCCTTCCTCCAATCTCGAAAAGAGGAGACTTTTGTCTCGAAGATGGAACCCAAACTACATTCAAACTCTATCTCATATCAGATCAACAGACTAATCGTTCCTCAACTCATGATCCCAGCAAGCCGACGCGACAGCATAGCCAGCGGATTCCCCTCCGCGAAAGCGGTAAATACCGAGGGGCGGGCTGCGGGGAAGGCATCCCCACTCAGAACCCCGAATGTACGCTCAAGACCTGCGAGCTCCCGGCACGCATACGGGAGACCTGGGTCGCCTCCGCAGCCGGGGTGCAGCGTCGGGAGCGCCCCGGTGCATCGGTGCGTGTTTGCGTCGCCAAAGTCGACGATTCGGATGCTTTGGTCCGCGATGACGAAGTGCCGGCCGTCGAGGAGGTCGTTGTGGCAGATCCCAGCTGGACTCGCGCGTCAGACGAGGACAGCCAAGGAGACGAAACGAGATGAGACGCGCGTACCGGAATGGATCGCACATCCTGCGAGCATGATTCTGCGACTGTATAAACGTCCGTCAGCCAATCGGATCAAAACACATAGAAGGGAAATCGCAATACTTCTGCTCCTCGACGGATAAGCGCGATGGACTTCCACCGCAGTACTCCAGCAAAATGCACGCGCAGTCGACGCCCAAGATCGCCCCGTGGAATATCCCGAAGAACTTGGGCACGTAATTGCCCTGCAGAGCTACAAGCTCGTTCTGGTAAAACCGTGCCTCGCGCTCCAAGCACTGGATCTCATACGCGTCGCGCGCCAGCTTCAGCACCATGGGGATCCGCGCCCCCGGCAGCGCCGCCGCCTCGACGCTCATCACGTTCACGTTCTTGTTGATGCGCGCTTCCTTGCGCGCGATGTAGTGCGGGGCGTCGCGCACATCCGGGGGCGGGTAGAGATGGAAGGTTTCTGACGGACTCCAGACGAGAGTGAGAGACATCGTGCCGTGGGGTGGATGGGTGGGGAAAACATTCATTCATTCTCTGCGTTCCTTTATATTACCATGGAGCCTCAACCTAAACCCATTGTCCTTTGATGCCAGCGCTTTGATCCACTTGACACCCACCTCTTGACATAGCCCTCCCGGGCCAAAAGCCATCCAAGCGCATAAATAGATGCCGCTCATTGTGTGCAGTCAGAATAGCATCTCTTGGTCTTCCAGCCTCACGGCATCAAGCAGTTCATCGGGGATGTACACGTATTTCTGCGGCGGCGACATCCCGTACTGTTCTGAGAGCGCGGAGATGTGCAGAGGGTCGCGCAGTCTGTACAAGTGGAGTATCTCGTAGGCGTAGCTGGTTGTTGTCTCTGTCGGAGTGTTATTGAAATCCGCGTTCCCCAGACCAGCATCGTCGATATCGCCCGGCAGTTGACCCTGGCTGGAGGGGTGGACATGGTTGATGATGATGAGAGGCAGCATTTCGAGAGAGATGAAGTCGCCCAGCTATGTACCTGATCTCGGCAATATAACGCAAGGTTTGGTCCGGGCTGGTGAGGTACAACCTGCCGAACGAAGATCTTCACACGACGTACTGTGCCACTCGGACGGTGCACTTACCACATCCTCTGGACAGATCGAAGCAAGAGGTAATTTCGGAACTCGTGCGTCTTCGCACGAGAAAGAATATTCTTCATGTGTGGCGCCTTGATCGAGATAAAGATATCCCGCTTTCCGTCAGTCGCTTTCGACATGAGAGTGGTTGTTGAGCGGGGGGATCAGTGGCACTGCTCCAATAATGACATCCGTGCGAGAATGGACAACTACTATCTGTATCTTGTCTTTCTACATCTTACTCGCACTCCTTCCAATCGGCATCCATAACGCGGACCCCCTTCCTCATCAACCTCCGCCTCCATTCCCTCATCTCTCCCTGCACGCCAGCGCCCTGCGCTACAACGCCCATTCCCTTCCGCAACCACCGCACATCCCGCGCCCGCACGACGCGTAGCCTCGGCAGCCGGGGGAGCATCCGCTCGAGCACCGACCAAAACTCGGCGTTCGGCCGGGGAATGGAGAGTATCTGCAAGGGATGCATGCTCCCGTCTTCCGGTAGATCCAGGCCCGCGGGAAGCGGGCGCTCGAGCGAGAGATGTTGCAGACTGAGTGATGTGCAGAGCATCGTCGTCGGCGAAGGCTGCAGGTGCGTGGGCCACGACTTGGGCGTGCACAGGATGAGCGAGCGGAGCTGCGCACCGTGCGCGACTATGAATTGGGATATTAGGGACCCGTGCGCACTTTCGAAGGGTGTAAGGGTGAGTTTCCGCAGCGAAGGGAGGGGGGATAACATCATAGAAAGAAGAAGAGACGATGAGTGTACGGAGAGAATTGTCAGGGTGCGGAGATGGGGAAGGTGTAATGGTACAAAGTCCGCCGGTACAGTGACCGGCGGGGCTTCTTGCAGCTGTGCCCGGTCAAGCCTATCGCCGACCAGCTCGAGTTCCTGCAAGCCAGGACAGCAGCGCAATAATGCGATCAATGCTGCCTCATGTCTGTCCGGGGAGTAACGGATGCCTTCCAGCGTTCGCAAATGACACGCGCTTTCGCGCTGTGCGAGAGACTCTATCGCCCGACGACTCAGGTAGTGCTTCGGATTCATGCACAGGCGCGTAAGGAACGGCAGCATCGGAAACGTCGTGACAAGTAGGGTGTCGAGCAGGAGCAGGGACGGGCTGTCTGCATCCACCTCCAGCCCGGACAAATCAAGACTCTGCACCCATCGCCCTGGCTTGGAATACGAGATACGTCGTATCGAGTCCCACCGCTGTTCGGCCCAGTGTATGCGCTCCACCAATTGGGCAAATGAAATCACGCTTGAGAGGTGCACACGAGCGTAGATCAAGGGCAGGACGAGCTCCTGTGGATCATTCGGACCCGCAGCGCGACGTACAGAGTATCTACGCGCGCACCGTGAATTGCTTGCAGATAGTCAACAAAGTCCCTAACGTCCTCCGTTCGGAATCAGACGCGACGAAGTTGAATACAGCCGACCAAAGCTCGGACGGCAAGGAGGGCACCGCTTTGGGTGAAGGCAGCAAAGCGACGAGGAAGAACGATCCCGCGTATTGGGCATAGGGCCGGGGACGCAGGAGTACGGTCGAGGTCATGGATGCCGGGGAGGAGACGTGGATCGCGTCAGACTCAATTGTGATGATCAAGTGACTCCCGCGCGCGGAATCCCGCCCGGATGCTCCCGGATTGCGCGGTCCAGACAGCAGGGTCTGGAGATAAGCAGAGGGTAGGTGATTACGACACCAAAGTTCCCAGCCCTAGTCGTATTTCGGATGATCGCCTGACGCTCATCTGAGTTCCAGTCCATGTCATTGACGTGAAGATTCAAGTTATATGTTGGTATTGGCTGAGGGCTGTCAGGTACTCGAATCACGTGTATGGTCCGTGCGCTCTCTCAGCCTATATAATGACGAGGTTAACGATTTATTCCCTTATCTCTTGTGCTCGGGCACGTACCATCGGAAGTGAGGTTAACACCGATCCATGGTCTTTTGCTGATTGCAAATTATATCCGAACCGTTCGTCTGCTTTATGCTTACGACAATTTTTGGAAACCCTTGCTTTCTGTCCTGTGAAGCTGTCCTTGCGGCTGAGGGAGAAATCCATAATACATATCTGTACATACACATGCTAAAATTTGAATATGACTCCTCCTCTGACTTCAACTTGATGTGCGAAGAAATGGAATGTGTGCCGTCTATCCGTGATGACCAGAACATCTTTTGTTTTGTTCTGCTCATGAGGTGGGTCACGCTGTGTTGATGATTAATAGGACCCTGAAAATAATCACAAAAACCAGAGTATCAACTGTGCTTGAGGTTAAAATACAAAAACGGGACATGTGTCAAAGCGTTGGCAAACAAGTTCTCCAGCATTTAGATATCTGTGAAGTGCAAGATAGGATCTATTCAGGGTATATGTGGATAGAACTAGGAAGATAAAATTACATTAGTGCCACCGAACGGCGCGATTCCTCAATCTCTTTCTGCCAATCCTGTTCCCACGCAGGGTTTTCTTTCGCCGCGACAACGCAGTCGGAGCATCGGATGTAGAACACGCTATCTCTCGCGCCAAAGCGACACAGCACACTGAAGAACGCCAATCAGAGATGAGCCGCGCGCGGGATAGCGACAAAGACAACTCACAACGCCGGGATTGTATCTCCCACAAGCTCAACATCATCCAACGAGATGCAATCTATGCAGTAAGCAAACGGGCAAGTCTGGCAGCGCAGCAACAAGCCCCCAGCAGCGGTTGTGTTCCGCTGACAGTGGCGACACACATGCTGGCCACAGACAAGGGCGGTCGCTTTCTTGACGGCCGCGCCAGAAAGTGTAGGGTGGCAGTTTCTGTGAAAGACTCTCGGGCAACAGTTGCACATAAATAGCTCCCCGCCGTCGCGGCAGTTAATGCACCAATCTTCCGAGTCGAACTTGGAGCCCGCTTCCTTCTTGCCTACGGCTGGCTCGGCTGTGCCGTTGACAGTCTGATGGCCTGCATCAGATTCACCATCATAATCTAGTCTCGAAAACACACCTCGATGGTCGCGTCGTCTAGAACAAAAGACATTCCTCCGAAGGTCACGAGTTTGCTTGTGTGCTGGCGCTTCGCAGCCATCTCCACCGGTTGACCCTGCATCTCCTTGGTGCGAGAGAGGAGTGAACCCTCGAAGAGGTAACTCTGCACTCTGGCCACTCCGCTCAGCAGCTCGCGTTCTTCGTCTTCGACGCCCTGCAACAAACCCTCCTCTTCCTCCTCGAGTTCCATCTTCAGGTCTTTCTTGACCCGCGCGTCGCTGACCTGGGCTCGGACATGTGACGCTTCGATAATCTCTTCGACCGTGGCTTCGCGGAACCGCTCCAGGTCCATTCCATCATCTGTCCTCGTCAGGGCACTGCTCCCGCGCCTGAGAATGGACAGCAATTCGCTTCCCCCCGGTCCCCGTTTGCTGTCATCATCGCCTAATTCTCCGCCCATGATCTTCGCAGCGAGAAACATCTTCCGGCGCAGACGATCGAGCATCTGGTCTTCCACGCTGGCGCGGCATATCAGACGGTAGACCTGCCAACATCAACGAATAGTCTCGTGAGGGATCACCCCGAAAGCGTACCTTCACGACCTTGGTTTGTCCAATTCGATGACACCGCGCGATGGCTTGTAGGTCGCTCTGCGGATTCCAATCAGAGTCGCACATGATGCACACCGTGGCTTTGGTCAGATTGATACCCAGCCCGCCAGCCTTGGTTGAGATCAGGAACACCTTGAATTCTGTGCACGTGAGCCCAGATCGCATCCACGACCATTCGACTTACGGGAGCCCTCTCTCTGAAACTGTCAAACAGAATCAGCAAGACACTGCATATCCTCGGACTGCATACCAGGTCAATCACCAAGCTACGCTTTGCACGAGGCGTGGAGCCGTCGAGGCGGAGATACTGGATGCCTCGCAAGGTCATAAAGTCTTCCAGCAAGTCCAGCATGCTGGCCGACTCAGATCAGCAGGGAAGGGTCTGTGTTCAGAACTGACGTACTCCGTCCATTGCTGTCCGAGCCTCAGTCTCACAAGACGAAAACACAAGGGATAACTCACCGAGAATATCAGAGCTCGCTCATCGTTAGCAAAGGCACGCTTGAGAATCTTGTCGATAAAGATGAGCTTTGAAGATGCAGCAACGATGTGCTCTCTGATGTCGTAAGTTTCAGGCATCGCGTCAGAGAGCATATACGGATGGTCGCAGATCCGGCGCAATTGCATCAGCAGGATGGAAAACTTCTTCCATTCTGTGGGACAGAAAGTGAGAATAACAGACAGCTCCATGCAGCACGACTCACGGTTGACCTGCGACCCCTTTGCCCGCTCCCTCAAATCGTGCAACACCTGGCTGCGCCCTTCATCCGGGATGTTCTCTTTCATTGCCGGAAACAGCGTCGTCAGATCAATCTGGTCGAGGCGGGTGAGAAGCCGGTACGTCCAAAACCGCTGTGCTTCGGTGAAGGGCAGAAACACGGTATGTTCCTCTCTGGGCGGAACACCGGCAAGTTCCCCCGTATTCGTCAATGACCCTTTCGTCCGACGCAACTGAATGATTTCTAATAGGCGGCGGACAGCGTCGATGAACGGCAGCGCGTATTTTCCGTGCTGCAAATCGAACGAGTCGATGAATCGCTGACGCGTCGTGATCGTGAATACCGTTGGGTACAGCCAGTGTAGCAGACCCCAGAGCTCCAGAAGGTTGTTTTGGATAGGCGTGCCGGTCAAGACTGGATAACAGGTCAACTTGGCATCGGGCTGCCCCTCGTGAGCGAAGACACTCACTCAATCGCCACATGCTTCCGATCCCAGACACACTCGCCGCTACCTCTGTCTCCGAGTTCTTGATGCGATGGCCTTCGTCCAAAACCACGCAGGCCCAGCCTTGGGTCTTGAGCCACTTCATCTCTGAGGAACATGCAGTCTCGTATGTCGTAATCACGATATCGGCTGGGTCGGTACGGAGCAGCACTCGCCGCCGTTGGCGTTCCTCGGAGGATCCGTGAATGAGCACTGCGTTCATCGACGGAACCCAGCGCTTGCATTCCGACTCCCAGGACGCGACGACGGACAGCGGACATATGATGAGATGGGTCAGAAGCGTGGCTGACGACTGCTTGATGTGCGCGAAAAGGGAAAGCGTTTGCAAGGTCTTGCCGAGGCCCATTCTGCGTCGAAAGTCAGGCATTGGAATTCCCATGTAGCAGAGAAGACCTGCTCATCTCCCAAAATACAATTGACGCCTAAAATCGTGAGCAAACGCGTCGCTTGGGCACAAGAGAGAGGAAGTTGCACACCATTCTCATACATGTGCGCTAGGAACGACAAGCCTCTGAGCTGGTACGCCTTCATCTGCCCGCCCTCGACCGGAACAGGCTGGGTGTCGAACTGGCGTATCTGCGGCGCGACGACGCGTTTACTTCCCATCTCCTGCTGCCGTTTGCTGAAGTACGATTGCGCGTGTGGGTTCGGCGGCAGCAAAGGAAGATACTCGTCGCGGTGGCTGTAGAACCACACCCGTCGCCGCTCTTCGCGCTCTTCGCGTATCTCCTGTTTCACCTTCTTGTGGCTGTCTTTGGACCCATCCTCTGCGACCTCGCGCTTGCGCTTTGGTGCTTCGGACGTGTCTGACGGCCAGCCTGTGCATGATGCAGAATCACTCGTAGCGAGGATATTCGGTTTCAGGTCTGCGTCTTGTGCGCAGTTCATCGTGGAACGTCTAGAAGACCGTTGGGGGCAAAAACAACAAAACTTTAACTTGGATCATCAATTCAGTGGCATCAGAGACGCGTTTGACGGCATGCACGTGAGGAGATTGATTTTGAAGTATCTTCAACGTTATCGATAAACGATTGTTTCTAGTGTTCACTTGCCACCCAAGGTCACAACCCGATGCAAGAGAGTTGAGACGAAAGAGCTTTTCAGTTTCTTCAGCAACGCGCATGAATTCACGTGTAGACAACACTTTCTTCAGGTGTCAATGCGCAGTCAACCCCAGGGTTCCCTAAGGGTCAGGAGGATGCACTGCCTCATGCCCTTGGACTCTCCGGGATCTGGATGGCCACCGACTCTCCGCGAGTTCGTCTTGTGTATGGCCTGATGTGAGATGTTGTGGCATGAGAGCCGGCCGTTGCACATTGCCGAACGCTAGAGCGATGCTGCCAATGTCTGCCATACCGCTGTCGCCCGGCTTTCTGGTGGCGATTCACCTGTGTCTCGGAGACATCAGTAAAACTACAACTTTGGCTTTTGTAACTCTCAGCTTTGAACCAGATCTTTCAGCTTTTCCGATCCAGCTTGGGCAGCGTTCGTCTTTGAGCAAGCATCTTTGATTGTCGCTGATCCGTCTATCAACTCCGTCAATCACAACAGCGCCACTGTGCCTGCTGATCGCTTTCACGGGAAATTCGTCCTCACGAAGCTATCCATGGGCTCATGGAAGCTGGAATGCTCGACTGAGGGCAAAACCGCCGTGACCGTCATCACGGCACTCAGGCTGGTGGTAGTAGTAGCATTTAGTAAGCATAGTATTCCGTTAAACAGATGACTCGGTGTTAGGCATAGTAGCTAGTACATGTGCAACCTTCACTAAGCCCTCCAATCCGCGGCGCGGCTACTTCGAGTTGGCGGCATCAGACAACATCTTGGCCAAATCTGAAGCATTTTGAGCAGCATCATTCAGCGACTCGGCCATGATATTTGCGCGCCTCTTCTGCATACTACACTCATGCCAAGCCTCATACAGTTGATGCTTGAAACCATCCCGCTCTTGTGCCACGGCATCCCTCTCTGCCTCCCACTTGTGCCGCTGTTTTTCGAGTCGCTCCATCAGCTCTTCTTTCTGCTGCTCCAACTCCTCCCACTTCCGCTTGAGTCGGTTACACTCTCCCATGGCTTTGTCTCGTTCTTGCTCTGCGTGATCTCTGAGATCTCCCACCATTGCCAATCGCTCTATGAGGTCGTTGACGCGAAATTGCAGCCGGTGATTCGTGTCAGTGACAGAGTCGAAACACTCATCAAACTGGGTCTCTGGTTCTCGGCCTACATTGGCACAAGGTAAGTGTGTTTTCCAAGTCTGAGCGAGAGCATAGACCCACCAAGATCTGTGTCCTGCCTAAGCTCGGGCTGTGTCCCCAAACCATCCTCCTCACCCTGCAGCGTCAATTTGGGTTCCGTGATCTCGGGAAACACAGGCAGGACTGAACTCTTCCGCTCTTGGCAAGCAGGGTGGTCGAGGACTGTTTCCGCTTGATCCCTCATTCCTGCGCATTGCAAGAGACTGGAGGCTGGAGACGGGGAAGGGTTGCTGGCATAGGTGGCGCACAGAACATCGATGTGGGTTTGAGAATCGGTTTGAGAATGCAACGCGCCGCCTTCAGTGAACATGCCGCTGCGAAGTCATCAGTATGCTTATAGAGAGTGCACGTCAAAAGACTGGATGCACACCGGATGCCCAGCCCTCCCTTAGCACCATGTAGTGTCCGACTCGGACGAGGTGTAGGACTCGGGGAGACTTTGGCCTTTGCCGCCTTTTTGCGAGCACGTTCCTCATGAAAAGCAATGTGCTTGTGCTGACTCTCAAAATAGGGACTTTTGCTGGTACCCCGCGGCGGTGAATAAGTGTCGTCGTTGTCATCATCATAGAACATTACGTCCCGAGTGTATAAGTCGAGCAAGGTCCCTGCGGTGTCACGACCTCACAGCAGATGGGCGTCTAGCACAAGAAATTTGAGACACAGCCACATCCTGGATTCACAGCGCTACAGGCAGGCCACTGGCATGGGTCTGTACAGAACTAGAACAGGGTCAAGAGATGAGTACGTATTAGAAAGCTATTTCATGTGAATGGTGGTCCGCATACTTGTTTATGTAGAATGCACGAAACATATCTAAAGAGTCTGTATATTTGAAGTTACGGGGAATGAATTTCTTGCCAAAAATGGGAACGAGGTGAGCGCCTCGAAGGATGGAATCAATGTGAATGACATCCAAGACCCGCCGGCGTCGTGCATCAAGGTCAGGCTCGACCATCCACATGCCCATATCAGGACAAGGTTGGTCTCCAATGGTGGAAAACCAATTCACGACCGCACATGCATAATCAATACGACGGTATTTGAATGAGATGAACAGCTGGACACGAGCTGCCATAAGACCGCGGAAGCCCAGTGCATCATTGCCTTCAACAAACACACAATCATGCCGAGCAGCACCACGGCGCCATGATGGGGACGCACGGATGCGTTCGCGGAGATGTCCGCTGAGACCAGACTGGTCGCTAGGCGCGTAGAATGTGGCTGTTGCAGATGGGAAGACACGGACTTTCTTTGGTGCGTCGGGACACAAGTCGAGGGGGACATCGGCAAGGATACCGTCGAAATCAGGATTGTTTTGTGCATAAAGAAAGCGGCGGAGGAGGGCGGGGAGAGTGGGAACATTGACGCGTGGGGCAAGGTTGTAGGGATTCCGGGGTAGATGTCGTACTGGATGGAGAGAGTTAGAATCCATAAGAGATGAGAAACACAGTCTGACGCACCGGGCATTATTGCTAGCTTCACCTCCCCTTCAATCTCTCTGTCATCAATGCCTGCTAAATCATCATTCTCGTCTTCATCTGTGGCTTCGACAACGGCAGGGTCAGGAATGGCAGCGACAGACATCCCACGGGCTTTGAAGTCTACGCGCGCAGCTGCCAGCTTGTCAAGTCGTTCGTTGATGGTCAGCATTTGTTCGAGGGCTTGGAAACGGCTGGAACGCCGCCAGGGCTCTTTTACAGCCTTGATGTGTTTGGATTCGGTTATAGATGAACAGAGACCGTTGGGGGCGCCAAATTCTTGGATGAGATGTGCGTAGTGAGATAGTGAATGCTGCCGTGGGAGGCAGAACTTGTTTGGGACAACACCAATGTCTTCGAATACCCGTCGTTCTTGGTGGTAGCGGGTCAATGAGTCTCGGATTTGGACCAGTGTTGCCTGGTCAATGATGTTGCGTCGGACGAGGTAACAAAAGTCAAGAAAGGCGCTGAAGGCGCAAATCATTTTAGATGGAACATGGCCCTCAATGGCAGGCATATAGACCTGCAAAAGTTGGTCAGTACATACATCAGGCAGATCTGCTAGATTCTCACCTTCATCAGCGCCTTGGAATCATCCCCCGTCCACTGTTTGAAACCGCGACCTTCAGGGAACCGTCGAAGGCCAGGAAAGGCTGGTACTGCGGCAATTCTGTTCATACTGAGTGAGGAGCTATGCAAGAGATTGAGGTACGCACCGTCGATCAATATCGGCCATTATCTTCTTTGCTTTTGCGGACCCGTGAACTGCCTCCAGATACTCCTCCACCCATGTAACAAGATGATCCTTGAACGTTCCCTTGATCAGTTGGTGGAGCAGGTCGGGTGATAATAGTTCATGTATGTCGGCCCGGGGGAAGGACCAGGTGAAAGGCTAATGTCAATCAGGATGTGCAATGGACCCTTCTGACGCACACAGACACACCTTTACATCATGAATGACACCATAACTTGACCACATCTCCTTGGGTGTGAATGCATCAAGGATGGCCTCTGTCAGCTTTTGAGAGCGACGCCCTGCATTGTCTTCATCACCATCTAGGTCCTTGTTAGAGGCCGTGCAGCTAATCGAGTCTTGTTCAAGAAGGCAGCTCGGATGAAGGTAGCATGAGATCTCACCGAGCGCACCACCCTTGAACGACGCCAGCAAGAAGTACCTGCTCTGGATAGTCGGCAATATAAGGCCCAAGACCATACACCACGCGACGATAATGACCATCGGCAAAGCGCACAACCTCAGGTGTCGACATTCCCTCGCGCAGCGATTCAAGGATCTGGCACAGAGAGCCATGGAACAGATTGCGGCGGAAAGTGCGAAACTCTGAGCTGTCCTCGTTCTCGCGGTCCGCTTAAGCAGTAGTCAGTAGATGCATGACTGTATCAGACCGTAACATACTTTTTGGGATTGCGAGAAAGCCAATGAGGGTGACAGCGTTTCGATGGGCCCGGCGGACGCTGTTATATACCAACCCGTTGGAGAGGTACAGTGGGTAGAAGTCGTTCTGGCCAGTGGCAACAGAAACCGTGGTCTTATCGCTGCCGAGGATGATTGGTACAAAAGTGGCGCCATGCGTTCTTTGATCATTTGCAATCATATCCTGCGGCAGTTGGTTAGTGAGTATTAGTGACAGATAGAGGGTAACACACCGACTGTCGCCATGCCCAATTCCCAGACATAAAGTCCTGGTATTCCCGCGATCCATCCTTCGCATACACCAGCTTAGCTGCAAAGTCCATCTCCTTCGCAAAGTCGGGATTGCCAAGCTGACTCTGCAGCACTGCTCGTGGATTGCGGAAATAGACTGTATGAGCCTTCTGCTTCCATGGTGTTGTGCTGCCCTCGGTGATTGTTCCGTTGTATCTGACCTCGAAAGACTGCCAGGGGATGGTATCGAGCTCGGTGGCATCAATCGTTCCATAGAGGTCGTCATGATCGTTGAAAGGGGGCGATTGGGCCGGATTGCGAGCAGCCCAGTTCTGCATTAACTCGTCAATCTCACCACCGGACATCTGCACGCGACGATAGAGGAGATCGGCAAGATGGAAGTCGAGGTGATTTGCATACGGGGAGTAGTCGGTTTTCGATCCGTATTCCCGCGGAGGAGGCAGTGAACCAGGAGGCAGATAGTTTCCTTGCGCGTCACATGGAGTGCCTGAAATACATAGTAAGGTCACAGTACTAAAACAGCCACTGCACACACCGTCTAAGAAGGGGTGGATCACAATGCGGTCACGGCGATTGGGAGCCGGAGGGTGGATTAGCGGTGGAGCGCCAGGGTCATCTTGAGGAACAAAATCTACACCGCCAGACGCAGCAGATGCGCCACTGGACTGACTGCTGGACCGCAAGTGCGAACGGGCTTGGGCGCGCTCAATGTGAAACTGAGCATGCTTTCTGTTTCGGTGCTGTGTAAGACCGGATTGGTTCTTGAAGAGTTTGTCGCATCCTGGAACGGGGCATGGCAGGTTACGAGCATGGAACGGGCGGTTTGGCATATTCTGCAGAGGATGGAGGTCTGGGAAACAGCTCAGAGTCCATCAGAAATGCGAGTCATGTCCCAAACCGTAGGGGTGGTCGATCGCTGAAAATTTTTTGACGGCGCTCTTCCCTCATCCATCAGCATGTCCTTGCCCACCATCCCAAAACGCCGCACCCGTCAGTCTTCGGCCAATACAACTCCAATCCAGACCCGAGGAGCTGCTGGCCTGAAACCACACTCTGCACAGGGCACTCCTATTCGGCGATTGCCAGAGACCGTGGCCCAGGAACGACAGGCTGAAGAAAAACGGAAAGAGGCAGCTGAGACCTTGCGACAGCGGAAGGTTCAAGCTGTTGCCGATGTTGCAGACGAGTTGTATGCCGAGGACAAGCTTGATGCATCTCATGCTCAGCGCCGCTCGGCCGCTTCCCTTGCTCCGACCAAAAACTGGAAGGAAATGGGTAAGTCCCAATGATGCGATGCTGTCAGCATACTGACAGTGGTCTGGTCCAGCGCAAACTGCTGTCACCTCGGAGGATGAGGAGAATCTTGGTACGCCGCCAATGTCAACTAGACGCGATGCTCAAGGCTGCATTGCAGATCCAGGTGCCGACGATGATATGTCTGACATTCAGGATCCCTTGTTTGCAGCCCCGGGTAGCGACGCCTCGGATGAGGATGAGGACAGTGGCGATGATGAGGAGGACAAACCCACCAACCAAAAAAAAGGTCCCAAAACCGCCTCCAAGCTGACTCGCAAGGATGTTGAGGATAAGCGAACCAAGCGAAAGGCGAGTGTGACGTCGTATGTATCTCCGTTCTCCCACTGTCCACCGTACTGACTTCTCTTGAGCGATGCTCAACCGCACAAAGAATCCAAGCGTGGTCGAATCACCAAGAAATCCGGCCTGGTGTCCGCCTCCCGGGCTACTTCTTCAGCATCAGGACGATCGAGTGCGGCGGGTGCAAATGCTGAAGACGACCACATGTTCCAATTTGGCGGTATGGAGGAGGAGGATGATAAGTTTCGAGCTGATGCTCCAGCGGTCAAGAACAAGGCGGTATGTCATCATGTGATCAGCCTCACTGTCAAGTAATTTTCCGCTTAGAACCAGAGCATCGTCAACGTTTCGCAACCCAAGGCTCTCAGCAAGAAGGCTCAACGAGGAGGAGGCAACAAATGGCAGGTCAAAGATCTGCCTGCCGCCGCTCGATCAAAGTTTTCCGACGACCTCGTTCCCCTACTCAAGGGTGTCATGGGTACTCTTGAGGATCCTTGGGAGTCCCCCTCGTTGGACAAGAAGCAATCTTTGGTGAATGCGGTGTATGGGCCAGGAAAGTATATTGTTGCAGTGGATAACGTGTGGTTTGACTTGGTGCGGTTGTTGCTCTAACCCGCTCACTACCATGTACTAATTGCGCACGTCAAAGATGGACTATCGGTCTGGCGGCTACCGCAGCGGGATGGCCGGTCAAGCCAGGAAGGCTTTTGAGGAGTATATCAAGATGCTCGGCAACATGTTCCCTTGTAAGTGTGTCCTGAAGATGCTCTGCTATACACCCTAACTCGCATCGGACAGCCGAGCAGCCTGAGCCGGGAAAACCTGCTCAGATTCTTGCAGGTGAGTTCATTTTGTCAAGTGCGAATATCTCTGATTGTTGCAGTTTCCATTCCTCCAGCTCCAGCGAGTTCTACTACTACAGAACCTCACGCCCTCGGTACTGCGCCCAACGAGACAGTCGACAACAGCCATATGGACAGCCAGATGCCCGGGCCCGATGCCAATGCCACGCCAACAACCGTCGCAGTGCCAGCTCCCAATGTCCATTCCCGTTCCGGTCGCGCCGCTCTTGTCACTGCTTTGACGAAGGTGCACGGAAGCACGAAATGCTTTATGTGGGAGAAGTGGGAGAATAATGGAGAGTCAAAATCGGTACGTGCATGCCAGTGATGCATGCAATTCGTGGCTCTGCTCATGGCTCTGATCCTCTGCACAGGGTTTTCTCTTCTCGTTCCTCATCCAATACACCTTCGCGTACTACCTTGATAGCTATCATAGCCTCGCCCAGACATATGGCAACTATCTGTCAAGTGCCAGACCCGTTGGCGCGCTCCTGCTCGCAATTCAAGCGGTACTGTTATCGCCATCTCACACTGCTCGGGCACTCGCACTGATCTTGTTTCCAGGTCGATCACACTCTAGGCTGCTGGAAGACCGGCGACTTTGTATCGGCGTCCCGAAAGGATTGGTTCTCCGAGGACAACTACGCTGACATCGTCGGCAAGGATTCCAGGTCGACCGCCATCAAGATCGTTACTCGTCGCGCTACACGCTACCTCAAAACTGTCAAGCTGTGGGACGACGAGAAGTGGGATCAGTTCCTGAGCGACGCATCCGAATGGCAGGCCCGCAAAAAGCACGACGTTCCGAAGTTCGCGGTTGCCGATGAGGGGGAAGAGCTTGCTTCGGAGGAGGAGGTCCTCATTTTGTCTGATTAGTATTCTACGTATCGCTCATCCTACAATCTTATTGAATCAAACTGATTAATCAACCATCACTTTCTCGGCCGTCTGAGCCTCAGGATCATCTTCCAGACCGTGTTTCGGAAAGACAAGCTAGCATCTATGAGCTTTACAGGAGCTCATACAAAGCTTCACAAAGATTCCGACTCGGCGCCGGAGAGATGTCGGCCGTCTTCGGAAGCTCCGCAAAGACACTTCTGCCCCGGCGGACATTTTGAACCTACCCACCAGAGCTGAGTGCGTCTTTCCAAAGCCGCGAGCTTTTTCAGCTTTTTCAGCTCTCAGAAGCTGAAAAAGCTGGGATAGCTGAACTTGTAGTTTTACTGATGGACATGCGAGGAAACATGCGCAATTGGTTGCCAAGGAGGTGACGTCGTGTCCGAAGACATACCTGAGCATCGTGTGGTGGGGTATTCCTGTGTATGCGAGCCAGAGACCCTGGCACATGTAACGAATCCTATGCCCGTCATTGCCCGCAGTATGCGCGCAGCAGTGGTGTGCGCAGCAGTAGCAGTACTTCTCGGTCATTATTGATGGACAAACGGGGGTGATTAGGGGCTGCACGTGAGAAGGATGTTGCACAGCCGCGAATCAAACATTCCCTGCACCCTTTTCCTCTCTCCACTTTCGCGCCTATGCCTCCCCGCGGGAATACGGGCCTGGACTTTACGCCTATCCTCACCCACTATGTCTTTCTGCTAACCACTATCTTGGCCATAGTCAGTGCATCCACCCCACGCGAGGGTTCTGCAGGACTGAGATTCCGTTTAGGTCGCCTGGTTTATTGCCTTCATCGGACAAGCTGTCTCCACAGCAGCACGTACGTGCCTGACTCCCTTCCCCCATATGTTCTGAATGTCAAGACAGATGGCAATGGTTCTGTCGGTGTCCTTTGGTTCGCAATATGGCTGCAACTTGCTTTGATCCTGGGCGTCATATACACACTCGCAGCCGACTCAATAGCCATGCATCGGTTCCAAATCTCCACATTCGGGGCCGTTGCCATCGTTTTCTCCGTGCAGGGTGTGAACCAGGGCATCTTCACGGGGGTCGGCTCCCTCGACGCCATGGCAGCCGGCTGGCTCATCCTCGCCATGGTCAACATCGTCTGGGTGCTCTACTTCACATCCGAGGAAGACTCCCTCACCCTCCACATCTTCAACCTCATGGGCACGGGTGGACTGACGCCTCCCTCGCGGCGTCGCCGTACCCGCCAACCCTCGATGAACGACGGAAACGGTTATTCAAACAACTACGCCTCGGGGGGTGGGATCGGCTCGCACGACATGGGCATGGGGTACGACGCCAAGATGGGGAGCGCGATTGGCAGCGGCATGGGCATGGGCAGCCAGGCTGACCGTGTCGGTGTCAGGAGTCAAAACAGCTACGGCGGAAGCGAGCCTGGGATGGGGACACGGAGTTTGGGAACTGGTGGCGCGGGAAGTGTGTCGAACCTAGGACAGGGGGGACCCGGATCCGTCGGCGGCGGCGACAATAGTGCCTCCTCGCCATTGATGAACTCAGGCGGTGCCATCGCTGCGCCTGTGGCCGATCCCGGTGCCTCCAACTCTGCGGGTGACGCGGCGGGAGGATCGTACCTGTACAAAGCAAAGGCTTTGTATGCTTGTGCGTTGCTTCCGTATCGCCTGAATCTCAGGATTAACTTTGCTTCTACTACCAGATACCGCCTCGAGCGATGATCCCAATGAGATATCCTTCAACAAGGGCGATATCATGGACATTCTGGACAAGCAAGGCAAATGGTGGCAGGCCAAAAAAGCCGATGGCTCGATTGGAAGTGCGTAATTTCGCATTCTGGCTCTGGCTTCGCTGCTTATGCGTTTACAGTCGCACCATCAAACTATCTACAGATTATTTGAAGCTTGTCTATAATGAATGTACGACGGACCGCCTATTTACGATGATACCTCACGCACTTACGCTTCCACTGACTCGGTAATGAATCGAAACTCTGTTGTATGATTAGGGCTCTGCTAGCACTGACCAGTCCGCCCTGCACTTTACACAGCCTGCGTGTGGCACCTGGGTTTCCCAACTTCATTTGGCAAGTATGTAGTGCCGTCGTCCAAGCCATCGGACCTTATAAAAACCTTCTTGATATGTACGTACTTAGTGTGAGAGGAGACGAGACGTATGTGTCCTGTATGTTTCGAGTGTTGCCGGCCGCTTGTTGAGCGCGCTATCGCCATCAACCGGGCAGTTCAGCTATGAACGTGTCCTAAGTATGGGCTTCCCAGCACCAAGTCGTCCCCATTTTAGTTATACAACATGGGAACCATCCATGTGACAATAGGTTTCTTCTTGGTTTCTGTGCTTGGTGCTACACATTGCGGTTAATATAGATAAAGGTCAGAATATCAGCGCCTGCGTCGGCCCGCTCCACCGCCACCGAGAACGACAAGCTTGTTCCCCCGCTTCTTTCCAGAGGTCACACGTGACTCCAAGTCGTCCCAAGCAGCCTCCATCTCCCAGTCATCTTCCTCTCTCCACCGCGGCGCTGCACTGGGCGCGCGGGCAGCCGCAGGCTGGTGCGTCGCACTCGAGCTCGAATGAGCTGCGGCAGCGAAAGTGCGAGCTCCCCAGACCCCAGACGGCTGCTGCGACTCCTGGGGAGCAACGACGACTTCATCCCGCACGGGCGCCACCGGCTGGGAAGCAAACGTCCACGTTGTCGTCGTCGTGGCTAGCACCTTGTCGCGCTCGCGCTCCTCGGCGCGGGCACGGGCCCGGTCGTCCTTCTTACCCTTCTCTTTGCGGCGCCCAGCACGCAGCTTCAGAGCGTTCTCGAAGCTCTTGAGCCCAGACTCGCCCACGACCCCGTGCAGATTTGCTTCGACAAAAACGACATCGGCGCCTTCGGGCATGTGTGCGAGATACTTGCAACGTTTGCGCAGATCATCATTCACTGTGCCCTCGCTGGCAGCCTCGATTTGCACCGTTATCAGATCGGGGAAAGACGAGTATCCGCCGAAATGAGACAACAAGATCTTGATGTCCAGCGGATGTAGGAAGACAGGCAAGCCCGACGCAGCTTGGTAGTAGTAATACGTCGAAGTCGAGGGTGGTGGCGGATTCACGTTGCGCCTGGAACGATTCCCACGTCCAACAACCGAATCGGACGTGAGAGCGAGAAACTCGTGCGGGGCTGCCTCAGATTGGGGTGCTGCTGCTTCCTGCTTGCGTCGATTTCGTTGCGAAACGACCCGGTCCTCGATCTCCCGCAGATCTCTCGCAGCGCGATCTATCTTCTCTTGCAAGAACGGAGTGTGCAATTCCTCCGCGTTCGTCATCTGGTGTCTCACCTTCTCCTCCGCAGCGTCCACGAACACGATTCCCAGAGGATCGGACATCGAAGACAGCAACCGCCGCTCGGACGCGAGCTCGTCTAGATCTCGTGTTAGATCTGTGATGAGGTACGACGGGGTCGCGAGCATGAACTTGGCATAGTCGAACACATCCGGCAGGAAGTGGAACGGCGCCTGATGGGGCGGCAAGAGATCGGATGGCCAGGTGTGCGATCGGGGAAGCGCCATGGTCGTTATCTGCGGGCGTTGGATTAAGCGCAGGCGCATGGTCGTCCCCGGTCGCGGCGACGCCTCGAATCCGGCATCCACGGATCCAGAGGACGACGAGCCGGCAACAGGAGCATCCACCTCTTCCTCGACATGGATCGGGCCGTCGAACCACTTGACGCTCTTCAGCTGTTTCTCGTGCACCGAATCGAAGCAGATGGGGCACCGCGCCCACCCTTTGTCGTGCGGGCTCAGGTAGTGAAGGATGCAGGGGAAACAGAACACCTGCGGCAGAAAGTTCAGCGATAGCTTTAGTGGCCACGGTGGAGATCACTGACGTGACCGCATTTGGTCATCCTTGGGGCAGAGGGGGGAGCGAGGCAGATGGGACACGTCGTATGGCCCTCGGACGCCCCTTGAGCCTCGCTGCTTGACCCAGCGGACGCCAGTGCCGAGGAGCGGGGGATGATGACTTGCAGGATGTCTTGCCATTGGAAGAATCTGGGATAGTCGGTCATCCCATTGCTAGCAGGACGTGCTCGGAACGACTTACATGTCCGGATCCGCGAAATGTACCGTGTAGTCGCCATGCGGGTTCATGACGAAGCGATACTGGGCGTTGACGAACCCTAGCACGCCAGATAAGATACTTGACATGTCATGGATACCGCGGAGCACTCACGCTCTTTATTCCACACCGCCTGATGAGTGGGCTTCTTGCTCCTCCTCGGGAGTGCCTGGGTCGAGTGCGTCTGTCGCGGGGGAAGCGTGAAGTTGAGGAGATGGTTCAGGTTGAGAGCCTGGTTCGAAGCCATCTTGGAGGCTCGCCTCAGTGTCAGCGAGGGGGCTGTCTGTGCCCCGGGCGTACTGGGCATGAATGAAGCGGTGTGTCGTGTACGAGTTGACGGGGCTGAGAAACGGTTAGGATGAGGGGAGCTTCCCTGCCAGTGGGAAGCGTCCACCAAGACCCAATTGATGGGCCGAGGGGTCTGACTCTTGTTCGGCACGCCGCGTCGGCCCCGGCTTTGGCCGTTGAACGTTTGTCGATTACAGTACTTTTCCGTCCACTCCACGTCGGGCTCGCCCGACCGGTCGTGTTGGGGAAGAAACTGAAAGAATTGGAAACTGGTGTCTCCGCAGGATGACTCAACGACACCATCTTTTTTTCAGCGGCTCCGGCGTTGAGAACCCAAAGTGGAATCAGTGAGACATGCGCGGCTCGGTTCAAGTCCTCAAGCGTCCAAACATACACGTCTGACTATTTATCTACGTCCCTTGACTGACCATTCCGCTGCTGCTGCATCTCCTTGAAGGCCTGGCACGATACAGATCAGTCAACACAACTGCATCAAGCGCATACATCCCGCTGGAACTCACCGCGGTATATGCATCCATCTGCCTCTTGTACTCCCCCAGGACTGAATGCGACGGATCAACATACCTGAAGCGTCCGCCCTTCCAAGCCCCCATATCCTCAACGTCGATCCCAGCCTGACACTGTCCCTTGAACTCGACCCGCATCGCATCAATCACAGCTCGGACGAACCACTGGCACTGATACTCCCCGATATGATACCGCGGCGCAAAGCCCGACACCGCCCCAAGCAGCAGTGCGAACCGGACCACCGACGGGCGGCTGCGCTCGGGGAACACCACGCTCTGGAGCCGCTTCCCGCCCGCGCCCCTGCGTCGCTCGATATCGGCGACGCCGCGGTGCACCCAGTCGAGCGCGCAGTGGGTCGACGCGAACGGGGACCGGCACGTCACGGTGTAGCCCGCGTCCAGGTATATGGCGAGACTGCGGCCCCGCTCCTCCGGCACATCTCGTTTGCCCGTGCCCCTAGTATCCTGCGAACCGCTCAGACGCTTCCCGTTCCCGGATCAAAAGAAAACCACATCCACGGACCTCCGCGTAACTCTCCGCGATCGGCGACATCGTCAGCCTGGAATCCAGCGAGGACCGCTTCCCGCTCCCCGGGCTCTCGGGCTCGTACGCACGGCGATCCTCGTCCGGGCGATTCCGAAACTCGCGATCGACGATCAAAATAGTCTGCTCGCCCGTGGCCTCGTGGAGCACGTGGACGCGCAGGAACTCGTGTTGTCGAGGCGTATCGGGCCCCTCTTTGAGATGTTCCACCCGGCTTACGACCGCCCCATTTGCAAGTGCGCTGTCTCGAGGCTGCAGGAGAATCGTGTTCCGCCATTCGTCCAGCGGCTCCGAATGGCTGTTCTCGCGCCGAGCGGGATCCCACAGCCCTGGCAGCAGGAGCTTATTGGATGAGAGCGAGAGACGAAACCGTCGCCAGAGGGTGCGCAGAAAAAGAGTGAGTGCCATGATGGGCGGTCAGTGCAGCCAACTTGTAGTGGTTGATATATCTATCGACTACTTTTCTAAAATTACATCGGCCATGAGATACTCGCCACCGATACACACGCCCGCAGACCACACCAGCAGCAGCGATGCAACACAGAAGAAGGTGATCGACTGGCCGATTTCCAGCCACGAACCTATCAGGGCAGATCAGATCAGGCACATGCGAGAGGCAACAGCACACACCCGTGTCCGTCACGTTGAAGAAGAACGCGAGAGTCATCCCGTCTGTGAGAGTCAATGCGACGAGGAAGAGCGAGAACGGCGGTAAGCGCAACGCGTTGTTCAGGGTCGCAAACACGACCGAAAGCATAATGTACGGCGCCACAATCTTGAACACCTATGAGCGAGCGATCAGTCCTTGCAGCCCGGCGAGTCGGCACCCCATCCACTTGCCAGAAGCAGCGCCATGGCAAATGGACTGAATATCGGGATCAATCGATACACTGGCGCCAGATAAAACGACGAGATCGAGGCCACGCTGAAAACATATTATCAGCCGCTGCCGCCCCCGTCGGTGCATGGTAGGGCCACTCACTTTCCCGTCCCGAAAAATCCGACCTGCACGAAAAACAGGAAGAACAACGCGATCCTGATATCGTCTGCATGAAACCTGTACTGTGCAGAGGCCCTGATGTCCTTCCCCCGCACCGATTGCTCGACCTGGATCCACAGCAACAGAGTCGACGAGTACGCGACGTAGAACAGTCCTTCCACGCTGATGGAAAGAATCACAAAACAGACGCCAAACGCCAGGAAGTACATCAGCAGCTTTGAGTTCGCATCGGTATCCGATGTGGTCGTCACAAAGGGCAACGCCGACGCCAGCACTGTTTGTGGTGAGCGCCCTAGCCCAGAATGTGAAACAAGCCCCCACTTACCAAGGATCACCCACCCTGCAACTTGATTGGCAAGTGGCAGCCCCAGCTTATTCTGCAGATGATACACGGAGCTTGTAGTGACGATCATGGCTGCCACAATGAGTCCTGCCTGCAGCCAGTTGAGGGAAGTGTTTACGGACACGATCGAGGCCCGACCTGAATGGCAAATAGCCGTGTCGGTAGTTTGCTCAGCCCACCGAACTTGAAATAGAGAGCAGCACAAGCGAGCATGGAGCATCCGCCAAAGGTGCTGAAACTCGCATCAATCCAAGCGTTGGGCGACGCGTTTCTGGGATCGACGCACATAGCCAAGATGGTTTCCTCCTTGTCCACAGATAACAGCGGGAATATAGCCGTGACAAGACACGACAAGGACCACAGACGAGTCTCGCGCAGTCCTGATGCCATCGGCCACAGGACACCAATGACAACAAAACCGACGCTCCAGATAAACCGGTGCACGTAAGCCAGCTGAGGAAACCGTCAGTGCCAGGCCACATCGTACACACACGAGCTGACGCACCACCATGCTCTGCAGGACGACAAACACTGCCGCCGCATAGAACAGGCCCCGTCCAAACCGCCATCCTCCGCTGTTCTGAGCACGGATATACGGCGTCATCTGCAGGACGACCTGCTGCCAGAAGTAGCACGGAAACGCCACATACACGTAATACGTCCACGGCGATTTCTGGACAGCGAACAGGGCCCAAAAGGCACCCAGGACTCCGAGCGCAATGCTCGTGACGACTTGGTATCCGCGCACCGAGATCCCATGTGTGTCGAGCGGTCGGAGGATGAAGAGCGCGGCGTACGCCGCCCAGCCGAGATAGGAGGCGATGACCATGCCCTTGATCAGTCTTCGCTCGTACGTCTGCAGGTAGCGCAGCCCGTCGAGCCCGTCTTGTATGACCCCCGCCGCCAGCTTCCGCGCGGAGTCCCATTGCTGTGCGTCCAGAGCTTTCTCGATGCTGTCCATCGGCGATGCAACAAACCGGGGAAACGGCTTGTACCAGACAGTTTGCGATTGCTTCAGTTCTGCCGACGATCAGGGCCGCGCTTGAAAAGTGAAGTCTAGAGGCAGCATACCGTGTTTCACTCGATACTGCTCCAAAATCATCTTGTGTGGGCTTCAGCTACGGATATCACCGGGAATACTCTCACACACCCTTGCATTCACAGCAGAAGCCTCCGCAAGCCTCCGCTCGCCGCCAGCCGGGGCCAAGAACCCCGGACGCGAGGAGTCAACATCCGGCAGCACTCCGACCGAGTTGACAGGCCAGTTCACGCCCAGCAGCGCAGCCATGAGCGGCGCGAGATCCGCCTGCTCGACGTCCCTCCTGTAGAGATGTCCGAGCTCCCACGGCGACGAGGATGCGTCGTGCGACGTCGGGGACGTATCGGGGAGCGGTCCGCGGACCCCGCGGCCCCATGCGACCACTGGCGTGCGTGTGTTGTCGGGGTCTGCATCTGCATGTCAGCACCAGAACGGCGAGATCCTGGTGACGTCACTCACGCCCGTCCCCGTGGTTCCCGATGACCGACATCCCGTGGTCCGCCGTGAAGAGGTAGCTCGTCTCGTCGTCCTGGAAGAAATCGCGCACGGCTCGCTCCGTGCGCCGGACGATGTCGTCCACGACGCGGATGTTGTTCATGTACTCGGCCGAAAAGGGACGGTACGAGTGGCCCGTCGTGTCGAGACCGAGCAGATGCAGGAAGAAGACCACCTGGGGAGCACGCAGTCGCGCATCCAGCGCAGCATCCGTTGTCGCGTTTCTGAACAGCGATTGCAGTTGATCAAACACCCAGATGTCCAAGGCTGTAGCGTCTGGATTCTGGCCGTCAGAAGCCATATACCATCGCGCGGCGACGAAAACCAACCCACCTTTCGTGAAATCCTCCTCGCTCTCGTCGTAGCACCACGTCAGCACCCGCCCCGGCACCGCCCCGCGCGCAAACATCGGCAGAATGTCCGGCGACCCAAACGAGAACGTCGTGCTCGACTGGTTGAACACGGAGTCAAAGTCCACCTGGTGCGGCGCCGCGGCACGGCTCGGTCACCCGTCCTCCCACGCAGTCGGCGGCAGCACGCACCGGATTCGTCTTCCAGCCCTGCAAACGCATGTCTCCGCCGCGCCCAACCGGAAGCAGGCGCATCGCAGCTCACCTTCATCACCGCCGACACGTCCTCGTACATGCCCCCTGCGAAGCGCGACAACACAAGCAGCGTGAGATCCGCGGGAGCTGAATACGGCGTGGCGGGAGCGCGCACGCACCGATGATCGCGACATGCCCCGGCCGGCTCTCCGTCGGCACGCGCGTGTGCGAGATCCCGAACGCGCCGCGCGTCTCCGCGATGGACCGCAGGTGCGGCGCCACGACGGCGGGCGCATCCGGCCCGCGCGTGTCGGCGGGGAACCCGTTCTTCGTGAAGAGCAGGTCCGCGCGCAGCCCGTCGCCTGATCGGCCGTTCAGTCCAGCACGAGAGCGATGTGGTAATTATGACTGGGGGGATTCACCGACGATTAGAACGAGTCGCTTAGCCTCCCCACTAGGCAGCGCATGGCTTTGCATTCCATGGACCACAGGGCTAGTAAAGTAGCAGTCGAATACTAAGTACACGCAGTCAGGGCAGGTCGATGCGAATGACGGAAACAACGAGCCAGAAGCGAGATAAATCAAATGGAACGCCAGTCCCGTGAAGAGCAGTCCTGCCACGTTGTACTTCGACGTCATGGCGAAACAAGGAGGTGATTTGTGAGTAGATGAGATGAGTACGCGAGGGCAGGTAACGAAGACGGATTAATTCATAGAGGTGAGCGTCAAGCGTGGACTTCAGCTTGAATGGGCCGCGTGCAACTTATACTTAAGCAGAGATTCGGACTCTGTCACGGTACGATCACGACGTGACAGCACGCGACTGTGCTTGCCCATCACTCTCATGACCCATCTCATGCAAATGCATTTGGTATTCATTCACACGATGTACAGACTAAACGGCATTGAACTACGTGGTGGGGAAAACACGAACGTTTGGTCAATTGAATACATGCTCGACACTCGAGCGCAAATCCCGACTGGACGCGCCGACGTGCAACGTGAACGACCCTCTCGGAACTGACCCTTACCTTCAGAACACGAGCAATCCAAGAAGAGCACGACCTACCTCTCCATTTCTGCTCGACTACGTCCCAGACCGACAGATCCTTCCTAGTCAGTTCAAACTCCGCAGTTCCATGTTGTCCCGGCTCGAGGTGCAGCTTGTCGAAACCGCGCAAAACGCGCGGAGGTTTGTTTTCTGCGGCTGGGAACTGCACCGAGGTTTGGAATCTGGGTCACGATATGTATGACACTTTAACGCACCGAAACGTACAGCTGGGCAACTTCAGCACCAGCGACTTTGCCCGAGTTTTTGATGGTCACTGTAGCCTGGCGAAAAGGTGTCAGAACATCAGCAGCTCGAGGACAACTAGACTACGCACGGTATACAGCACGTCATACATGCTCCTGCCAAAATCCGACGACAGCTCGACAAACTGTTCCGCAGTCGGTTGGATCGACGTATCATCGGCTTTGAACGACTTTCTTAGTGTGAGCTGGCCGTACGAGAAGGTCGTGTAGCTCATGCCGAAGCCAAACTCAAAACGTGGTGTGATGTTCTTGGCGTCAAACCACTGTCATGGTGGTCCCAGCGGTCAGGATGTTCCGGTATAGAAGAGCCACAGTGAAAGCACCTTGTAATCGATGAGCAGCTTCTCGGTGAAATCGGCCACACGCGTCGAGTTGTCGGTGGCGATTCCATTCGGAGGCCAGTCTGTGGCAGGAGTAAGCTTTTGTGCGTCCGTTAAAACAGACGAACGAGACCGACCTGCAAGGTCCTTGCCAAAGGTATATGGGAGCTTGCCCGAAGGCGAGATCTCGCCCCATAGCACAGGCACAAGACTGCTGCCGCTCTCTGGACCAGGATAATGAGCGACGAGAACAGCAGTAACCTGCACAGGTTCACTCCCAGGTCAACACTACGATTGATTTCAGACACGCACATTGGGATGTTCGATCCAGTCCTCGACGATGACCGCTCCGGGCACGTGCAGCACCACGATCGTGTTATTATTGACAGCGGCGACAGCTTGGACCAAAGCGTCGCCGTTCGGATACGTCGTGAGATTGTCTCTGTCATACCCCTCGGACGCGTATGCGCTCAGGAAAACGAGCGCGGCCTCCGAGTTGCCGGCCTGTGCCGCCGCCATCGTCAAGTTGTAGTTCTCCAGATGCTGGTTGATATCCGGTCCGTCCGCAGCGACATACGCGTTGAGCGCTGCCAGGGGATCGATCGTGTACGGCGGGTAGGCAAAAGCGCTCCCTCCTCCGATAGTCATCGTGCCGTTGTTGCCGCCCCAACACGTCTGGTCTGTCTCGCCACACGAGGTCGTCCCGAACGGCGCCGCGCCAGCATCTTGCCCGATCACAGCAAGCGAGGACATCGCCCAAGTGGCCGGGAACGGGAGACCGCCACCGCCCGTGCGGTTGTTCTTGACGAGCGTGATCGCCTCCTGCGCGACTTGCCGGATGATCTTGTGGTGATCGCGGCGGACGTTGTTCGTGGGCAGCTGGATGTTGGATACATCAAATGTGGGGCGGGGGAATGTCTTCATGTCCTGATGCTGCAGAATGGGAGCCAACGTGCGCAGAACCTGGAATCGTTTGACGCCTTGCTCGAGTGTGATAGCGCACTCGCACTCACCATGTCATCCAAACGTGCTTCGGGAATAGTTCCATTTTGTACCAAGGCGATCAGATTATCGCCGAAGAGATTGGGAAAGTTGGCTCCCTCGAAGAAGACGTGCCCCGGCATGGTAAGATCCAATCCATTCAGAGTCGAGTTGAGTGTGTCCCAGGTGCCTCCCCAGTCCGAGATAACTGAGCCCTGGTACCCGAGCTGTCCCTTCAGCCACTTGTTCAGAGCAACGTCGTCGGAGCAGGCATGAGTGCCGTTGATTTCATTGTAGGAGCACATGATGGTGCCGGTGCCAGCACGAACGGCTTCGGCAAAGGGCCACTACAGTGTTCGAGTCAGCGCTCAGTGCCTAGATTTATCCTCGGACAGACCAGATACAATTCATGAGCAGTCGTGTCGTCAAATTCGGAGTTGATGGGAATCTTGATCTCACTTCCGTAGTTGGCTTCTCGGAACGTCTCCTAGATCCGGGAATTGAGCAGCAATCAAGGATGCCATAGTGCACGACTCTCACTTGTTCATATCCTATAAAGTGCTTGGAACACGCCAGCACACCCTGCTCTTGGGCACTTTTGACGGTCAAGTAAGATCCCACGCCGTGCAGATAACTGCGAGACGTCCGTCAGTCAACAAGCATCTCTGAAAAGTGCCACAGACGGATCGGGTCCAAATCCTAAGAAGAGCCTCTCAATGACGAATCCCGTGCAAAGGAAAAACAAGCCGACCTTCCCAAACGCGTCCGTCCAGAGGACTCCGTCCCATAGGACCGCCTGTCACGGGCCCCAGCCTACGTCCCCACGTCAGCATCGCCGCCAGAACACACACCCCGGACCATCGCGCACCAGATGTTGACCCCCTTGTCGCGGAACTCGCGCGCAATCGCGCCCCCCCGCGCGGCGATCAGGTCGCGGTTCCACGTCGCGGCCGCCGTGAGGCCCGTCGGGAACTGCGACGCTCTCCGCGCGGGGCGGACGCCGTTCGGGCCGTCCTGGAGGCAGAGCACGGGGATGCCGAGGCGCGCGACCTCGCCTGTGCCGCCGGCGCACACGCCGGGCCATCCCGTCGTTAGGTTCACCTGGTCTGTGTTTAGCGCGGGAGGCACAGAAGATCTGGGAGAATCAGTGGATACTGACTTTCTCGGGGATCGTCTGCGGAAAGGATCAGGCTCAGTGTTGGAGCCGCCACGGACCGAGGAACATGAGTGCACACCATCTGGTCCACAAGAGCCTTTGCTTGGGCGAAGCCCTTCCTCCAGGACCCGCCGTGCGCGTAGGGTCCCGTGTATTCCTCTGCACTCGACGAGCCAGCGAGCAAAAGGCTAACGAGCAGTTGTTTGAACTTCGTCGGTACCGCCATGGACGTGCTTTCATCCCCGGAACTTCAAATGTCTCTTATAACACAGTTGTGGATTTCATGCAGATAACACGGGGTCAGCTGGCCAGGGAAACTGTCCGGACCGCTGCATCGCCAAGAGCCAATGGCGGGGAGGGATTGGTGGGAAGCAGACGCTCATTGATCGGAGAGAGGATCATCCGCCCCATTTGGTCACGGGGAGTTATCTCCAGGTCGCACACACACAGTGACGACATTGGCGATCGGTCCGAGGCTCCGATGTCAAGCACACGACCTGCGCCAGAGTCACCGTACAGGACATGGATTCACGCATCTACAAAATGTACAGCACATTCCAACTGGCCAAGTAACTGTGTCAGCCGTCGGTCCGCTCGCTTCGTAGCCGAAATTTCCCAGATACATAAGAGCGCCAGGTTCGGGAACATCCCGCTGACCAAAGCATCGAAATGGCGGCTGAGATGGATCCACTCCGTCGAGCCCTCTCCCAGGATCGGCACGTCCGCGAAATTCAGGCCGATGCGCTCGACCGCCGGATAGCAGCAGCGCGTGCCATCCTCGTCGTTGGGCGCCGGCGTCATCGTGATAAACACGTAGTAGTTGATCTCGCGCAATGACGGGCAGGCGCGGAGGCACGCGGAGACGTGGTCGTTCCACAGAAAGTCGACGTGTTTGCCGAACTCGACCCGCGCCAGCCGCGCGCCGAGGGCGTCCCAGATCTGGCCCATGCCCTGCACGGTGAGCGCGCGGTCCGCGACGAGCGTGTGCAGCGCGGGGAGCGCCCAGCGGCGGCAGATGTACCACGGCACGAGCGGGTTCGACGAGCGCAGCCGCAGCGTGCGCAGGGCCGGGAGGCTGACGCGCTCCGACCCCAGCCCCAGCCCGTGCGTGACAGAGTGGCGCCGGGTGCTCCCGATGAAGAGGTACTCGACGTCGGGCGCGGCGTTGAGCACGGACGTGAGGGCGTTTATCCCCCGGTACGATAAGCCATGTCGTGGCCCCACCATTCGATCCTGCGCACCGACTCCAGGGACGGGCAGGGCGCGTCGAATTCGAACTTCAGCCCTCGGTCGAAAGGCGAGGCCGCGTGCGGAGGCCGGACCAGAATCTTGAGACCGCTACAGAGCGCGATGAAGCGTGTCGAGGGAGGTGGACTGATGGATTCTGTGACCGTGCTCGAGTACGGTAGGACGGCGCGCTGGACCTGTGCACGCTAAGATAAGACATGAACAGCACTGATTCGTCGGGAGCACGCACGTAATGCCCGTATTCTTCACACATCAGAAGTCCCTCACATTTCGATACGCTCTGTGGCATCTCGAGGTCGCGATAAAGAAGCGGGATGGCCCAAGTGCGCCATGTTCTACAGACTTGCACCACCGAGCTCAACGGAGTGGGCTGTGGCTCGAAGACTCCAGGAATGGTCTCAAAAGGAACATGGTCGATGGTGTACGGTTCCCCAGCCAGATGGGCCAAGATTTCGAGCCACAGTTCCGCAGGTAGAAGGTGATGGTCAAAGTGCATAACCTAGACACATACGTAATCTGGATCTAATCTAATCTCATATCACTGACGTCCGGAATTGCAAGCCCTCGACCCGGAAAACTTCCATGCGCTTCTCGAACTTCCTGCTGAATTTGCGCGAGCTGGAGTAGCGGACGTCGCTCAATCTGGACACACTCGGTCGCTCAGGCATGCCCGCCAACTCCTCCTCCGTCCACCAACGGGACTCCACGAACATCTTCAGCGTCGCCTCCTCAAAATCGCAGCGCTGCGACGAGAGCCACAAAACCTCGAGTCTGGGCAGTGCCGGGGGCTGTGCAGACGACGACGAGTAGCGCAGCGACGCGAGAAACGCATCGTCGATGCAGTTGGAGCAGTTGTACACCTCCAGCCGCGTGACATTCGATCCATGCTGCGCGACGGTGAGGAGATCCTCCGAAGTCAGCGCGCAATGGTCGATTTGCAGGTGGGAGATGTGTGGCGAGTTGCGCTGGAAGGTCGTAAAGGCGTCCGGAGACCAGGTGATGACGCCCGAGTTGTATTCGCCGTACAGCTTGAGCAATTTAAGCTTGGGGAGGACTAGGCGCCGAAGGAAGGGAGTAAAATGCTCGTCCGAGGACGTATTCGAAATGTGAATCTCCAGTTCCTCCAGACGAGGCAACGTCACGGTCTCCACTGTCGCCGAATGATCAACAGAAGTAGGCCACCCCGATACACGTAGCGTCACAGATTGCGCATGTGTGCAGCGCACAATGATGTCCAGGCATAGCTGAGGCGATTCGTGGGCCAACGCGATGTGCGTGAGCTGCCACCATGGAGTCGCGATAGTGGTGACCTCGGGAACATGGAACAGCGTGACGCGCCGCAGAAGTGTAGACGTGGCAAAGGCATTGATGCTGGGGTACTTGCCCGCACCCTCGACATGGCGGATGTCCAACGTCTCGAGCACCCGCAGGCTTCCCGTGGGTATCTGGGCGAGGGATGGCAGCGACTTGGTCGTCATCGTCAGCGACTGCCACCGCTCCGTCACCGCGAACAGAACGTCCATGAGCGCCGAGAAGCTTTTTCCGCTCGAGTCGTGCCCCGAGTCCAGCGAGATGGGGAATGGGAGCGGCGCAGAGCGCTCTAGAAAAACCTTCGTCGCATCCACCATGACCTCTCCCGGCCGCTTCGCGCTGGGAATCGGCAGCATCCGGCACCACAGCCGGGGCGTTTTCAACGTCGCATCTCTCCAGTGCTTGCACACCTGCCCAAAGACCAGCACATCCGTCACGGGCCCATCGACGTCGACCGCGAGCGCCAGGATCTTCCCGAGGACGTCGACGGGGATCGTGCGCACGGGGGCGGTGATGAGCTGCAGCGCGGCGATGACGCGGTGCTCCCGTGCGCGGAGATGCTCGAGATCTGCGATCTGGGCGTCGAGCCGCGCGATGATGGCGCGCGACTCGAGGATGAGCTGGTGCGCCCGGTCCTGCGCACCGGGCGTGTCGAGGTGGGCGAGCAGGAGCGCGGTGGAGAGCGTTGCAGCCATGGGGGCGAGAAGCACAGGTGGGAGATCATCGATGCGCGCTTGCAGGGACTAGCCGAAAGGGTCGTGGCCCGGACCGCTTACGACCTCGGTGACATTGGTCACGGCTACACGCGTTATTGCCGGTGACCGTCCCGATCACGCGCTTGCGTGACACCACGCGTTCACCACTTTCTGTCCGCAACCGCGATGTCGTCACGTCTTTCCCGAGCCAACTTGCGGGGCCGAGAGTCTATATTCGCTGGAGGCTCAGATCTGTATCGCGGAGATATACAGGCTGTTTGTCCCCCCAGCCTCGAAGAGTGCGTGTCGATTTTGGAAGACTGCTGTGAAGAGGTGCGCCGCTCTTCACCGCTTGCGGAGACATGATCGACAAACGTTAGGCACACGCAGCCGAAACGCTTCTGTACGAGGGCACGAGGGACTTGCCGAGAATGAACAAGATCTTGGAGAGCCAGCGGGTGAGAGAGAGCTCTGCTCCACATAGCGACAAGCGACGATTGAGATCGCCGGTCCGCACCACAGGTCTTCCTTCTGGTCGGCGATGATACTGTCCGAAGATACAAGATGGAACTGGCGGACGAAATCGAGCCCGCGATTAGCGAACTTCTCGACCTTGCACAGCAGGGTCTCGCTTCGTTGCAGAAGAAGGAAGCGATCCTGCAGTCCAAGGTCGGTGCGTTGCCCTGCATGGTATGTGCGTCTGTGACAGGGATCCACAGGTGGATACCGCACAGCTGCGGACTGCCCGGCCTGTTATCGTGGGCACCTCGGCATCGCACAAGATGGAAGCACGCCGACTCCATCTCCTCACCAAGCAACGAGAGACGTTGGAGAATCAGATCCAAGCGTTGCAGGCTGAGGTTGAGGATATGGTGAGTGTCTCCCCTTTCGTCTGCTCCACTCGCTGATGACTGTCCCAGGAGAGCATGTAGATGCCTCTGTTCGATTGTATATTCATACAGATACAATAATGTGAATTGGAGTGCGAGACATCCAAGTCAAGATTATAGTTTCGATGGCGATAACGTGCCGCTCTCGGAAAAGATATCGAAATTGCGTTCCATCAATATCTCACTAGTGACCTGCCGCGCATGTTAGAGATAGAGTTGGGACCCATGAGACGGGATCACAACATACGCCTCCTTTCCCTGCTAAAATCACAACACGATGCCGACGCCCAACCGGTCCGCCGCGCGCTTCGTCTCCGACGTACGTCAGGGTGATACGGCCGCGTTCATCTGGCGGCCCCAGCTGCCGAGGCTCGATGATCAGCTGCCCAAACGCGCTTCGGCCGAGCGCCGCCACGCGCTCCTGCTGCTCCCGAGTGTTGACGGAGCCGCGGAGGATCGGGGACAGGGTCTGCATCAGGTAGAACTGGGGCGGCATGAGCGTGATCTTGTGCGCTGCGAACTCGGCAAGGACGGCGTCTGGGTGCAGGAAGCGGGCCGCGATGACTTCTTGGCCCCCATCGGATTTGGGGAGCCGATCTTGCTTGGCCCCACTGGAGAAGCCCGTGGCAGATACTTTGTCCAGGAAGGTCACGAAGAAGTGCGTGTGGAAACGGCTGAGTCAGAACCAGTCAGTGCTATGATGGTCTTGGGTACACTACATCCACACCCACCGCGGAATATACTCGGGCGTCACCCACTGCGTGAATGGCAGCAGGCTGTGGACGTCCGCCTCGAGTTTTTGCTCGGCGAGGAAGCTCTGGAACGGCGTCTTCCCGGCATGGATCTCCGTCCGCGCGCGGTCCAAGACCGAATCTGGCGGCGGCGGCGGCGATGCCGGGCCCGAGGCAATCAGCAGCCCAGCCTCCTCGAAAGTTTCTCGGATGGCTGTCACCGCCAAGGACGCATCTTGCGCCGGATCGAAGTTGCCCCCGGGGAAAACCTGCACACGGCATGCTTCAGGATCGAGACGAGAGACGCGGAAGATGAGAGCATGTATGCACATGGACGCCGCCGAAGGATCGCGCCTCGGGGTTGCGGTGGACGAACAGCACTTCGTTCCGGCTGTTGACGATGATTAGGCTTGCGGAGGGCCGGGGCACAGTGGGGGAGGGGCGTTGCGACGTCGGCATGTGGACAGCTCGAAGGAGGGGTCGTGGAGCTGACGGCGTTCGCGATGGTCGATGCTTAGACAGAGACGTGGAGAGCGCACGGGTACCAATCCTGATTATCGGTGGCTCGAACATGTTACATGAAAGAGCGGCACCGGCTTTCCGGGTGTCGGGACAGCCGCTGGCAGGTGGGAGTGCGAAACAAGTTGGTCGAGATATTTACATACACACATGACCATGACCTAACTGACACCTATTTGGCACTTACTGATAACCATACGCCCAAGGGGAATAGACTCGGCCTGAGAAAGTCAGTTGAAAGCCTTCCTCTTTCTTTCCTTCGTCTTAGAAATTCGGAAGCAGATGTTTTGTGTGCGCCTTTCCGCTGGAACGAGCACGCTATCTGCGGAGATGACAATAACATGTGACGGTTGTCATGGCACACGGCCCCACCGCCGAGCATTTGGATCCGTTCGAAGCAGCAGGCCGATCAGAATCCGCGGAGCAGCAGCAGACATATGGGAAGGCCCAAGTCATACCCGAGGAAGCGTTGGATATAACAATACATGCGTATGGACTTGCATAAAAGTACATCGATGGCATGGGGATGGTGGAGCAACGGATCGGGGGTGGCATACGTGCCGTCGTCGTCGTCATCGTCGTCGTAGCCGCGAGGCAGTGAGGCAAGGCAGGCAGCAGACGTCTTGGCGCCGAATCACGGAATGAGAAGCAGCCCAAGTTTCGGAAACGCATCGCGCGCGGAACAGTCGGTCACCAGACGGCCCCCAGCATAGCTTCGGCGACTGCGGGATTCCCAGCCGCATCCTGAAGGGATCGCCTTGACGCGCGGGAGTGGGGAGCACAGCCGATCTGGGCAAACGGCAGACGCAGGGACGCTGCAGCATGGATGAGCAGGCGGTTGGTTGTCGGTTGTCCCCGGTGGATAGAGCACCCCGAATTGCACCGACTCACGACGATCACGATGTCGTCGCGCCTCGCTCCCTCTGAAGCTCCAATCTACGGGCGGGGGACGTCTGGGTCTCGGCTCTCCTGCGCTCCTCAGCGGCTTTGAGGCATTCGGTCCACAACCGCAGGGTATAGGTCTGCAACGCGCGGGAATAAAGAACGACGGGGTGCAGGTCGGGGTTCGCTGCCTCGTCAGGGAGGATGCTGCGTGTCCCAGAGGACATGCAAGGGGGAGGGGGAGGAAGATGGTGGTGACAAGCAGAGACGGGTCACACACACACTTTATAGCTGTTCCGGTGCGGTTGCCAATATTACTCAAGCGAGCAGCATGCGTTAAAATCCGTAAAAGATGCTCCACAGCTGAATCTGGTGCTTCCGACCGCCCTAAAAATTAACAGCGAGACGGTGCGGAGTGGCCGACGGATGCTCATGCTTCTGCGGGTGCCGTGTCCCCGTCGTCCTGGGCTGGGCGCAGCACAGGCGTGTTTGCAGCCCCACTCCAAACACGGCCGGCATGATAACGGACTAAAGATTTGGAGGATCACGAAACAGTCCCTTCGCGGCCGGCGGGCACCACAGGCAGCCGAATGGATAAACAGACCGCCTGCGATGCGCGTGCAGAGTCTTCACGGAGATGATTTCACGGAGATGATGGACTCGGTCGATGCAATCGATACTTCAATGTGGCTTTAGTCGACGTCATGGCTCCGGATCAAAGGCGTGTGTCAAGACTCAAGCCTGTTACGGTCAGCTGTCAAAGTGTAACGCGTCACACATTCGTTAAACAAGACTGGTCGCTACTGGTCGCCGTGACCTGCCAGGATCTGTCCCCCCCGGCTCCGCGTTCCGATCCACCCTTGAAGTCGTACCCTTTGTATACGTCCAGGAAGGGAAACAGGTCGCATCTCTCTAGCTCTGGGAGCGCAACCAAGCTCAAGCCCATCCCTTCGCTTAAACACCCGAGATCGCTCGTTCTTCTGTGGACGGCTTCGCAAGCAGAACCCCCGGCCCTCGCACACTCCACTCCACTTTCCTCCACCGCGTCGCATGATGTGCCCGACTCCAACAGGCCCCTGCTGCCCTTCTCGCACGCACTTGGCAGCGTAACGACTCTGATCGCATCTGTGCTCGAAATAGATAGACGAGCGGGGAGAGAGCTTCATGGTGATGCACCACCACCTCGCTGAGTTTGGACGCTCCATGCATGCCTCGAGGAGACTCTCTGCATGTACAGTATCCTGATTGATCTTTGGGGCTTTTCAAAATCCCACGTCTCGGCAACGATCCTCATCCAACCCACTTGTCAGCTAACAGTCGGGCAACATTTCCTCGGGGCTCACGTTCCCATGTACTGAGCTGACAGCGATCACACTTCGAGTGCTGGCTGTCGCATCATCAATATCTTCTGGGCGTGGGCTCAAAGTAGATCGTGTTTGCATATGAGATAACGTAGACTGGAATGTGCACCTACAGCAGTGCACCTCGACGCGTATGCACAACACCTTCAATGTCGTTCATTCCCACGAGAGTCCCAAGTGCGGCCCCCGTTCGCGTCAAATCTGGCTGCAGAAATGTTATCCTGGGGGGATGATAGCATAGCATGTGATCGTCCGACGCGCATCGTACCTTCGACGGCCACGTTCGTGGGCCTGCATGCGCTGTCGCCACTATATATATATATATATAATACCGCCTTGCGTCCGGCCGTGCTTGACTTTAACTCACCATGTGGACCTCTGCGGGGCTCTCGTTGTGCGTGCTGCTGCCGTCGGTCGCGGCTGCGTCGTCGGCCTCCGCGCCGTCGGTCGCGGCTGCGTCGTCGGCCTCCGCGCCGTCGGCCTCCGCGCCGCCGGCGCGTTTCCCACGTCCTTGTTCACCAAGTACTACAACAACCCGACGCAGACGGCGTCGCAGGTAGGCCGCGCACTCGTGCGATAGTAGATAGCGTCTCACGCCTTGATCCTCGCGCGCGCAGCTCCAACCCGTGATCAAGGATCCCGTTGAGACGGTGAGCAGCCCGACTCGAACGCGGCACAGATCCAGCCCCTGAATGGAGTCCCTTCCCCGCAGGGCGTGACGTACAAGCTCGGGCTGACGAGCCCGGACGACATCCCGCAAAGCGACACCGCCGACCCGCACCCGCTCCCCGACGCCGCGAGCGCGGCACAGCTGCTCGAGCAGGCGTACGCGCAGATCCTAGCGATCGCGGCGAACCCGCTGTACACCGCGAACACGTGCGCGGGCTGCCAGGCCGCGCTGCAGGTCGCCAAGTTCATGTCGCTCGCGGCGCCGCAGCAGGGCCCGGCGCTCGCGGTGCGGCTGTGCGAACACTTCAACTTCTCGACGACGTGCGAGCGGTCGTTTGGGGCGCTGGCGCTGGGGGGTGTTGTCACGCAGGTCGTTGCGAATGCGAATGTCGGCGGGTACGACGGACAGGTGCGTGTCGCGCTCGCTTTCGCTGGAGAGCTATGCGTCCTCAGCCCAGCCGCGCCACACACAGATGCTCTGCGAGAATTTCATCAAAGGACTCTGCCCGCTGCCGCCCGCGTCGCCTCTGAATCTGACGTCGTGGTTTGCGAAGCCGAAGCCCAATCCGCTGCCCCCGCCGAAACAGCGCAGCGGCAAAACCCTGAAGGTGCTGCACATGTCCGATTTCCACCTGGACCCACGGTACGCCACGGGGTCCGAGGCGAACTGCACCTCGGGCCTGTGCTGCCGCGCGAACAACTTCAACCCGGCGAGCGTGCACACGCCGCTGTCGCCGGCGCCGCGTTTCGGCGCCTACCGCTGGTGAGCGCCCCCGTCGCTTCTCGGAGGGCAGTGTGTGCTGATCGAGACTCGAGCGACACGCCGATGGCGCTGGCGGCGGCGGCCGTCGAGGCGATTCCCGTGCTGACCGGCACTCAGGGGGACGGATTCGCGTTCACGGTCTATACTGGCGACCTGGTTTCGCACGATGTCGAGAACCAGCTGTCGCGGGACTATGTGCGCTACACGGAGGTGCGTGTGACTGAAGCGGCGTTGTGGCGCTGTGGGCTTGATGTGCTGTTCAGACCCTGCTGTACGATCTGTTCCGCAAGACGCTCGGGTCGGGGCCCGTCTACGCTGCGCTGGGCAACCACGACTCGTACAACCAGGCGCAGGATGCTCCGCACATGCTCGGCAAGAAGCTCGGCAGCCAGTTCAGTTGGTGGGCACCGCGTTAGATCTATTGGCACTATTATCTCAGGGCATGTCAGGAACTACGACCACGTCGCTGCGCTGTGGGCGCACGAGAACTGGCTCCCGGAAGCCGCGGTCGAGCTTGCCAAGGCCCACTACGCCGCGTACATGGTCCGCCGCAAAGACGGTCTGCGCGTCATCACCCTCAACACCGACTTGTGGTACAGGTGCAGTTCGATGGCCGCCCAGTTCTCGGCCCGTGTTTCGTCTGATGCGTAGTCCAGAGCGAACTACTTCAACTACATCAATCTCGACCAGCCCGACAACTCTGGGATGCTGCGGTTTTTGACTGACGAGCTGCAGGCCGCAGAGGACGCGGGCGAGCGCGGTGAGTCGTTTGTGTCTCTGCGTGTATGGAGTGTCGCGGAAGGCTGACCGCATGGACTAGTCTGGATCGTGGGTCATGTCCTGACTGGCTGGGACGGCAGCAATCGTAAGATGTCCCGACTACCAATAGCCCAATTACGATCTCAGCGTCCTCCACAGCACTGGTCAATCCGACGGATCTGTTCTACCAGATCGTGGATCGCTACTCCCCACACGTCATCGCCAGTGCGTGCCTGAGCCCCACCCAATCCCGCAGGCACTGAGCACTGCTATCCCATCCCAGACATCTTCTTCGGGCACACCCACGAGGACCAGCTCACGGTATGTGAGCGAAGATCGTTCACGGACGCAGATTCTGATCAGGCACAGATCTTCTACGCCAACAACGCCACGGATATCAGCGCGCAGACTGCTTTGACTCAGTCTTGGGTTAGTTGCGTCTCGCACGGCACCAACTTTCCAGATTATCTGAGTTTCCCCAACCCCCCAGATCGGCCCGTCGATCACTCCCCTAACGAACCTCAACTCTGGTTTCCGCATGTACGAGGTGGACTCGGCCGTGAGTAGTCTGGTGTGTGTTTTGGAGCTCGCATGCGACTGACCGGGAGAACAGACATTCGATGTCATGGAAGCATATACGTGATCTCACCCTGTGTTTCTATGCGCTGCCGGCGATGTGGGCTCACGCGTTTGCCTTTGCAGATGGCGCGCAGACGTCAACGCGTTCGGGGCGCTCGACAACCAGACCAAGGTCGGGCCGACGTATGCTTTCGAGTACAGCACGCGTGATGCGTATGGGCCGAGCGTGCCCGGCTGGACGTCGAGCGATCCGCTGAATGCGACGTTCTGGCATCACGTCACGGAAGGTCTGTGTCGTCTCTCGTTCGTGCCGCGACACCCTTCTCTGACGCCCGTGTCCACCTACCCAGCCATGGAAGCCGACCCGGCGCTCGTCACGGTGCGTCGCCGTATGCGAGCCCGTGCCAGACCCCCGCTGACCAATAGTCGCTCGACGCAGACCTTCAACACGTTCCAGGGGAAGAGCTCCGTGCTGAGCCCCGCGTGCACCGGCGACTGCGTCAAGGCCAAGATCTGCTACATCCGCAGCGCGTCCGCCGCGATCGCGAAGCAGAACTGCATCCAGGGGTTCGGTTCCGTCCAGTAAATAGCTGTTCCCTGCTCTCGTCTCCCCGCCTCTCCAGTCTAATCAATCTTGTTTGCCTGGATTTTTTCTTGGAAACCAAGATATCCCGTGATGATGCCCAATGCCGATGCTCGTGCCGCGGCACTCGGTGTGTGGGAGGAAGATGAGCATCCCGACCGACAGGCGTTTGTGGACTATGATAATGCAGAGCCCCGGGTGTAGGAGATGGGGAGGTTGGCTGTGGACTGTGGATGTCGTGGCTTCACTACACTATATAGAAGCATCGATTATGTTTATGAGCTCACGCTTATTTATTATACACAGTAGTGGTAGACTGGCTGACTGCTGGAAAGAAACCCACGCCGAGCAAGCAGCGGGAGAGCTGCGACTTGGAGCGATGACGATTAAGAAGCGTCCCAGTCGAAGGGCGAGAGGTTGAATGCGGATCACTCGATGGATATTCACAAGATGGGGTATGCACATACAGCACAAAAGAAACCTACCCCATCCACTGTGCCTTACTATATACAGTTACAATACACACTCATCGTCAACCCCATCATCACGCAAAGGCGTGCACGACCTCCGAGCGCAGATCGCGGCTGGACGCACCGACGGATAGCGTGAACGAGCCCTTGGGAACTAAACCGAAACGATCAGCGACAGCCGATGTGTACCAAGGTCCAACAGCCTACCTCTCCATTTCTGCGCGCTCACGTCCCACACCGACAGATCCTTCCGCGTCAGCTCGAACGTCGCAGTGCCCTGCTGCCCCGGTTTCAGGCTCAGCTTGTCGAAACCGCGCAGCACGCGCGGCGGCTGGTCTTCAGCGGCTGGGAACTAAGAAGGGACGTTGAGAATCCGAATGCGACGGCGCAGGAAACATGGCAGACCGAAACATAGAGCTGGGCGACTTCGGCGCCCGCGACCTTCCCGGTGTTTTTGATGGACACAGAAGCCTGTGCGAAGGTCAATACACTTACAACTCACTTTCCAGCAGTCAGAAGGGAACGCACCGTGTATAACACATCGTACATGCTCTTGCCAGAATCCGACGCAAGCTTCACGAACGGCTCGGCGGTCGGCTGGACGGACGTGCTGTCGGCCTTGAAGCTCTTCTGCAGGCTCAGTTTCCCGAAGGAGAACGTTGTGTAGCTCAGTCCGAGGCCAAACTCGAAGCGCGGCGTGATGTTCTTCGCGTCGAACCACTGCGTGCGTACAGTCAGTACGCCGTCCATCTCAGTGCCAACCGCACCGTGCCTTGTAGTCGAGGAGCAGTTTCTCCGTGAAGTTGGCTTGGGGAGCGGGGACGGGGTCGAATACGATCCCATTGGGCGGCCAGTCTGATCACCAGATGCTTAGTCCGGCGGCTGCAAAGGTCGACGATACTGGGACTACTTACCGGAGACGCTCTTGGCGAATGTATACGGGAGCTTCCCGGAAGGCGAGGTTTCTCCCCAAAGCACAGGCACAAGACTGCTCCCGCTCTCTTGACCCGGCAGATGGGCGACGAGTACAGCGGTCACCTGCAGCCGAGCGTCAGACTTCGGCAAGCAAAAACAGAACCAGTTCAGCTCAGCCACGCACATTCGGATGATCGATCCAGTCCTCAACAATCACGGCACCCGGAACGTGCAAGACCACGATCGTATTCTTGTTCACCGCTGCAACGGCTTGCACGAGCGCGTCGCCGTTCGGGTATGTCGTGAGATTGGCCCGGTCGTATCCCTCCGACGCAAACGCGCTCAAAAACACAATCGCAGCCTCAGAGACACTGGCCTGCAGCGCCGCCGCCGTCAAGTTGTAGTTCTCCAGATGCTGATTGATATCCGGTCCGTCTGCAGCGACGTACGCGTTGATCGCTGCCAGCGGATCGATCGTGTACGGCGGGTAGGCGAATCCACTGCCCCCGGCCATAGTCACCGTACCGTTGTTGCCCCCCGCAAGGCAGTTGTTGCCGCCAGACCCACAGGCTGTCATGCCAAATGGAGCTGGGCCGGCGTCCTGGCCGATCACAGCCAGCGAGGCCATGTCGGCAGGAGCGGCGAGCGGGAGTCCGCGTCCGCCCGTGCGGTCGTTCTTGACGAGCGTGATCGCCTCCTGCGCGATTTGGCGGATGATTTTGTAGTGGTCCCGGCGGACGTTGTTGGTAGGGACGGTGAGATCGGACTGGTTGAATGTAGGCCGGGGCCATGTTTTCACGTTTTGCAACTCGAGAATGGGGGCCAGCGTACGCAGAACCTAAAACAGAGATCAGGCACACACTTGGAGCGAGCTACCAAAACGCACCATGTCATCCAATCGTTTTTCCGGGATAGTCCCGTTTTCGACAAGCGCAACCAATTCAGCTCCAAAGAAGTTTCCGTACCGTCCAGCAAAGCCCGTCCCGGGCATCGACACATCGAGCCCAAACAGCGCCGAGTTCTGCGTGTCCCACGTTCCACCCCAGTCCGAGACCACCGCGCCCTGGAACCCGAGCTCCTTCTTGAGCAGCGTGTTGAGTGCCGGATCGCTCGCGCACGCGTGCGTCGCGTTGATCTCGTTGTAGGAGCACATGACCGTCCCTGATCCGGCGCGCACGGCCTCGGCGAACGGCCAGATGTACAGCTCGTGAGCCGTCTTGTCGTCCAGGTCCGATGAGATGGGGTTGGGCGGGAAGAGCGCGACATCGTCGACGTGGAACGGCTTCCGGTATGTTTCCTGCGGGGGATGAGCACGTGACAGCAGCGCGCCAGCCGAGAGTAATCACGCACCTGCTCGTAAGCAAGATAGTGCTTGGAACAGGTGACGACGCCTTCATCTTGCGCGCTCTTGACAGTCAGAAATGACGCGACGCCGTGGAGATACCTGCAGGTCATGTGAGTCTCGCTCCGAAACCGTACTTGCCTAGCACACACGGGTCAGGGCCAAAACCTATCAAAGCATCAATGACCATTGCAGAACGCGCCAAACGTAGAACCCCGACCTTCCCAAAGCCGGCCGTTAAACGGACTGCGTCCCATGGGCCCACCGGTGACAGGGCCAAGCCTGCGGCAAAGTCGGCCTCGGAGAAACACACGCGGGAAGTCGCACGCACCAGATGTTCACGCCCTTGTCGTGGAACTCGCGCGCGAGGGCGGTGCCCCGCGCCGCGATCAGGTCGCGGCTCCACGTCGCAGCGGTCGTGATGCCCGCAGGGAACTGCGAGACGCGGCGCGCGGGGCGCACGCCCGTCGGCCCGTCCTGCAGACAGAATCCCGGGATCCCGAGACGCGTCACCTCGCCTGTCACCCCCGCGCACAGGCCGGGGAATCCAGTCGTGATGTTCACCTGGCGGCGAGTGAGATGGAACTCAATAGGGTGGGTGCAGGAGATGCACCTTCTCAGGGATCGTCTGTGAGGATGCGTGAGCCTGAGAACATTGTCAAGTTCGGAAAGTACAATACCATCTGAGCGAGCAGAGCCTTGGCTTCATGGAATCCTTTGGTCCACGAGCCGCCGTCAGCGTAGGGACCGGTGTAGCTCTCCGCATCGGACGCGCCGATGAGCAAAAGCAGAGCAAGCAACTGCTTGAGATTTGTCTGCAAGCCCAGCATCGTGTCGCAGGACAGACACGTCTCTCTTCTTCCCGGCTTTTTATACCCCGCCCTTCGGCCCCATATCGCGTGCTGGAGAAATGCGGGGGCAGATGACCTGCTCCCGTGGGGAAATGCATTGCATAAAATTATGGCAAATCTGCGCGACGAATCAGGACATCAGTGAAGGCTGGGCCGGGTCGGTGTCGGTAAGATGAGATGAGTAGCGGCTGCTGCTTCTTTCTCAACACAGCGGGTGAGTCAGCGCTTGGCGCGGTGCAAAGCGGTCAGGTGGTGCGGTCCTGCGCCCGGCGCGCGACGCAAGATCTCTGTGCCGCAGAGAGGGTGCAGGTCACAGGGGACGGGATGAATTCAAATGCCGTGACTCCACGGCTTCGAGGGATTTCTGGTCGAAGTTCGAGGAGGATGAGGGGTTCGATTCGGACCGCTTGCCGATTCGCGCGCACAGCCTCAGGTTCTGAGACCACGTGTGTGGTCCGTGCACGCTCAGCGCTGGCTATATAATGCACAAGTCCACGATTGTGTTCCCCATCTCTTGTGCTCGGGCACGTACCATCGGAAGTGAGGTTAACACCGATCCATGGTCTTTTGCTGATTGCAAATTATATCCGAACCGTTCGTCTGCTTCATGCTTACGACAATTTTTGGAACCCCCTGCTTTCTTTCCTGTGAAGCTGTTCTTGCGGCTGAGGGGGAATTTATGTACGCATGTAGTAAATCATAAATTCAATTCCACTACCCCGATTATTCATATAGTGTGAACTATGCCTGCTCTTTGTGCTCATCTAAGGGTCTGAACTTGGATGTCAATCCTATGAATATTACGCCCATCAGTCCTAGACAAACGGAGAAAAAAGAACAATCCTTTCAGCCCCATTGAGAAAACCCAGAGATGGTTGGCCATTTGTATGGCTGGGCCATCATTTGTTTCTTTGTAGGCGCGAGTCGAAGGACCCAAGATTCTCTGCTAGCAGTAAAGTTTCTGAATGGATGTTGGTTCTACCTTGAGTGAGCAGCGCCGGCGGCGCCGCCCACCAGGCTGTAGCAACAGCCCCTATCATCACAGCAACAGTCCCGCGGATATATTTGGACAAACACGTGGTGACCATGAACCTTTTTCGTGGCGCCCACAGTTATGTCGACGTCCTTTCTACCCTGTGCCCACCCCACTCGTTGTTATCTTCCCCGCAGCCTGCATCAACCGAGCTGATACTTCACGGCATAGACTATTCCCCCTAATCCTCACTGGCAGGCCCGTGATTCTGTGACTTCCCACCGAGCTTCTCGCTGGCCTGCGGCATCTTCGGATTCGATGACAGAATATGACTTTAGCGAGGAAGCGTACACCGCGTATACTCAGAAGCAGGCCGAGATCGGGGACTGGGCCTCGAGCGTACCCAGGCGGCGCCGATACCTCGTCAATCCCGAAGCCGCGCCCACGCCATCGCCGAGCGTGCTCCGCGAGGTGGAAGACGCGGACGAGCCGGGCGCGAGACGCCACCGCCGGACACACTCCCACGACGGTGGTGGGGACGGCGGGGAAGGCGTCTATCGCGCCCGCCACAAGTCGCACGAACGGGATGCGGAACGAGAAGAGCACTACCACCACCACAGAACTAGATCGCGCGATGACGAAGAGCGGAGGGGGCGGCGCGGGGCGTCGCGGGAGGAGGAACGCAGCCGGAAGCGCACCGACTCGCAGGAGACCGAACGGAGCGCCAAGTCGCGTGATAAATCCCGCAGACGCGATCCTCCCCTCCGCATCGACATTCCGCCACCGATGGCGCATCCACTCCCGCGCCGAAGCCACTCCGGGCCTGCGAGACCCCGGACCGCCCCTCCGGAGCATTACCCAGTGAGCGCGGAGGAGGCGAGAGCCTGGCACCAGCTGCCTGTCGCTGCTCAGCCGCATGCTATTACTCCGCCTGCGGCCTTTTACGGCCAATATCATCAGCCTGCTCCCATGCACCCAACTGGGTATGCGCAACGGGGGATGCCTCCGATGGCACAGAACCAGTATCCTATGCCTGGCCCTGGGTATCATCGACCTCCGCCGCATCTGGCGATGCAACCTCCTCAACATCATCGCTCTTATTCTGCCCAAGTCCAAGCCCCGATTCCCCTCCAGACGCACCAGCGCAGCCACTCCTTCGGTCAGACCGCCCAAGGCAGAGAGCGCGTCCCGAAAGGATATATTTACCACCCTGGTGGACAGGTCGCCGCCTCGCCGACGTCGGCCTATCCCCCACCAATGCATCTCTCGCCTGAGGTGATGCAGATGTATGCCTCCCAGCAGCCACAGAGTCCGACGAAGGAGCCCTCGCTCATCAAGCGGATGATGATGAAGCTGGCCCGCCCAAGCAGCAGAGCAGGTCGGCCCAGCGAGCGGAGCCACACCGATCCTCTCGAAACCACCAAAAGGAGCCACAGTGCTTCCCGCCTGCCGTTCCGCCGCAACACATGAAACGTCCTGCCCAGATACTTACATGTACTGATATTATCTTTCTCCGATGTGTATGTGATGCTGTATCTCTAGTACATACATAATACACAATTGTAATCAGGACTCAGCGTTGCCGTTAGGATTACGTGCGCACCAGTACGGAGAAAGAGCACCAATTAGCGAACCAATATCCAACTGGTTCCCAGTCCAGCCCATATCCTCACATCCGTGCTTGCAGGGCCAGCCCATACCAGGGTAGGAATGTGAGCGTCCTGGGTAGTCCCGATGCCAAGATTCCCGTGCTCGTTCCATCCCCATCCCCAGACCTCCGTGCACTCTCCACGGAACAGGGCCAGGACATGCTCGCTGCCAGCCGCGACCTGCAGGAGTCGACGGCCATCGCGCTCGAAGGGAAATCGGACAGCGCCCAGCGGTCCATCTGGCGGTCTCCCCAGTTGGCCGTGCAGGTTGCTCCCAGTAGACAGGACGGTCCGGTTCCCAGGCTCGCCCGCTTCCACGTACGACCCGTTCCATGTGCAATGAGCGACGGGATCGACGGCATTTAGCCACAGTCCGATCTCAAGCTGCTGTTTCCGGTTCGACCCTAGCCCAGAGACGCGCCCGGGATCGTCGACAAGCAGTGTATGCTGGTTACCCAGCGCCGAGTGGGCGATCGCTGGGCAGGGAATGATCAAGGGTGAAGTGGCGAAAGGCGATTGGGCATTCGGGCCTAACTGGCCGTGTCTTGACGCACCCCATCCGACGAGGACACTGGCATCATCCGCAGTGCGCAGTTTCACGACGACGTGGTGGGGTCCCGTCGATATCCAGTCTACATGCTGCATTTCGCTAGGAACGCATTCGAATGGGACGACGTGAGGATCACGCGAGGGCCGTTTGCCAGGTCCATTTTTCACTCCGATTCCGAGATCACCAAAGTCGTTCGCACCCATGGAAATGAGCACGTCCGGCTGCCCTGGTGAGGACATCACGACGTAAGAGGTCTCCCAGCACGCCGCGATGAGACGGGGGCGACGCCCCGACGATTCGATCGCCAGCGGCCTGAAGGACGTAATACTGGCATCTTCAACCACAGTCCCAAGCTGCCCAGCGCGCCCATCTCCGCACCCCCAAAGCTCGGTGTGCGCCTCAGCGTCGTCGCCGAATCTGAGCAGTGCTAGTGTGTGATTCGCGCCAAAGGCGAGGTCGAGGACGCTTGCGCTTGCGGGGAGACCATTAGTGCCCGTGAAACCGCAGGCTACGAAAGAGTGCGCATCGTCAAGCGATCCATTAGAGAGCTGACCGTGGGCATTGGAACCGGAGGAAAGCAGCTGCATCAATCTTCCAATCAACGTCAGACTCTTTGGAAGACTGTCTGTCACGTGGCTCGTCTCAAATTGCTCCCCAACCACTGACGCGTCACTGGCACTGAGAGTGCAAGTCGGAAGAAAAAAACATTACACCCAACTGAAGAGGTTATACATCAAATTCGCTCTCCCGTGCCCTGAAACTTTGAAAGCGTCTTCTCTGAGGACATATCAAAAACTGAACTCGGAACGAGATCTAAGTCTGCAGACTATTCTTTTCCGCCATTCCCGGAGCAGGAGGTCTGCATGTACCCTACGTCAGCTGTCTCCGGCTGCTAACTACTTGGGCTCAGAATCAAACCCAGCTTTGACCGCTGGAAGCTGTGTGGTACAAACGGGGCAGGGGGGCCGCTCATGTGAAGATCTTATGGACCAGATGACCATTCCCGGACTTCACCGGTCTGAATTATCAAATATGAGGATACGTGGGCCACTTTCCTTCTCACGCTGAGCCGCTGGTGCATTCCTCGCCAGGCACGGGACGAGCAGCCCTACTTGACACGGACACAACAGATTGGCGACGGCCAACCAAGGCTGCAGCCGAGCCAAGTGCTACACAGTACATATACGCATTCGCAGAGAAGTGTTGAAACGTACAAGAATCGTATAGGCGCACACCCTTGGCTTCGCCTGGGCGCTCCGGAGGCTAGCACCTTCCATTCTGCTTGCCTGCAAACTGTAGCAACGGACCCAAGTTGGCATTATTACGCGTGGAATATTCAACAATGATGTTATTACACGAGCGGAAGATACGCCATCGTTGTTCACGGTGAGGACGACACGCCAGACTCCGCCGGTGCAGAGGACGTAGGGGCTTTGAGCGTGTCCTTGATCTTGTGCCACTTGGCGGTGGCCAGAGCCCGCCTGAACGACGATACCAGTGAGCACACAGCGTGCACGCGACAGCACGGACGGCGTACCGTTCCTGGTGCGTCGCGACATTCGGCTCCTCCTCCTTCAGACGAGCGAGCTCCTCAGACTGTCAACCAGGGTAACGCGTCAGGCGTAAGAGCAAGGGCCGGGATGGGCTCGTCGCACCATGAACTGCATGTATGCAGGCGCTACGCCTTTTCTCTTCGATCCTCGCGCTTCTGCAGATGTAGTCAGCGTCGAGTCGACCGACGAGGAAACGATGCACTCTTGCTGCTCGCGGTGGGAGGAGACGACTTCATTGTAGCTGGAGCGGTGGGAAGTGGTGGATTTTGAGGAGAGGGAACTAATGGGGAAAATTCCCTCAAATCGAAGCGAACCGTGTATTCATACGAAGCCCTGACACAACCCTGACAGCAGACTATGTTTGGCGTTTAGGTAACAAGAAAAGTGGAAGGGAACGCGACGCAAAGACCGAGGATTGGCAGCAAATATATGTGGCATTGTCTCAAAGATCATTACCACACAGACATATGATATGATTCCGAATGGTGCAGAAACGGAAAGGTCGAACAGTGGACGTGACATGTGATGGTATGCACATGGTATGCATTCACGTGATGTGACACTTCGCGACTGGAAGTAGATTCAAATAGCCACATCTTTCGAAGCGGGAGCAGATGCGCTTGGGGCCCCAACGATGCTCTCGAACATATTGCGTCCATTGATGATACCCGTTGTGGCAATCAAGAATTTGCGGCCTGCCAGGAAAGTCAGCAGATGTTGACAGTGAGAGGCGCAGCAGTGACCTTTGTTCTGTCGACCGACCCATCTGAGCGCCGCAATCTCAGTGTAGGTGCAGCCACCAAGGAAGAACACGAGCGTCGTGGTAGGTTTGTGCATCGGGCGCACTATCACGTCACTATCAGAGCCATGTAACGTCACGATTCACACTCACGTAGCGAAGCCATAGGTGCAGGAGTCGTGCTGGTGCCGCTTTGGACGACATCCACAGTTTCTCCAGGGATGGTGGCGACGATATCTTCAAAGCCGCGCCACCCAGCAATTGGATGGGCTTGCGCTTTGATATGAGTCTGCTCGACGCCAGCTTTCTCCTTCTCGGCGGGATTGCTCAAGACGCCACCCTTCTGAGCAACGCACTGCACTAGTCTGACACTGATCGGGGCATAGCCCGAGTAGACAAAGCTGATGTCGTTCTCCACTTCGTCCAGTGCCTCCGGCGTGTCGTCGATCAATAATCGCAGAGACTTGCGGACAGCAGAAAATGGATATTTATCTGAAGCAGGCGTTGCAGGAATGTTTGGCAGGAGTATCGCAAGCGGATGCGAAGAGATGGCCAAGAGGAGAGGGAGGAAGTTGTAGCCGTATGCCTGGGCTTCCGTTGAGATCCTGTTTGGACGAAGGAAATTGGACGCTTACCTGCAGGATTTCACGTTTGAGATTCTCGAGAGGTTTCGGTTTGATGCCTCCAGCAGTGATACTGGCGAGACAAAGAAGCCTGAGAACGGTCTGCATGTCAGCACCTTGGGCAATAAGATCTTCGATAGCGGTAATCTGGTTGGAGACTTCGTAGGATGCAAGCAGGTCTGAAGAGGTGTTAATGAAGAGCATCGCATTTCTCGAATCAAGACCCACTCTGCTGGATCTCGAGCGTTTTGTTGAATATATCCGTTCTTGTCATTGGGACAATGATTTCAGACAGACCAGTGTCTGAATATATCAGAGAAAGAAATGAAAAGAGTACTGATGCGACGTACGAAGACGCAAAGATTGGTGCTCGCTCTGCAGGCCGCCCAGCTTGCCAACGAAGTCTCGCAACTGAGCAACAGTCTTAGCTTGATGACGTCCCTACAGAGTTGAACGTCACGGTTGACGGCATGCACACAACTCACCTTGTAATCCTCGTCTAATCTCCGAGCGACCTTGTTCAGCCTCTTCCCAATAGCTGAAAAGTTCAAGTCTCGCAGTTCAGCGAATAGCGGATCTGTGGAGGTCGACAGATGGTGCTTCTTCTTCGCCTCAACTTTCTTCAAAGACGAAACTGGCGCGGCCGGTGGGTTTACATTGGCCCCCGGTGCTGGCGGCGATAACAAGGACACGGGAAGCTCGACATGAGCTGGGAATCAGTCAGCCCCCGGAACAGTCGGCACAACGTCTCTACGTACAGTTCTTGATGCCAATGAGTTCATCTGTTAGCCCTTCGTACGTGAGCTGTGTCAAAAGCGGCGTGATCATATCAACACGGCGGTCCAAGATAATGAGGGAGTCGATCTTTTCCGACTGTGTTTGAAGGAGATCGGGAGCAGCTGCGTCGGTCGGTAATGGTCGGCCTAATAGCGTCGAGAGGCGCTAGATCCCCAAGTCAGACGAAAGAGAGAGAGTCAGATATATTGCCACGTACCGCAGCATGATCACCTTTGGCTACTATCCTCGGAAACAAGCCATACAGCTTCTCCAGGGTCACCAGTGCTTGTGCAGAGTCGTATATGGCAGTTTCGTCTCCATCCTGTATCGAATGGGCGATGAGAACATAGTCCGAGTGGGCACGTACCACCCAGATTTCCTTGAAAGCCATCTCATTCTCCAATGATATCACGTCGTCGGCGATGGGGATGAACTGCAAGTTGTACGATGCAATGTGCACATCTCTTAAGACACCCTCTTCCTCCAGAATTCGAGTCGCGAGTGTGGAAATGCGGGGTACGAGGAGTAGCGTGTAGGTATGCTGTTGACCCTCCTTCGCATGTCGCTTGATTTGATCTATGCAAATGAGTCGAAAGTTCGATGTGAACTGAGAAGGCACACCTGCAATGATCTTGATTTGCTTTATCTTGGGCCGACAGAGGTACACGATGTTGGTCGTCGTGGATGTCAATGGCCCTCCCTCCAGCCAAAACATCTTGTCCACACCATGATGCTGCAAGCCCGACTGAGCAGTGTCGTTGGCATAGACGTGTCGTCGCACCTTCAATAGCGACACTTCAGTCACAAGACCGAGAGGCCCAGCCAACGTCGCATCTAAAACGAGCGTCTTCGCGCCGTTGACCTGACGCGAGCGTGAGTTTCGGCACGCATCTATCGCATAGCTCGTACAGCGTTGAGCGCGTCCACAAGCGACTTCTGTGCAATTTCCTTGAGGACGTTGACATCGAGCAGGGGCTCTTCCTGTAGTGCGGGCGCAGCTTCGCCAGGTGTGGACTCGGCGGTCGCCATCAGAGGCGTGCTTGCCTTTTCGGGAACGACCCCATTTGTAACAACTTGCACGTCATCTCAACTCGTGCCGACTTCACTACTGGTCTTTGATCTTGGAACTACAGGGCGCTAGAGACTAAAATTCTAGCGCTTGGGCTGTTGGGACTTTCATGAGACTGAAACTGGGTTTCTTACTGCCCATGATGCGCTGCTGCCAATCACGCTTACGTTATGCTCACTTTCCTGCTGCGATCCAGCACATCCGTTCGCTTTCTTTCCAGAAGCTCCTCCTTCTCTGCCATGAAGTACATCTCCGGAGAAGTACGATTCCGTTTCGTGGGAAAGACCAATCCCGCCTCAAGCACTGCGCTCACAGGAGCTCGCCGAGATAATCAAGAGTGATCAGCTAGTGAACAAGGACTATCTTGTGGTGGATGTTCGCGACGATGACTTCGCCGGCGGCAATATCAAGGGGGCTCAAAACGTCCCTTCAAGATATTTTCATACGAGCGTGTATGACCTGGTCAAGAAGAAGGAAGATGTCAAGGCCATGGTGTTTCATTGCGCACTCTCCCAAGCGCGGTACGTCTGTCACACGCTGACCGTAATCCCCCTACTCAAAATGTTTAGTGGACCCAAAGCAGCTCGTGTATGTCCATTTCGTACTATCAGACGCTCGATCCGGGATTCATTAATGTGTGTGCAAGATCTACGAGGAAACGCGAAGCAACTTGAAGCTCGATGGCACGAAACCACAAGAGATTTATGTTCTTCGAAACGGTTTCACCGAATTTCAAAAGAAGTTTAGAGTAAACTCAATGGATGCTTGTCTTGTCGACATGACTGATCCCTTCATTGCAGGAGGACCCTGTGCTAGTCGAGAATTGGGATCCAGAAGTGTGGGAGAATGCAGAAGATTGGAGCTAGGGGGAAGGATTGTACGCTATTTTGAGTCCGGATTCGCGTCTTCGCTCTCTCTTTTGAGTCGCAGCTGCTTTGGGAGACTCTCGATGACCGTTCTTGTGACCCGCTGCTCGTTATCTAATCGCCTCATACAAATGAACCTGAATGCTCAGCTAAGATCATCCATGTCAGGAGTAGCGAGCTGTACGTACCAAGAGGCAGTAGAAATCAGAGCGAATGTTCCGACTGCCCAATTGCCCGCCACAATGGGGGCTAATGTACATGAATGTCCACCCACTAGGGTTGAGCGTCGGACGTACGTGAGGACATGGCACGAATGAATCCAATTCCTACTCCACTCGCAATGCCACTGAGCAAGCTATTTCGCGCGCAAGGCACTTCTCCGATGTGCATGGCACTCTTCACTAGCACACGACGCCGTTACAACAGTTTCTTCGACGTCAATGCGATCTTACTCGTAGAGAATCATTCACGAGATTTCCTGTAGATGGCGGGCCCATAGGAGGTGGAGCTGGAATACTGTCCAGGTTGTCCACGACGCCCGAAGTGGCTTTAGAGTCGGACATGGTGGAAGACAAGAAACAAGTGATCCGCCATCAACTTCCTCATAAAGTTTTGCTCCCCGCCCCCACCATGACGGCGGAAACTCAGAAACTGAAAGCCAAGCTCGACCTTCTGAACACGGGTCTGACTACTCTGGAGGATACTTTGGCTCCGCTACTAGAACAGACGCTCCCAGAAACCCTGGTTAGCCTCAACTCCATCGAACAAGCAAAACTGCAGACGCTCCTTCCGTACATTATCAACGACCTCATCTTCAGTGCGCGAAACTCTTCCATGCAGCGATCTCGATGACAATTCTTAGTTTATCTGAAAACGAATGGGATCGATCCCAAGACACACCCGGTCTTGGAAGAATTGGTACGCACGCGCGGCCGCGACCCCTTGTTACCTCCCTGACGAACTTCAAGGCACGCGTCAAACGCTATTTTGACAAAATTTCTTCTGCCGAGAATCCAGAGACACGTACAGGCACGCTCTTTTCGCTGCATACCGTAGCTTACATGCCATGCAGAGAAAACGGGTATAGACAAGGCCGCCGCCACCCGCTTTATCAAACACGCTATTGCACAAAACAACTTTGCTCAGGGAGCAAGTTCAAGCACGACAGTCGAATCTCAGCCGTCGACATTTGTACCCCCGAGGATCACAAGCAAAATGGCAGAGCGCACAAGGTATCAGGAGGAGATGCGAGCGAAAGGAGACGAGAGCTCTTCGGAGGACGAATTGGAAATTCTCGATGGAGCAGAGGCTCCGGTTACGGTCTCGAGCAAGGGAAAAGGGAAGCAGAAAGAGACTGAGGACTCGACGAGCTCAACAGCTACAAAACGAAAGAGACATACTATGGACCCTTTTGCCGCTAGTGGTCAGTTTTTCCAATTTCGCAGAGGCTACGAGATCTCAATGCGATTTAAACAGGTCTCGATGATGGCAGCAAGTCTGAATCAATTTCAGTGCAAGCAGCAGATGATTTGGAGTCGGCCGAAAAGAAGAAGGCCAAGAAAGAGAAGAGGAAGACCAAACGATCCGACTCTGCGACTACCGATGCAGCTCACAGCAACTCAGAATCGACGAAGTCTGCAAAAAAGAAAAAGACAAAAAAGGCGACTTAGTTATATTCTACATTGATTTCAGTATCTACTATGCATTCTGTACAATAGTCACTCTTTCTTCATCGCTTGTTGGACCGCCTCCAGCACTCGTGGATGGACGTCCTTCCCAGCAGCAATGACCCCAAAGTTCTCTCCAAGAGTTCGTCCGAGCCCGAAGTCCAGAGGGTGTCCACGCGAATCACTGATGATTCCACCGGCCTCCTCGACAAGCAGTGCTCCGGGTGCGTGATCCCAGATCTTTTCACGGTAGCCCACGCCGGTGGGCATGCGAAGATACATACCGCCATCGCCACGGACCAAGCAGCCGTATTTGGCCTGACTGTCCATGCGCACAGGCGGCCGCGTGATGCCGAGGATAGTCGAGATGGTGTCCGTTGTCGAATGCGACGAATGGGCAGCCTCCACCGATTCCAGTGAGCAGAGGTCCTCGGGCGCGAAAACAGGGATTGTGAGAGACTTTGCGGGACCTCCGCTGAGAGGAATCTGCGAGCAGTGTAAGTCGTCGTAGAGAGAACCAATTGGCAACGCACCATTTGACAGCCCTGGCCGCGGATGGCTAGGAAGATGCATCCGCGCTCTCCATCTGGCTTTGATGCGTCCACAGGAAGATTAGGGCATCCGATAATACCGAGTTGGACTTGAGCATCGGCCAACAGGGAAACACAAACAGCGTATTGTTCTCCCCGTAGGAAGCCCTTGGTTCCATCGATGGGATCTATGGTCCACATCCCTGAAAGATCACATGAGAAACTTGAGAGGAGAGCTTTGCCCAGTATCAGACGTACGTCCTTGCCGTCCGCCCTCGTGGTTGCCTCTGTCGATCGCATCCAGGAGCTCATCGGTCGTCTTCGTCTGGCCGGGACCGATGCCCCATTCCGCCTTGTCGCCGTCACCCAAAGGGGCCACGATCGCCTCGTTAGCGAGTTCAATGATCCTGTCCCTCAGGACCTTGCCCGACTCAACGCGCAGATCGGCAGCATCTTCCTCCCCAACGATCTTGTCATCAGGAAACGCGTTCTTGAGCATGACACTGATCAGCGCTTGCGCGGCATAATCTCCAACTAGCGGAAGGAACGAGTTGAGAGGAGGCGAGATGCACGCAAGGCACGCTCACCGGTAACAGGGGACTTGTCGCCCTTGACCAAGGTCTCGTTTTTAATGAGCTTGTTGAACACCGCGGACGTCAAGGCGCATGCCCTGCGCACTGCAGAGATGCTGAGCTCCCGTTCTGCCGCGAATGCGTTGCTCGACATGGTGGAATAGAAAGAAGGATGGAATTGGCAAGAGACAAGTGTGCGCGTGAGCCTATAAAGCATCCAACACCACGACGCTCGGTCCTTGATCTACCTGCTTAACGTCGGATCGAACCCCCACGTGGGAATCCCTGCACGTCTCTTGTCGTTGAGAAGATGGACCGGCGTGTGCCAAGAGGGACTGAATCGAGGAAAGTGTTGGTTTACCTGACTGAAAGTCGCACTCAGTCCATCGGCGCGCAGCCCCTTGCAGTACGAAGTAATGGTAACACAAATGTGAACGTACTACACAGCGAATCTGCGTCAGCAATGCAGGCTGGGGTCGAGTAATTGCGCTCTGAGTGCTGTAAAGCTTGTCCGAAAAGTCCGAAAGAGGAAGGAGGAGGAAGGGCAACTAGTCTTGCCGACAACACTTTGGGAGAGGATTCGGCCGAAAACCGAGTCAAGATGTAAGTCGGCTGTATTCGGATCTAAGTATCCGCGGTGGCTAACATCTGCTGGGAGCCTGAGGCTGAGGAAGTGCCCGCCCACCTTGAGATCGGACCGTTTGAGTCGACGAATCACTGCGCAAGTGAAAGTGTTCGCACACTGAAGCAGTGTCTATCAGATCACGGATCACCGATCCACGCAGCAAGGAAGACATCTCCGGACCCCATCTCCGATACAATATATTGGTGTTAAAAGTCTTAACGTACAACAAAGTGGATTATGCGTGTATACAATTACTTTGAACTTTCAATTACAACTTGCGAACGTCAACGAAAAGTCTGACGGTGGAAGGACAACAACAGTTCCGCATCCTGAAAGTCCTGGAAAGAGAACCTGCTGCTCGCATCTATGTTTAGTTTCTCGTCCTCGTGGAGATGGGAGTGACACGAGGAAGGAGTGAAGACCTCCTGCTCGTCGTCGCTCGAGTGAGCCTCTGCCGAGGACGGCCGAGAAGGGGTCGATCTCGATGTTTCGGAAAGATAGACTTTCTCGTTTTCCCCGACATCAAACTCGTCCTCGCTGACCTGCTGCTCCGCGCGCTTGGCGCGCTTACGCGCAGATTGCCGGATGTTCCGGTACCAGTTGGTCACCTTCCCAAGATCCATCCCTATCTCCCGTGCGAGGGCCGACCGCTCCTCGATCGACGGATTAAGTGTTTTGCTAAGCAGCCTGCGGAGATTGTGGAGCTGGAACGGATCAGGTCGGCCTCGTCTTGGACGCGCGGCAAGTGCCGAGAGATCTGAATACGAGGGAGGGGCGTCATGAATGGGGGAATCTTGATCTATATCCATTGGCGTATGACTTGCAGACAGCGAAGAAATCGGTGGCAGTGTGACCGGGCGTGAGTCAACATAATGCCTGGGTGTCTGCGAGTACTCGTACGACTCCTGCGCTCGCGCTCGTCGTTTGAACCATTCGACCACAACCTGATGGGGCCTGTCAAAGTACAGCAGATCAGCATGACGTAAGTGATATGATCAAGGAGACCGTACATCCTATAGTTGTCTGCAATTGCTGCGCAATCGTCGAAGGAGGGGAAAGGACGGCTTCGATAGATGTGCTCGAGGTCGTTCCCTCGGACAGGGGACAAGCCTAGGTCGTCATGCTCGTCGTGGGGCCACAATTGAATTTGATCGGTTGACGGATGCAATTGATTGAGCCGACCCTGATCAAGCGGCGGTGCCAGTGATCGGAAGGACCGAGCCATGAGCGGTAACGGCGCGTGAGGCAGAGGATGGTATTCCTCGAGGACTGTGTAGGTCGGAGGGAGGTAGAGGGAAGGGAGCGGGCGGGCGGCGTCGTACGGGATGCCTCGTGGGTGCTTCTTTGAAGAAGCACGCTTATTTTGAAAGTATGCGTTGACGCTCTTAAGCTCTCTGCACGCTCTCCGTCAAGAAAGGAGCTGGAAAAGAATGAAGGAACGCACAAGCCCAAAGAATGTGCCAACGCCGTGCGCTGCGACAGGGAGGGATGGTCGGTTTCCTCGAAGAGCCCATTCAGGGCTGCGAGCTGAACAGCAGAGTGACGATGGCGAGGTTTCTTGGGTGCCGGAGGGAGGGGGGTGTCGAGAATTTCGGCGGGGAAGGGAGACATGACGGTGTAAGTGAAGGAAGAGGTCTAATGTGCCATATGACAAATTTGGTTTCTCCCAAGGATGGCAGGTGCGAGTATATTGGGGTGTCACTTTCGGGGATGATATAATGCTCGCGATCGGCACTTTGATGGCAACTCAACAAAGTCCCTTCTCACGAGTCACATATCCTAGCAGAAGGATTGCACACCAATGCGGACAAATTGTGTATGTACTTGCTGAGTGGATTGGAACAGCTTCCCGCGCTGGCAGAGCCCTGTATGCTATCAGTATTCTTAGTCATACACAGCGGAGATCACCGTCGATCTTTTCCCAGCCGGACTTTCCAAGGATGCAAATCCGGCAGGCGGTAAAAAGATGTAGCTCAGGGGGAAGCGACCAACGAGGGACCAGATCATCCATTGTCAACTACTAGTCTCTTTCAATACACTAGAGAAAGGCAACAGTGACCATGTCATGCTTACATACATGCTAGCCTCAGGGCTGAATCTAACTGCCAGATCGATAAGATAATCTACGTTCATTCTAAAAATACAGGATAAATACTGGGCAGTACATGGTCGGATTAGCTGTCTGCATCTTCCTCGCTTTGTATGTTCTTCAGCCACGCCCCGATTGAGCCTCTGAAGACACATGAGTATGGTGAACTGATGGTGGGTTGGTGTCACTGACAAAAATCCCTCATGTCGGAGGAACAATGCTCGCTTTGACCCTTTGCTCCAGAAACGGATAGCATACGAGAGTGTACCAATCGTCGCAGCATGTCCTGTGAATGTCTTAATCACAGGGAATCTGAAAAGAAGAAGAGAACCCACCCCGAATGAAACAACCACCGAAGTATATCCTATCCAAGTTGTACTTTTCTGCGTTCATATATCTGTGCGGTTCCATTCAGCAGTGCAGAAAACCGATATTGCCAACACTTACGCAATCTGTCCAATGTTGTTGGAAACCGCATAGAGAAGACTGCGGCTAATGTCCTCAGGAGAGAAGGTTCCCTTCTTGCTGCCCTTCTTGAACACCTTCCCGAACGAGCTGGCAATCATCGTCGACTTGAGACCGAGACGACTGTAATCTTGTCCGTATATGTCTCCAACAAGCATATCAACAGTCGCGTTGTCGCCTTTTTCCGAGAAAGCCAGCATTTCTATGAGACGTCAATAAGTGCTGTGCAGAAACGGCCCTGGAGACGCACCATCAAATGTTGTCGCAGGTGTCAAGAGGCTGAGAAGACCCCACAGCGTTCCTCCGCCTAGACTCGTTCCACTGACTCGCTCGAACTTGCCATCCTCGTCTACTTTTATGATCGAAACACCAGAACCAATGTTGACCAGCAGACAAGGCAACTGCGGGCTGGGGTTGCTCTCGAACGTGACGGCATACGAAGGTGGTCGGGGACTGGGCCGTTCAAAGACGTCTGGAGGTGCTTCTAGCGAAGCTCCAACTTGCGTCACCGAGTGGATGAGTTCGTCAGAGAAATAGTAGACTTCGTCCGGAATGAGAGTGATGAATTTGAGGCCTTCGATGAGGCACTCCATTTCATCTTCCCGACGGACCTCCACGCACAGGGTCTCGCGGAAGAGCTCGTAGAACTTGTGGGCGCCTCCGCCCGTCGCCATTATCTTCACGCTCTTGCGCATCTCCTCAATCGGGACCCCATTCACTTCCGCAGACCGCTGGATAAGAGACTGTATGAATTCGACGCAATCGTCGATCGAGTCCGTTTCGTAGCGCTCGAAGTTCAAAGATCCCCCTGGGAAGTTTTGCACCGTCCGCCGCAAAATCGTGTCGCGCGCGAAGGACTCCCCGAGTCCCATAAGCGCGGATGCACCGTCAATGTGCACATCGCCGAGGGCGAGCGGTGTAAGCGCGCCATTAACGCGTTTGATCGCAGGGAGGGTAGCGGAAGACGAATCGGTTTCGTTGGGTGGTGTGAGTGATCGTAGGCTATCGGGTGACCGGGACCCGGCAGTGGCAATAGCGGAAGGAGATGACGGAGGTTCCGGGGACCTGGTGAAGTAGACGACCTTGGCTAATGACCCTCCCACCTGAACGGAGTATATGAGACTCAGGAGATCAAAATGGATGGGAGGTACCTACATCGACTGCAATGTGCGAGACAGGTTCAATGTGATTGGGTAGGTAGATTCCCCGACTATCCCTCGTCTAAGTACCGGGTGTCAGCAGGGACCACTGACGAGTAAGCTTCGGTCCGGTCCTCACCTCTGGCGATTCTTCAGAAAGAATGACTGCCCCACGGGTATCGACTTGGATGACCTTTGCGGAGGGCAACATTGGAGGAGGACGAGAAAAAAGTTGTCTCAGATGTCGTATCAGTTCATGTATTGCCGCGAGAGCATTTGTAGGAGACACAACCGAGATGAGAGAGTTTGGGGTCTTACGATCTAAAATGGGGCGTATTGCTAAGCGTGGCTACCCATCCGCTGTCAATCGGCAATCGGCCCCGCAGCCACCGAGATCTTCCTATCACGCGATTCATCCAGCTCTAGCAAAACTTCCACAGTTCTTTTGCACATGGAATGTAGAATGGGTTTTCACATTCCAAGGCCGGTGCTTTTGCGCGTCCGCTATCGCGGACATACAGGAAGAAACGGGACATTGGGCGATGAATGGTAAGTATTTATCGCGACAGCAATCCAGTCAGATAATTGGTACGATGCGTACACTACCTGCACCATCGGAACTCATATCACAGTTTCACACAAGAGAATTAGATACGACCTGAATGTCGATGAAGTTGCGCGTGCCGTACGCGCGGAAAACTCGTCCGTTCTAGGTTGCTTGCCGTGAAGGGATGGTAGCCTAGAGTCAGATGTGGAGACCGCGCACACTTCCTAGTACCAGGAAGGTTGACTTGTATCATGACCGTAACAGTCGCCACACGCACAAGGAGACGCAAGGATCTAGGCTGACAGTCTAGCAAGATTTGTGACAACGAATGCAGATGAGAGCCACGGAACGCCACGGAGGAGAAGGACAAGACGAATTAGGTGATTGTTCATGTAAGAATCATCTTGAGAGGGTGAATGGAGAGAAGGAGAAGACATGAAAGGGTCTGTTGAGCAGGACGATAAGTACTGAGAGGACTCGGAGTAGGAACGAAGAGAGATGGGCACATGAAATCAAGGACAAACATGGTGGCACAGCAAAGTTGCGACCACGTCCTCCAAAACCACCATCAACGATGTCGCTCTCCATGGCGTTCTCGAAGAAGGAGGACGAGAGCGGATTGAGCTCTTACTACAACAACAAGACGACCATCGTCCAGGAAGCTCGCGTTTTCAACGAATCTCCCATCAGCCCTCGCAAATGTCGTAGTCTCTTGACGCGCATCGTGTACCTACTCTATGTCGGCGAGACATTCGGAACCCAGGAGGCGACGACTCTCTTCTTTGGAACTACAAAGCTCTTCCAGCACAAAGATGTACGTGTCTCAAATCCGTCCATCCCTAATATGACATCTGAGCTGGTGATGTAGGCCGCCTTGCGGCAGGCCGTATACCTGGCGATCAAAGAGCTTGCGACGACTGCTGAGGACGTGATTATGGTGACCAGCAGTATCATGAAGGATATGCAACCGAACTCGGAGGTCATCTACCGTCCCAATGCCATCCGCGCGCTCTGCCGCATCATCGACGTACGTGCTACTCGCGTCCTCCCCAAGATGGTGTTCACATTCCATGGCAGCCCTCTATGGCTCAAGGCGTCGAGCGTTTCTTTAAGGCTGCGATGGTAGACCGTAACCCGGCCATCTCCACCGCGGCTCTGGTGTCTGCATACCATCTCTTCCCGCACGCCAAGGACGTCATCAAGCGTTGGGTGAACGAGGCACAGGAAGCCGTGAACACGAAATCGGGCGGCTATTTTGGAAACCCGGTCTCCACTTCATCTTCGTTCTTCGGTGGAAGCAGCAGCCAGAGCAGTGCTCAGACTATCGCGTCGACCAGTAATATAGCGCAGTACCATGCTCTCGGACTGCTCTACCTCATCCGCCAACAGGATCGTATGGCTGTGACCAAGATGATCCAACAGCTTGGAGGCGGTAAATCTGGATCTGGAACCACGCTGAAGAACGCGATGGCATTGTGTATGCTCATCCGGTATGCTGCGAAAGTCATGGAAGAGGATCCCAAGTTTGTTCCATCCAAAATTTCAATCGCTCCATGCTGATCAGAGCCAGTGTCCAACGGCAAATGGTCGAGCTGCTCGAGGGATGGCTCAGACACAAGAGCGACATGGTCAACTTCGAAGCTGCGCGCGTCATCTGCGACATGAGAGGCGTTACCGCTGCCCAGTTGGCCAAGCCCGTTGCAGGTCAGGCCAAAGTCACGAAAACCACTTCGATCGCTGAACCCTCCTCAGTTCTGCAGCTGTTCCTCTCTTCTCCTAAACCTGTACTCAAGTTTGCTGCCACGCGTACTTTGGCTGCTCTGGCTCTATCTCATCCCGCAAGCGTGGCCACGTGCAATGTCGACTTGGAGACCCTCATTTCTGACCCTAACAGGAGTGTTGCAACGTATGCGATCACAACATTGCTCAAGGTGAATTTGTACTAATCATTTCAAACAACTTGATGATCTCATATCCTGTATCAGACTGGTAACGAAGCCTCTGTGGACCGCCTGATCAAACAAATCTCGACATTCATGCCCGAGATCTCCGACGAGTTCAAGGTCATCATTGTGGATGCTATCCGTTCCCTCTGCCTCAAATTCCCCAGCAAACACGCTGCGATGCTTTCGTTCTTGTCCGGCATCCTCCGGGACGAAGGCGGGTACGACTTCAAGCGTGCTGTTGTCGAGGCCATATTCGATATGATCAAATCCATCCCCGAATCCAAGGAGCAGGCGCTCTCTCATCTGTGTGAGTTCATCGAGGATTGCGAATTCACCAAGTTGTCTGTCCGAATCTTGCACCTCCTTGGCATCGAGGGTCCCAAGTCTTCAAACCCGACGAAGTACATCCGGTTCATCTACAACCGGGTTGTGCTGGAGAACGCGACCGTTCGGGCCGCCGCTGTGTCTAGTCTGGCCAAGTTTGGAGTCAGCACCAGCGATGCCAAACTCAACTACAGTGTCGAAATCCTGCTCAACAGGTGTGTATCTTTGCTCTGCCGCTTTCAGTGACTCAGTTTGCCCAGGTGCCTGGATGATGTGGACGATGAAGTTCGTGATCGAGCAGCCTTGTATGTCAAAGCTTCCAAGACGGAGAGTCTAGTGCAACCCTATCTCAAAGAGGGTGAGTCCCTCATTTCTCAGCGCTTCGATGTTTGGGACTGAGTGCGCTGCAGAATCCGTCTTTTCCTTGGCTACCCTCGAGGCAAAACTTGTCTCGTATGTCAAGGACCCATCGTCGTCTGCCCAACCTTTCGATGTTTCGGGGATCCCTAAAATTAGTCGAGCCCAGGCTGCTGCCGACGCTGCCAGTGCGTTTCCCAATCATTGTACATATGTGACAGCCGTCGACCTTGCTTAGGACCAAGCTCCTTGGAGACGATCGGTGTGCCTGCTGCCCAGAAGACATCAGCAGCACCGCCTCCTCCGACAGCCGCTGAAACGCAGTCCGCCTATGTTGACCAGCTCGCTGCCGTGCCCTCATTCGCGACTTACGGTGCTGTGCTCAACAGTAGCGCCCGGCCTGTGCAGCTCACCGAGAGCGAGACGGAGTACCAAGTCACCTGCGTCAAGCACATCTTTACAGAGCATATCGTCTTCCAGGTTTGTGATTGCCGTCTAGTCAATTTATTCATCTCATTCAGTTTATTCTAGTTCAATGTGTCGAACACTCTGCCCGATACTGTTCTGGAACAGGTCACGATCAACATGCAATCTGAAGACTCGGGTCTGACACAGGACTTCATTCTCCCTATCCCTAGTCTGACGGCGGCCACTTCTCCTGGGATCTGTTATGTGTCCTTCACGCGCGACGATCCTGAAGAGTACGCCGTCGCCTCGTTCCAGTGCACACTGCAGTTCGTCAGCAAGGAACTCGACCCAACCACTGGGGAACCGGAAGAGGAGGGTTATCCGGACGAGTACCAGATCGAGGAGGTCGAGGTCAGCGCTGGTGGCGACTACATCGTTCCGTCGTATGCTTCGTTCGGCGCAGAATGGGATCGCCTCAAAGCCGGTCCAAGCGTCACGGAAACTTTTGGTTTGGGCACATCGGTGGATGGACTCAAAGGTTCGTGCTTGTCATGATTGATCGTATTTGTACACTGACCTGTCTGCAGCTGCTTGCGAGTCCATTATCGAGGTGTTGAATATGGAACCGCTAGGTGGAACGGAGATCCCCACTTCCAACTCCGTACACACCTTGCAGTTGTCAGGACTCGTCACCGGCGGCGGAGGGAAGGTGCTTGTCCGCTGCCGTATGACCTTTTCACCGGGCGTCGGGGTCACTCTCGAGCTCGGCGTCCGCGCCGAAAAACAGGACGTTTGCCAACTGGTCGTCAGTGCCGTTGGAGGTTAATCAATGCACACTTTACTCGTTACATACAGTATTTATCTGGTTTCTGCTGGAGCACACGCGAATGTTTACAAGTCAGGCATTGGCGCTGCGAATGGGTCCTCGGATTCGTCCATCTGTAATGGGCCGCCAAGAAGGGCATCTGTGCTATCAAGCTGCGTAAGGTCATGGGCTGATTCCAGTCCCAATCCGTCGGGACCAAGCACCGACATATCCAACATGCTGTCCCCGGCCAAATCGACTCCCTGGTCCATCTGCCCCATGGCGTCTTCCATCGTCTGCAGACTCGGCTCGAGATCATCATTTTCTATGCCCTCTTCGACCATCGGCTGCAACTCCATCGAGAGTTGAGGCTTGGGAGATGCAGGTTTCGACTGCGGCTCTTCCTCCACCGGCGGGGCGACTACAACTGTCGTCTCCGGCAACGCAGCTACAACGACGGGTGTGTCCTCCTGCTCGTCCTCGTCTCCCTCGACCACGTCCGCTTCGCCCTCGTCAGGTAGGGGCGCAAGCGGCTCGTCGGCCTCACCCTCGTCGTCGCTGAAGTGCTACAGCGCAGGAAACAAGCGTGTGAGCGCGGGGCGCAGGGATGTACCAGGGGCAGCAGGGGCGTACCTGCGGTTTGGATGATTTGACCCACTTGTACACGCGTATCGTGCTGCTGCTGTTGGTGGGCGCAGTGATGTCTGCGGTGGTCCAGACTTTTTCCCAGGATTGGACGGGTTGCATGAGCTGTCTCCGTGCTGCCTCCGTGGTGGCCGTGCTGACACCTATTCTGCGTCGTGTTGACATAGTCGGTCTGAGGGAGGTACTTAGAGACAAAGTGAGATGCCAACGGAGATGAAGATGCGCGCCCACGTGACTCCATCAAATATACACAGCCGCGAAGTCCCTGCCTGAGGCCGACAACGTCAAGATTCGATGCCTCCTCCACCTAACCCACCAGAGCCTGAATGGCCACTGCCCAAATTCAACATCCGGGTCGAGGATCTCTCCCATCCCGGAGCTAATATATTCTTCGAGTCGGTGCATCCGCTAACAGCCCTGCGCATGGCTGCCACCGCGAGCTTCAAATGGCTATACGGCAGCCTCAAATTAGCGCCTACCAAGTGCGTCGGATACGAGACTCCCCGGCGGATGCGATGAACAGCACGCACAGCGTCGAGTCGATCCTGCTCGTCCTGCGCCCGATGCCGGGCGTGGCGCACACCTTCGGCTCCCGCACGGAGAAGGAGATCCACTTCTCGCTCGACCATATCGTCAACAGCGCCGCGCGCGCGAGACACGAGATTATGGGCGTGCTCGTGCACGAGGTCGTGCACTGCTATCAGTACAACGCCAAGGACACCGCCCCGGGGGGCCTCATCGAGGGTGTCGCAGGTGCGTCGTGCTGCTAGGATCTGCTGCCGCATTCACCATGTTGATCGATCCGCGTCCATGTACGTAGACTACGTCCGTCTGCACTGTGATCTGGCACCTCCCCACTGGAAGCGGTCTCCCTCCCGCGAGGATCCATGGGACGCGGGATACCAAACGACCGCGTTCTTCCTGGACTGGATCGAGCAGAGATCACGGCCGGGCACGATACGCGATTTGAATGGGGCACTCAAAGACGCAGAATGGGATGCTGCTCTGTTCGAACGCCTGGGAGGGGCCCCGGTCAAAAAGCTCTGGGCCCAGTACAAGCGCGAGGTCACCGGCGAGGAGGACGAGAGTGATGTCACTGACGAGGGCTTTACTTTGGTGTGAGTTTCATCATGATGTCTCGACAGCGGTCTTGCGCTCATGCGATACTCGCAGCCCAAGTTACAACCCAGTGTACGTGTAGACTAAGGGCAGCACTTTATGCATTCAATCAAGAGATCGGTTATGCTTAGATGATCCATAACGGTTTGATCGAGTACACTTGAGAGTCTGAACATGTGGGGTGCATTTCCAGAAAAACAAGCAATCAAGCAAAGTGCAAGGTGTAGCAAAACGTGATTGGAGTGGGATTCGAACCCACGCCCTTTCGGACTAGATTGCCAAAGGCAAGTTGTGCTCGCAGATGCGAGTTAATCCTTAGTCTAGCGCCTTAGACCGCTCGGCCATCCAACCATGTGTAGATGTGTACGGTCTAGGATTATAGCCTCTTGAGCTGTTTCACAAGTGCCCTTATTACCGTTTATCACCCGCCTGAGCTGGAGCAATACTGTGACCATTTCACGACGCAGAGTCGCTGGTAGGCCTGCCACAGTCTATAGCAATTTCAGCCAAGCATGCTCCAGTCTTTGAGAGCGGTCCACTATGGAGACTGGAGTTGATACACGGGTCGTCGGGAGACGGTTTGGTATGTGCTCCGGACTTGTGTGTGCCCTCGCCACTTGTAATTGTGATTGCATTTACCCTAACATCGCGTCTGTGGTCCTTTGCTTGTTTCTATCTGCCTGCTTTCCTGGCTCCGTACGTTCGTTCACTCAAAGGCTTCAAGCTGTGCGAACGGTACACAAGGGATTCTGCCAATCATCGACGAGCAAGTCACGAGGTTTGACGTTGGCCGTGACTAGAATCTCCGCCGTTGGGCCGCGGATGCCACGCGATCTCATATCAGAGATTCTCCAAGGGCAATCCTTGGCAATCCCCTCGACGTGATCAGCGAAGCAACTGTTGCGCCAAACTGTCCCGAGTCCATGCGCACAGCACAGCACTCTGCTCGGAGTGCTAGCTACAGCCGAGAGCGAGCGGATACCATTTCACAGAACCCCGGTTACCGGAGCGACCACATGCTGACATCCAGCTCAGTCAGTCAAATGAACAGACGGCTCGGTGGTGGCGTGCGTTCGCATGTTCGTCCACCTGCGGATCGCCGCCCGGGTCCGTCATCGGCGGCGTGAGTGGTAACAAGATTCGATAGATGAAAGTGCGATATCAATAGTACAAGCTGGTAAAACAAAATGCAAGATTCAAGCCTGCTGGAAGGGCATGAGCATCCAACCATCCACTGAGCGGACGATGAATTTGCACTTACATCATAGTTGCCCACATTGAAGCTAAGGAGTGAGGATTAGGTCCCTGCAGTCATGGACACGTGGTTCACTCACTGGACCTGGTCGCCCTCACCGAGCGTCAGACGCACAGGAAGCCGGGGATCGATGCGCACGGGCGCACTGCTGCCAACATAGAAATCGCCGCGCGTGAAATTCCGCGTGATCGCAGCGGTCTCCTCTTCCGTCAACGGGCGCGGTCGTTTTGCAGGCCGGAATGTGGCCGATGATGCACCAGTAAAGTTGCCGTTGTAGTCGTAATATTGCTGGTGCGTCAGTGTGAGACCGCCAGGCTGCGCGGGGGCGTAGCCCGGTGGCGCGCCGAACCCGCCTGTCGTCGAGGCAGACGGGGCAGACACATCTGTAATAAGCGACGCTCAGGACCGCGCTACGCCCGGGGAGAGCGGTTCATCGACGCACCAGCAGGCTGGGCCCGGTCGTGCGTCTCCGATTCGGGGTCCGGGTACGCGCAGACGTTGGCAAGTCCGCGTTTTACACAGTTCTGTATGTCAGATCCCAGCTTCGTCAGGCGGACAGCGGACTCAGAGCTCGCTTGGCACTCGCCTGACAGGGCAAAACCTCGCTACAGCGCGTTTTACCGCTGTGACACGCGACACACGCACGGCGGACTGAGGGCCCCTTCGCTGGGACTCGGTCGAACGCGTGCACAGGCGAGGACGCGAAAACGCTCACGCTTGCGCGATGTGCCCTCCCCAGGGCTCCCTATGGGCACCGAGATACTCCCCTGCTGCACTTGTTGGATCGGATGCGGCGGAGGGGGTTGGTGCTGTTGAGCGAGCTGCTGGTGCTGATGCTGCGATAACTGCTGCAGCTGAGCATCGATTTGTGGATTTACATCCTCGGGGTGTGCCGACATTTCGGATGCGGCGGCGGCGGGCAGACGGAGGATAAACGGAGGGGGTCGTGACAGTTCCGGGTAACGGTTGTCGATCGCGTGACACTTTGCTGAGGCCAGATCAATCCCATCACCGGACCTTCCAGTCTCCGGACACTCCCACGGCCCATCTGACGCCTGGCACACGCGCCTGATCTGCACTACTTCAAGCGATCTCTATCTTTCGCGCTCTTCCACTTGATGCAACACATGCTTCCTTGTCCCACCTATGGCTCTCTCTCCTCCTCCACCGTTCCCCGACTTTGATTTTTCGTACGACTCGGCGTCGTTCCCCAATGCCCCTCCCCTGCCACCCTCAGCGGATCTCTTCTCGACAGCGGAGACGACGGACATCTTCGGATTCCTCGACAACTTTGGCGATTTTGGTGTTAGCTGGGACTTGGAACAGACGCTACCGCAGCCCCAATATCGACCGCAGCCATATTCCAACCCCCACCTCCCCGACGTCGTGCCTGACGCATCCCCGACGACGTCTGGCCGTCCGCAGCGACCGACGCGCGCATCGTCGTTACGGAAACAGCCGAAAAGAACTCCTGCCAGCGCCTCCTCCGACTTCCCATCCAGGCAGGAGAGCGAGACGCCAAGCAACACATCGGAATCGTCTCGATCCCTGCCGACCCCGCCGCCGCCCTCCCACGAGCACCTGCCGTCCCACTCGGCCGCAGCCGCGTCCCCCTCCTCTGCGCGCAACACGAAGCCCCTGCTGTCGATGCCGCAAAAACGGCTCAACCACATCATGTCCGAGCAGAAGCGCCGGAACGCCATCCGCGATGGGTACTCGCAGCTGATCACGCTGCTCGCGCCGTCGGACGGCGGGCCGATGCTGGGCATGCCGCAGAGAGGCCGCCCGAAGGGGAGCGGGAACCGGAACAAGGGCAAGGGGCAGAGCAAGGGCAAGAGCGGCGTCTTGTTCCGCGCCGTCGAGTATGTGAAATGGCTCGAAGAGGGCCGCCAGGCTCTGCATGCGGAGGTGCTGCGTGTGGAGGCAGCCGCCGGACTGTGAAGCTTGGGCTTCTTCCTCCTCCGTCACTCCCCCCCTCGGTGTAGCTACATGCGGTGTGTGCCTCGGCTGTCTGCCCTTCTCTCGTCCGAGCCTGATTACGAACCGTTCAGGGGTTATCTTTATCGTCCGAACATCGCAATTGTATCAGTTAATCTTGTCGCAGTCTTGGGACTTGCGTTGCAGTATCTATCATCCATCTCTCGACTGTTGGTCCAGTCAGAAATGAAAAACGATTGGCAACGCTGATACACGCTTGCTTGCCATCTCGAATTCAACATTCAGCGCACAAAAATTATAGACCAAATGAAGTCCTGATCACGAGTATCAATTGCAATTACGTTACGCAACGTCAAGCCTTGCAAACCGGACCGAGCGATTTTGAAACACATTTATTGATTTCCAATTATACAAAGAACGATAATCTCAATTAGCCTGAACGAGCAGCAATCAAAATCCAAAAGTCTTCGATGCTGCGGAAACCAAGCTGGGAACAGTCGGCACCTGGATTGCTCCCAAGCCGGACAGAACCTGGCCTGTGGCCGAGCCCACAGTCGCGCCAGCACTATTCAAGCCGGCCACGACCTGGCCGGTCGCCGAGCCAGACGACGGCTGCTGCTGCTGCTGCGGAGGAGGAGGACTGCTAGCCGCCACAGCGGTGAAATCCTGCTGGTTGATCTGCTTCCAGTCAACATACACGCCCCCTGCGAGCGTAGCCGTCCCTGGGCGAGCTGGGTCCCGCCAAGAGCCAAGCCGGGCCCGTGGGCATCTGGAGCGTTGACGTCGTCGAAGACAGTGACGTTGAACGACGCGCCGGGCTTGAAGATGCCCTCGGGCGGATTGTTTGCGCTGGCGGGCAGAAGCGAGGTCTCGGGACGCGCGATCTCCAGGCGTACGCCGCGCGCCAGTTGGTCCGCAGTAAGCGGAGGCTGGACCTGCAGTGTAACGCGGTCGGCGGAGAGCTGCGCGTTTCGCCCGCGAAGCAGCATGTGCTCGATGTTGATCTCCTGCGGAGTACCAAAGACGTAGAACGGAATGCAAGTGTTGGAAAACTGGGCGTCGCGCCAGCGAGCGTCCAGAGGGCGGTTCTTGATCACCTGCAGGTTGGAAAGTGTGATCGAAGGGTGGCTCGAGAATGCGCTGGGGAGCCGCGTCAATTAGAAATCAGACAAAAAAGGCACTCTTGACTCACTCTCCGTCAAACACGACCTGTATGTCTTTGGCGGTAGCGATATCGTCCAACGTCATCTCATTCAGCGTCCGGCAACGATAGAGCTGCCCGGGAGAGCTGGACCGGGCCGTGGTATATAGGCTCTTGACCGTGGTGTCGAGCATATCCGCGCTGATGATCAAGTGCTTGCGGCCGTTCGCATTGTGGAACAACGGATCGCTCGTCAGGTAGATATTGTCCTGCCCAGACACGGTGAACCAGTGGATCTGAGGCTGCACCGTGGCCCGATCAAGGACCACCTTAACTTCCTGTTCGAGAATGCCCTGCACGACACTGGTGACGCTATCGATCGAGCCCAGCCCCGAAAACGTGGGCATGGTACGCAGCACGACCAGGTCTTCAGACGAGTCTGTTTCCAATCCAAGTCGTCTAAGCGGTAATGAATAAATGGCACATCACAAAAGACAACGACTCACTTCCGATAGTTGACAACACACGAATCGTACCTCTGACCCATGACGCTCGAGTCCACGCGGAATGGAATCTGTTGCGAATGAAGCTGGTTGACGAGACGGGTGCTGAGATAGCTGGCGTCCTCCACATCTGTGTTTGGTTGCCCGTTCAACATAAAGTTGCACGCGAATACGCTGATGCTCAGATCAGGCGCCAGTGCATTGGCCTCAGTCATGGCTTCCGGATTGGAGAAAATTTGGTCATCAGTCAGCCCAATGATCTGACTGCGAATGAACTGTTTCTCAGCCGCCTCTTTCGCCGAGTCGCCCTCGTTAACCAGCGGAGTAAGAGGAAGCACGATATAATCCGTCGTGTTGTCTGACATGGCTGCCCATTGGGCCGACAGCTGGTGCCTTGTCAGATGGTGGTTGCGTAGATGGACGACAAAACGTACTCTGGCTGATGCCCACGGAAGCACACTGTTCAGGGTCGGGCCGACCTCTTGAGATCCAACGAATTTGAAATATGCTTGCGCCGACATCGCTACCGGACTGTTCATTTCCGGCTCGCTGTCACGCCGTCAGTCCGGAATCAACATACAACCCAGCAAGACCTGCCTGATGTCAAAGAGTTGTTTCCAGTGGGCAAGTCGCCCGTCCCGATAGTACACAGCGCCAGCAGGAAGCGGCACGGCTCCTCTCCGATAGAGGTCTGTAGACACAGCATCAACCTGTGCCAGTGCCTCGTACTGCTCGGCGGTCATGGCACTACGCGGTGCGCTGGATGCCGGCTGCGGGCTGCCCCAAGGAGAATCTGGACAGCTTGAGCAAACGGAGGCACGAGACAGCAAGAGCCTACCTGCATATACAAAGAAGATGAAACCAAGCTCGGCATATTTGTCGCGAAGCTGGAGCACCTCGGAGATCGGATCGATCGCTCCCTCCCACGTTCCATAGCTGACAAGGATACTGTTCACGGCCTGCTGCTTCTTGTACAGGTCCTGGAGCAATGCATCGAGCTTGGGGATATCGATTCGCGCGTCAAGGTCCACCTCAACGTCCAAAACTTCGGCCCCGAGATCGTGGATGGCTGCGAAGTCATGCTCAGAAATAGGCATGTCAAAAACGAGATCGACGCACCTGCACCCTTGGCCCACGAATAATGATTGGTGGCCGACATGAGATGTTGGGGCGGCTGAGTGATACCATGTCTCTGGAACAGCGCCTCCTCAGCAGTCACATACGGGCGAAGCGTGTCCCGCAAGAAGTCGACATCGACGGCAAAATCCAGCCGGAGACTATCCAGGAGGTTGAGCGTCTCGATGTGAGGGATGTTGAGCAGCTCCCAGACACTGCAGTCCTTGAGGAACTTGGGTTGAGTGCCAGCAGGACCTGCCGGCGTGACCTGGAGGAAGTCGGCGATGAACGAAAGCTTTCCATCGTCGATAGCACTGCGCAGGGCGAGCGGAATGTTCTTGAAGTTGCTTCCAGTAGAGAGCACCTATAGTGAAGCGTTAGATGATGAGCGGTGCCAATCTCTAGTCGACTTGCCTCTCCCTGAGCGATCTCTGTAACCATCAGCATCATCATCAGTCTGTATTATATGGCATAAGGAATCGCAACTCTGCTTACCACCGTCAACAGTCAGATGGCCCCAAGATTTATCCTGGCCATTAGAAAACCCAAGCATTTTACTCAGGTCTTCACCGACTTCATATTCGATAACCGTGGTCACAGCAGATGCTTCAGTGGCAACCTTGCACGGTCATGTTACATGATAGCACGGCAAGTTCCCCGACGACACTCACGTTATTCTGGTTGTAAAGCATCGCGACCATATAAGCAGCGAGGGCTGGCATGGTGCTAGCAGCATATGGGAGTGAGAATCGAGATAGAGTTGCTGGTAAAGAAATGCTCACGTTTCAAAATTCATACCCATGTAGCCCCGATACTGTGATACGCGCGACACCATCGAACCCGCCCCAGCACCACTCATTGCAGCCGTCATCTGCTTGTAAAGCACGGCGTCCGCGTTCTGCTGTGACGCGAAATCCACTTCCTTCTCAACGAAATCCTTGAGACGCACGAGTCAGCGTCCTAGATCTAACGCTGCGGCGGCGGGGAGCGGTACGACGCACCAGGCCTCCGCCGCCGGTCGGCCACGTCGCAGCATCAAGAACAGCTTGGAAGGTCGACTTGAACAGATCGAAACTCGCTTCCCCTGGTCCTAAGGTGTGCATCGTCACCCTCGCGGGGTTTGGAGGAAGAATGGAAAGGAGGGCCAGTACCTTGAAACCTGAGGCGATAACGATGGAGTCAGCGACGACATTGACCGAGCATGTCGCATACCATGTTGAGATAATCGAGGGGTCGAGTTGGATAGTATCAAGTTGCTGATTATTGGTAGAGGCCATCGTGGTCTGCGCAGTCTGGCCTGTGCTGAACCGGATCCCTTCTCATCTCAGCCATTTATAGGACGCGTTCGAAAGTGCCCATGTCATAATTCCAGTGCCATGAGAGCGATCCAGAGTGGCGACAGTGAGTATGCGGCCGCAATATGGCCCTCACGACCGAGCAAGCGCCGATTGAGAATAGGAAGAGGGGCCTAAACGCGTGGGATCCCAGTGGTTCGCACCAAGGCTAGGCCGCCAGCACATGATTGAGCGCCACATCGAGAATAGGTTTGACTGAGAACAACAGGATGAATGGAGAGGATGCGCTCAGCGAGCTGTGGACGGATGGGCACGCAGCAGAAAACAATCGCGCGACTAATGGCGCTGGAGCATTCCGCGAGAGCCCAAAAGGTTTCGCGGAGGGGCCTTGGTCAAGCTAGAATCGGACCTACGCCGAGCTGTAAGAGCGAGAAACGTTGATTTCAAGTTGATTCCGTGTCAATTGACCTTGGATCCCGCATATTCTTTGCCCACGTGATCAATCAACTATTTGTCCATCATGCTTCCGATTCACAGAACCAGTGTTGCCTGTGCTTTTTGCAGCTCTGGGAAGCTCAGCCACAGGTTAAAATTAGAGAGAGTCTGAAGCCTGACATTGGCTTATGCAACTGACTGCTCTACTGATCACACGCCACACCTCATGGACCTCACATTCGTCCGGAATCGGCTCAATAACGGAATCCATGCCCCCCACCATGACCGTGTTGCCCGAAACGGATGTTATCATGACGCTGATATCCCCAAGTTTCGGAGGGAGTGCTGGGAGGAGGCGGGCTAGTCTTTCGGGTGGTCGAGGGCGCGACACCGAAATCCTGCTGATTGAGGCATTTCCAGTCGACACGGACACCGCCGGACAATTCGATCCGCCCACGGCCGAGCTCATCTCCTCCCTCGGCCAGACCGGGTCCGTGGGCATCCGGCGCATGGGGATCGTCGAAGACAACGACATCGAACGACGCGCCGCGCTTGAACACCCGGTCCGGCGAGTTCTCCTCCGTGGGGGGCAGGAACGACATTTCCGGCCGCATGAGCTCAATTCGGACTCCACGCGCCAGTTGCTCGGCGCTCAACGGCGGCTGGACCTCGAGTTTGACGCGGTCGGCGGAGATCTGTGTGTTCTGAGCGTGAAGCAACATATGCTCGATGTGGATCTCCTCCGGACTGCCAAATGCATAGAACGGAGTAGACCGCTGATTGTACGACTCGTCCCGCCAACGGGACTCGAGAGAGCGAATCTTGACGACTTTGAGGTCGCTCAATGTTACGGTCTCAGATTCACTATACAGAACCGGGGTCAGCGAAGATCGGGGAGTGGGCGGCCAGTACCTCGAGACTCACCATTGATCAAACACGACCTGTATCTCTTTGGAAGCCACGATCTCATCGAGTGTCGTTTCGTGCAAAGTTCTGCAAGTGAAGAGCCCGTTCAGAGAAGCATCGGGAATGGTAACTTGCACGCTTTTGATCGCTCTTTCAGATAGTTCCGCATGCATCACAAGGTGCATGCGACCGTTCGCATTATGGAACAGAGGCTCGTTTGTCAGATAGATGTCGCCCCGCCCAAACATGATGAACCGATGAATCTGAGGTTTGACGGTCGCCCGATCGATCGCAGCTCTGGCCTCTTCCTCGAAAATATGGCGGGCGAGTTCCATGCTGTCGACAGTCGGGCCATGTACTGGGAAGGTGATTGCGCTGCTCAAAACCAGGAGATCTTGAGTGGACATTGTTTCCAGTCCCAGGCGCCTCCGTGATCAGTCAATAGGAGAGCCGCGTTCAAGACAGGTCGAGACGCACTTCCGATACTCGCGTACACAAGAATCATACTCGGCCCCCATGACACTCGAGTTGACACTGAAAGGGATTTGTTGGGCCACCGTCAGGAGATCGCGAACGCGGTGGTTGAAATAGTTGGCGTCCTCGATATCCGTGTTCGGCTTGCCATGAAGCATGAAGTTGGAGGCAAAGACGATGACGTTCAGATCTGGAGCCACATTGTCCGCGGTCATAGCATCAGGATCAGCGTAGAACTGTCCATGGGCCCGCCCACTCATCCGACTGTGAACGAACTGTTTCTCGGTCGCATGCTGAGCCGAGTCGCCATCGTTAACCTGCGGAATGAGTGGGACTACCACATAGTCTTTGCTGGTTTCAGAGATCATTGACCAGTGCCTCGACATCTAGAGAACCGTCAGACACGAACAACACACTGAAAAGATGCCCACTTGTTTGACTGTCAACGAGAGGTCCCTAAGAAAAGAGGGAGCTGCGCCTTGACCGACGACTTTGTGGTGGACATATACTGCCGCCGCTGAGATCGGTGATAGATCGCTGGAGACGAAGTCAGCACTGTCGCAGTCTGGCGTAACGAAACTTGCGGTTCTGTATCGCCGTCGTAGACACCAGTAGGATCGATCGTCATCTTGGTGACACGCGAGTTTCGATAGCAAGCAGCCCCGGCGGGGGAAGGCGCAGCACCATCGCTGTATAGATCGAGTATCACCGAGTCTGCCCGTTTGAGAGCCTGCAACTGTCGAGTGGTATGCTGGCTCAGCGAAGATGTGTTGGAGCTGGAGATTGCATCAAGGAAGCAACCAGCCCGGCATGCATCTCGTGTTGTAATCAGGGACAACAAGCAATGCATGATCACAGCACACACACGCACCTACAGAGACTTGGAAACTCAACCCCATCTGCTCGTACTTGTCCCGGAGCGCGAGCACTTGATCGAGCGGGTCAACGGCACCTTCCCTCGTGCCCACAGTCACAGCGACAGCGCAGACAGCCTGTTTCTTGTCTAATCGGTCTTGGAGAAGCGCATCGAGTTTGGGGATGTCGAGTCGTGCAGCGTTATCGACTTGAACAGTGTCGTAGCCGGGACCGTAATGCACTAAAAGCGAGGGGTCTGTTGGGACGTGATTGATATTGCGAAGAAGAGAAACCCACCCTGCGACTTGCCCCACCGGAACTGTTGGGAGGAAGAGACGATGAACCCGGGAGGCAGGTCCGAATCAATATTATATCTTTCCGAGATCCTCGTCTGCTCCATCAAATACGGGCGAATCGCGTCTTGCAGGAGCTTGGCACTGATTCCGGACTCCACTTGCAGACTATCCACCATACGGGCAATCTCGTCTGAAGGCGTGTTAAGTAGCTCCCAGACACTGCATTGCTTCAGAAGCTTGGTTTCAGCACCCGCTGGCGTGACCTTGGCCATGTCGCCGAGGAATTCCAGCTGTCCATCGTCGATGGCGCTGCGCAGGGCCAGCGGGATAAACTTGAGCCTGCGAGCGACTTCGAGGCTCTGTTGTGAAGTGGTCATTCCATGCGCGCACATTCTCGTCGTCAGACCAACTCACTTCCTTCAGAGCTGAGTCTGGTCGCGTCGATTCAAAATGAGTAGGATTGTGCAACAGGCGAGTGACACACCGTTGTTACGAGTCAAATGAGCCCATGGGTGGATGTCCACGTTCTTGTCTGCTGAAAACCCAATCTTTTGGCAGAGCATTTCGCCAACTTCAAGCTCGATTAAGCTTGTCACGGGAGAAGCCTCGGAGGCGACCTTGGAAGACAGCATCAGTCGAGGCCTGTAAACTGACCATGGATCTCACATTGTTCGAGTTGTAGAGCGCCGTCATTATGAATCCAACCAGGGCCGGAAGGGTGCTATCGTCATGTTAGGATAATGACGATCGAGGGCCCCTGCATGGAAACACATACGTTTCCACGTTCCTACCTCCATGACGGGAAAAGAAAGGAATTTTTGGAGAGTTGAGATCCTCTATGGCTTTCACGATACGTTGTAGGTCTTCGTCATTGTTTCCGTGACCGTTCCGATCAGAGGGGTAACTGGGATCCCCCTGTCAACTCATTCAGCCCTGCATCCAATTATCGGACTTGGTGCGCTCCGGTTGATACCTGGTGAACCCCCGAGCTCGCGCGCTCCGCTAATTCCATGATGGCCTTGATTCGTTCAACATCCCCTGATCCTCGGTGTGCGTTGTTGGCCAAGCCAAACGGCAGCGCATCAGTCAACACACCTCCCTTACTGACGTCGAATAAGACAACGACTCGAAGAAAGAAATGCCCACGTACATGGACCACGTATCTTGTCGCGCAGGTGGCGACCACGGCATTTGAGGCTGGAAGCGGTGGTATGACATAATCGCACTAGACTGCTTGCTGAACCAGCAATCCTAATCGCCCACAGCTTATATACTGACGCTCCCTTGCCCGTTCATAGTCACGAAGGGGATGTCCATGGGGCAAGCTATGTATGCGCAGCAGCGGAAGCGAAGACACGACCGTGATATCACCCGAGAGAATGCGGGGACCCAGGACGGCGCCACAAGTGAATGGAGGGATAGAGCGGAGAATTAGCACTGAGGTGCAAATGAAGACCCCGATGAAGTGACTGGACCGGGCGAAAGGCGCACTAGCCATTAGTTCCATCGGCAAACTTGGGCAAGGTTCGAGCACGGTCCTACGAAGGCATTGATAGAGTGGGGAGCGATATCGGACCTTGGCCATTCATGTATGATTGTCTCATCGGTCGAACAGTTTGGGGAAGTCAGAGTAACTCAGTTCAAATTTGATCAGACAGTAGACAGTCGCTGTCGGATGAGGAACGCGCATGTTTGGCTATGTTCGGCTGTTCGGTAAAACCATCATAGACCAAGTTCCCACGCTTCGGTTGGCCTCGACTTCATTTGGGGCGTGTTTTGAGCCTTTCGTGATCCAGTCCGGTTCCAACTTGTCCCTGCTTCGCTCTCGATAGTTGGAAGCGTGTAAGAGAGCAGCGAGCAGTGCCATTCACAGATGAGACTAGTTAATGTGGTCATGATTGTACTATTACAGTCATGCCTAGTCAACATACTTATTGACTCGAATGTGGATGCCAGAAGTTCAAGTCCAGCCCAAAGCATCAGCTATCAAGCCGCATGAGCTGTGAATCCATGCAAGCAGATTCTATTCTGCTTGTACTTTCTGATTTCCAGTCCGAGACGCCGCAAATAATCTTTACAGAGCTTTCGTCCTTGTACTACAAGTACACATGACATCTAATATGCAAATCTGAAATCGAGCCGCTGGTTCCCAACATCCTTGGTCGTTTCAACATATTCCTGCTGCTCCTAGTAATGGCGGCATGAGCGATCGCGGACAAATGCATTGCATCGGATCTCTATCAGGACTGACCTTTTTGGACCACGAATCCCACTTCCTGTCCCGAGCGCGGTTGATTGTGCGGTAGAAGAAGAAGGTGAGGATGTACAGCACGATGTTCATGCAGCAGATCCCGATCAACGTGCGGTTTCCCCGTTTATCTGAGGAAGGTCTTAGTCGTGCATGGACTGAAAACGGTGCAAGGACGGCTTACACAGCGGAGCATCGTCTTTCCTGTAGATGTTGGCCTGCTCATGGGATCAGCAGTGGTCGTGCGGAGGATGCCGCTCAGCTGACATAGATGATGGCGCCCGCTTGTACGAATATGTTGTAGCAGCTGGCCGACACAGTCCTCGTCCGGACAGAGAACGAGTTTCTCGACGTCCACGCGACTTGGATGGGGTGGACGTACTGGATGCAACATTAAGTTGAAAGCCCAATCCGTGAGGAGATGGTTACTCACCGGGAAACCCGTAATGAGCGTGACGACAGTGAAATAGGACCACTGTGATGTGAACGAGTTGAATGAATGCAGTGCAATCAACAGGGGGAGCGCCCAAATCTGGAGGATCATCGTAGCCAGTACTCGGCTGTTGATCGCCTCACTGAGAAACGCAGCGACGAGCAGCATGATGAGCCCAATCACGGTCGAAGGAATGGTCAACAGATTAGCCTGCGTCGTGGTGAAGCCGAGATGCTTCAGAGACAGGGTGAGGTAGACTTGGGGTGGGCCAGTGGGGACTGTTCGGGGTCTGCTTAGTACCAGTAGCGTCACAAGGAAGCGACTTGCTCATGTGGACGAGGCCAAGAATGTACAAGGGCCACAGCCTCCAATCTTTCATCCCCTCCCAGATCTTTCTCGGGGACAGACCCTGGCGGTTGTGCATGTCGGACTTGGACGGGTCGTCGCGCAGAATCCTATTGACCATGATAATCTCCTCCCTATATCACGACTCATTAGACAGAAACATGCTATTCAAAGTGATCTCACCGATCGGAAAACCAGCCTTTTGGCCGAAACCACTTGTTCTTTGTCTGAGTAGGTCCCGGCTGAACGATACGTCAGCAAAACAATATGAGATATAACTCGATCGACTCACAGGCATCAGCAAGAACGAGAGCAACCCAATGGACAAGGTAAAACACCCCTCTGAATAGGCAGTCAGAAAATGGACCATAAACGAGAAGGTGATGAATACGAGATACCTAGCAAGAAGAGATACCGCCAGCCTGATTGGCCGTTGACACCTCGGAGCTTGAGGATACCTGTTGCCAGAAAAGCACTGAAGATGTGCGACACGTAGTTGGACACCCAAAAGAATGCCAGGCGGATGGGAACTGGATAAAAGTCAGGCGGAATCCATCTAGATCATCAAAGCGCTTACGCTCGGTCCGCGTGTAGAAATAAGACAAGTACAGCACAATGTCGGGGATGAAACCTGGGTCAGATGCGTCAGCACAAGAAGTCGAAGATAGAAACTCCGCACCTCCTTCGCAGAATCCTAGGAGGAATCTCGTGACGAGGAACGAAGTCCTGCCTTTCAGCCAGTACTGACTCAGAGCGACCACACTCCAGGCGATCATCTGGACACATGTCAGTCGAGGAGAAGCAGAGATGTAATGGGAATGTGAAGATACATACCTGACAAGGAACCCAGACATCGGGACCCACACGCTTGGATATCAGTTGCGACGGCAGTTCTGTCAACACAATTACACACAACGTGCATTTCTTGGTGCTGAGCGCACCCACCTGCAATCAGGAACGAGAGCCGGAAAAGCGTGTTGCCGAGGTTGAAGTCATTCGTGGTCAGCTTCAAGTCTCCGAGGAAGTTGTCGGTGTTGGCTTGGGAGATGTTGGTGCGGTCAAGGTCGAGGGCGAAGAACATGATAGCTGTGTCGGATTCAGCCTAAACCAAACCAAGGCGTTAGGTACGAGGGGACTTGCCGGCCCACACCATGATGCGGATATCTATCTTCCGCACGACGCGCTACGAGCGGTCTCAGAAGGACAAGCAATAATGGCGCGTGTCGAACAGTCCGCACCTTCTCTTCTCTCCACGTCCACCGGGCCTTGGGATCAAAACGATGGGCATTCTCGTACTGCGGGGGTGGCCGATAAACTTCTAGCGTGACGGAGTCATCGAAGACACTTGGTTGAGTCGCGATACTATCCAGGTCCAGCACCTGTCGGGGCGGCCCTCGCCACCGTGAGAATAAGCCACCGGGTTGCGATAAGGGCGTTCCGAGTGGCGGATTCTCGGAGCTGGTACTCGAACGCGTGCTTCGCTTTTCATCAACAGATTCGTGGATCGACAAGCGACTGGCAGGGAAGAAGCTGGTCATGGCGAAAACTAATCGTGTGTGCGAATCGTTTCGGCAGCAACATATTTTCGCACTACTTAAAGAGAATGGCGCATGAGCAAGGATGTCGGACGGAGAGCGCAAACGAAGCACGGCATTGCGCCATCGGAGTACAGAATAACAAGTTGATTTCTTCATATCTAGCCGATGACAGCGTGAGGTAATCATCACTCATCACCTCCGACCACGTGACCGCAGCGCCCGCTGTGCTGCACCAGGAGGGGCTTTCGGACCAGCGTTTTGCTGCGAGAAATGTCAGGGAGGAGAAGATATCGAGAAATTAAGGACTGACCGCCTCGCTCTGCGGATTTCTAACCGTCTCGTCGATGCTAAGGATCAGGCAAGCGGCCTCGGCTGCACTGCTGATCGCGTTCAACTTGACCAGTGCCGGCTCCCAGACGAAAGCGTCCATGTTGTCGCGCACTCCAGTCTCGCCGTCAACATCTACACCAGCCCAGATCTCCCTCTGCTCGTTGCGGGGATCGTGCTTCATGCGCAGCTTGTTCAGGATATCCGTCGAATCGAGGCCGGCATTATCACAGATTTGCCGGGGAATGATCTCGAGCGCCTTGGCGAAGGCGGTCATCACGAGCTGCTGCTTTCCAGGAACCGCCAAAGCCTCTTTGCGGATGAACGCAGAGAGTTCCATCTACAAAAGGTCAGCGTAAGGATCGTGGGAGTCACAGGAAGCGCACCTCGATAGCACCGCCGCCAGCGACAACCTCCCCAGTCTTGACCGCCCGCTTCACGACCATGATCGCATCATGCAGACTGCGTTCGACTTCCTCGATGAACTGTTCGGCACCGCCACGCAACACGAGCGTGCACGTTTTCGCTTTCGGGCAGTCTTCGAACAGGTTGTATCGTTCTCCGCCGATCTGCTTCTCCTCGAACGAACCACACGTTCCAAGATGCTCTGGCTTGATGTCTGAGCACGTAGACTGGATCGCACCGCCGGTGGCCTGCACGACACGACGCAAGTCCCCTGCGACGACACGGCCCGCACAGAAGATGTCTCGGTCAGCAAACCACTGCGTTGCGAGATCGCCGATCGGCAGTTTGCTGAGCACGACCTTGGCGCCCGTCTTTTCGATCAGCTGGAGTTTGCGATAGATGATCTCCCATTCGGCGTCGACGATCGCTTGGTAGTCGGCAACTGCCTCAACACGGACTTCGGCGTTGTCTTTCTCGGCCTTGAGTTCGAGCTCGACATTCAAGCAGACGATCAGGGGATTGCGGAAGGATTTAGGCTGCTGCTCGGCACCGGCGTATGTGAAGGTCTTTTTGAATGCGACGCCCTTGATCAGAAGCGAATCCTGCATGCCTCCTCCGGCAACCTTCTTGACACCGATGAGCGATTCGTCAAGTTCGTCTTGATCCAGGCATTGCACAGCGTCAACGACCATGTTCGAGAAAAAGGGCTTTTCCGAGTGGATGAGTTTGGAAGACATGGAAGTCGAGGCACATTTCAAGAGCAGGGATCGGAAGGTTCTAGACGAAATTAGACGGGCATACAAGACCTGAGGATGCAACATACTCAGGGTCAGACTTGTCGACAGAGATTTTCAATTCCTTTATCCGATCAATTGCCTGTGGATTGAAGCTGAAGTCAGCCGGTCGATGACCAAAAAGGGTGACGCGTACCATCTGCGATGCCTTTCCGAATCCCTTCATGATGATATGCGGACTGACGCCCTCCTCGATATACGTCCGGACTTCTTTCAAGAGTTGCGTAGCAAGCAAGACCACACTAGTCGTGCCGTCCCCAACTTCCGCGTCCTGGGCCCGAGCGATGTCGACTAGCGTCCGCGCGGCAGGGTGGACAATATCCAGCAGCTTGAGAATCGTCGCGCCATCGTTGGTGATCTGCGCCTCCCCGCGATCATTCACAATCAGCTTGTCCATCCCACGGGGTCCGAGCGTGCTGGACAGCGTCTCCGAGATCGCGAGACATGCGGCGATGTTGGACAGTAGTTGCGGGTTTCCCTGCGACGTATCTGTGCCCTCCTTGAGCAGAATAACAGTCGGTTGCTAGAACCAGCCGTGTCAGTAAAAACATCGGGGTGTAAAGGTTCGATCCACCATGGGAAGAGGCCGCTGCATTTTTGGAGGTCGAGATCAAGA